TCAATTGATTCTTACTCCGATGGGGGAAAAAGACCGGTCAGTAAGCTTTCTCATTAGCTTAACATTTTAGCATGATTCACCATTAAAGTATTTATAGCGCAGAAAATTCAAAATGACTTATGACTTTTCTATTGATTTATGTTATTTTGCTTATTTTTGGAGATAATTTTGTTCATTATTCAAACCAATAATTTCCGCATTGTAAAATCATTTTTTCACTCGTTGAACTGTTCATAAATACATTTGCAGATGAATATATGTTAAGGCGCTAAAGTTGGATATTTCACGACATACTGTCTAGGAAAACTACTATGCTCTTAGGCCCCGTTTACACGAGGCCGGTGTGCCAACCCGGGTCAACCCTTCAACTAATAAATTCCTATTAACACGTTTACATGATAGCCAGGTCAATTTACCAACCAGGGGCACCCTTCTCAAGATCCGGGTGTTACAGCGTTGGCAAGGTGTTACAGCGTTAAATTTGTAAAAATAGCTAATTTATTCATGTAAACCCAGGTTGGCTTGGCTCTGGCTTTATTTTCGAGCCAGCTCGGGCTGAGAATTGCTGACAAGTGTTGAAAAATAAGTCTTAGCCCTTGGTTTTATAAGCACTTTTTAGCTTTTCTGAAAAATTTTTTACTAATGCATGTATGCTTGCATTTTGCAAGTTTTTGCTTCTTATTGTCTTTGAAACATGAAATTAGTTCACATTGTACACATTGTTAAATCGTGTCACGGGTCACACACGTGTATTACCAACTGTATTTCACTTTTTGTTGTGCTCTACCACAAAGAGTTTTTATAATAAACCAACTTCCTTTCCTAGAGTCAGTGCTTTGGAAATCTATCCTTAGCGAACGTTACCTTTCGCTATCCAACGCGACGCCAGTGTAAGATTTTGCGAAATTTCAAATTGGTGGTAGAATCTGGGAGGAATGTGGCCTTGGTTGGCACTAGTGGGTGTGGAAAAACGACTTTGATGTCTCTCATAGAAAGATTTTACGATGTTAATGCTGGAGAGTTGGTAAGCTGCTGTGTACCATTCATCCAATCACGCATTATGAAAACAATCATCAGGATATAAGTACCAATTGGCAAATACCCTCAAAGCTTCTTCGATTGTATTTCCGAAGAGGAATGGTAACGAGCAAAGTTTGAAAATTTTATCAGCAGGCAAAGCATCACCATAATTCTGGTACAACTTCATGTTAGCCGAAAATTATGGATTCGTGAAGCGAATAACAAATAGATCACTTACAGAATTTCAGCATGTTGTTTTTTTTCTCCTTTAGATGATCGATGGTGTAAATGTGAAAGATCTTAATGTAAAATGGTTACGAAGTCAGATGTCTATCATCTCACAGGATCCGGTACTATTCGATTTAACCATACGGGATAACATTGCTTATGCAGTCTGCGAAAGACAACTTAGCGAAGAAGAAATCATAAACGCAGCAAAATGGCAAATATCCATGATTTCATAATGTCGTTACCTAAGGTATTGAAAAAAAAGCAAATAATCCCAAAAAGGACGTCTTGTAATATCAAATTTAAGTTATAAAAGTGGACAATTTAAATATTGACGTTGTATATTGGGAAAGTCGTCTTTACTCGTGACTTTTCCGTTTTTGTTTTTATGTAGAGCTGTTAAGAATGATTTATAAATATTTTCACACGAATTTAACAATGATTTTAGTTGACATAATATCATACACAATATTAATTTATACATACATAATATTAAATCTAAACTGAAATATTTCAGTTTTATTTCAGACAGAATGATTGATGATGGTTTTGAAATATGAGCGAAATGTATTACAGTTTAAATTAATTTGTTTCATAACGTATAAATTTGTGTGTTCAAGATGTCCTTTTTCGAATTATACTTTGTGTTACATCTAATGAAATTGTCGTCTGGTTAAAGACGAAAGTATTGAAATTCTGGATTTATTTCGAGTATATGATCAACATTTGATGGATGTCCGATGAATATAAATTTAGGTGCTTTACTGACCGTGAGTGACTTCTGCATGTGAGGTAAAATATCAAACCAAGGTCAAAAATCGGGGAAATGTAGACAATAATCTTATATGCTTATTATGCACTAATAACTGTCAATATTATTAGTTATTTATTAATGACTGTCTTTGAAATGTTCCAAGACAGAAGACAGAGAGTGATCTGAATGTAGAAAAGCGTATTGAGTTGCTGTGTATGTTTCATTTTGGACTTCACAGCGACTGCGGAAGAATGATAATTGAAGGGAACCTTATTCATATATGCATGTTCAAGTTTATTAATTCCTATTGAAATCAACTGAAACTATGGCTTAAAACGAATTAAAACATTTGAATACATAACACTCCCTCCCCCCCCAAATCACGAATCGTCTGACGTCCATGCTTTATTCACGCCGTGGTGACAAATCATGCGCAATGACTTATTCTTCTCTTTCTTCATTTACTTTACTAGGGTTATGATACGTTAGTTGGTGGTAAAGGGTCTCTTTTATCAGGAGGGCAGAAACAGAAAATTGCAATAGCACGAGCACTGGCACGAAATCCTAAAATTCTTCTACTTGACGAAGCGACGTCTGCTTTGGATGCAGAAAGTGAAAAAGTAAGAATCCTTTGATATTTGAGAAGGTTCATTCTCATTTTATTCCAAGACTTCAGAATTAGTGATGCTAGGATCATGTCATCTGTTTCTTCAGGAAGTTCAAAAGGCTTTAAAGAAAGCGAGTGTTGGACGGACAACTATTACGATTTCTCATCGCTTTTCGTTCATTCGAAATGCTGATATCATAATAGTGATGAAAAGGGGAAAGATTGTAGAATTTGGCACGCACAGCCAACTGCTCGCTTTAAAAGGAGTGTACTTTGCTATGTATAAAAGTCAGACGACCACAAATACTTAGCACGTTGTTTTTCAACAACAACAAAGTAATTTATGTGTTATCTGTAACATGTAGCTAAACGCCAGGAGTATACTAGACAATCAGTTTTTGTCTCTTGGTGCTTGGCATAGAACATTTTCGCAATGATCTCGTTCACCAAGAAAACTCACAACAGCATCCAAAAATTGTCAAAAACTGCTAAACAATTGACGACTTTGTTTTCGATCGTTTTTAATAGATTTCATTAAAATACACGCATGTGACAAAGCCATATTTTTAGTTTGAAGCCCACTCTTCTAGCTTAGTACCTACAGCTTTAATGAGCAAAACACCTTCAATTCAATAATACAAGTGTGCTGTATGACGTGTTTTGTTGCATGAAATAACTGTCGTTATCACACTGCAGATGAGTCTTGTTTTAGGCAAACTTGAACATGGCTTTAAAACTTTATAATATGAATAAATTCATGAGAATTATCTACAGTTAACCGTCATTTGCAGGACGAAAAAGATCATCACCTACATAAACTTCAAGCAGGTTACGCGCTTTCTGGCAATGTATTTTTTATTGCTTTCTTTGCATCTATTCTTGTGGACACGAAAGATTGATTTTTAATTTTTCTATTAATGCGGCTTATTGTATTTTTTGTGTTGCACATTGCATTCAAACCGTTTGTCATTTTGAGCAAATCAACCCCCCGCCTAGGCATTTGCCGATTGTGCTAGTAAAAGTGGCATATTATGCTAGTGGCAGTGCTCGTTTTTTGCCCAAATTATGCTCAAATTATGCTCGCTTTTCAAAATTATGCTACTTTTTTAAAAAATTATTCTGTGCACAAACTTCAACTCACAAGACAAGTTTGAAAATGTATTTTATTAACCCTGGCCAGACGTTCTGGGCTCGGTTGTTCAAAACCTGGGTAACTTTATCCGGTGGTTGGGCCTATACGGCGAATAAATCTGCTATCCAGCGAACTAAAGTAGGTTGCACAGAGCCTCGATAGTGTGGTGGATAACTATCCGCGGATAGCTTGCTAGTTGCTAACCATCGCGTGTAGCTATCCATTGCAGCTTTGAAGGCCGTGACGGTGTCATAGAGTTTCACGTTAAACTTCTGCAAGAACCAAAGTATAGCCGGCTGTACACAAGCTTTTGCCTTCCGTTGTAGATCCGCGGCTCTCTGAGTAGCATCTTCGTTGGCAATTGCGGCAGAAACTGCGCGTACATTAGGAAAGTGCGGAGCTTGGCATGCCTCGGCGACAGCCTTTAACATCTCGTAGCATGAAAACATAAGGGGCCCGTCACCTTCCAAGTACTATGTAGCTTTGACAAAATGCTCTCCTACATCAATGGTCACAGCCAACTCGAGCTTAAGATCGACAAGGCGCTGAGGATCTGAGAGTATAGCTCGAAGCTGTGCCACAATCTTTGGAGCAATGTTCTCTACTTCCGCATCATTCAGGAATCCAGCAACGTCTCCAAACTGCTCCAGTAGCTGCCTGTAAACTTCCCATTTTGACCACCAGCGTGTTTCGCTATACGATTTCGGCTTTCGATCGGTTAGATCCTGCCATGCCAACTTTGCTTTATGGCTGTGACTGAATAAGCGTACCCACAGGTTTCCAAACTCCAAAAGAGTAAGAATTTCCAGATGTTTGCCAACATTATCGAGCGTGTGAGAAAAGCAGACAATGTTCAACATCTTTGGGAAGATGAATGCTATCCGATCCAATGCTGCTTGATTGACACTTGCTCCATCCCTCATCGCTGCAAGCAAAGAGTTCGCCTTGATCCCAAATTCAACTCAAAGGGCTTCGTTGAGAACTCTTGCTAGTTCTTCTGAATTCACCGACTTTGAGCAAATGTCAATTCTTATAAGACGCTGTGTTATCCTCCACTCATCATTAATAAAGCGAAGGAGTATCGCAATAGCCTCACCTTGCCTGGTGCTCCCGTCAAATATTACTGAAACGTCCCTTGTCATATCTTCTCCTGGCAAAGACAGTTCCTTCTTTATTCTCTCAACCTCTTGCTTGAAAACAAGAGAAACATACTGTCCGAGATGCGCACTATGAGTGAGGCGATAACCATTTTTCTCTAGCAAAGGACGTAGCCTGTCTACCTTCCCGATTGGAATCCCTGCTTTCAAAAATTCCTCCACTACTTCCTGTCGGTATGCTTGCTCAGCCAACGGCAGCGTGTTGTCTTTACGAGTCTTCTCTCTGCTGAGTGCCTCGGCTATCGTTTGTTCTCTTAACCTTGATCTCTTCAGCGCATCTTTCCCTTTGGCATGTTTTCTTGAACTACAATGTGATGCTAAAATGCTCTTTTTGGATGATACCATTTCTCTGCAGGCATTGCAAAAGATCGTTGTGCCTCTGACACTCAGGTGCTGATCAGGGAACTGATTAATACGATCTTGCAAAGGGACATTTTTCACATTAGTGACATTAATCGTCCCCCTCCTCTTGTATTTTCCAGTGGTGGATTCGAGGCGTCTATCCCGGGCAAGTTGTGCAGGCTTTGGTCTATCCTCTCTGTTCTCGCAACCTTGTAAACTATCTGGATGTAAGTTCACTGCACTTGACTGGTTTTGCGTGGCGGCCGCCATTTTGAAACGAGCACTGGGAGAAAGACTAAGGAGTGTGGGACCGAGACACAGACTTCCGGTTCCGTTTCATCGAACTCTCGCGGTATCTCAACACAAGTAAAAAAAAATCGAAAAATAGGAGTGGAAGCAACTGTTAATAGTAATCTATCGTTTTTAGTAGCTGAGATCTTCGTTTTCTTGAATTATTCTAAAATTGTGCTATTAAGACAAGAAAATATACGGATTATGCTAGCAGTGCTACTTTTGGAAAAAGGGCAAAAATTATGCTCAATTCCTCAGATTATGCCAAAAATTATGCTAGCACAATCGGCAAGAGCCTACCCCCGCCCCATCCCATTTATTACGTAATACTTTACTCGGAATCATTTGCCATTACTTTATGTAAGGCGATTAATTAAACATGTTTATGGTTTTATTATGAAAAATTATTGAAAATATGGCGGCTACGACGAGTGAAGCAAGGAGCGAAAATATCCCTCTATTGGAATATGAATCTGGCATGTTTTTAAATGTTATGGATGAGGACGGCCTTTTGATATCTGCGAAGTATGTTATAGATTATTTCGGTCAAATACATTTTTGCATTCATGTGTACATCACACTTGAATGAATGGTGCTGTTGAACTTGTTGTCACAATTAGTGTGTGTAAGTTTGCCGTCAACTACATTGTACAAGCTTGTTTTTATTGCATTAATTCTGTAGGGGAATTTCAATTGATCACGTTCTTATCAACTTTCTAAAAATGTACTGTGATCCAGCTTCATTAGTTCTAGTTATCAACACGTCAAGTCAAGAAGAGGTACGGTAATGAATTTGATGTTTACGTGTGCCTAGATATGCCATTGATCTTTATTAAGGAGGATTATCCCTTCACATCAGATTGGCCAAACTGTTATCTTCCTGAAAGTCTATGTACTTATATATTTAAGCCTTTGGAGAAAAAATGCTGAAACAAAATGCATTGTATGATAGACCAATAAAACTATTGTCTGTACTACATTAATTAAATGAATTTTAATTCAACGATTAAAGTTTATCTACACATATCCAATGGTAATAGCATAGTGTTGTTGAAGATAAGAAAATGAATTGTCAAATTTTGCCTTTTTCTACAATCTCACTAATTGTCATCCAATAGAAGAGTAAGTAAAATTATCAGTAGAATTTCACAGAGCTACATATGTGTTTGTGTCATTTATCCTTTGTTTTAGGAACATCTCATTGATCAACTGGTTGCACTGAAGGCACTCCCTCCAAAATCTGTTACGAATGAATACAGTGCTTCAGACAGGTACAATTACACTTGTGATCATTGGGGAAGCCAAACTGGAATGTTTTTATCTAAATAATTGATGCAAATCAAGTGACTATTTTAAGTGCCATTCATTGGCTTAGAGAGTTCTCTTTATCTATTATTTTGCAAAATACTGAAGTATATATTGTCAGTGGTGTAGCACAACCACTTGGGGCGGCACAGGATGTGAATTACCTAGCATGTTGCAATTTGCAAAATGCAATCACTTCTCACGAATTGCGATGCACTAATCGCAGTAAAACGCGATACAGAAAGCTAGTTAAATTTACTTTTTAAATATATTTTTAAAATCTTATTATTGCACTATAATTGTAATTTCATTATTTTCATGTTAAATTCCTGTTTCGATCTACTTCCGGGAAACTGTGAGAGGTTGCGTGATGTTGGGTTGAAATACGTTTTGCGCGATTTTTTGTACTTGAAAACTTTTTCGCTGCCTAGCGTCTACATGTTTTTGTTGTGATAAAATGCGTTTATGGCAAAGGAAATTGATATATAAATAGATTGCATATTCACTTAAAACATACTTGAACATCTGGATTAGCATTTCTATTCACAAATTATATATCCTTTGAAAACTAATTTTTATGCTTTTATAATTATTTGTCAACTATAAGCGTTCTACTTCGTAAAATCTTTGTTATAAGTTTCGTCAGTTTTTAGTCATCTGACCAGATTTGAAACGAAACAAGATATAATTTTTATTTCGCGAGCAAATTAAGTTTAGTTGAAGTTAAGAAAATTGCGATGCACTTTTTCCACTTTAATTCGCACCCTATCGGGGCTTTCCGTCAAATAGCCATTTGTGTCCTCCATACATGTTCTAATTAAAAATAGGTTGAATGATCGGACATATTAATTCATATTTTCTCTACTTACGATTTGTGTTCACATAAAGCAAAAATTTTACATGTATACTTGATTACAGAATCGGGGAAAAAGCCAATTTCAAATGTTTAGTAGATTATAAATTTAGCAAACATTTCATATATGTATTTATGATAGAATGGGTACTTAGCATCCACAGTACAATTTAAAACTAAAGACAAACAGAAATTCAACAAAAACGGAAGAACAGCAGTAATTGCATTTTGAATGGCTTGTGAAAGCATCAATGAGATGTTAAAAAACAATTTTGATTTCACGTGTCCTTTATAACAAAGTATGGGAATTACACAAAATTTGATGAAAGTTAAGTCAACAGAGCATTTGCGTAATTTAAGTTATTTTCTGTTTCAACTCGCAGCTTAAGTGAAATTTTTTTGTGCACGAATATACCCTGTATGTTATTGTGTTGAGAGTATACCTCGAAAGAATTCTCAGCAAATGTTTCTATTTCATTAACAATGTACTAAAATTGCAAAGTTGTAACACAATAGTATTGATATTAATTTCCCATAAATGTGTTTTATTTATTAAATAAATTTATATAATATTTCTAGTGCGGGCCCCCTAATGCTCAGGGGCGCCCCGTCATTTGACACCCGGACACTGCCCAGTTACCCCACTGCATACTGTATTGAAAATTTGTGCTTGCTTTGACACTGACCTACCTCTCATTTTCTAAACAGGCAATGGAAATTTTGCATATATTTTTTGTCCGATTTTGGTCAATCCACTAAGCTTTCCTCTCAAAGCAGCAAAATTAGGACTCAACTTAGGTTTCGTGGCAACAGGTGGCTAAATTCCCAACCCCCCTCCCCCCCCAAAAAAAAGATGTGTTCGTAAATCGTTTCTTGTTATTTGTTTGATTTGACTTTGCCTATGTAATACAAGATAAAAACACTCCAAGAACAAGCAATGTACATAAAGTATAGGTACTCAATAGTGTGGGAACAAATGTATAGCTTTCACGAAGGACAATCGGACAAAGTCAATTAGGAGATTTGTTCGCTACAAAACAATTCTACGACACTCATTACAGAACAATTACGTTACTTTTCTTTTTAAAATAGGGTCTGTGGTATTTTGACATTCGAATTCAATGTTTTTTAGGGAGGTTTTGTATGCAAACGGAGGAGTGCTTTTTGTGACATCTCGTATTCTAGTGGTGGACATGTTGACTAAGAAACTACCAATTCACTTGGTCACAGGAGTCGTTGTTTGCCGAGCTCATAAGTACGTATTTAAGCGGAAGATTATTTGCCGAATGCTAAAGAATATGGTGTTTGATCGGAGCGTAGATGTGGTGGGGCGGGGCCGGGTGACTGAATGGTTAATTGCGTGAGCTGTAAGCCAGACGGCGCGGGTTCAATCCCGGCTCGTGGCACATTTGGCAATGTGTCTGTAAACCTAGCCCGGGTTGACCAAAGCCATGTGAGGGAAATTTGGTAGAGGAAACTATGTCATCTGCAATGTTGCAGCTTTGTCACACGCTGATATCAGCGTTGTGGTTGCGTGAAGGGTACGAGTGATTGTAGTCTGGTCAGCTGCCTTCACTATAAGTGACCAGGATGTTCCACTTTGTTGAACCCTCATACGTCGAAATCGACGGAGTCCATTATTATTATTAGATGTGGTGATATCCGATTTTCGGTTTTCTAAGACAAGGAGCATTGCACAAGACTACTATAAAATGAAATGACCTAGCTTCAGTTTGTTGTTGGTTTTACAGTAAATAACTGCCTTGTAACGTTTTATGCCTGTAAAATGGTTTGTCAAAATTTACAGACAGAAACTTTTCATCAAAACTTAAATGTTGAAAACATGGCTAATCAAAAAGTGACTGATTTGAATCTTATGCATAAAGAGTTTACTTGTAACAAGTACAAGCAGACAACTTCAGTAATATACAAAATAGAACTAATTTCGGAATGAGCTAATTTCAGCAAGGTGTTATGATTTTGCCAAAACTGGGTTAGTATTCTGGTTTTAAACATTTCTATTAAGAACAATGTACCTACATTTAAATGAATACAACGTGAATATTTACTAAACGAAATGCTCACTGGCATGTTGATTGTCCAGATGTTCAATTAAACAGCTCTTTGATGTTCTATTTCTTTTACTTAAGAACAATGGATTCTTGTCAAGAAGCATTCATCTTAAGGCTTTACCGAGAGAATAATAAGGTATATTTTCATATTCAAGTGTCACAAATGTCATGATGTACGTCTCAAAAAACAATGTTTGATCGTTTTATATCTTACAATTTTACTCTCTCTGCTGACTGCTGAGATGCAAAAACATTCTTAAAATGTCGTAGAATCTCATTGGTTAAACAACAATCGCTATCAGTGACTAAACATCCTATCGACTTTCTCACTGGTTGAAACGCTAGTAGCTAATGAATTTCCTTGAAATGAGTTTCTTATCCTTTTTCATTGTAATGCTTTTTTATTATTCTATCTTGATTCTGCATTGTTTTGTTTACGTCAATAGACTGGTTTTATCAAAGCGTTTTCAGACGTTCCCGAATCGTTTACTGCTGGATTCTTGAAGGTTGAAAGAGTGATGAAAAATTTATTTGTGAAAAAACTTTACCTATGGCCAAGGTTAGAGTTGAAAGAGTGATGAAAAATTTATTTGTGAAAAAAATTTATGTATGGCTGTAGTTTAGATATGTATATCATTTTCAATGCATGCCATGACATCAAGAACGTCACGTTCAAGCCGTGTAGCCTTAGGAAAGTTTGATGTTTGCTTGAAAAATAGTTACATATCCTTCTGGGATTCTTTTTTGGTCTGGCACATTGGCTAAAAAAATCAGTTGAAAACTGAATTCGCCGAAGTGTGTTGTTGTTGTGATTTCTTATGACGTTAAAGCTTTCTGACTTTGAGTTACTTGTGATGCATACTCATGAGCGTATGAGATCCTTTTAATTCTTTGATGGTTTAATGGTCTTAATGATTTATATATGGCTATAAAAATCAAGCAATTTGATTGGTACAGAACCATTTATAAGAATACAAACGCACAGAATGAAAACCAGTCTGTGGTTTTAAAGCATAAAGAAAAGCAAATAGCAATAGTTATTAAAAGGTTAACTGAGATCTCTGAATTGCACAGATATAGAAATCTAATAATTTAGAATAGCTGGAACAGTAGACGAGTATATAAAAAGCTGCAAAAAGACGGTTATCTAGATACCCAGTTGCTAACACAGACACACTGTAATATAGATATATATAATGCGTCCATAACTGGACAGATGCGACGACAAAAAAATAATCTATTAAATATTTTTCTACGAAAGAAAATGGCAAGTGAACTTAGCTACCATTTTTACCTGTTTGAATTCGAAATGTTTTTTAATGTTTGATAAAATTTAGCATTCAAATGACGTTTACGTACAGTGCTCTTATTATATAGATTTAATAAATGTCATTTGAGAAAACAGAGAATATTGAGAAGCCCCATTCCCTCACTCCTATAGGAGTATATATACTGCTATCAATGTGCAATCATTCATTTGAAAAATATTTCTTCAGCTTACGTAAACAATCCTGTTTCAGATTCTATGCGCCAGTATCCTCGTTTCTGGAGAGACACGCAGTATGTAGCTATTTCGCATAAATAGTTGAGTTTTATGCACTAAAATTTGAAGTTCAAATCTGCTAAAAGGTCCTGTTAAGAACACCCAATTTGAAAATACACGGCTTGAATTGCTATAAGGTCGTCAGTTTCGCCCAGCCTCACATATGAAGTATCTTTTTATGTAGCCGGAACTCGTTGAATTGCACTTACAAATGACTCCATCTATGCTGGTCATTCAGACATCGATTCTAGAGTTGATTGCAACCTGTTTGAAAGATATCAAACGTCTCAACACATTCGTTAGTATACATGAATGATAAGTAAAAGTTCTGTCATTCTCTTCATGTCTTAGTATTGACATTGTTTTTGAAAAATTCGTTTTTCGTGCTCTCTAGTTAGATACACAAGAGTTGACGGTAGAAAACAGCATCAACAAATCTTTCGATAAACTTATTCGACATCAATTGGATCCAGTATGGCATCAATTGGTATGACATTTTTTTCGCTGGAGATAAACAACATTTTCTTACGAAACACTTCCATATGTGTTACGGTTTAAGCTCAAACGAACGCAAATTATGAGCGTGTTTATAGTAGCTATGTTTATTGAAAACTCTCTTGCAGTAATTATTACTGAACTATCAGGTTCAGAACTAGTTCACGCCATTTACCAATTATCTATTCCATAATTTCTTTTATAAATCTATAAATTTATCAAAGCTGTTTATAATTTAGTTCGAATGTATTGTGAATTGCTTTCTCCTTCACCTGCACAGATATGTAGCCAAAAAGAAGTAGCTATTTAAGCTCAAATTCTTTCACTTTCTTGTCGAATCGGACTTTTTTGTACGATTTGAACGTGAGAATATTTGTGTACGTTTTTAATTCGCGCTCAGGTATACTTTGAGTAATGTTATATGGTATGGTTCAGAATCACAAAGTGAAAGGGAGAGAGTCTAAGCGAAAAATTTATGAGATCACACAGTCAATTGCTGTGGTAGTTTGATCAGAGCGAACTACGTAGGTATTCTCATAACCTCAATGCAATCCACTAGTTTTCAATACGGGTCGAAAATTCTTCATTCGACGTAAATATGCCTTCGTTTTTAATGTTACTCTAAAATGATAGAGTAGCATTCAAATAATAAATCTGGCAATGCGGGCAAATAACTCCAACTTTAACTTGAGTGTTCTCATTACCATTCCCCACTGTAGCTACATGGTGTCTGTTAAACTTAGCGCTTTTTCTACAATATAGAGCTCCAAAACCAGGCAACTCGTTGCTGATCTTAAAGTGTTGAGGACCCTACTGTAGTAAGTTGATTGCACAGACATAAGCTATATGATTGTTTTAATCTTTTAAGTTTTGTTCATGTCATGGAAACTGTATTTTTGACAATTATTGAAGCAATGCACAAACGTAAGATGTATGTATTTGCAATCAAAAACTGTTTTACTGCGATTTACTACTTTTGTTTAGTTATCTGACGCAGTATGATTGTGTCACATTCTATCAATTTCTTTTATCAATCAGGTAAGATAACTGCATTTTGATTTTTATCTTTACGGCCATGCAGTTTAGTTACGTACCTATATGCATGTATGATTTGCTAGCTTAAAATTATTGGTACGTCTTGTTGATAGACGAGAAAAAAATTTAGGTAATTTTACGGGATCTTCTCTGATTTTATGGGCAGTTGGACTTGCAGGTCAAACCGATTGCAGGAGTTTTCGAGCAACAGCTGCACAATCTATCAATTATTAAATAGCTGTTTAAGACAAATACCTGTTATTGTATCATCCATAATGCCCAACTGTTCGAGCTTTTTAATAATTTCACAGCAAGTGGGCAATGTTATTTCAATTTAATGTGCATTACTTAGTTTGTGTGAACTATTTCAAGTCAAACTGTTCGTGTTAGAGTCGATGAGTTGATTGTTTCGATTTTAATATATAGAGCGAGTGAACGAGTGGCAATGCACCGGAGTATGTGGTTGTTTATGGATGCTACCACTGCGTTGTTCAAGGTAACTCACATTGACTGCATGTGGTTTAACTGGTCTTTGTTTGTGCAAAACATCCTGCGAAACCTATATTGACTTCATTTCGGAAACCTTTCCTGGCGAATAATGTCTCAACATATAGTGCGCAAATATTTTTTGACCTTATTCAAAAAATTCAGTTTTAAGGACAAATTTGCGTTACTGAGGTTTTTGCATCTGCATGGAATGACATGTTTAGAAATCCTATTTTTACTTTTACTTAATTTCTTTGTACGTACGTACATGTTTCCAAATGCATACTAGTTTCAGAGAAAATATTTTGGTGCTGTATTTACACCTGCCAATTAGTGTCTGCGCCTTAGTGTTTGAAAGTTAACTGGGTACACGCGTCAACTAGGAACATGTTAGGATAAACATGGACGTAGGATAACCCTAGCAGAGGTTTACCCTAGCAATCGAGTTACCCTACCTACCTACGACAATTTACAGGTGCGCTAGGGGGCATCCTAGTAGTAGGGTCACCCTACTGTGAATCTATAAAATAGAAAGGAAACCCTTGCAGTAGGGCTATGTTTTTGTTTACAAAAGCTATGGGATAAGGCTGGGGCTACCCTGTCAGTAGTTTAGCGATATAGGTAATAATTAATCGCTTGCGGACCATATAATTTTACAAGGTGAATTATACATGACTCAACAGAGTCAAAAAATGAAACGCGATTTGAAAGTGCAGCGGCTTAAAAATTTTTGAGACTTGCCGCTAATTCTTTATTATGAAAAACTCGATGTGAATATAATGAAATTATGTTATAAAGTATAACGATTTTCTGAGGCTTTATACCGAAGTCCGGACCCTATATAAACGTCTTTTGATAAAACACGAGATAGCCGTGCAGTTAAGGTTTCCCTACTATTCCTCATGTGAACTCTCGCCTATTTTTGACTCGCTTACAAGGGTATCCCTTCGGCCAGGGTTAACCTACTTCCATGCAAACAGGCCCCACGGCAAATTAACATTGGTTTGGTTTTCTGAGTCATAACATTGTCAAAGATTTCTTTACTTTACAAGAGTGTTAAACCATGCATAACAAGATAATTTATTAAAGTGCTACATGCTGCTAAACATACATTTTATGATAAGTCTACTTGTTGCTAAAGACTGTTTTGGCTGTCACGTTGACCATCCCTCTTTACGACGACATCGATGTTTGGTTTTGCCAAAATATAAGAGGCATTGTGGAAAATGCGGAGTCGGAGTCTCCCCAAATGCAAAGATGGATACTTCTAACACAGTCTAACACAGACTCCGCATTTTCTACTCTACAGAGGCATAAAGTGGAAAATGCGGAGTTCGTGTTAGAAGTTTCTATCTTTGCATGAGGAGAGACTACTCCGACTCCGAACTCTGGATTTTCCACCATGCCAATATAAAAGGGTATTGTTATGTTTAAATGAGGCGAAACTCGTGCAATACATTTTCAATATCATTAGCGTGACTAGCAAACAAACTGGAACGAAACTGCTCAAATATCCAAGCAAGGTTGGAGGAGTATATTAGCGACAGAGCAATAGAACAAGATATTGAAACTTTCGAAATAAGTACTGACAACAAAATGAGTGCTTAAAAGCTTGCCATAACCGATCTAAAAATAAAAAAAAACGTTTATAATGACCGCGTTGTGAAATTGTGTGAAATCACGTGAGAACGCTTAAATTATACAGGAAATCATGTGTTACAAACGCGTACCCTATGAAATCTTCGATGAACTCGTCAACTTCAGGATCGGTACAGCTAAATTGATAAAAAGCAAAACACATAACGCGTGTCGGATACTGATAAGGAAATCACTCATCATATGTTAGTAGCATGCACGAAATTTCAGTAATGACTTCAAGAAAATGAGTGATAGTGGAGAGAGAGTGAGAGAAGCGAGTTAGTTGTGAGCCGGATTTGACCGTGACGGAGTCTATTTTACAATACAGTAACGAACGTACTTATTTTTAGAGCGTATTGCTAGTTGATATATCTTTGTAAACGTTATTGTCGCGTGATTTCGTGACTTGTCAAGGACTACGAATTTGAGGCACAATTCTCGACACGCGTGAAACCACGTGAACATATATTTTTTTAACATACTTGCAAATAGGACAACGAAAAACTTGATTAACATCAACGATCATGTCCTCTACATCTGACCAATGAATTTTATGTCCACATTTTGGATTTATCAACCAAAGGCCACAATGATCGCACACGGCTGCAATGAAGCAGAGGCGGATTTAAACTTAGTCAACTAAGTCGGGCGACTAACGTATTAACGTGTCACTTTCAAAAAATTCCGTGGGTATTCCTTAAATTATAACACTTGAGTGCTTTAAAATTTCCGCAGGATTTGGGTCCATATACCGATTTTGATTGGTTTAAATTGATCAATTTGCGAGCATTCATTGGTTAGCGTATCGTGCAGGATCTGCAGGATCTATGTTCATTCTGTGATTCTGATTTGCCCAGACGAACCAGCTATATAGCTGTAATTGGTGGAGATTTCTTGCAGGATCTATACCAATTTAAAGCTTGTGATTGGTCAACATTGTTAGTTTTTGCAGGATATATCTATTTTGGTATATGATGTTGCCGAATCTTCAGATTTGATTGGTTGTTGTAGCGAACTTAGTCGGAATATATTTGTCTGCTTCATTGCGCTTGAATATTTATCGATCGTCATGGCTAACTCTAGCAGTATTTTAGATCGGGTTCTCTGACTTAAAAAAGTGATGATGTTGCTTTGCTTAAGACCTTTGAGGAATTATGTGATATATATAATTCTTCTCGTTTCTTAATGCCTGAAGAGCATTTTCCTTTAATTGGACGATCTTTGTATCGTTATGTAAATGCTGAGACAGGCTATTTGCCTCATCATGTGAAGGCCGACAATACGAAGCCATCGGTTGCTCTAAGGTAAAATTAGTTAAATTAAGATAAGTAGAAATGAATATAAGCCTAATTGCGTAGTTGTTATGACACGTTAAGACCAAAACTGCCGATTTGTTGTCATTTCATTGTTGTTGAAATGATCGCTTTTAACTCGCTTTGTTGACATTGCATAAATTGTTGCAGTCTTAATAATCAAGAAATCTTTCGACTGCTGTTTTATTAGATCTGAACCATCTGGAAATTGTCTATACAGCTCTGCTTCTCTGGCCTTGGTTGGAAGCAATGCTCTCATTCACACTTTGAGAGCTATGGTATCTATAGAGCTTTTATATATGCAAATTATTATTGTTATCATCCAATATTCACTTCCACCTTAGAGAAGCATGGTGACAAGGTCTCTGTTAGTGCAAAAAATGTTTTGGCTATGTCCTGTTGTTTTGAAAGTGTGGATTCACGTTTATTAGGGCTTGATCTTGTTAAAATGGAAGCTCTTTGCAACTGTAGAGATAAAATTTGGGGTAGTTTTTTGTGTATACTTGCTCTCTCCTCAGTTACTAATAGAATCATTTCTTTGATGTATCCTGATTGTGGAGAAGTTTCTTTTAAGTTGTTATTCAACCAAATTATTTCACCTCGTCTTCCTTTACCAACACCACCTACTCAATATAACTATTTATACCTCTTGTTTTGTTCTACAACTCTATTGACTTCTAGTAAAGTCTTTAAGCCAAATCACTTTGCACCTCTTATTTTCAAACCTATCAGTAAAACTAAAAGAAAGGCTTCTGCTTTGTTAGAAAAAGCTAACAAGAAAATTCCTCATGTTCAGGCAAAGTTGAAAGGAGAGTCTTCTACTGTTAACATTTCTAATTTTTTTCAACCAGTTTCAACCCCAGCAAGTAATAAGGCTAAACAATTTATTTTGCCCAAATTATTTAGTACTACACAAACACAATCAACACAAAGGTGCCTGCCATCACTAGTCTTGGTTTAATACATAACCCAAAACAAGAACTTTTGCAATCATTTTCATTAGATTTTCACAGCAATATCCAAATGATGTGAGATATTTTAGAGAAAAAGCTAGAAATATGAATGATTCTCAAAAGCTGCAGCTCATTCACAATGTTTTTAAACCGAATAGATCCTACCCATTTCCTAAATCAGCTGATGGTCGATCTTTTCTTTATTCGTGGCTGGAAGATTGTTCTTGGTTGTGTTACTCCCCTTCTTTGGATGGTGCTTTTTGTCTGCCTTGTGTTTTGTTTGGTGATCAGCTTCGAATAAAAATACAAAAATTAAAAAACCTTTTAGTGAACCAATGACATATTGGCCTGATGCTAAAGCTTGCTTCAAACGCCATATTGGTTTGAGTTCTAAGGCTCTCACCAGAGCAGGTTTGCACGAAAGCACACGTAAGAAATATTTGTCATTAGTTGGTCAGGCATCAGGAGAAGGACTGCAGATTGAGGTGTTGATTGATGAGCACAAACAGCAAGTCATCAGGCAAAATAGGGAAAAACTTGTATCAATAATTGATACTATTAAACTTTGTGGTAGACTTGGGTTAGCATTAAGAGGGCACCGTGATGATTCTTCATATCATCCGGAGGTTGGTTCTTACTCAAAAGGTGGTGTTGGTAATTCATGTTCTGTCCCCTTTGTCAGAAATGTTTTTAGTCAAATTAAAGAACTTTCTTACTGTAAAAATTTGACTCTTTAGGCTTGGTCATTATAGTTTTGACGAGAAGGAAAGAAAGAGCTTCTAATTTTTTATATAGTCATGATATCTCATAAATCTTAGTGACAAACGTGTCACTTAGCCTTAATTTTGTATATTAAATAATTTCATTATGGGTAATCCTCTGAGCCTGCGTGAAACCATTTTGAAATTATTTGTATGATGTGTTGCATCATTTTAATATGTCTATTCAAGTTTGAATTAGGAATATTGGATGTAGTATTTCATCTCTTTCTCGTAGCACTTTTTAAAAGAACATTGAAAACGTCAATTTATGTGTGTCATACACAGCACAATTGCTTTTGTATCTCTGTGAAAATGGTACAAATATACAACATCTTCTGTCACTAGACTTTTAAAATGACCGCCACTAAGGTTGTCGAAACGTCAGTCAACATCAACACCAACAGTCCTTCTAAGGACTATACTAACCCAGGCGATCTACATCTTAAAATATATATGATGCGCGTTTTGATGAAGTTGCCTAACATACAAGAAATATTCACCTTTTGTAAGGTCTTAATTAATGCATATGCGTTTTGATCTGGGAATAACAACAACTTTGTCTAATTGTGATACTTGTGAATGAACAATTGACCTTATGAAAGACCAAATATTTAACTTCATCATTAACAGGGTTACTGACATTTGGAGTCACGCTCTCAAAGGAATTAATAAGTTAACTGTGTCACCAGTCAATAGCATATCTTTTCCTAAACAATACCTTTTTATAAAAGAAATCAGTTTGAGCTTGGAGTATCGTCAAAATTTATGGAAATTGAATGTTTAGGTCAGCGTTTCGACGTTTTCTTTAGCGGTGGTTTGTGTTACTTTTCTGTTTAGCTCGGCAAAATAACCATTAGATTCAGATTATGTGTGTGCATATTCTTGGGGCGAGGTTAAAGGATTAGAATGACAGGGATTATGTAGAAAACTGAACAATTTTACATCTTTGAAATGTCCCACGTTGTCGCTTTTTCTAATCAAACTCCTGTTGCTTTGTTGCAAAGGTGTGAAAGGCGAGTATCTGGCGCCTTAAAACCAGACTGCTCTCTTTTTGTTTAAGGCTTCTCATTACGTTGAGGCTGTCCATGTCGGAATTGCATTTTCACGTGGTGAGGGTGCCATTTCCTAGGCATGCTGATGAGCTCTGATATAGGGTGAAACAGTCCTTATAATTCATCATATTAGCAATGTTGCGTTAGCAGAATTTTTAGCTAATGCGACCACGCCCATTTATTAAAATTTTGTTCGACCACGCCCTTCCGACTAAGGAATTAAAAATCCTGGATCCGCCCCTGTGAAGGATTTGTTTTCTAAAACGTTCTATGTATGTAAGATTTGAATGATTCAACCCTGCTTACTCAAAATAGGTTTGATTGAAGATTGTGCTTCCATTCTTAACGAAATATGAGTTTTTGACGGTTTGATCCTCAAGCAATATATTTTATAAATGAGATGACGAGAAAGACGCAAAACATCAGACGTTTACTCAAGGCAGTCTCCAGCGGAAATTCCCATGTTACTAGAGCCGCAGGGTAATCCGAGCATGCTTTTAAGGCTTTGTTACCATTGTTAATTTATACTATTTAGTAATTAGCTCTTTAAAAATTTAATTATTTCCAGCAGTCGGTCTGTAAGAAAATATATATTGACTACGCAATGTCATTAGCTCCAGACATTAAGTCTTAAAATTATAATACTGGGTTATTTGAAGTTCTACTTTTTTTGTTGCTAATATAGCAATCTGTTTACACTTACAGCTGGGTTTTTTTATGATAGTTTTTTATGATAGTTTATGATAGTTCATTTTACTCGCGCATGCGTAGCTTCTATAAAATTGTCGTTAATCTCGTTACAAGCAAACAAACAGACCGGCACGTTCATTTAGAGTTTGTTTTCAATTATTCAGTTTCACGACTATCGAAGTTATCGAACTGTGTGTTTATTTTCAAAGATGAAAAAATTGTAAAATTGCATGTTTTCTCCAGCCAAATGCGTTACTATTAAAAATGTAAGAGAATATGGCTTGCTAATTGTTTTTCGTTGTTTATAATGTGTTTTCCATAAATATCAGGTTAATAATAAGTAGACCAAGCCTATTGCGAGTAAATCATGTTTTTCATTTCTCAACTTAATAAGCATATCAAATAAATCAGCAATAAAAATTGTTTTGCATAACATCAAGCAGAAGTATGTAACTATAGTAATAGATGTAAACCTTGTTTTTTTTTCATTTCACACATAGCTGTATTAAGTATACCACAGATTTTGTCGATCGAGTAATAATATATATGTATGTAAATATATTGCCTATCCTTTTTCTTATCATAGCATGCCAGAGAAAGAGTTTATCGATTCAGTGAAACGAAGCCTGTGACAAAAAAACAGAAAACCTTGACAAGTTATATGGACAAAAGGCAAGAAAAACCGGAGAATGCGCACATCCTTGAATTTTATTTCATTTTAATGAACTGTGCTATTTGTGAAACAGATTTTTTATTGATTTCCTATTCCATTGTTTAGTGAAAATGTCAACGAAGTTCATAAAACAAAAGGTAAATAATCGTTGGGCTTTATAGAGACTATTATTCGGACTGTGAAAGCTCTCTCTCACTCCCTGATTTGGGCTTCAATGTCGGAAAATGTGTTGTGACGTTTTTATCCAGTGGCGGACATTTGAAATATTGGAGGGGGGGTGGGGGTGGTCTCTTCCTCAAGGCATGAGATTTCTGGGAAGACTGCTGGGTATGCCTATTGGTATAATTTTAAAATTCGATCTCCAGAAAATTTGTTTAAGGATTCCTACGTATACATAATCCTACACACACAAGGTTTACTGGTACGTGTACAATACAGGCGTCTATCAAATAGTTATTATTTAACATCACAGTCATGTTATGTAGGTGTGATTTTAGGGATTTGCTGCAAGATTTTAAAATCTTTCAAATCCTATCCCCTCTCCCCCCCTAGTGTCCGCCACTGAATGAGCTCTCTTCTTTGCCTTTCTAATGATTTTGTATCCTGTCTTGCATATTACTCGAGGCATGAGATTTCTAGTGATATTCCAGTGCATGCTTATTGGTAGACTTTCAAAATTTCATCCTCAGAAATTTAACTTAAGGATTCCTATGTACACATAATCCTACACACACAAAAGGTTTAATACGTCTGTTGGTACGTGTATGGTACCGAAGTCTATCAAATAGTCATTATTTAACATCACAGTCATGTTATGTAGGTGTGATTAGAGGGATTTGGCTCATGATTTTAAATTTATCAAAATTATTGGGGGCTCAAGTCTCCCTCTCCTCTAGTGTCCACCTCTGACTTTTACCGTAACGCAATGAAAACAGCGCTGTGAGTTTTGCTTAGTGACACAGTTGATACGATCTTATTCCACAGTTTTCAAAATACAACACAGTGCAAGCAACTATATCTTGAGTTGTGTACAAGGATAGTTGCTAATGGTTTTCACCGTACAACACAATATTAAAAAATTGTAGCAACGCGAAATTATTGCAACGCTATTCAACATCATAGTTATGTTATGAAGGTGGGATTAGAGGGATTTGCTCCAAGATTTGAAATCTTTCAAAATTGTTTGACGGCTCAAGACGACCCCCTTTCGCCCCCACCCCACCATTGTCCGCCACTGACTTTTACCTTAACGCAATGAAAGCAATGACGTGAGTTGTGTACAAGGATAGTTGCTAATGGTTTTCGCCATAAAACACTGTTAAAACGACTACTTTGAGCTATGCACGGTGACAGTCGTTACAATATTTCTGGTTTTCCCCATAAAATGCAACATTAGCAACTTTTTTGAGCTGCGCACATTGTTTTCACCTTACAACACAATTGGAGCAACTACCTTGATTTGTGCTCCTCCATAATTGTTACAATATTTCTGGCTTTCCCCATAAAATGCAACGAAAGCAACTACCTTGTGTTGTGCAAAAGGACAGCTCTTACCATGTTATTGGTTTTCACCATACTGCGCAATGATAGCAACTAACTTGAGTTATGCAAAGTGATAGAGACAGTTGTTACAATGTTTCTGATTTTCAACATACAACGCAATGAAAGCAAACTTTTTGAGTTGTATACGGTGACAGTTGTTACATTGCTGCTGCTTTTGTTGTAATTTCTTGTTTGTCCTTTTATTTGACGAAACAAACTTTCATTACGTTTTACATCAAGTAGTTGCATCCTTAACGTAGCTAAATACCAACGATTAATGAGAGTGATATTCATTTTCTACAATATTTGGCCATATTCACTTAATATGTTCTAGGATTTTTGTATTTCATGCTAACTCATGACAAGGAAACAATCGACATCATTAAATTTCCCTGTATTAATTTTTACCGATAGTATGCCTATAACTGCCAGAGGGAATTAGTCTGGTCAAAAAAGTAGAGGTTGATGCCCCACCATCTCTCCCAGGCCACTGAGCTATAACTATATTTAAGTTTCCTGGACTACTCTGATGAACTCTTTGTTGTTTCAGAGTTGGTGTTGGAAGAAAGTCCGAAATGGAAGTTGCTAAAGGACGTTGTGAATGAAATCGATCAAGAAAATTCGTCGGAAATCTCTGGTATAACTAGCCGAATAGTCATGTGTAGCGTGGCAGTGATGTTCTGATGTCGGTAGTTTCTTGGCTTGTGTAGGTTGTGGCTCACTGGTGTCTGCAATAGTCAACCGGTGTTGGCCAGCGGTTGTTTCATGTCTTAAGCACTATTTCCATTTCAATATCCAGTTGTGCGCTTTATAAAGACATAGACGAAAGCTGCGATTAATTTACTTCCGTTTCTCCAAGTTAATAGGGCACCGAAAAAATGCTTATTGTGCTTCGTGCCATAAAATAGATGTTGCATTGTGTTTTTGTGGTTTTCTATAGGTGGCAGTCGCCATGTTCTAATCGCTGCATCAGATCAACGGACATGTCTTCAATTGAGAGAGGTATCTATCTTCCATTTGTATGCTGCTACTTCTTCACTGCACAGTACGTATAAGCTTCAACATTTCCAGGCTTATGTGACCAGCAAGATTCTCGTACATTCAACTACTATTAAAACAGCGACTGATATACAGATAAATTTTTATTTCAATACAATGGGTCAAACGTACGGTTCTGAACAACAGAGTGTATAAATATTATCATTAATCTTTATTTCAATAAAATGCGTCAAACGTACGGTTCTAAACAACAGAGTGTATAGATATTAACATTAATCTTTATTTCAATAAAATGCGTCAAACGTACGGTTCTAAACAACAGAGTGTATAGATATTAACATTAATCTTTATTTCAATAAAATGCGTCAAACGTACGGTTCTGAACAACAGAGTGTATAAATATTAACATTAATCTTTATTTCAATAAAATGCGTCAAACGTACGGTTCTAAACTACAGAGTGTATAGATATTAACATTAATCTTTATTTCAATAAAATGCGTCAAACGTACGGTTCTAAACAACAGAGTGTATAGATATTAACATTAATCTTTATTTCAATAAAATGCGTCAAACGTACGGTTCTAAACAACAGAGTGCATAGATATTAACATTAATCTTTATTTCAATAAAATGCGTCAAACGTACGGTTCTAAACAACAGAGTGCATAGAACATAACTGACAAGGAGGACTAAAGCCATATTCATCGTTACCTCGTATTTTGGCCACTAAATATAAACATCCATGTACAAAAAAGTACAACACGATACATGAATTGTGCTCAATCTCAAACGATCCAAAAACCATGCTTTCATACGGGTCCTTTTGCATAACAATTAGCATAATCTAAGCCCTATGCATCTCGGCCCTGCTGTACGTTTGTACATTTTTGACGTAGAGGCTGTTTTGTCCCACTTAGGATTTTTGCCAGGTATTTTTCGAACACATGAATGCACTATACCTGTGATTTATATAGAATAACGATACGTTTTTTCCGGCTTTTTAAACTTTTGCAATAAACCAATGCCAGGGTTGCTAATGTGGTGAGTATGTTAACATCGTCACGTTCAGTTAAAATATTTGGATATATTGCATAAGTAATAAAACACCAAACTCTTAAACATTCCCGAGTTGGATTCTTCATACTTCGTAGATTATACATTAGGCAAGGACTTAAATTCAGTTGAAATAATATTCTTTTCGAGATGTAAACTTGCGCGTGTTAATTCTGTTCTCTTTGTCAATTTCATTTGTGTAGTTTTTGTGCAAGGGTGGAAAATCACTTCTGACCAGACTGTATGATAAAAATGAAAATGGAAAGAGTTCGAGAGGAACCACTTCAGGTGATTTTGCATCATTTCTTTTATTCGTATATCGCACGTCTACACACTTGATGTGCTCTAAACATTTAACAATTGACCAATCAGAAGTCGTTAAATTTTATAAACACATCAATTACCGTGATCACGATTTGGCCGTTTTAACGTTTTTGACAGATGAAACTGGGAAAAAGGTGGTTGAAAAGCGCAAGGTAAAGTTTTAGAGAGAGTGTTTGGGAGGCTTGGGACTTGATTGAATATACTTCAAACTATTTGTTGAATTTTTCGTAAATGGCCGATGTCTGATATTTCTAGTTAATCATCTTATGTGAGACGTTTTTTGTGCTTTGTGTCTTTGCGTTAGATAGCTAATTTTGTTTTAATTTAATGATGAACCGAAGCGTACTACAAAAAGCGTTTCTAAGGCAATAAAAGCGCGCTGTTTTGTGGAAAGCGAAGCTCCATTATAATAAATAAACAGTAAAATAGCCCTCAGCTCTTAGACTTGCGAGTGAAGTCCTGCACTTGATAAGCTGTTGATATTACAACCTGTTATGGTTGTGCATGAAAAGACTGGGACCGGACACGATGTTTTTGGTGAAAGGCAGCCTTTCAGCAGGAAGTTTAGTTTGACGTTATTACGAAGAACTATGGGTGGATTTTTTATCTTTAGTTTTACGCCGCACATGGTTTATAATTCATACATATTTGATCATACGAGCACGATACTTTAAACTCAATTTTAATTGAAATGAGAGACACGTTTCGACTTAAGTATTAGCCATCTTCAGTGCGATCGTTTAAAGAGATATTGTCATTTATTTGAAAATGTTTACTAAGCATATTGCATTTTACGATCTCAATGCAACTCGTTTTCATTGTGTTAACCTATAGGGTAAAGAAAAGAGAACACTGAAATCCAAAGATAAGTCAAAACAAAAGTCGTCCAGCAAAGAAAAACAGACTATGGAAAAGTTTATTCAAGTTTTGGACGAAAACGATGAAGAATATGAACGGTAAGACTTTTTCATGAAATCTAAAACGTAAGCATATTGCAATATATGCTTACGCAAGAGAATTTCGTTCAGTGAATAAGATGACGAGTTAAATTGTTTTCGCCCCTTTCAAAAGTGAAGATTGAAAGTATTTTCTGTCTCTTGCAGCGAATGTTATTGTGCAATATTCTTGCAGCGAATGTTATTGTGAATGTTATTGTGCGTTACTTGCTCCTCTATATTGTCTTAGTTGACTTAATTTAGCTGTTTAGCTATTCAAATATTATTTTCTTGCTGCTTCAAATAGAGATTAGAATGAGAAAAAAACTATGTTTGAACTCTTCCAAATATCTTGAATCGTCGTTCTAATATTTTTAATACTCATACTCACATAATGAAATGTCCAATAAATTTTCATTTCAATGTAATTTTGAATGATGAATTTTTTTTACATATACGTAACTAACTTGAAATATCCTGGAAGAAAAATTATGAAATATTAAATTACCTAATGTTTCCTTCTTAAACTTAATCTCCGTCTGATAGTAAAAATAACCAAGATACATGTAATACTCACTCGATAACGATCACTAACAAACGTCTCCTTGAAATAAGTCTTTACTTCGTAGCTTTACATTGACCTAATTTGGGCATCATAACTTACGTATGCTTTTTTTTCATTATAGAGGAGAAGAAGAGCAAGGTGAAGAGATTGGCGTTGTGTCCAAAAATAAATCAGCAGGGAAGTTATTGTTGAAGGTAAAGTCACCTCGCTATACTATAATTTATATTTTTGAGACCTGGGAGAGGATTACCTAATGAATACATTAGTCGTAGAATGATCCACAAATTACATCCATCTACTAGCAGTAATTTTATCAAAAAACACATTCTGAGAATGAAATAATGAAAGGGCTTGTAATAGTCAAGTCTTCTTTGCAATAACATATGTATTGCAAGAGCTCACAAATTGGCAGCATTTAAGGGGCCCGATTGCAGGATAAAAACCAAAACAAACTCGATGTAACTTTTATACAACTTTTGTACTTAAGTTGCTTTAATAAACTATGGTGTATTTGATGATTCAACTTTTACAATTTTTACTATCATGTAAGAGGCTCCTAAGGCCAGGGGCCCCCAACGAATTCTCTTAGTCTCGTCCATGGTCAGCACGCCTCTGATGAATTGTATCTGTACTCACACGGAACTCAATATATTTTACAAATGTATATTTTCTGTTGTTTGCAGACAGACTCTTCTGACGCTTGTGAAATAACATTTGATTTAGTTTCAACGCCCCTGGTCGTTATTCATCCCCTGACTGAAGCAAGGTCTGTATGCATTGGTAAATTATCTTTTGCATTTATTCTCAAGCATTGTAGAACATGCGAGAAAATATGTCATTCAAGTTTTAAAATAAATAAAACGATATAGACGCTGCCCTTTTTTAAAGAAGGCAGTTACATTTTTCAGCTAGAAATTCGCGTTTTTTCAGAACAATCGCGAAAAGTGTTTTTTATAGCATTTGCAGTTTCGAACATAAAAAACGTTGTTTACGTACTAATTTCATCATTGCTTTTTGATGCCGAATACGTTTTCATCCATCTTATTTTTCATTCGTGAGGCAAAAAAGGCTAGAAATTCGATGGAAATTATATACTGGATGGAAATAATACTGTAGTTATACTTGTGACGTTCACTTGCAGTTTTCAACTTTTTTAATTCTTCGTTCTGACGCTTAACCTTTGCTTGTTGTTTTCTGAAGCAAAAATTGCTATATGTGATCCTTCACTGTGATCTGTATAAGTTTAATTTCAACATTAAACGGAATCTACTATCGCTCTTCTAAAACCATGTGATTTAGTGATTCGCACAGTCTAACTCAAATATGTTGCTTGAATTTGATAAAAGATTGCTATTTTTAGTGAACCGTTCAGTCTAACTCAAACATTTTACAACAATTTCATCAAAAATTGCTATATGCTGAAGCCACGTTATTTTTTATTTTGTGATCCGTGCAGTCTAACTCAAACATTTTACATCAATTTCATCAAAGATTGCTATAGCTAAATGCTCTGAACCCACATGATCTTTTTATTTAGTGATCCGTACAGCCTTACTCGAACATTAAATGAAGTCGAACCACGCTATGTTATACTTTACGATGCGCATATAGAATTCGTTCGACAACTAGAGGTATACTCATCTCTTTATGAACTTCGCTTTTGATCATTTTTTTCAAGTTTGCTGTTGGATGATATTAGACTGGAAAAGACGTAATCATATATTTTGAAATCGTGTACAGGGCAATGAAATCATAAAATCAACGAAAAATCTATCAGGTCGTAGCTATTTTGTCATATCAATAGAGTATAGATTTTTTCCACGATAAGGTTTCACGTTCAAACAACCTTGAAGTATAGCAAGTTTTCAAAATGTGAACGTTAAATTCAAAACCACTTGTTCTTCTCGTTTGTTGTAAAAAAAAACACGAAGGCCCGTTCACACGATCCGATTATTTTGGTTCCGACTTTTGGTTGCTTGTTCAGACGGTCCGATAATTTTGTTGATATTTATATTCGTTTGGATATTTATAGTCGTTTGAACAGCCATTTGTGTTATCCAGTACATTTATCGATATATTTATCGTATTTTTGTTCTTGTTTCGTGAAGTCTTTTTCAAATCTATGTAATTTGACTATTCGGCTTCCTCTGATCTTGTCGGATGAAAATATGTTCTATTTTAGTCCGAAATTTTAGATTGACGGATCCGACTGTCGAAGGCTCACTTATATGTGTTCACACGATCCGTTTTTTAGGATCCAAAAAAATCGGATTGTGTGAATGTGCCTTTACAGATAAAACCAAATACAGTGACTTTTATCGTCTGGGGCTAATGATAAAAGATTGTGATTAATAACTTGCAAAATTTGATGTTTTTTCTATAGCTTCCGGCAAATCTTTCCGTTCCATATGACTAAATATTTCTGTCTTTTTTACATTGTGTTATTTTATAGGTATTTAAAGCGTCAAGGCCTGGAATTCCTTTACGTATTTATTTTATGATCTTTGGTGGCTCTGTTGAAGAACAGGTGGTGCTTCCGTTTGCTGAGTTATGAACTCAAACTTAGTTTTTTCCGCTTTCGTAGCTATGAACGATTTTGGCATGTAAACACGTAATAGAAGTGCTGTATTTGATTTTGTATAAAGCTTTGCCTTAATTTTCTAGCGGTATCTTACAAGATTAAAGAAGGAGAATGAAGCTTTCGAAATGTTGATCAGAACAAAAGCGGTATGAGCCTACTAAATGAGCTTTGCTGGATGCTTCTACCAAGACTGCATAGTTTTCATGACATGTCGTTTTATGTTTGTGCTCTATTGTGGTATTTTTTGTCACCCTTAGACCATGGTCATACCTGAAGAACGCGATGGTAAGAGTGAAGGTGCCATTCAACTAGATCGTGATACAAGTAAGCCATCAGATGTAGCCAGCACTCGTCAAGGTGGTGGCCGTGAAGGACAAAACTCTAGAAAGGTTATTGTCTACTTGAAAGATCAGTATGACCTTCCTTATGCAAAAAAAATTGACAGCCATTTGAACTGGACTCTGAATTTCATATTCGGTGGTTTTAGGGAATTGACATTTCTTTTGAATGAATCAATGCACTATATATTTCATTTCGTACCCTATGCAAAAGTGCTTCATACATCTTCCTCCGTTCATGTACAGCATGTAATTGTTGTTGTGTACATCACTTCTTATTTATTGTTGTTCTTTATGTAGTTGTTGTTTTGTACATCACTTCTTATACATTGTTGTACTTAATGTAGTTGTTGTTTTGTACATCACTTCTTAAACGTTGTTATACTTTATGTAGTTGTTGTTTTGTACATAACTTCTCATACATTCTTGTACTTTATGTAGTTGTTGTTTTGTACATAACTTCTTATACATTGTTGTACTTTATGTAGCTGCTGTTTTTACATCACTTCTTATAACTTGTTGTACTTTATGTAGTTATTGTTTTGAACATAATTTCTTATACCTTGTTGTACTTTATTTAGTTGTTGTTTTGTACATAACTTCTTATACATTGTTATACTGTGTGTAGTCGTTATTTTATGCATCACTTTTTATAGATTGTTGTACTGCATGTAGTTGCTTATACATCACTTAATTATATACATGTTTCTACTGTATGTTCAACTAACTTTAGTACGTAAGCAAGTATTATTACTTTTCCTTTACATAGATTACAGTTGACGTTCGAGAGTTTCGTAGTACATTACCATCGTTAATTTATAAAAGAGGAATTGATATCGAACCTGTCACTTTGGAAGTAAGTTTTGATGCGATTTCAGGCAAACTTTGCACTTGTTTGACGAAATAGTCAACAATTGATTTTTATCTAGTTTTGTTATTTATGACGAAACTCTAGTTTTTACATTTGTTGAAGCAATCAGCAAATAGGGAAGCTAATCCTCTCAATCTGACCAAAATGCAGCCTGGGAAATAGACTGGCATGCTAATGGTTTGTGACTGCTAAATAAAATGGTTGCTGCTCTACTAAAACTTAGCTATATACCATGCACAGATAACATGGTTTAATTCATTTTTGTATGAAACCTTTGGTTTTGCTTGAACTTCGTCATACGCGTATTTTATTTATGAATTCTTCCACTCATTTTGCTGTGTCTGTGCATTTTTTGCATCAGTATTAATTATTTGTGATCTTTATCTTGACCAATATATATGTTTCAGGATACTTTAAACAATCTTAAATTGGCTGGGATAATTGAAATCAATTCATATTTGTTATTTTAACAATTGACAACCAATTACCTTTTGATTATTAACATTTAGCCATTTAATGATTGACAACCTGGTTCCACCCAGAAAAACCTTTTTACCATTAATTTTTTCAGTATGTGGGTTCAGAACTAAAGGCATTTTGTTCTTGTTTTAGATTGGCGATTATATTCTGACTCCTGATATATGTGTGGAAAGAAAAAGTGTCCCTGATTTAATTGGTTCTTTGAATTCGGGAAGACTGTAAGTCTACTATTTGTTTTACATTCAGCCATTCTTTTCCTGCTAAATGTATGAACATTTTTCAACTACATTTGGTAATCTACCACTGATATTTTTAAAATAGTTCTTAGGACATTTATCTGCAATCTTATGACGTAAATAGATTTGCCGTATATTATAGGGATATTAGAGACATCCATACTGGGTTTTATTTACGTGACAAGCAGTGCATTTACAAAATATAGTTGTTTGGATAAAATAGGATCTCAAGATATACACAGCAGTATTCACTTTAGACAATAAAGAGAATCTTGTCTTGAATTTTTTCAATCCTACTGTTTTTCGTGTGCGTATTTTACACTATTCAAGCCATTTATTACAATATTAAAGTCGTTCATAGTCATGCTTATACAATGATCTAGCATGCCGTTTATTTACTTGTGCTATGCAAATATTTCGATCTTCCCTCAATGTGAAAAAAAAGCAACAGCAACATAATAGTAAACCAGTCAGTCATGGTAATGCCTGAAATCTACTTAGCATGACCAAACGACATTACTACACGATGTGACTAATAGTTGTCCATTTCGCGAATGGCTGTAATTTATTATGCATTCACTCAGGAATTTTTCATCACGATTTTTTAGTTATACACAATGCCTAGCGATGACACGATGTTATAAGCGTCCCTTATTACTGATTGAATTTGATCCCAACAAGTCATTCTCGCTTCAGGTTAGTGCAAGGGAGTTTTCCAAATTGTTCAACGTTTATCATGCTTACATACCACCCGTGTTTCTCAATCTATTCTGCATCATGAAACCAGTTGAAGCAGTTATCTTGCATCATCTCCCCCATGATATTTAATTGAATTAAAGGAATGTGCAATCAAATAAGGAAGTTTGAACTTCTGGGGCCGGTTGCACGAAGCCTGGATAGCGTTATCCATTGGATAGGAAAAATTTTCAAACTTGTAAAATAGGTGTTTATATTTTTCTTACGACAAAGAAAGTTCGTAATCTTCGAAACAGGGTTTTATTTCAGCGATTGTTCTGTTCGAATCTTATTCTTTTTGCTTTTTAAAAGGTTTTATAAAAGTTAAAAAAAACTTGCTATCCAATGGATAACGCTATCCAGGCTTCGTGCACCCGGCCCCTGAAATCTATCGAGTTTAATCTTTTCATGTTTAATATTTTTGCTGTTTTCTTTTCTCATCTCACTTTAGGCTAAGTCCTCTTTATCAGATGAAATATCTCTCCAGAATGTAACCACAAAACTTGCTTTGTTGACAATTCACTTTCCTAGAGTAAGTGCAATTATGAACATTCAAAAGCAAGCGTTCCGCCTTATATTTCTTATCACTTTTTTGTTGTATAGTTGAAAATCTTATGGTGTGCCAGTCCATATGCTACGGCAGAAATATTTGATGAACTGAAGGTTAGTTTGTCCGAAATCAATTGCCTCTTTGCAGGCTCATCTAGTTGCTTGTGGATGTACTTCGTGTTATCTCAGTAGGCAAGTTTTATGACCACCCGCGATATTGTTTTACTTTTGACATTGCTTTTGCTCTCGCTATGTATCATTATTCTGACACAAGTCTCGATGCTCCTAATAGCTGATTACATAAATGCTCGCTTTCTAATTCAATAAGTTCCAAAATCTCCGACTAGACAAACCCCGCATACAGACTTTTTTACCATTTATCTGGTTTGTAATATTTGTTTGCTTTCATATACAGCAGTTTTTCTCAGATTTATGACCAGTTACATTTGTTTAGTGTTTTTATTAGTATTTGCCATCCACATCAAATTGTAACTTAGCAAACAAAAAATTTTATTTATTTTTAATGTACAAATTTATATTGCGCATGCACAAACTCCATGGCATAGTTATGATAGCTGGCGCTTTTGAAATATTAACCTATAACGTCAACAGCGGATCCAGCGTTAGTCAAAATAAATTGTAGCTCCTTAATTTTACATTCAAAGTACTTTCAGAAAAACACTATTTGTTTTGAATTTTTAAAGAATGTAACTTTAGCAATGGTTTTGTCTCGAAGGTGCTTAGAAATGTAAACAGATGCCAAAATATGCTGCAGTTATTTATTTTGACGTACCCTAGATCTGCCACTGTATGACAATTTTAAAAATTGCTACTTACCTTCAATATTAGAACCAAATTAGAATATAACTAATAAAATTGTTTATGAAAAGATAAGTTTCAAGGACCACTAACTTTCAATTTATATGATTTTAAACTTTTTACGTTTAGTATTATGTGCAGTAATAACATGGAAGCAAATGTTATATCAAGACGCAAAACCTTTTCAAACCCATAATTTAGGTTTTCGTGATGTCTAAAGTTAGTTTGCAAAGTGCATGTTTGACGATCTCTTCGACAAACTCTCTGATGAATATATTTTTGTCGTCTACAACTCCCTCTTTATTATCATGCGACCCTGGATAACAAAATTCGCGTTAAATAATTAGTTACTATTGGTTACACAACATTTATATTATTCCACCAGCAAAATGAACCAGAACCCGACTCAGCTGTAGCCATGGAATAGGAAGTGATTCTGCTTCGTCCATTCACGGCGATCGTTACAATGCAGCTGCTCAGGTATGATTAAAGAATGGATCATTTACACAGAATGTCGACTTTACATACTGTACCTTTTCTATGTTATCTGTAAACTTATTTCCATTTAATCACAAGTTGGCTTATTATATGACACTGTGATTGACTTTGACTGATCATATTGCTAACGCTTAGATCTCTATGGGTATTTAACGCTACCACATGAACGAAGTCATCAGCATTAATATGAAAAGTTTTACATTAATTATTATTCGATCGTTTTGTTTGATTGACAATTTACAATTTGTGTTGTAAGCATGTTGCAGTTGGTACAAAGTCATGTTACGTTTGCCATAAACTCATGTTACGTTTGCCATAAACTCATGTTACGTTTGCCATAAACTCATGTTACAGTTGCCATAAAGACATGTTACGTTTGCCATAAAGTCATGTTACGTTTGCCATAACGTCATGTTGCAGTTGCTATGAAAAAAATTTTTTTTAGGATTTCTTGAATAAACTTCCTGGTATTACCTCTAGGAATTATAGGTATGTTGTTCAGAGAAAAACATATTTATCTTGTTCAAAGACATGCCTGTTAACAATTTTCAAATCGTTCATTTGCGGTAATAACGGTCTGAGTGTCAACGCTTTATTAGAGATTAGAAAAAAAAGGAAACATGTATGACACTCACTCTGCCATGTTTACAATTTCAGACTCGTGATGAATAAGGTGAAAAACATTCGCGAACTTTGTCAACTGTCGCAAGAGAAATTGAAAGAAATCCTTGGTAGTGCTGCCAATGCGAAATTACTCTGGGAGTTTATTCACAACAATCATAAGCTGGACGCTACAAGAAAGTGAACGTGTAAGGTAGGAAGTCTTTTTAGTTATGGTTGGAGTTCAGTCCTCTAGCCACATCATATATAGGGCTTATAATTCAGACTTATCTTCACTCGCGATACCTACACCCCCAACACTCCTTCTCCTTATACTGCTTTTCATTTCGGATACATGTTTATAAGTTCGTTGGAGAAATACTCCAACAAAGATGTTCCTCATATTGGACGCGTTCGTCACTTAGCTGCAATCTTATAGAATACGCACGAAAAACGCTATGAAAAAAACGCGTGTTAATTCGGAAGTGAACACTCTACCTTAAAATAGTGATTAGTCTGCCTTAAAATAGTGAACAGTCTGCCTTAAAATAGTGAACAGTCTGCCTTGAGCTGTCTGAAGCTTTGTTAAATGAAACAATGCGCTGGCTTACAAACGAAGGACTTGCAGCGTTTGTCAAGTCATAAAATTAAATGATCTTGAAAATTGACAATTGTTATATTAACAAAATATTTTGCTTAGAATTACTGAACACTTATTATCTTTGCAATGTAAATTATTTTTCATATAAATACCACATACGTATGTGTTTCACATTGCAATATATACGTAACAGTTTAAGAAACCGCCACACACATTTTTACTACAAAACAGTGAATATTGTACTGAACAGTATTTTACTTTGTTAGTGAGATTTTATTGCTCATTTTTGAACTGTTCTGGACAATCAAAGTAATGTTTAACTTTTTCAAAACTATAACGAGATATTGTTTTCGTAAATTATTAGCTCTTTGGTTGTATTCAATATGAATATATATATATATACACACACTACGCACTTTGGCAGCAGCGTGTCAGAACTCACAATGCAAAGAAGTTTTAAAGAACTTTGCACATTAAAAATTGTATTGCATGGCTTCAATAAAACTTATTTGCCTTGTAAACTCAGGCACACTATAGTATGCGGCGAGTAAGTGAAAGTTGTTGCTATTGAGAATGTCGTCAGGATGTCGTCATCGCCTCATATATTTTTCTTTCGGTACCACTCCACCGCATACCTGGCCACGTCCGAAGCCAATCTGGCAAATTGTCCAAATTTGAGTCGCATCCCGTCGATTTTTTCCCGCCTTTCGAATATGGTGACGTCTAGTTTAGCATTAACATAAATATCCCCTATATCATCTGGTGTTAACTTCGTATCAAATGTAATGCTATGTACTTGGAAGAAACCAATGGTAAGCATGGCCTTAATTTGATCGACCCATTCTAAACTTTTTTTCACTTGTTTGAGTGAACTTTCTGACTCTTCTAACTCCCTGCACGAGTTGGTGACACGCGTCATGTTCGTGCAGATCAGTTTGCAATCTAGGGAACTAAGTTTGCAATTATTTCGCAACATGCGCACACAGAATTGCGACGTTGAACTCCCGAAGTCGGTTATCTTCTCATTGCGATTGAGTTTAGTACGGCACATTTCAAGTTGCACCCTACACTTGGGCGTTTTCAAACAGTTATCGCACACTTCACGTCTTTCACTCTGGCATTTTGCTCTGGCGGTGAACTTTGCTTTTTGAGCTGCTTTGAGTTTTTCTTTCTCGCTCTTAAGTATGTTTAAGACATGCTTAGATGACGTTCTTGTTAGCTGTTGACAGAGGATGCAAAATATATTAGTGGGAATATTTATTGTCTATGTATATGGTACATCTATATGTTTTTAAGCAGGATTTGTACCAGTTTCGATTTTTTATTGCAACCATGTTGTCTAACACATCATCCTGATATACTCAATGTCAAGTCCGTATGCTTGTCTGCATGCTTTCTATGAAGTTTGAATTATTTTTCAGTGTTGATATAGTGATAAGTTCGACTCTTGTTCTAAAAGGAGTCTTGACTCTGTTTCCCTACGTTAATATGCAGCTAAGCATTGCACTAAACCATCTTAAGAAAATGTGAATGTAGTGTCATTTACAGATAAAATCATGTGTCTTTAAAAATTTCGACGTTGAATACGACACCAATTGTAATGCTGATAAAATTTAAAAAACATTACCCTTGCTAATCCTCCTATGAAACGAATTCTCGCTTTGAAATGTGTTCTGCTCAGATCTTCGCTGTAGTTTGCCATCACGTTGATTCGAACTTTAAAGGATTTGAAAATGTTTGTCACCATTCGTATCATGAAAAGTCTTTGCGTCATAAGTATGCGGATTTCGTCGAATATACCAAATAGTTTTGTGTAGCCATCTATGTGCGCCTGTATGGAGGAATGAAAAATTTGAGTATACTATACCGTCTTTGTTCATTGCTTTTGATGTAGAATCATTACCCGAACATATGGCTTTGGTGAAAATCTTGTTTCGATGTAAAGTATGGGTCCGTGTTTGCGGTCACGTTTCGATCTGTACAAGGGCGTAACTCCACCAAGTTTGATTGGACCCTTTTCTCCCTCAATTTTTGCATCAACGATGAACTAAAAATAAATTGACAGTGTTCGTGATTTATGATAATCAAACTTCTGAGATAATTCAAAGTGAAAGAGAGACTTGGTTGTGATTGCAAACTTGAATATTGCTGTTAACTGAGTACTTGTCATGGTGAAGGACAATTGAGTAGTTCTGAAAAAAACTGTTGAAGTTTAAGAACTGCTCAATCGTCATTCATGACAAATACGATGTTCAGAGCAATATTTAAGAATTCGCAGTATTAGGAAAATGGTAAGATATGAAAAAATCAGTCTTCGGTTGATTTTTTAAACACAAATCATGGTACAGGGGCGCTGGAACTGGGGGAAGGCAAGGGGGGACACCCCCCTTTCTTTTTCTGAAGAGGGGCAGTGGGGCAAAAGTGCCCTAAAGGTTGAAAATTTATTGTTTTTAATACAAGAAAAACACATCTTAACCGTGAAACGTTTTTTTTAACTATGGCTGCAATGCCAAGAGCAGAAAGATGTAAAAAAGATTAAGCAAAAGCATTAGCGAAAGCAGCTGTTAAACTGGTAGGTATATTTCACTGATGTGCCCTTCCAGAAAGGCTTGCCCCTCCTGCCCTTTTGACGTTCCGGCGTTCCTGTCCAGGTTTACTTCTGATAGTTGAAATGTTTCTTCATATAAAAGTTGATTACCTGATCAGGCTTTAGGTTCACTGAACAATCGCTTTCCAAACCCAGAACTCGAATTTTTCCTTTCATTGTGAATCCTGGCTTAATGGTCGGACCTCCAATCTTTTCAAGCTGATGAATCTGCTTTGCGACCGATATCTGAAATTTTGTGGACGTGGGCTTAATATTTTGTGTAGTTTCGAAAAGACAGTTATGTATATATTCATTGTTGGGGTGAAACTACTGTACTGATGCTAAAACTTTAAGTTTGACCTGTACCAAAATACCCAGTACACATTGACAGATGTAGAAATACAGATAATTGACAACTGACATCATAAACAGAAAATATAAAATACGTAAAGTTATTATACATAAATTGTCGGAATTTCAAAATGTGGTTGTGTAGCGTTTTATGGTTCACGATTTCATTCGTTTGTAACTTCAATTGTCTTTGCTTCTCAAGTCTCTCTTAAATGACCGAAATTTTGTATGGTGTTTGAAAAGCAGCGATAGTTATGAGAAAGGTTACCACCGTTTAATAGTTTAACTTATAGTACTTGCTATTGTAACTTAATTGTCCCATTATTTACCTTGTACATGGCAAAATGACAAAAACTCATAACAAAAGTAATGAGTTTATAAAGAGATTAATAGCCCGTGGATTTATGAGTATATAGGAAAAAGCTTGGAGGATTTTTCATTTTGTACATCATTGGATAGATATTGATCTCCTTCTACGTTCAAATTGTGCATTGTATAATGGCGTCGAACATTACCTCTAGTCCTTCAAAAAACCCAATATTTGCAATCGGAGGAGGCAGCCTTGAATGCACACCATGTACCCTGAATATATCTTGTATTGTAAAACGAGACATCACGCCGTAAAAATATTGTTCGGAAATTTCATCTGACATCCCTATGTGTACTGTTCCTGTGATGCACTCGTTCTGAAAGGCAATGTTAACACGAGCTCCAGTATCAGTTGGCAATTTGTCAGTTGTCGTACAATCTCTTTATAAATTGTGTAAATGATTGCTGAAGAGGTATTTCAACTACATTAACACACTCATGTTGATTCAATCATGTTGTATTCAACTACATTATAACACGCGAGCGTAAGAGAAAGCGATAATTTTTTTGGTGTGTTGTAAAATACGTTGATGACATAAAAAACTTTAGAAAGATAAAATGGCAAACTTTACCTCGACATTTTCACCACAGCCTAAACCAATTTCGATGTCTCCTCTGGTTTCAAGCTTGTTAGGGAAATGAGGTTTTGTCAAGCGAACAGATAATCTACAAAAAAATCATTAGTTGATCAGAGATTGATTTTGATCATTCATTGCGTAATAACAATCTCATCAGTCGAAGAGAAGAAAGTCTTTCACTTCGTTGACATTGTCACGTGCAACTTAATTGAGCTGACGTCATTCACTTGTCATTCTTACCCGGCAGACATTCTTTTCACAGTAAGTTGTGGATATCCAAAGGCATTCGTCCAAACTGCGTCAGTTCTCACGCTTCCTTCTAGTTGACTGCCATGTTTGCTGTAACCCAACGTTCCAGTGAAGACTATGTTTTTGGTGTTCCCATCAGATTGCAAGACATTGCCGTTTACGTCGTACACGATAAATGGTTGAACACCAACGTGAAAACGTGTATTGTTGCTTCCCTTGAAAGTAAATGAAGCCCGCTTATTATGTAACAAGTTACCTCATATTTTTTTCACAATGAAACTACAAATAAGTAGGTCGTTTTGTGATGAAATATGTACTCGATCAATACCTTAACTTCGATGTTCACTTTCTCAACTGGTAAATAGCCTGACATGGCAGGGTTTTTGATGGTTGCTTTAAAATGCGTCCATTCCCAACTCGTTTCCCCTCCCAACAAGAATTCCTTGTCTTTGCCGATTACAACTTGGATCAATTTGCAGAAGTCATCGTGCGCTGGGCAGTTTTTCGGTGTTCCAGTCAGAGCAGCAAAGTGAAATCCCTTATGGATGATTGTATTAAAGGTGGAAGAAAGGGGCTCAGCAGTGTAGGCCATGAATGACACATTTGTGATATCCACATCATTTGCCGACATCGAGAGACCAATCTGTGGATTACAAATTGTATCGTTCATGATTAATGTGATTTATGACGCTGACGGCAAAAATCAGCTTAATTATGCCTTGTGTTTGTCTATATATATAGAAAGGCAAATGAACAGACAGAGGGATTCCTAAAAAAATATTTTACACTTATGATCTTATTCAGCATGAACGAATTGAGCGTCTGCAATTGTTGCCGAAGTTCAATAAAATATGCACCAAAAGAAATTTACATCGCTTCAAGGTAACAACTCATAACGTTTTACCTTATTTTTTCCATTATTGTTCTGAAACAAATCTAGAAAACTCAAATGAATACCGCTGAATCTGGACACGAACTCTCCCAGTTTCACGTCATCAAATATCAATCCACATGTGAACAGAGAATTTTTACCCAATTTTCCCGCAAATACTTCAGTCGTCGCTTTCTTTTTGAAATTTTCCACGAAACTTACACCTGAGAATTTTACACTCAAGCTTTTGTCGATGACCATCTCCACAGTTGGTTTCATTATTCGCAGCAAAAAGAAACCGTACTTTTTCAACATGACCAACATTCTTTCATTTGCCTTTTCCATATCGAAAGCCAGTTCGATCTTATCGACGTCTACTGGGCCTAGTGAATTACCTTGAACACGAACGCCATGCGTCTTGAGTCTTGATATTTCCACATCAAATTTCGTCCCGCAAATGGTGTAATCACCGCGACCCACGAAAGCGTCGTATCCAACTGTGGAACGATAGTAGAAGATGACATTCGAGAGCTCAAGACGTTTGTGCGGTCGATACACTTGCAGCGTTCCAAGGGGTAACTCGGTGTCGTACGATTTGCTGTCAGTTAAATGTACCATTATCGCTGTGGCTTTTTGCTCCGGATCTGGTCGAATAAGATTTGGCAACGTCATGGTTCTCATGTAAGATTGATTCAGTAGTTCTTTTAGAGTTTTGTTTTTTATCTGAATCACGTAATTGTCACTGTCGTTCGATATACTACCGATACTTGATTGTGAGTCATTATAAAGACCGAGGCTTCGAAGTCTTTGCATCAGGTGATTGGGCAGTGAGTCCAGGGATATATTGGGGTACATCCTCCCTCGAAAAAGTCGCGATGCGTTCACCAGTGGGGATGGTCGCTGCGAAATGGGTATCCCTGAAAACAATGTTTTATGTGAAACTGATTTATCACGTGTTTAGAAACATATTTGTGAAGGAATATGAATATAAAGGCTACATTCACCCAAGCTTTTCCAGAGCTTACCTTGATGTTTGTATCGCCAATAGAAGCTACATCTGTCTGAACTTTTTATTTCATCTAAATTTAGAAGTAAATAAGACATGATCATGGGAGACATGAAAATATGTTGTGACAATAGGTTCCTGTGTTCAATCTATGTTTTCTTGTAAGCATTGACAACTGATTTATGTATGTGGAGAGCTCTGATAAATCAAGGTTTATTCCCAAAACTGTCATTCCGACCGTGGCAGGTTTCTGAATGAAAAACATTTTTTCGCAAATTTTTACAACCTTCCAAAGTTTGCCATAATGCATCGTGTCAATCAATTTTTCTTAATTTTACGGTTTTCGAAGTTGTTTTCAGAAGTACCTAGTTGTCATAACAAATACGCTATTCGAAGCATCATGTAAGATTTTGATTAATACGCACCGGAATATTCTTCCATGTAAAGTCTACTATATATACTATCTTCAATTACCTGAAACTCCAAGCTCCAAACATGTCTCCTGTCTTTCAGGCAAATTCACGCATTCCGGGATGATTTCGCCTCCAATGGGCATAGTTTTAGCATACTGAAACTCTTTGGAGCAAGTGCGTGCTTCAAGAAGCTCGCAATCTCTACGACAAATCAGATTTGGAGTGCGATTGTCGTTCAAACATGGCGGGAAGAAATAATAACACAGCGCTTTCAGTGCATATTTTTTGCATTTATTCGAGGTAAAGGGCAGCACTTCCTTTAGACTTTCATTCAATTTGGTTTCGTATCTTTGCTGTGTGCGGTTATCTGATACAAATATCAGCTGTCCTTTCCTAATGTATTTTAAGCACTCGTTTCCCACATACGGCTCACATCTTCCTCTAAATCGAAAGAAATCAAAAACGTTTAATCGTCAGTATATTGTACCTTTGAGAAATAAAAGATGTAGATGTTTACTGGGTTTTGCACAGGCTTACACAAACCGAGGAGATCTTTGGGAGAACTCGATAGCAGGTCATGCAAGCCTGAGACAGAGATCGAATGCAAAAGGCACTCTTTTATGTTTTCTCCAAAAGATTATCATTTTTTAAGAAATCGGTGAATTGCATTTTCTATGTTTTTTGAATCGTGCCTCGTTGTTAGGCAACTGTCTTACAGTAATGGAGTAAGAATTAACATTTTAGTAAAATGATTAAAAATGTGTCGAAACCAAAATTATGGCTTATATCATTTTCATAAATTGTGTCAATAATGAAATACAACACAGTTTGCTAAGTGTCTGTGTTGTACAAGAAAAATGGAGAGTTTTAGAATCCTCGTTTGCATTTTCTGTTGAAAGTTATCGACTTTTATTCATACTCACTTAAATTCTTGCTTAGCTGTCTCTGTGTTCAGTGCGGATTTTTTTTGACTTTCATAAGCAAAGTCCGCGTTGCGTCGTGAATTGGTATCGACGTTTTGTGGTACCTGCAATAATATCTTGTACAATGACCTTAATAATTCCTCATTTTCTGCATTTCTGGTCTCAAATGACGTTCTTGGGACTTGAGATATGACTTCTGCAAATAAAAACACATGTTTAGTTTCATCGCATTGTCTGCTGTAAAACGAGGTGTCGACTGCGCCATTTAATCCTCTGACAAGCTCTTACTTGGTAAGATGAGATGGTGAAGTGGTCCAATCTTAAATCGTACGGTGAATAGTGCAATTTTTTGCATGTATGTTACATTTGATAAAACAATTTAAGTGATGGCTTGTTCGTATTGTGCCTGAGCCCCACCCAAAAAAAACACATGTTGTTTTCTTGACAAGTTTACTTTTAGGCTTTCTCTTATTAGTTTGAGTGCACTATTAGAAAAGTGTGCAACATCGCTTCCAGAATGGAGGTGTTGTTAATTCTTTCAAGTTAAAAGAGAGTGTATATAGCATTCTTTCTCGAATGAATTGGAAGTCAATTCTTTCAAGTTAGGTTAGGATGGAATATCCTTTCCCGAGTGGAGAGGATGAATTCTTTCCAGTTAGGAGAGAATGTAACATCCCTTTCAAATTGACAAGATCTTATGTCTATTAAATTTGGGATATAGTGTGACACTACTTCCAGAATGGAGAGGATGCTGTATCCCTTTGATTAGAAAGACGTCAGTAAAGCTTTAAATGTTGGGGGCGGGCGTCACACCCCTTCCATTAAGGACAGTGGCGTAGCAAGGCCGCAAGTTTTGGTCCTGCTATGTAAATTTTAGAGCATTAACATTATTTATACTTATAGAAATCTGTTGTTTTTACAGTGAGTGAACGCAGAAAAATTAACATAGCAGGACCAAATTTGCGGGCTGGCTACGCCACTGATTGAGGATAATGTGTCGCATTTTTCTATAACATAAGCTTGAAGAGATGGAATGAGTTAATAAAAATTTTATATATGAAAAAAAACAGTATCCACCATCCTAAACTATTCGAATTTGATGTGGTAAAGTGGTGTATCAATACTTGTTCAAACCATTAAAATTTTGAGAACGTTGCTTGTCATCGAAATTTACGTGAGCGTACAGAAGCTAATTTTGCATTGCGTGATGTAATTTACATACCTGTCGAGAACAGCTTCTGACAATGGCTTGATGAGCGTTTCCTCCTGGGCAAATGATCACATGTTGGTAGAAGGTATCGTAGTTCCGTTGAAATCGCGTCAACAATCATGAAGGCAGTTTGGCACACGTTCTTCTCTAAATGAAGGCAATCTTCCTTGCAAAGAGGAATGGCTTTAGGTCTTTTTGCATTTCGTTCACAGGGAGGGAAGTAGTGCTTGCAAAGCGAAGAGAGAAGGTGTTTCTTGCATGTCGGTGAAAGATATGATGTCATCCTTCTGAATATACCCTCAATAGTTCTCTCTGTGTTTCGTTGAGTGCGGCCAAATTTGATGAAGATATTTCTTGCACTTACGTACTTCTTGCATAATTTACCATTGTATCTTTTGCATCTGTAGCAAAACGATAAGATCATGTTTTTACTTTTTTGCTGTTTGCACTAAGCTTTCTAATGACACGTGATTGTTTTTACCTTTCCTTGTGCTTTGGATTCACTCCTAAAAAATGTTCCATACTGTTCATCGTAAACAAATTGAGAAAAGGGGTTTAAAGCACTTTTCCAGTGTTTTTGAAGAAAAACTTTTGTGTATTAATCATGTTTTTAATCAGCAGGACTTTTAAGATATCGTGCATTCTCATTCATTATTATTCTCAAGATATTGGTGACTTTTTCATGGCCAATCTACACAACCATGCAGTGACGTCACTTTGCACAATGAGTGTAAACTATTGATAGTACAACATTCTGCTCAATTTCACCCCAAACTTGCTAGGAAACTAGAGGATGTTTGAAATTTTGCGCCCGCACAATATGTGGTGCGACGTCATAACTCAAGACTAAAAGCAGATATGCCTGAAGTGTAAAAAAAAATAATAATGTAAACACTAAAGTGTAAATATTCTATCTTTTTCAAAGAGCAGTGATTTCACCCGAACAAAGTTCCAATATAGAAATCGTACATATTGGAAAACCCACCTCGAATTTTCAAATAGGCAGTGTTGGACGTCATGTGACCAAAACTGTTTTTCGCTCGACACGTAATGGTGCCGTAATCAGAAATTCGGACTTTTCGCACACGCAAGACTCCTCCCCAGGAATACAATCGTGTTCGGTATCTTTCCGTGTCCGGAATATGCCTTCCATTTTGCTTCCAGCGTATCCTTGAAGGTGAGCCCGTAATAATGCAGCGGAATACGGCGATTCGTCCTAGATTCACTGTTGCATTTTTCAAAGGACTGAACAATCTTGGTTTTCCTTCTAAAACACATGAATCAGGAAACATTGAATGGCTAGCGAGGATTTTGACAAAAAGTCATAGCAAAAAATGGTGATGGATTTGTGATTGGAATGTTCAAGATTTAATTTGTAGTTTATCCTTTCTATGCTGGTATATTAATTATCTGAAATCTGGAAAATACTGATCTATCATAACAGGCGCTCAAAAAAAATTAATAGAAAAAATGAGGGAAAGCCGTATGCTTTAGGCACATATGGAATTATCAATTCAGAGTCGGTTGTACAAAAAGTCATTAATTTCTTACTTCCGTTTGCTAGTCGTTACAACGTTCTCTTAAAATAACAGATAACGGCTGGAAGGGCTTTGATTTAATGCAAACATAGCTAATCTATTTTAGTACAAAGTTTAATTCGCTAATATTATGAAGAAAATTTCCTATTGGAATTTCTCATCAAGGTGTTATTCATCAGACAGGAAACAATAGCTGGTTACGTTCTTTTAAATCATCATGTAGTTATTTGATGAAGAGTAGCAGCTGTTTTGTTTTTTGTCCTAAACACGCATTGATTAACGATGTGCGTTTGCCCTGAAGGGGAATGTCTGCATTTGTATTGAATAAAATCGAAGCAGTTACCTCTTAAGCCTTTGAATTAGCTTAATGGACCAAAAACTTTTATCAAATGGTGTGTGAGAATGTCGAAACTTTTTGTTGATTAAAGGATTAAAGATTATCCTTTAGCTAAGTTAATTAAAAAAAAATCAATTTTATATTTGAAAAAGTGATTGTGCCTTACGACTTCCTTTATATTTAATTAGAGTTCTGTGGAGAAGATCACCATTAAAAATCCTTTTTACTGGTTAAATTTCCTCACTTTCTTTTCAAGTTGCCGCAAAAATTAGCAATATTCTTTGATGGTATTACTTGAGGTAATTTCTGGTCTAGGATAAGTAACAGATAGTTCCTGTTTTTGCTTAATGGAAAAGGAGAAATATATTTGAGAGTTCGTGTTTCCGTTTTGGCAACAAATTAGCCTGTTGAAGGTGCCTTGCTGTCTAAAGCTAGACTAAAGCTAGAGTTGTCTGGAATATTACAATTGAAAGTTGGTAAGCATAATGTGATCGGAAAGTCTTATGTCACATGCTTCCACAAAATTAAAAATGAAATCTGTATCTCTTGACGTAATTTGTCACGTTTCGAGAGGCAATTTTGGATTATGACGTTTGCAAATCAAGCCACGTTGGGACTTAATCCAAGGCACTTTCTGCCGTTTGTCTAAATTTTCAAAGCGGTCATTTCAGGGTTTTTTCGTAAATAATAAATATCGTGCTTTACTGTTGAAGGGGGTTTGAACTCGTTTAATGAATGACCGCTTCACTAATTGATTTGGAATGTTTTACCGAAGACATTCAGCAATCTTTAATTGTTTCAACTCTATGCTGGAGACTCATATTGGTAAAATCAAACTTTCGGATGGCATTATACAATGCTTGCTTTAGCATTAGAAACTGCTGTTGAAAGATCAGATAATACAGCTTTCAAAGCCAAATTAGGAACCGTTCTTTTTTGGAGCCCGGACATACCCCACGATTCAAATGTCTCAGTGCGTGCTGTGAAGATACTTCGTTAACACGATGGTCGAATTTGATGATATGTTTATGAGTTAAGTTGTCTCGTGGATCACGCTAAGGCCAAATTATATATACATGGGGTTTAAAAGTCAAGTGAACTTTACTGAATAATCTGAAAATCTTAAACTCACGGCGATATAGTTCCGCGTTGGCGCCAGAGCAAGAAAAATATATTTTGTAACAACAACAACTGCTGCTTCTGTAGCACGCTTTTAGCAAACGATTTTATAATTACTAAAAATATATGTATAGTGCAATTTCACAAACGTCCCACGATAAACAACATTTACGACGACATTGGGAACGCACTTTGTTGTTACACACTGTTGGCAGTTGTTACTCAATAACAGCAATTACGACTAGATTAATTTTAAAAATAACATTTTGTTTATTTGTATATGTTTATGATGCAAAAGTAATGAAAAGCATCCGTTTCCTTTACGCTAATTGATAGAAAATGTTTGGGTTTTTTATTTTTAACGTGCGTTATGTTCGTTTTTTGCCATCATAATGAACTTTGACCCAAACCCGCACGTAGGATCGTAAAAGTTGGTGCAAATTTTTTATACTTGTCCGGCCAATTTTCTCGATTTTGTTGCTATAAGTATCATCAATGTTATTTGTAGCTACAGCATAAAATTTTAGAAGATTCCGATGATTATTTAAAGTTATACACTTCTTTATATCCAGTGTTGCTCACGCTGACTACTTTCTCCCAAGAGAATTTAAGCTCTGTCTTTCCAACAAAATGTTCACTTATACTTAAGTTTTTCTAATACCTCACGTCTCTTATCGGATAAAATTTTTGTATGTGCCAAATTATTCTGACGTAAAATGAACGGTTGTAGCTACTGCTTTAAAGCTCGCATCAACACAACACAAAAATGCAACGTCGTGCACGAGAAACTGTAGAAAGTAATATCATACTGTTTATCACACAGACAAACATGTTCACTTCACAATAATTGTCATTCGTGTGATTGCTTAGTTTGTTTCTTCATACATACTTCTATGTCTCACTCCATAGTTGACAGTCCTCGTTTGATATCGATTGCGACTTTTTCCCTTAATCAAAAAAAAAAATACTACCAGTAAATTTTCTCCTTGTCCCCGTATGTATTCGTGGGAAGTATGTCATCCCTTAAGGTAGTTTGAAAATTAGATGGGAGTTTTTCAGTCTTAAATCAGACTCGTGTAGCGTGCATAACAAACATGCCAGTTTTCCTTTAAACACGTAATCGTAAAATTATTTTATGATAATGCTAAAAGATCCACGATTTAAGATGTGCATATGTACATTTGAGAGAATATTACATGTGGCGAACCAATGATTTTATGATAATGCTAAAAGATCCACGATTTAAGTGTGCCTATTTACATTTGAGAGAATATTACATGTCGGATTAATTTCTGTTCCAATAATATGATTCGAATAATGGTAAACTGGCAAAGTTTACCCACGTGACATATACGAGGAAATGCAAAAAAGGAGAATTGGATAATTGTGAATTAAAATGGCGATATTTTCGTTATCCACGCCCTTGAGAAGCACACTTGTGATCACGTTTTTTACTCGTTGATTCCAAAAAATGTCAATTGCTAGTTATTGACTGTCAGTTCTCAGATACTGGTAGCCCACCATAGACGATAACGAATGGATAAATGTTCTAATTAGTTCAAGTGTTCTACGCCTTCCGACTCAACAAAGAAAAAACATGGAACATGACGTATCATCTCTCTAAGGAAAGTTCTCGACTGATTGTTTGAGCGTTATCGGAAAAAACTAAACCAACATAATGATTTATCTGTTTGATTAGTTCATTTAACGTTTCTACTGTTCAATTCTAGTTGGAACTATCTCGAAACGCAGATCACGTTTACTAGTTTAACTGCGCTCATGAATATCTTTCATAACTGACAACGACGTCGTGTCACACTATGAGGCTTTTTCTAATTATTTTTATTGGGCGATTTTACCTTTCAGAAATCCAGAGGAATAAATAAACGAAAACATATTTTCATGTGGGGAGATATTGATTAAATGCTAACATTCACATGCGTTGATTTATACAAATGGCACGATAATATAATTTTGATTGCAGGTTACCACGTATTTGCGATGACAATTCGCTTCATTTCGTAGCCCTTCATTGTGATGGGATTAGCCTAGTTTGAAGACATCTCAGACTGGTGCCATTTTAAAATTTCAGATAGCTTATCGACAAGTCCTCGCAAAACAGTGTGAAGGCAAAGTCAATTGTGTTTTTTTATTGTTTATCAACATCGAACTCGGTAGAATATTGTGAACATTGCGCATGTCACATCTCATTTGTAATACTTAAAACTCGTTTTTACATTGCTAAGACAAACGTATATAAAGCATAGACGGCTCTTTTGAACAAAAAGACCTTTAAATAAAAATCAGATTAGCTTGTCTCAAATGTGTCGCCGACGTCTCCGCCTGTGCATTATGCATTCAATTAGCATTACTTGACGAGTGTTTGAGTGCGGGGCAAATTCCCCTTATGAAGTCTTCAATCAACTGTGATTAAGTGTACAATGAGCCTCAAACAGGCACAATACCAGATAGGTAAAATGGCAATACTGTGTAGTCTTGACGACCACACAAGAAGTGTTTAGCAGTAATAGACAGCGATTTTGTAATCCACTTAGCGTCTTTTTCCAATACAAGAAAAACGTCCAAATTTTGGTTCAAACCTCCCCATGTAGTTCGATTCGTTTAATTTGCATGATATTACGCACGCAGCGAGCGCATATGATGTGAGGATAACAAATTGGGTATCCTGCTGATGTAATTCCTTTGGTGCGTAACATTTGCATACTGTAGGGGATTAAACGCTTAATTAAAATCATGAATGGACCCCCAAGTCATTATGGTCTCGTGGCAGCGCATCTTGGAATAATATTTAAGAATATGACATTACTGCTATGTACACCAACCAATGTTGTGGTATTTTTCTAACATTAGTAGATAAGGCAATACCAGATAAATGTATTTTTGAGAAACAGACAGAGCCTTTTATTGAAGAAGTTTCAACCCCCTTTTTGCCCCAACCATTGTGCTCCTGACATTGTTCTGTATAATTATTGTATGGAAAAATTATACTAGAATAATAGCTATCGTATCATTATAGAAGTTACTAATATATATTATTGTTGAAATTCTGGTAGCTATTTCTTAGAAATAGACGTAGCAGATTGGGCCGTAATTCAATGATCTCTAAGGATCTGTGTCAATTTCAGCATATCGTTTTCGTGTAAAGTAATCATATCCTAAGGCAATGATTACTGGCAAACAAATACATGTTTTTTGTATTCTGTTTGAAAAAGCTACGAGAAATCTCGTTGTGTCAGAAACCGATAGCTCTTTATTGGAAAATAAACAAACTACAAATGATTAAAAGGCTGGAGAATTCTAACCTGTGTGTTCTCTAAGATTTTAGCTGTATTCATTTGTCGACATTTTATACGTTTATAATCGCAATCTATACTTTCTATTACCCTCTTAAACTTTGCTGATCTGTTACCCACATACATAGGCAGTTGTTCTGACAATTTCTGAAGATGTCTTGAAGTATACACTGCATATTTTTGCGTTCACACCGGAGCTATAGTTGCTGAAGTAAACTTTACCGAAGTAAATTTTGTCATAGAAAGTTTTAAAAGATCGTCATCATGATCATCCTTTATTTTTGATTTGAAAATGTTCAGCTAATGACTGAGGTACCTTCAACGACAGTCATGCTTATGACGTCATACAAAGTATTTCGTTCATGACAGATAAGATTTATTTATATTACTTTGATAAGATTTGTTAATTCTCTCGCTGGCTATGTGCTGGTCCATTATGTCGTACTGAAAATATCGGTTGATATCGAATTGTTATTGTTGATTGATCTATAAACCATTTCCGCACAATCACATTACTAACAACTGAACAACTTTGGCATTTTTAGTCCTCAAAAGAAATTTTTGTGAGTGATTCTTGTAGTTCAAGTTTGTTATGATACTTCCAACACAACATATGAAGACATGTTGTGCGGTACTTTTTACAATGCGACCCAAGTATTGTTTACTGTGCATACCACAGAAATATGTTTTTTACGTGAAATTGATTTTCATTGTTTCTCCAGTAATATTGATCATAGAAAAGGCGTGTTATATTTTGTCGTGTGTTTAGACAAAGTTATTTTATGTTACAATCTTGGCAATCTTATTTTAGTATTCCCAAAATTTCCTATTTGACTCTCGACGACCTTTCTGTCAGTATACTTGTGCAAATAACGTGTGACATTGGACGAGTTTTTTCTTTTTGTGGTTTGCCATCAACTAGCATAAATATTAGTGTAACTGTTCTGCATTTTCATGCTACATTGAAGTGGCGTTTATTATTACGTTCGTGCAATCTCGTCACCAGTGAAACCTGAGTATGCACATTGCCTATAATGCTTGAAACTTTTTTTCAAATATAAATGCCTTTTACCCCGTACATGTTTTGAAATAAAATCCTCAAATAATATTTGCTCAATTTACAACGTGTATGATTTTTCTTCCTTGAGAACGATGTGCGCAGGTTCAAATTTCTCTTGCGCATGCAGACAGACGTACCTCCTTTTAATCCGTGCGCTATATAAAATGTGCTCGCATAAACAAATGCTGCCATGTGACGTGCGCGCAATGCTATTCTAATAGCTTATACTTCCTATTTTAGTACAATTAATGAGTTGGGATGATCCATCTCAAAGTGCTTTGTTTGCTCTGTAATCATGCTGTCGTTTTCTAATAATGTGACTTGTTTGTATTTCAGCAAAAAAACGACTATGCAGCCAACCACCACAGTGCATGGCAGGTAAATTAATCGCGTATTATTCTTTGCATCGTCTAATAACATGATTCGGGGATTGGTGGTTTTTTATTTTGCGAAACCTGTGTGCTAATATGTTGGACAGCTGTTGAGAGTTTTTCTCAATGTAATCAGTAACATGAGATGTGAATACGATAATAAATCATTTGGTTCTTTTAGGCTTTACTCTGGCCCGATTGCTAAAGCTGAAACCTGAATAAAATGCGCTACATCAATCAAAACGCATTTGCATAACACGCGAGATCTTGCCTTGTTCGTAAAATACTGTTTCAGATTGGAGAATTTACTATCTGTGATATGTCACTCTTAAGATACCAATAACGATCATTGTTAAAAAACGTACATAAGACAACTTGAAATCTTCATGCGAGTTTTATTTGTTCAGACTTCTAAAATTAGCAATAATGAGTTCACCAGCTTATACTTTAATAAACACTTCGCCGTATATTTAGAGAAAATAGCATTTTCAAAATACACAGAGCCACGTCAATCGGTTTTCATTTGAGCTAATCTAACTGCCTGTGCCTCAAAACCTTTCAGTATTACTAAACTTATCATTATTGTCAAGGGGGTTTAAAAATATCGCCTATCTTATAAACATCTCATTGTGTTGCGTCTTCTTGTATTGAATTATTTTGTCGTATTATGAGTCGTGTTCTGTTCTGAAAACATTATTGTTTTTGTCTTAGTGTACGTTTGGTCGTCCACTGTCATTTATCTGGGTTGATTAGTTTACCCATAATTCATCAGTCATAATCATAGACAAAACTAGAAATGGTTGAATTGACATGAATTATATGCTTTGAAATCGGGCATCTCGATACAATGGGAGCAGTCGCATAGTGTAAGCACACTGTATTCAAATGACAGAAGAAATTTTATTTTTACCTTTCTAGCCAAAACACTGTTGTTTTCACCAATTTCCGCCAAGAAAACGAATACTTGAAAAGCGAAAAACATCAGACAAAACATATTACCAGTTCTGCGAGCCATTTTTGGAAAAAAGAATCAAAATTGTTGCGGGCACGTATCTTCTAGATGTAGACAACAAGGATCCCAAATCTTTTCTTGATTGGGGAACTTCTGAAACTATCACTCTCTCGCACAATGTCTAATGTCGAAATGACTCACAATGTGGCACTCGTCATTATTAGAATATCGAGCGCTTAAATTATGCTTGTTTATTTATTTGCTGTAAAGACCACACACATACGTTATTTAATGCGCATGCTCCATGCACTCGTTTTTGATATCGCTGATGAGTTAATGACATCAAACAGTCTTAATCTTAGCAAGCGACCACGCTCACCTATAAGACTTGAATTTTTTAGATCACAAGGCGTGTATTTCTTGATTCCTATTCGACGAGAGATAACTTGTGGGTTTTTTTTGCATGTGTCAATACTTATTCAACTGTGTGTATTGTGTTGCACTTCTGTTCGTCATGCGCAGGGTAATCTGTAGATTAACATTGGGGCATGCAGAAAGATAACGTGATAAATGGAGCGATACTGCGACCACACAAAGTGTCGCTGTTACTTGAAGGTTTTTTAAATTGACGTCTTAATTTCACACGATTAATTGTAAATGCCTGTCGTATGCAGCGCGCACGCGTAAACTATGTATGTCAGGTTTTTTGTTGGCGTTGCGTAGGAATAGGAAATGTGTCAACGTGATGAAGCATGTGTTTAAATTGATTGTTAACGAAGCTCCGACATCATATCGCCTTAATGACAGATCCCACTTGCCTTATCAGCTGATCAAAATATATCATCTAGTACGCACGTACCTTTCTGGAGCGCCGCTCGCATACTAAACTTTAAACCTCCTCGTGTCCGTTTACTTGAGAAATTTCTCTAGCAAAGAGTGTCAAGCATGCAATATAGACTTTCACCAACTAATATCGATCGCGTGCGTCTTTCATTATCAATCTTGGCGCATCATGGGAGGTTCAGTATCACCACGATCTTAATTGAGGAAATGGAAGAAATTATCATTATAAAAAATATGAAAAACTTTCAAACTAGTGTAATCCTGCGCTAATATGATCACAATAATATGAATTAATGAGAATTCGAAGTGTTGTGAATCAAAGCATAACCAGTCCACCTTGTACTCGTCCACGACTCTGCTATGCTACAACGCATGCTTGTATTTGATTAGAGCAAGTAACATGTGTACCTGTAAATATGATTCATGTCATGCTGGCCTGTTTTACTGACCATTTCATTTCAATGACGACAGCTAAAACACCATGAAATCCATTTATAACAATGTTTATTTTCTGAAAATGATTGCGACTCACAGTTACAAAAGAATAGACTCTATTATTTCTAATCAGTGCGAAAAATCTCAGATTTAAAGACTTATATCAAGCAGTCAGGCAAACTAAAAAAAACCACTTGTGGTCTAGCACCAACTGTCTATGTACATTCTTCCTTATTTTATACATAGAGTGCAAGCGAGAATCATGAATTTCGCCAACTACATATAGTAAAACTTGAAAAAGCAATATGTTCCAGCTGATTATTTTGTTTACGTTATTATGCAGCACATCGTGCTAAACACTAGTGAGGTTTGTGTCAGCCATGCTTAATACATGCTTAAGCAGGCGGTTAACTAAACAAATCATTGATTTGCGTTGGTCATGACGTTGAGCTGAGCGTACCATTGGAGCGTTCACAAATTGTCTCAGTCTGCCTTCCTTTTCACCCAGTGGTTGGGCTTTAAATGATTTTCCTCAATAATTGGATCAGTAATTGATTCATAACTGTCATGTCATTCTAGTTTCATGCATTTTTGAACAGAGAACTCTTACATAAGTCTTTAAAGAACCTAATAGTAAGTTTTTCAACAATTCACAAGTTTCATTAAAAACTCTGACAAATTTCACTGGTAGACCCCTTGATATATTGCCTTTTGAAGTGTGTGAAGACTCACTTAGGGTTAATCAAAAATCTGGGCGTTTGCTTAATCCGGTCTTTTTTAGTTGTTGGCACAGAAAATTATTGAGTCATCCTCTTTTGAGAAAGGGATGCAGTCTGTCCAAGCTATGGTTGATAACTCAATAAAGCTCAACAATTAAGTAACGTTTACAGCTACGAATGCAGAATTTTCATGCACAAATTAATTTGTTAGCAACCTCTATTAAATTAACAGGTTCGTTGATGCAGGACTTCCTAAACAGGTGACACTTTATAAGCCCCTTTATTTGAGGTAGTTTGGAATTATTTTATTTCTTCAAAGTTATTGTGATGCTTCTTTTATATTTGATTCTTGTACTACCTAATACCTGCAATGGAATTTACCGTCACGGGATGTGTAAAATATGTTCATTGCATTATTGGAAGAGTATATATATAATGAAAGAAAGCAGTACTAAAACAAGTATTATGGAACATGATACTGATACTACAAAACTGAAACAAAATGCTATAAGTGCCACCAAATTATGCAGTGCTGTGTGCGATTACGATAAGAGGATTGCAAAGTTTAGGATTAATCTCCATTCTATGTAATTTACATGACTTTTATGGGTACACAAACCATCCACGGTTGGAAAAAGCCGATAACGATTTCCTGTGAAGTCTTTGGTTAGTTTCACTGTGTTATTGTAGGCATGTTTGTTGATTATCTTTGAAATAAGCATGGGTAGATGTGTAATTACACTCATAAGGAATGAATCAAGACTGCTGTGACCTCGATCGGCACGTCGACAGAAGATTTTCAAACGTCACGTTCATCTCAGCTTGAAAATAAGATGAACACTTAGATAAAATGCTTTCTTGCTGTGCAAAGAAATACGCAGGAACAGCCAAGGTTAAGTTATGCATTGTTTGCGAAATGTTTGTCATAATTGCATACATTGAACGATGACAAATTCATTGCTCAATGTTTTAAAGGAGCGAGTGAAATCATTGAAAGGGATTGGAACCAACCCTGTCAGTCTAATAAAAGCGCTTCCCTGCATATCACATCTCAAATATGAATCAAATAAAAGCTTTTCGACACTTTTGTTTGCTATTGTTACATTTTTAAGGTGTTTTCTTTTAAAAGTCAACTAATGTCAAGGAAAAATAATTTGGTCTTTGAATGAATTGCAAAACTCGTTTTGAATTTCTAAATTCCTTTTCATTGAATCACAGTGTCATAAAGAAAGTTATCCTTCTTGGAATATGTATTTGTCGATATGTTGACAGCCATGATTGAAAATTTCCACTCGAAACTTCGACTTGAAAAAGTGAAGTTCATGATGAAAAACAAGCATTAAAGTGACGAAGAATTTATAGCTACTGTCGTTTAATGTCATATAATTTGTATAGATATCTATATCCGGATAGCCTTAACCAATGCTCAGCACAGCAGCTTCTTGGACATCCTTTTATCTCTCCAAATCCCATGTCGCACGGTTTAAGCAATAACATCACTTCAGATGAGGTTGACGCTGAAAAAGATCTAGGGACAAATCTAAATGGCCGTGATGATGGAGATGAGTCTCCTGATTTGATGCCCATTCCTTTCGGCTACGCAGCGAGAAATTCAAGAGTTTGGAATGAATTTGAGGTGTGGCAAATGCTTGGAAAAAGGAGGATTTGCTTCAGTGATCAAGGTAACTTTTTATTACATAAATCGTTTAAACAGACGGTAATTTGGTCCTGTGAAGGAAATTTTGTACGTGATTTGGAAATGCTTTATGTACGCTTAGGTACGTAATAAATTGGACGGCTGTCTCTATGCGATCAAAAGAATTCGTCTGAATCCGAAAAGTGTACCGTTTAATCGTAAAATTACTCGAGAAGAGAAGTTACTTTCTAGATTGAATCATGAAAATATTGTAAGGTAATTAGAAATTTACTAACCAAAATGAATCAAAATTCTATAACATTAACTATAACACTATTACCTCTTAAGTTAAAAGTGAGGTTCAATTTAGACGATACAAATTGCTTGGCTTATTAATTAATGTTATCTTTATAAAATCTAATAAAAAAGTAGATAAACTCTTTTTTCCACGAAGCCCATGGATCCTTTCGTTCATGATGAGAGAGTTATATTGTTTAAAGAGGCTGTCGTTCATCACGAGAGAGTTATGAGAAACGTATAAACATGTTTAGAGTTGGTTTAAATCAAAAAAAGTCAAAAAGGCAGAAGTTGTTTGAACCTTTGCAGTATACTTGGATGTTCTAGTTTCTTTTACTTGTAAACAAAAAGATAAAATTCGAAAGCAAAAAAACTTCGTTTTCGGTCCATACTTCCCAATACCTTCTTAAGCGTAAGGCACTAGAACGCCGCATGTTAACGTTTCGGTAGGAGATTTCGGCCCCTCCACACTATCGTTTTTGGGGATGCCAATACGTAGCAAGCTTCCGCCCATCAGACCCCGAGATCACCTGCGATAGGCTTTGCTCGGGGTATGCAGGGAGAGTGCCTTCAAATTGAGACAAAGTATAGTGTCCAAGAAAAGATGAAGAAAAGTACTAATTCAAGAAAAAAAGAAAAAATCAATAAAGAAGAAGAAGAAACTCAAGCACAATCTAGTAATTTCATCCATGTTAATACTCCACTGTATGAGAGCCAAGATAAGTATTCAATAGTTTGCCACTGTTGAAACTTGATGCAGTTTGACCGAAACTCGTGCTTTATATGTTATTTAGACAATTGTATGACAACCTAGTGATGAATGAAAGAATGTGAACAAACGACAAACGCGTGTCTTATTAAATTTTAAGTGTGTGTTATTCGAGAAGTTTCGAAATTAATTAAACTATCTATAAATGAATATAACGTTTTGAAATTTGTCATTTGATTGTTTTAGAAAATGGGTGGAAATGGAATGTGGTGAAAGTCTTGACAAATTGGAAAAGAAAATCGAAGGGATGTTCAACGAATTACACGATGATGTCAAAGAAATTGAAAACAGCAACAAGTTTATAAAAGAAGAAAATTATCGTCTACGCAAGATGTTATTTGACATTAAAAGGATTGTTCAAAAAAGATGAATTCAAATTAAAATGTAAATTTAATAATAAATTAAAAAATTGAAAAAGCCAGACAGCGTGCGTGTGTGTGTGTGTGTTCGTTTCTAAGTAATTGGTAAAATTTTAGAAACAATTCTTAACAAAATATTGTATTTAAGACTCGAAAATTCAACGAGCTCGACACAATTTGAAAGTTGTTGAGATGGATTCTGAAAGTTATGATCGTAAATTTCGAAAATTGTTCTCGAAAGATACGGATACGGCATTAAAACGATTAATAACTGTACAAGAAGAAATAATTCGAGAAAAGAATGAAGAGATTCGCGAAAGAGATAAATTGACTGAAAAAATGGAAGGATTGTTAGCAAAAGGGGAATCGAAAACTGTTATGCAAGACAAAATAATTTGTGAAAAGAATGAAGAGATTCGCAAAAGAGATAAATTGATTGAAAAAATGGAAGGATTGTTAGCAAAATGGGAATCGAAAACTGTTATGCAAGACAAAATCATTCGCGAAAAGGATGAAATGATTCTCAATAAAGATAAAACAATTAGAGAAAATAACGAAACCATTCTCATTACAAATAAATCTTTATATAATTACGTAGAGTTGATTGAAGAATGGAAAAGATGTGCAAAAGAAGTACTAGAAGATAAGGAAAAAACAGACAGACAAAATTATAGTTTAGAAAAAGAAAACGAACACTTACGCAAACTAGTGGAAGAGATAACCGAGAAAGCAATGTAATTTCCATAAAAAATTTGTTTTCTAATTGAATAAAATGCAAATTTGAAATTTATTTTTGTGTGTTCCTATGCAGTTTATAAAATCATAGAAAAAATGCAAAACATGAAAATTGTGTTCAACGTGGAAAGCGAGCAAAAAACGAGTCATATTAATTCGAGATGGACTCTGAAGCTTTTGAGACATTCCACAATCATATGTTCCGTGATATGTGTGAAAAGGACTAAAAGATTTCAGATCAAAAACATCTGGTTAAAAAAATGATTTGGAAATAGAAAATCTCAAAAAACAAAATGAAATCTCGTCAAAAGAATTGCTTTTAAAAGATGAAATGATTCAAAATCTAGTAAAAGCGAATCAATCGAAAGATAAAGATCTAGAAACTTTTGAAAAAATCAAGGAACACTTGGAAAAAACAATATCTACGCAAAATGAAACGAATCAATGTCTAAAAGATGTGATTCAGTGCTATGAAAGGAAAATTGGATGTAAAAGATCAAGCGATAGAGGAGATGGAGTGATGACAAGCCGCAATTACGTCGTTGTAAATGTAGGACCAACACAGAATGTGGCGCCTTCTTTGTGAGATTGTGGAAGGATTAGCTCACGCTCATTCACAGGTAGAAAATCTCCATTTTTGTACGTGCTCAGACCGGATTAATCATATGGCAGAAGGGGCGTCCACCCACGGGCCCCACGCTTTAGGGGCCCCGTGCTTTACTCAATTCTATTATTTTTCTGCGCATTGGTGAACGAGGATGAACGAAATATCCTCTGAGGAATCTTACGGTGAAGATGACACAACGAAAGATGACAACCATTTCACAACGTGGATTCTTTGGAATTGTAAATGTACAGAGCTCTTCTGGAGAACAATCTGGAAACTGTATTTCTGAACACTGTAATTGCACTGCGGATCTATCTTAGTCTCATGATCTCGAACTGTTCTGGAGAGCTGTCCTTTTCCAAACTTAAGCTAATCTAGAATCAGCTCCGATTATGTGTGACGCCGAGTAAGCAGCCTGTTCTACTTACCGTCGAAAATGATCTGCTTCATAGCATTGACATTTTGTCCATAATTAAAGAGTTTGCTGTAAAGAAATCCCGCAAACACAACGTTTACAAAGCAAAATGAGATTTTAGTAAAAGATATGTTGCATTACCTACACGTACATTTTACATACATGTCGAGCGAGCTTGCATCGCCGCATCAGAGCATGTATGCTGAATCTTATGATTGTTTAGTTGGTTGATTAGGTTTAATTTTTTGTTTAATAACATTCCAACTATTTAACCTTATAATTTTTACTTTATAATCAAATTCTCATAATTGTCAATCAATGTTATTGATTTAAGCAGGGTTTGATGACAATTCAAATATTCAAATTAGTGTACATACGTTCTTGTTTTAACATACAGATATTTTTGCACATCATGGTATACATATTATTTTTTAATCTTTCTGATTTCAAGACAATCTGAAAGAAAATATGAAAATATGCTAAAGGGCCCCACGAAAGGTTACTCCGGCCATGACGTTTGGTCTACATCCAAGCCCAGCTTTGTGTCTATCTTTTTTTCGACTTTTTTTGTCTGACTTTTTGTCGATATTCTTGTCTGTCTTCTGTACCAGAAGTTTTTGTCTACCTTTGTGTCCACCTTTCTATTCATCTTTATGCATACCTCAATGTCTACATTTTTGTCAACCATTTTTTGTACATCCTTGTGTTTATTTCTATGTATACTTTTGTTTCTACCTTTTTTTTGTCTACCTTTGTTTCTACCTTTTTGTTGTGTAGTTTCTAGAGGTTGTTTTTGTCAATTTTTATGTCTGTAAACCTTTTATTTTACATTTGTGAGTATCGTTTTGTCCATCTTTATGTCTTTTGTTCATAAATTTATTTACTTTTGCTTTCTGTCCAATCGATGATCCATTAAAAACAAGTTGATGTTGAATAACGAAAGAGGCAAACTAGTAACCCCAATATTGGAAAATGACAGGAAATCATAACGGCATATAATAAATATTGTTCTGTGTTTACTGAAGAAATAAAAAAGAGTACATTGGAAGAATAGAATAGAGTATTTAGTTGTTCCAACTGAGTTATGCAATAACCACCTTTGAAGAGATGATAATTATATTGAAATAGCACGATATTGATACATGAAATTTTTGCAAGGATTTATGAGACAATAAGACGCGTGCTCAGGCGTGCACTCATGCTCTCGTGATCAAACAAATTCCGTTTTGACGTTCTGATCAAAACTCAAAGAATGTCGGAAAACATAAGCCGAAGGCAAGTGATTTTTACGGTTTCTTAACTATAGCAACATTCCCAAGAGTTTGGATCAAGTCATCTAATTAATCGAAACATTTGTGAAGCATTTAGTAGTTTTACTAAATATCAACAAGAGGGAAGTGTTACAACTCAAGTATTATTAGCGAAAGTATGAAAGCTAAATCCTCCTAAATGCCAAATCGCGTATCTTACGACCATACAACATACGTGTCGCACACAAACCAATCACAACGTTACGACAAGTACTAACGAACATAAAGGACAAAGAACAACCCAACGAACGACAAGGTGCAATTTACAAAATAAATTGCTCCGACTGCCACGCCTCCTATATCGGGGAAACTGGCAGGAACTTAAACATAAGACTTACTGAACACAAACGAGCTACTAAGAAACAAGACAAAACTAATCACATCGCCGAACATCACCGAATCACAAAGCACAACATTGACTGGGACTCGACAAAATGCATTTCTTACAGTACTGACTATGGACAACGGCTTACAATAGAAAGTTGGTATACGAACTTGGAACAAACCCCCCTGAACAGATCACAGCAATTACCGTCACCTTACAAACGACTTATTCACAATACAAAAAAAACGATTAACTAAAAACATTACACTTCACACCAATTCACAATGACAATACACAATTGACACCCACACATTTCAACTAAAAACATCACACCTAAATCACACATCACAACTAAAAATATTTCACTTCACACTAATTCACAATGACAATACACATTTCCTGTACACACAATACAATGACGTAAGAACCAGATAACAAATACGGCTAACCTGACCTTTACTCCTCATTTGACTCTGAAGATGACTACCGCTAAGGTTGTCGAAACGTCAGTCAACAAAAAGTCCTTCTCAGGACTTTATTAACCTGGACGATCATGATTTACAAACATGTAAAAACTATAAAAGTACCGCTGAATTCAGACTTGTGAATTAACGGAACAACAGCAAGTGCAATGGCTGAGAGAGTGAGAAATGGAAGTACACAAGAAGAAGAGAAACAATTGACTGACGCTTTCAGCATTAATGGTAACTGATGATAACTTGGGCGATGAACCGGTCAAGAGCAAGCCAAAATATTTACCAATATTTATGAGAGACCGCATGAAGGACGACTATTATGTCAAGTTTGGAAGGGATTCTCAACGAAATTCCACTTTACACTACAAGCTATCAATGCAGAGTTAAAACAATTTCCACCAAGAATGCTATTTGTCACTTGTCAATAGGTATACCGCACCATATTTAAGCATATGAAAAGATGCTGTTTATGATGAATTGCCACATCGACCAGACGGACCAGTTATTGTAAAACACCGTCATGACTGTATGAAATGTTCTCAAAGAACAGTTAATTTGCTCGGCATGGAAAGTATTTAGAGAAGAATATGAATATAATATTTAAACATCGAGAAGCCATAGCCGTGTACAGGGGATAAAGACTACCGTAAAATATCCTGTCAAAAAAGAAGAAATGTAATCGTTTGTGTACTTGACCATATATACCCAATTGTTCACGGCATTGCTGTGCCAAAATGGTCAACATCTATTCGACGAATGGCATTGTAATAAAGTCGAAAATTTACAGTTTCTATCCGCGTCCTATTTTGAGTAATACATTGTATTCTCAACACGTATTGTACAGCTGCTGAAACAAATCTGTACCTGCTAACTTTTGTGTGATATTGCACAAATAACAAAATTATGCAGACATACTTTCTTCGACGTCTAACGAGAGAATATATCCCATGGTTAGAAACTATATTAATGTATTGCTGTCGTGTGGCCAGTCTGACAATAAATGATTGTGTCCTACAACAAAATGCTATTCGATTTATCTCTAGTGTTGTTGTGAAAATGTTAATGTTTGAAAGTCGATGCTACAAATGTGTGGTTTGTTTTCTTGATTGTCACTTTACGAAATATTTTTTTTATTATACTTCAAGGATCTATAGTCTTAAATAGACGAAATTTTCCATCTGTTTCCAACGCACTTACTAGTCGAGTGTGTAGAGTGTGGTTTCTCAGGTTGTGATGTGGAGTTCGAATCCTTCGAGGGCTGTTGTTGGGCTAGGTGTGGTAAGCATAAGACTTGCAATGAACGAGTACCGTGAATATCAAGAAGAATGTAAGGGCTGATTACAAGTTGTACACAAGTTGTACAAATGTCAGTTCTATTGTTAGTTTTTCGACAATGGAATGCGACACTTAGTATATTTTCAGAACAAAATGCAAAGAAAAAAAAGAAAAGCGGATGTGTTGCAAAAATTTTGCCCTATAAAAAGTAAGTCTTTTGATCAAATTTTTCTATGTAGTATTTTTCTATATCTTTCAAATATCCCCTCCTAACTTCAACTTTGCACTCGACCCTCAATCTACAACCTGAACTGACGACAACACCGGCACGAACCAAGGAACTCGTGCATTGGAGGTCAGACAGAGCAGGTTGAGCAAGAAGCTCAACAACGTATATTAACAGTTTCATGGCATATTTGCCCCTTTTTGTTAACTTTGAAGTAGAAATATACAAGGTGGGCTCGAACCTTAGAAGGAGCAATTACATAGGCCATGACTTTCCCTTAGTTATTTACGTATCATTGAACTCTAAAAAACTAACGAGAACGAAGCGGTCTTGAACCCGAGAAGGAGTGATCACCATCATCTGTACCACTCAGCCAAGCGAGAGAGTTGTGAGGGGGATGAAAACATATTAAATGGTTCGACAGAATAGCATTTATTGTCTCTCATTACAAATGGCTTTAGTTTATAACGTGTTTTGAAAATACGCCTTCGACGGCATCATAGCAATAGTATAACTTTAAAGGCAAGAGCTTTCTTGGGATCCCGTTGAGTCACCTGAATTTTTCAGGTTAATGAGACAATTGCTTAAATTGTCCAGCAAAGTGCGAAGATCATATTTTCATTCAATTTCAAACACCGCACTGCATATAACAATCTTTCATATTATATAGGCTTTGTTGTTAATTATTTAGACATAACCTTGTCTTGGTTCACACGTGTCTGACTATTAATTTGAACGATAAGCTTTCATTTCTTTTACCTTAGAGGTTTACAAAGACAAAGAAATTGGGATTTTTATTTAAATCTTTTTTTGTTCTTTTTTTAAATCATTTATATCTTTTCCTTGTGCTTGCGATTGTATAATTGACTTTTTCACATGCTTCGTTGATTGCATTTGTTTCATTCTTTGTTATAGTTTTTCTATTTCACTCGTGTGAACCAGGCTTAACACGTTAGAGATTGGTGTATCTTTATGTCTACCTTTATATTTACCTTTTTGTCTACCTTTATGTCTATTTTTATGTCTACCTTGATGTCTACCTTTATGTCTATCTTTATGTCTACCTATATGTGTACCTTTGTGTCTACCTTTGTGTCCACCTTGATGTCTACCTCTATGTCTATCTTTATTTCTACCTTTATGTCTACCTTTATGTCTACCTTTATGTCTACCTTTATGTCTACCTTTATGTCTACATTTATGTATACCTATATGTCTACCTTTGTGTCTACCTTTGTGTCTACCTTTGTGTCTACCTTTATGTCTACCTTTATGTCCACCTTTATGTCAATCTTTATGTCTACCTTTGTGTCTACCTTTATGTCCACCTTTATGTCTACCTTTTTGTGAACCATTATGTCTACCTGTATGTCTACCTTTATGTCAATCTTTATGTCTACCTTTGTGTCTACCTTTGTGTCTCACCACATAGCACTAACACTACCAACAAGACTTTGGCTAGAACTCAAAGTCACAAAAACCTCCAATGAGTAGAATGTTGAATTAGAATATTGAGAACAATGGCGTGAACGGGACTGGAACACAAGGTGAAGGTCTCCACCCGGCAGGGAATCCTTGGCACAGCAGCGGGGACCCATTTGTCATTGGGTTACGGCTAGAACGAAATGGAATAAAGATGTAAACATATCAGTGATGGAATGTTTTCACATGAGCCATTTCATGAAGAAGGCAAACCTTTTAACGGCTATAGAAAAAGATTGTATAGAGAATGGAAAAACAGGGGGATATTTGAAACAGAGAAGCAACGAGTGTGTAACCAAGAGAAATCATAAATAACCGGTGGTTATCAGAACTTAAACTGGAAGAAGTAAAGGCAAGTAGAATATAAATCTTTGGATAACTAGTATGAAAGGCAACATGTTATGATGGAAGCAGAAACAGTGGAAATAGACCTTGGGATAGGGGAAGAGGAAACAAATGATAAAGAAGATAGTATCTGCGATGATAAGAAAGAGATTAATGAAGATTATCGGATTGTTTTTGAAAAACTAAAAGAAATAATGAAGGTGAGAATAACATGTCATGAAATTCTCTTTAGAAAGTGGATAAATGGATTTATTCAAATCCAAAGATGGAGCGAATGAATGATTAAGTATGTGAAAAGCAAATGTACCACGGAAACTGACAATTTGATTCAGGCAGCAAGTGCATCGGTTGCAGAAAGAATAGGCTCGAAGTAATTAATAAAGTATTAAAGTGAAAAATAGCAATGACCATATTCTTTAGACGAAGCCACGGTGGGTATGACTACGAAGAATAATTCAGTTAATTCAACGTCAAATCGGACGCCATTAACAGAAAAAAATGACTATTTACAACGCGCAAGTCATTGCCATGGCCGTAACTACACGGGAGGTTTGGAAGGGTGCTTCTGCTTCCTCAACATCATTGGGTTGGGTTAATTTCTCTTACAGCAATATAGCTTGCATGTACAAATCTAATACACCTACCTAAAATGAAGTAGTTCTAACAAGTTTTCACGTGTTTATTAAGTGGTATTTCAACGTAATTTCACTCATCATCATAGCATTTTCAAAATCAATGAACCAAATACTAAAATTTTGCAGAAAGAAGCTGAGCGACGTTATGCTTTTATTAGGGAGTTTTAGCAAGAGTATGACTACGAGAACGAGTACGAAATTTGACCGTGTAAGGGAATGGCACGAGGAAGTTTGTTGTCGTTGTCGCTTCGTCAAAATTTTGCTTTAGTTGTAAACAACAGAACGAGCCTTTGTATTGTGTAAAACACCGACGTTTGCGAAGCAGCTACGGCTATATTTGTCAATAATGATATCAAAGAATCGATAATACTGATTTTGCGAGAGCATAGGACTCTTTACAGTAAAAAATCTTCACTATTTTAAGTTTTATGTACGATATATTTGTACTATTTTATTGTTTGTTTACCTTTCACTTTGCGTACGAAATACATGAAAGTTTTGCAGGTCATATTTTCCTTTTTAATGTACATCTGCGCTCAAAAAAGGTTCTAAATTAAAGCCTGGATGCTCGAAAATAGTACTGTAAACTAATTTCTTACAGAATGAAGAAATATACCTACTTTCTTTGCTTAAAAAGACATCGTAGTCGCGACTACGAATTTTTTACAAAACATCGTACTCAGATTGATGACGGCCACGTGTTTTTGTTGTCGCAATAATGTTTTCGCGCCAAAATGACGTAAATCGTACTCGTAGTCGTACCAGTGAACTCCATATATATATATATATATCTGGAATGATAACGACAATACATTTTATAGATATAAAATTGAAGCCAAAGTCCTAGTCTCTTGCGCGGCTTGTACGTCAGTTCCAGTCCTTCAAAGTCGAATATTCACGCGGTTTGTACGTCAGTTTCATTCCCCTGAGTGCCAAACATACACGGCCAATATAAATTTGAATACAAATTGCAAAAGCATAAACATATAAACAACATCCACCACAAACAACACACGAGGCCAACTCTTCGCAAAAGGTTATTTTTTACAGCTGAAACTTTACTACAGTGAGTTCGTTGTAACTTACAACTTGTAACGAGGAAAAGCCAATTGAAAACTACACTGTATTCTAAAAAGACAATACAATAGCAAATATGACGAGAAAATATTCAAGCATAAATTTTCTTTCGTCGGAAGGTAAATTTTCAAACTGTGTCAGACAGTGTTTGTCTTCTTTGTCATTTCAGTGGATTTTAAGATCTGTTTTTCGAAGAAAAAAGAAACTTGAATATCCAGTTTCATAAAAAATATTGAGTCTATAACTCGAATTTTTACTTTTTACAGAGCGATTGTATTTTTCATCGATTTTGATAGTGCTTGAAATACTAAATGGTTGTCATCTCGATATCAATAATTGAATATCCTTAAAGACTTTGCATGTTTGTAAATGTAGATCGTCCAGGTTAGTGTAGTCATTTTTTTAACTCTGAAGATGACTACCGCTAAGGTTGTCGAAAAGTCAGTCAACAACAACAAAAACAGTCCTTCTCAGGACTATACCAACCTGGAAGATCTACATTTACAAACATGTAACGATACTCCCGGGCTCAAACCATTTACCGTAAAGACTGTGATATGTGTTAAAGGAAAACCGCAGCGAAACAGCAGATCGACCAAGTTCACCTCACCTTGCTTCTCGATTTATCACTTTGATTCACTTTCCGTGAACCTTTTCAATGCAAAAATTTCGTTATTTTTACGCTCTGATCAAGATCCGAACTCTACCATTACCAAGGGACAAATGATTAAAAAAAATTAAAATGAACACGCGAGAGACTAGAGCCTGACGTGTAATGACGAATGATGACGACAAATATTTTTTTGGCTTCAATTTTTGGCTTCGGTTATCATTCCAGTTATTCAAATGTCGAGTTCACTGAGTCGTACTCGTAGTCTCTGCTAAAACTCCCTAATATCAATCCGGAGAAGGTGGTATTGACATTAGCTATGTTCTAAAAAATCAGAACCGAAAGCTCAAGATGAACTTATTGTGATTATGAAACAGACTAATAACAAGTGAGTTATGAATGCCAAAAAGTAGCTATATATTTTAGTAAAACACAAAACGATTGAGACTCCGTAAACATTCTTTATTCTATAAGCTTTGAGTATAACATGTAATCATAATTAGAATATGTGAGCTTTTCAAAACTTACAATTTATAATTTGTGATAGCATTATTTTAATTTTTAATGCTTCAGAAGACATGACTGTCGGTTCGACGGTTCATGCCTTGGTTACCATATGTCCATTACAGATGTACTACAATATGCGCGTATTTAGTGAAATAAACGGGATCTTAGATTAATTAGTTGGAGGCAAGAGATACTCGATGCCATTCTTCCAATGCACGTTTTATTACCTCTTGACTAAAAACAGGAAAATATTTACTATATGCCTTTATGATTTCCTCGTCATTTTCCAAAATGGTGGTAACTAGTTCGCGGTTTTCGTTCTCGATCATCAACAGGTTGCTCACCATTCTGATAGCGCGTTTCTTTGGAAAGCAAACTGCTACTGGTCTGGAGGTGAATGAAGTAACACCAGAAGCAACTATTTTCCATGAAGTCTGCGCAGGTTCAAACAATGTGTCATACTTTCTACTGAGGTCAAAGGAATAAAATCGACGCCAACGGCCAATTATGAAATCGAGACCTTCTATTGGTGGATCATTGTGTTTGTATATATCACCCTTTCCGTGCATGCGCAGAATTTTTCCATCATGCCGAATGTACTTGTACTCGAGAAATCCGTCGTAAAATACGGGGGACTCGTCAGTGAAATTTAATGAAATTGCCCGGAACGTTGGAAATCCTAAGCCACAATCAACCAAGTGAATATCATTCTCATATTCTAAGCCATCGATTACCACAAATGTATGACTGTCTATGGTGCTCCGGTTCGATGTCACAGTTGAGCTGATCAGTCGTACAGAGAAGCCAAGTGCACCGAACAACATCAAACAAAAGGAGGCCATGACATAACAAAGACCTCCTTCTCCAGTAAAGCAAATTTCTTTAATTTGTTCATTCCTCAAAATTATATTTCTCTCCTCACTTGATTTACTGAGAACTGAAATACTTTGAAATGGAATATATTCATGAATGCATATTATTATCTCATCTACCAAGTTCTTTTTGTCGGACTTTAGTCGCTCCTCGACGTTCATAATTTTCCAGCCTGTTTGCAGCAGTTCAAGAGCTTCTTTGTATGTAATCGTCGTCACTTTGATCGCATAAATCAAAATAATTATATATGGATGCAAATGTTTAGCCTAATAGAGTTTGAAGTTAATCAATTAACTCATCATTGTATGAGGTACTTGGTAATAATATCCAGTAGATATTAAGATATCATTGTAATATTACTAGTTTGACATTCCAATAACGTTGAATCTGAAACCACTGTAAGCACGCTTGCCTTACATAGAATGATATCTAAACATAGAATGTCTTAAGTGATTTCTTTTTTGTTACGTACGTACAGACTATGCACATGTCTGAATTTGGTGCTATGTTTAGATTTCCCGTTAGAATATATTTGATTTTGATTGTAAGAATATTTATTAACTAACACATATGGAACCCAGTTCACTAGCTACTACATCGTCGATGTCGAGTGAACATTACACAAAAGCCCATACGCGGCATCAAATGTAAACTATAAGTTTATAACTACACGTATTCTTTGGATGAAGTACCGATTGTATTTGAATATCGTGATCTTAAATATTTAAACACTTACTTGTAAAACGTTTGCCCTTCGCTGAGGTCACTCGCGTTAAACTCTTCAAGTGTAATAAAAACAAACTGAAGACGCGTTATAAGCAAGACGAATGAGAATATCTGTTTACCTTGCAATGGCTCTGTTACACTGTCATTTATGTTTGAGTTGCTAAGCTTTACATTCATGCATGCATACGATGAGGCAACCCCCTTAGTCTTGACTCGCTTGACAGAACATTACTCTAATAATAATATATGCCAGAAAGGTAGCTGCACATGTGTGTACAAGATAATTCTTACCACAATGCATTTCAAGGGTGATAATTAGAGAAAGACATTTGTTTCAAAAGTCCATGATTATGACATCCGAAATGCAAAATCAGATACAGATATATTCAGCAAATATCAAGCAGTAGCGATAGTTATTGTGAGTACTGGAGACGGGTGTTCATTAGAATTAGGGTGTTGATTAGAAAAAGATAGCTATCGCCACAAATTGACTTTAATTTGTAGCTTGTATCATGTAGGTGGTCAACATACATGGTAATACACAAAATTCATTAAAAGACAATCAGGTTTCTGAAGTAGCATAAAAAATAATTCTTATTTTCATAGTTAACACATCACTGGAACTTCAATAGCTTAAAAGTGTTCTAAATTTTGTTCGTAACCATGGCGATAATGTGTGTTCAGAGCGCATGAACAGATACATCTGATGGCAGTCGCTTAGCCTGTCCACACATTTAGTCCTGTTACGCAAATTTTTCTGCGTTCACTCAATGCAAACACAGAAGAAGTTTTAAAAATGAGTAATGATATTGTTGAGAGATTTACATCGCAGGATCAAAACGTGCGGGTTGGCTTCGCCACTCTCCCATGGCAACGTGTAATCTCAACTTTTACCTGCGATTAGGAAAAATATCAATTAAAGCTAACAGTTACATCATAATCCTAATATTAGGACATTGTTTAAATATAGAACTAATTGCTTACAGAAAGTTCCTTACAACTGCATCAGTTTCTTCTTAACTCGTTAGAAATAGTATAATGTACCCAAATGTCTTAACAAAACATCATCGAATCATCTGCCATTCTGCCTGGAAAATGGCAATGGCTAGAAAAAAACACAAAAATTTCGCAGAATGCGTGAATAATTAACATGGATGAGTCCCTTTCCATATCGTTGATTATATTTTATGACATGTATACTCAATGATCTGACACTGCCTCAAAATAATCATCTATTTTCTTCTTAACTGGCTTACACTCTCTTGTAATTTAAAACATGTCACCACACCATGCTATGCCTCATACTTAACAAGTAAATGTTCGCTCATCTTTACACATTTTTTTTAAATTCTGTTTTGTTACTTTTCAAGAACAAGTTTGCCATAGAATATAATAAGTAGTAAAATACATTTAAATTTCCTATATAAATCATTGTAAATCTCGTAGTTTCACTAGTTTGCCCGCATGGTAATGTCGATAAACATGGAAAGATACTCGTTTTATAAAATTCCAATAAGAGCAAAAAGTACACATAATTTGCTGTAAGAAGTCCGATTACTGACGGTTCGTCATGCAACACATAACCAAGTCATACTGCCCTTTACACTCACAAGCCATCGAGAAAAGACGAATGACGACTTTCAATGTGTACATGTGACAATAAAGCATAAGTCACACATGTATCACACACTTTCAATGTGTGACAATAAAGCATAAGTCACACATGTATCACACACTTTCAATGTGTGACAATAAAGCATAAGTCACACATGTATCACACACTTTCAATGTGTGACATAATCCTATTTCTATTTTTCAATAAGTTCCTAGTTATCAAATGTCAAATCATGAATTACTTACTCACACAATTTCCGACACGCACTGTTAAAAATGGCATTTATGCGCTAAAGAAATATTTAGAACGTAAAAATATATCACAAACAACAGAGTCCGTTTATAAGAGTGGGAAATAAAATAAAATTTTCATATTTAAGTTGTGTGCAACTTAAGTTGGCAAATAATCAGATTGGCAATAAAAAACAGAGTGAACTTCTATATCCGGGTATTTTGTTGGCTAACATAGGCAGAACTCTTACTAATTGTTGGACATTAGAAAATATAATCATTTATTTTTCAAATCGTTACAAATACTTCATGAATCCCTGTTTTACTTTTACTCATTGCTCAGTTGGATGATTGCTCAATTCAGTTGGTGCTACCAGATATTCGATGCCATTCTTCCAGTGCACTCTTTATTTTTTCTTGGTTCAAAAGTGGAAAATATTTATCAAATGCCTGTACAATTTCTTCGTCATTTGCTAAAATGGTGGTAACTAGTTCGCCTTTTTCGTCTTCAAACATCAACTTGTTGGCCGTTATTGAGACAATGTGTTTCTCTCTAAAGCCAATCGCTATTGGTATCGAGGTGAAGGGAGAAGCACCAGAAGCAACTAGTTTCCATGCAATCTGTACGGGCTCAAACATGTTTTCGTACTTTCTACTGAGGTCAAAGTAATAAAATCGGCGCCATTGGCCAATGATGAAATCCAGACCTTTCATTGGTGGATCGTTGTATTTGTGTAAATTACTCTTTCCGTGCATGCGAGAATTTTTCCATCATGCCGAATGTACTTGTACTCGAGAATTCCGTCGTAAAATACGGGGGACTCGTCAGAGAAATTCAATGATATCGCACGGAATATGGGAAATCCTACACCACAATCAACTAAGTGAATATCAGTCTCATATTCCAAGCCATAAATCAACACAAGTGTATGACTGTCTATAAAGCACTCTGTTGACGTCAGTGTTGAACTGATCAGTCGTACAGAGAAGCCAAGTGCACCGAACAACATCCAACAAAAGGAGGCAATAACATAACAAAGACCTCCTTCTCCAGCAAAGCAAACGTCTTTGATTTGTTCATTGGTCAACATTATATTTCTCTCCTCACTTGATTTACTGAGAACTGAAATACTTTGGAACGGAACATATTCATGTATGCATGTTATTATCTCGTCCACCAAGTTCTTTTTGTCTGACTTCAATCGCTGTACGACGTTTACAACTCGCCAACGCATTTCCAGAAGTTCAAGAGCTTCTTTGTATGTAATCGCCGACATTTTTCTATGTGATTGAAGTCGCCTATAAATCGAAATTCATCATATGGGGATGAAATGTTTGGTCTAAAACGAATTTGGAGCAAATCAACTCATGATTGTACTTGTCGTTAGGGAATTAATAGTAACTAGTAGTAAGGTCATTGTTTATGTGTGACAACTGATGAATAGTGCACTGTGATATTCAACAATTTTATAAGGTCATTCAAATGGTTTGATAGCCTTGTACTGAAAGCAATTGTGAACATATTATAGTCTTCAGACTGAGAATGATGTAATAGAGTTTTCAGTGTTTATTACTATACACAGCCTTCACATGTGTCTGATTTTGGTTCTAAATTCATATACCATAACTGTTTGAATAGTTTAATTATAATTTAATTTGATTGCAAAGAAATTATCAACTGGAACACACCTTAAATCCTACCTCGCCAGCATCAAGTCAACAAAACAGAATGTATAACTATATATGTTTAACCACTGTAAGCATTACATAAACCGTGCTTCGGATGTAACGATTACTGTGTACAAGCACTTGCGAAATTCTTCCAGTGTAATGAAACAAACCGATGGAGTCGTGTTATATCTATGTAGTTATACCAGAGCCCTCTATAGTATAAGAGTTGGGACATCTATTGTTATCCGTATGTATAGCTTACGTTGATTGGGCAATATTAATCACCTGATCAATTTCCGCCATTTTGGTTCCTAGTTTTGAAAGGTTAGCACTATTTTCCACCCAGCAAACCGCCCTTTACTTTACACAATCGGAAATAAATTAAAGATGGCGGCTAATGGAAAGAACCAAAGCTAAAGGAAACCATGCATGCACTGGTGTTAGGTCGTTTGAGATGGCGAGTAATTTATATTTTTATAATACAGTTTTAATATCAACATATGAAAATATTTACAGATAAATGTTGCAGTATAAATTTTCATGCAACCACCTTAAGTTAAACTTATAATCCAGGCTGGAAAATATGTCGTTTTCGACGATTGTGTAAAATATTATATAAAATATTATATTTATTAGCAAAATATTAGATTGTATGAAATATTATATTATGTAAAATATTATATTTCAAAGTAAAGGGCGGTTTGCTGGGTGGAAAATAGTGCTAACCGTTTTGAAATTTTATCTTGTGTTTATATAGCAATTGCTGCTAGTAATACAGTATTTTGAGATAATATTGCGTTTTTTTATGGATAAGTGTGTAATAACTGATTGTTGAAGGCTACTAAATGTCATTATATATCGCATAAATCGAGGATTACGAAAAATAGAAAATGCCTTTACGTCGACTTACGAAATTTGATTGCGTATGGTGATTGTTGTGCTGAACTGCTTTTGATATAAGGTTCAATTAACTGACTCAAGTAGAGAAACATTTTGGGCCAAATAACATTGCAAAGTTCGTGCTGATGCAGTTTCAATAGTTTTCTTACTCCAAAGCTTGTCTTTTAATCGAAGATGATTTCTCATTATGTTCTGAAATTGGTCAATCTACAAACCTCTCAATTCTCAGCCACTTCATACTAAAACAACTACACCAAATCACAGAAACTCTTATGATTTTCCATGTTGTATTTTGTATTTTTAGTTCATCATTTAAAAATGAAGTAATTATAATTAGGATATTCAATGAAACAGCTGAGTACATATTTTTGGTATTGAATTGTACAAATGTACCCTACTTCTGTAGCTCAAAGTAGAACATTACTTCTCTTCTAGACTTGTTGATGATATTTTAATTGTAGGTTTTGGTTTATAAGATCACAGAGGCATATCTCCATAATTTCAGCTATTTGGGCTTTTGATGTATATTACAACTGTTGCTGCCTTTCTCATATATATTAAAATGTTGCCAGCTTTCTGATATATATTTAGGTTGTGCTGGCTTTTGATATATATATTTCACTGGTAATACAAGGCATAGAATTTGAACAAACGGGGCTGAGCTCCTCCAACATACCCTGTTTGATCATTAAACACATATAGATGTCATTCCTCAACCAATAAATTTAACTCTTTGCTAAATTAAAGATTGGATCAGACTCATATGCTGTATAAAAGACTACAAACAGTAGCATTTATAGCAAACAGACTGTTCTTCAACAACAGAAATGTTTCATATTATAGAAATAATATATTCATTTTAAAAAAATGCTTCACCAATATTTTCAGCAGAATCCCTAACAAACTTTATTAGAAATAAACTTTAATACTTTATAAAGTGATAAAGGCGAAACAACTTCATATAAAGGAATAAAGCGTTTAAGGTCAAATGCATCTTGGCCAAATCATTGCATATTTCAATAACTAAAAAGTAAAAAAGTCTGTCATTTTCTGCTGAGCAAGAAAATTTTGTGATCTTTCAGGATAAAAAATATCATGCTTGGATTAAATTGGGGGGGCATAAATCACTAACTACCATTAAATTGTTACAAATCTTGAACACAAATCTCTCGGACCAAATCTGCATGATTACTATGATTCAAAGTTTCGAACAAAGTCTTGTCCAAGTATTTGATAACACTGATGCCAGGATAACATTGCCGCTTGCCACCAAGCTTCAGTCGGAACATAAGCCGAGAAAACACGTTCACGTACGAAAAATACTTCTTACAATGGGTCACGATCAATTTAAAGCACGAACTAGTAAACCGCAAACGAAGCTCAAACCAATGAAATTAAATCAGGTCTGCCGCAAATCGTTAAAAAAACGCAGAGCTTGTATTTATTCCTAATATATTTGATACTACCATGGAATAAGCTTAAATTGCTTTCTTCTTTTGCATATAAACCCAATTTCCAATAGTATTATTATAGTTTCAATTTGCAAGTAGGAACCAAAATGGCGGCTCCGCGCTCGCCCCAGACCGTTTGTCCCAGAGGGCTCTGATAGAGGGCTCTGAGTTATACGACTTATTGTAAAGTCAGTGTACCTAATGCATGACGGGTAATCCTTATTCAATCTCTATACAATAGATTGATCTAATACTGTAAGATTAAGCTTCTTAGATCAAAGCGCTTTATGGTCGGTTTCGAGATCAATTTTGTGTATTTGTAGACACGCAAGTATTACTTTGTCATGGATCAGTTATACTTTTACTTATGTCTCAGACTTCCAATGATATATGCATACGATAATCTAAAGAAACGTGTTTAAATCATTGAGTTAATGACTCGTTTCACCTTTTATTACTCGACCCAGCGGCTCATGGCAGCTTTTCAGTTCTTATCGCAAAAGACGTCACACCGTTAATGAGTTCGGTCCTGTTCGGATGCCCATGAATGACTGGCTTGATTGTCGTTTTTGCCTTCGTTGAAATTACACCACACCTACTCTACTGCAGTATACTTTTGCTCATATATGAACTGACCTTAAATTAATTTAGTTGGAGTCAACAGATACTCTATGCCATTCCTCCAATGCACGTTTCATTTTTTCTTCATTGATGAATGGGAAATATTTATTATATGCCTGTACGATTTCTTCGTCATTTGCTAAAATGGTAGTAACTAGCTCGCCTTTTTCGTTCTCCATCATCAACATGTTTTTCATCATCATGACAGCGCGTTTGTTTGGAAAGCAATTCGCTACTGGAGTGGAGGTGAAGTGAGTACAGCCAGAAGCAACTATTTTGCATGCAACTTGAACAGGTTGGAGTACATTTTCATACTTTCTATTAAGGTCAAAGAAATAAAACCGACGCCAATGATCAATAATGAAATCAAGACCTTCTACTGGTGGACCGTTCCGTTTGTATATATCACCCTTTCCGTGCATGCGCAGATTTCCATCATGCCGAATGTACTTGTACTCAAGAAATCCGTCGTTAAATACGGGAGACTCGTCTGAGAAATTCAACGATATTGCACGGAAAGTTGGTAATCCTAAGCCACAATCAACTAAGTGAATATCATTCTCATATTCCAAGCCATCAATTAACACGACTGAATGATTATCTTTGAAGAAAGTTGTAAATGTCACAGTTGAACTGATCAGTCGTACAGAGAAGCCAAGTGCACCGAACAACATCCAACAAAAGCAGGCTATCACATAACAAAGACCTCCTTCTCCAGCAAAGCAAGCTTCTTTGATTTGTTCATTTGTCAACATTATATTTCTCTCCTCTCTTGATTTACTGAGAAATGAAATACTTTGGAAAGGAATATATTCATGTATGCATGTTATTATCTCATCCACCAAGTTCTTTCTGTCGGACTTCAATCGCTGCTCGACGTTCACAATTCGCCAACGCGCTTGGAGAAGTTCAAGAGCTTCTTTGTATGTAATTGTCGACATTTTTCTATGTGATTGAAATCCCCTATAAATCGAAATTCATTAAATGGGGATTCAAATGTTTGACCAAAAACGAATTTGAAGTCAATCTTGAAGTCAAACTCATTCTTGTACTTGGCACACCATTCCTCTACTGTACAGTTATAAAGATCAGTCAAATGCTTTGGAGTTTTGAATTTTCGAACACTTTTTGGATTATTTTTTTATCTGTTTAGCTACAGAAAGGCATTGTGTACAGTATACTTGTTTGAAAACACTAGATCATACCTCGCCAAGAAGACTTCAAACAATAATCAGGCTAGGTTATGTTATAATCAGGAATAAAGTCAGTGTTCTGGTCTGGCATGCAGGTAAATAAGAACTTGACGAGACATTCTAAAACTATTCCAAATATCAGCTTGGTTATTACCTCAGCATTGGCAGTGTTAATGCACCGTCAATGCACCGTTTAATGCTTGGTTATTACCTCAGCATTGGCAGTGTTGAGCTAATGCACCGTTTTGCATGACTTCAGATTTTAAGCGTTAATCATATATGTTCGGTCGCAATAGAAGACAATATAAAAACAAAGCTTTTACTGCAGTGCAAATTGTGCCTGACAAATCTATATTCACATACTTACTTGTAGGCCTGAAGCACGAATTTTGCTTTTCTTGGGTGAAATTCGTCAAGAGTAATTAAAGAATCAATGAACAAGTATTATACGATGAATTACGAATACTGGGTGTAGTGAAGACCGTTAGAAATAAACTTACCGTGAAGTATCAATGGCTTACCATTGTGTTATTCCACTGGTGCATTGGTGCGAAACAGCTTTTGTGCAAAGTATCAAAGATACGTAAGAAAGACAGGCAATGGCAATACTTAAAGTGGTACTATGACGAAAATTTTGCCTCTCGTTTTTTTTTCATAGATTAATAGTGTATGTAAAAAAAATCTCTTCTGGCGAAATTTTAGCGCAATGTATTTCATGCTGCTCGAGTTACGTAGCGATAAAACTTGAACTTTAAGAGCCGCCATTAAAATGCGCCATATTTGAATTTTCAAGAAGGAAGGTTGTGACGTCATAGTCTTAACTCGCGGCTGTTTACAATATAACACAATATACAAATAGAGATTTAAAAGGTTGTATAACTCAATTTTTTAACACGCCTTCAACACGCTGTGTCGTGCAAGATTGCAGTAATAAGTCTGATATAGAATTACAGGCATTTCATTACATAAAGCCCACACGACGAGTCTTTGAGAAGAATTTGGGTTAAATTTGTTCAGACGAAGCGCGCAAACTTTAATCCGAGTTCGCGCGAAATTCGATTTATGATTTGTTCGAATCACTTCTCGGATGATTGTTTTGAGCGTTTATTCCATTTGTGTGGTATGACTAGACGGCTCAAACCTGGTGCCGTACCTACTATTTGGAAGAAATCACAAACACCAACAACGTCAAGAGAGCGGCGTTCAGGTTAGCACAAGTTGCAATTATTATATACTTACACATATTGCAGATGATAAATTTTCACAATTTGAGAGAACCAATAATACATCCAGGCAAACTTTCAATATATAATATACATTTATACTAAGGTTTTAAAGGAATTACAAAATGAAGTGTCTGTATCATGCGATGACCTTTGGTCTTTAAACCTAACGAAGCTTCTTGAAGAACAAATTCGTTCAGGCAAACTTCGTTAAAACCAGGGTGATCCAAAATGCATTTCTTTTCATCGATTTCGAACTGATACATTTTACCACGGCATTGCTCTATTTCCATGCAGCATCGGCACTCTTGAGGGTTGACAACAAGATCCAACGAACAATGGCCACATTCACACCTTTAATATTGGCCAAATTGTATGTTTCCATAAAGTTATCATAGCTAACGGCAGACGATTTAGATCAAAGTAACACACTAAGAATGACATCTTACCATGAAGTAACATCAACACGGGCATCAAAACGATGTTGCAGCATGTCTTCAACCCGCCGTTCTTCTGCGACTGTAGCTTCGTACTCAGCAATTTCATCGGGCGAAGCAAGCGGTTCAATATTATCGACAAATGGCAAAAATTTCCGAATTAGATTCGTTCGAATTTGCCGTCACAAATTCCGATGAAGAAATCGATGCGTTTGTCTCGATCGAAGACTCAGAGAGCGAGCTAGATCTTGATAAATTTGACATTTTTTTGCTCTATTTATGTATTACTTTGTATATTTTCCAATGTGCGTTTCTTGCCGTGTTAAGGCTATGACGTCACAGACCTTTGCTGATTGAAAATATTCAAAATGGCCGATTTTAATGGCGGACATGAAAATTAGACATTTCAAATGTTCATAACTCCCTCGTTATATTATTATTTTTGCTTACATTTTACGAAAGCAATAATTGATATGTGCTTAAACTATTTAATGCTAAACTCGATGATTTTTTGACGTTAAGCTTTCGTCATAGAACCACTTTAATGCAGCCGTGAGATTAAAGCCTGGTTCACACGAGTAAAATAAACACGAACGTCGAGACTTTTGTTTCTATTGCTCTAGAGGTTTATAAAGGCAAAGACATTGGGATTTTCTTTAAATCTTCTTTTTGTTCTTCTCTTAGCTTATGCTTGCGCTTATGTCGATGCTTATGTCACATGTTTCGTTTATTATCTTTGTTTTATCTTTTGTCTACGCATGTGCTTATCTTTATTTATTTCACTCGTGTGAACCAGGCTTAACATATTGATATGCATTGAAATTATAACAGAACGTCAATTTTTATAAAGGTCTTTTTGTGCATAAGTATTCTTCATATAAACGCACTGTGCATTTTAATCATTGAAGCTTGACTTGCTTGACCTATTGACTATAGAAGACTACGTGTGCAAGCACACACATAATAACACTCACACAATAAACACGTATACCATGTTTATTTTATAAAATGCTTAGGATATATTTAAAAATACTTTGTAGGAGGGAGAAGTTATTTCAAAAGTTCAAATTCATACTGACCTCAGAAGTACGAAAACCCAAATAGTGTTTGTGAAAGACTTTCGTTTATTCACATTCAACGACATTTAACCACTGATCTGATAATAGACTGGATATAGCTTCTACAGGTAGCAAAAGTGAAGCCTAATTATATATGCAATATTCACTTCCGGTTACCACGGCGAGATACAAATTACTATAGAAATGTATGGCGGATAACGTTTACAAACATGGATTTTCGAATATTTAAGACCTTTCGCGACTCCTTACTAACCTCAAGTATTAGTCATGGATAAAACAAGTTATGCGAATCGATTTGACATCAAAATGATTCCGATAGCTGCAAAATATCGACGTTAGTGGTGATTTAAAAGTTGTACATGCGAGAATGTATTTTGTCCCATCATTGCCAATGCAAGATAGTTCACTGCTCGCTTTCCAATTTCTGAGGCAGTTATGATCTAGTATACGTTTCAGTTCTTTAGAAATGAGGTGAGTTACTTTTTTTATCATTCTTTCTTTATGTTGAGAGATTGTTGACATTTTATTTTTGCTGTAACTTCATTTTTCATGAGCAAAGTACTACTGCTTAAACAAGACAAGTCTATTTAGTTTCTTTCTGCACTTTATCTTTAGTTTCCATTTCTGTAGTTGTTTTTCTCAAATGGTATAGTCGCACTTCGCGCTTAATTATTCAAAGAAGTATGATTTTCATTGACATTAAAATCTAACAAATGGACACTTTAGTATACTGCTTTTGAAACATCAAGGTAATGTAGCCAGCCAGGTATGAATTTGCAGGCCCTCTTTATAATCATCTTGGTTTTGGTTTGTCCCTTAAGTTAATTTAAATTATCAACAGCAACATATGACTGTGTCCACGGTTTATAATTATAAGTGTGTCCAATTGTATCCAGTATATCAGTTTCACACTGTCTTGTGCTAATTCCTTTACAGCCATGAATACTGCTTCTCAGCAACAGTTTATTGTCTACAGCTGTAAATTGGTCAACTGTTGGATTGTTGAAGTCACATTTTACAAGTGGAATAAAGCTCTTGCCTTTCTTATTACTACAAGACTCAAGACTGATGATCAAACTGTTGCTGAAAAGGATTGTAATGTCAACTGCAATTCATATTCATACCATCCCTAACTACATTCATATCTTAAGAATAATTTTAATGTTTTGGAAAAATATTTAAGGCATTAATATTACATCATACTAACTTCTGAACTTGCTTTAGCACTTAGAAGAGGAAAATAAAATTTAGAGCAAAAATGAGATTTTAATTTATATTATTTCTGAGTATAAGAACATTATTTTGAGACCAGTGTGAAAAGGCACTGATCTGATAATAGATCAGATAAATCAGTGGGAAAAGGCGCTGAATTATAAACTGGCTACTGTTTTCATACACGGTTACTGCTTTCAACTGGGATTTGAAATTCAAAATTAAAAAGTAACTGCGATTGTATGATTTACAAGGGACAAATCACAACAGAGATGAGGATGAAGATTATATAGTGCACCAATCTTTCCACTGTATCTGAATTTAAAAAGCGCAATATCGCATATTGGCTATGTTGCCCAGATGGTGCAAAAAGAAAATAAACTGTCCTGTTTGTCATGGCAGTCGGTTAAGAAACTACAAATGATCTGCTTTCCTGATTTTAAACAGACAGTAATTGTAAGCCAACAGCAAGTGTAATAGTAATATGCAATGAAACAGAGAGGTGCTTTCAGAGAATGTTGGCAGATGGAAATTTACCGCAAGGGAAAGGAATTCCTGATGCTATTGCTTTGTCTGTAGTAAATGGTATAGATTAGAGGACCACATTCAAGGATCTCGATGCACACATGTTGGATACAGGATACTACTGTTCACGAAAATCATATTTACTCATTAATTAAGACCATATCTAAATGCTACAGCAAGTTGCGACTATACCATTTGGGAAAAACAACCACAGAAATGGAAACTAAAGATAAAGTGCGAAAGAAACTAAGTAGACTTGTCTTGTTTAAGCATCAGTAGTACTTTTGCTCATGAAAATGAAGTTACAGCAAAAATAAAATGTCAACAATCTCTCAACATAAAGAAAGAATGATAAAAAGTAACTCACCTCATTTCTAAAGAACTGAAACGTATACTAGATCATAACTGCTCTCAGAAATTGAAAGCAAGCAGTGAACTATTGCATTGGCAATGATGGGACAAAATACACTCGCATGTACAACTTTTAAATCACCACTAACGTCGATATTTTACAGCTATCGGAATCATTTTGATGTCAAATCGATTGCATAACCTGTTTTATCCATGACTAATACTTGAGGTTAGTAAGGAGTCGCGAAAGGTCTTAAATATTGGAAAATCCATTTGTAAACGTTATCCGCCATACATTTCTATAGTAATTTGTATCTCGCCGTGGTAACTGGAAGTGAAATTGCATACCTTACTTAGTATTAAAATTGCGCAGTACTAGAATTCGCGCAGCGCTGAGGCGCGAATTTAGTACTGCGCGAAATATAATCCGCGCGAAAAGCTTTGTAGTGTAATATGAGACATTCATTGTTGGTTATGCAAATCAGTTGTTTTATTAACGCATATACATATTGACATATGTTTTAGTTGTCCAGGTAACATTAAAAAAAAATGTCTTCATTTTCATCCTGTACAATTTCAGTCGGGATATTCAGGTTCTACGTAGTATTCCGTCACGAATGCCTCCATTTTGCTGTATATCCTAAAACTTGCATTGTTCTGCATGACTGTTAGGTAATAGGAATCTCCAAGCCTCCTTGTGGTAATGGGGATCGACGAAATTTGATGTCACACACACATGCTTCGCCCCATATTCAAAAAAAGAACTTCAAAATCGGGAAATCTCTCGAGGCAAATGTCCGACCAGTGACAATGGTTCAATCTTGCCTCTGATTTTGGTAAACAGACCAACAGCATATGGGTCGAATAGGTTTCCTGATTCTGGTTTTATTATTAACTGCTGGTTGATTCTTGGAGCCCAGATTTTTCTGTACTCATGAAAACCTCGTGATGCGCAAGCCAGAGAAAACGATGTCCCCTCGGGGCTCAGTTTCACTGAATTAGAATCATCCGTTCCTGAGTCGTGGGTTTTTGAAGCAAGCAATCAGATGCGTAATTTTCTTTCGCGTTGCACGCTTCACACAAAAGCAACACTCGAACCACTTTTCCATCCAGGATAGTTTTCAGATGCAGGGATTGAACACTTGATTCCTCGGTTACAAACAAATGATTTGCATTTTAGACAAGTGTATTTTGTCAAATCATTGCACACGATGCAAATGCTTTCCATTTCTCCAACACAATAGCCAATGATGAGTCACGTTTCTTTAGGTGTTAGATATGATGTTCTATTATTATTTTACTGACTGATTTTACTTCCTTATTAACTAATTGCCGAATACGTCAAACGTTTCCGCAACACATATTCTACCGTTCAAGTATTGCCAATAGAAAACATTGTGCAGGAAATCAATGCACATGGCTCTGTTAAAATATTTCAAAAAGGTTTCCCAAGACGATATTTCGGTCGCGTCGTCTGACAGCAAATTAAATGCTGCCGAAGAAAATGCAGTAAAACAGCAATTATTTCTTGACGCTCCAGAACCAAAGAAAAGGAGGGGCAAATATGGAGCATATGATGCTTTTCAACGAGCAGAAATTGCAAAATGGGGAATTGTGCATGGAATAAGACCGGCGGCAAGAAAGTATTCCGTACCAGAGTCAACTGTTCGTGGACTTGTCAAATCGTACAAAAAGGAACGAAAAGAGCGCACTGAACTCGAACAATTGCCTAGAAAACATCGTGGAGCAAAAACTTTGTTACCTGAGAACATCTATGAGAAAGTTATCGCCATGATCAAGAGCATGAGAACGGCCGGTTGTGTTGTCAATTACAACATTGCTATTTCCATAGCGAAGGGGATAGTACTGGCTAATGATCGGTCTTTGTTGAAAGAAAACGGAGGAACCCTAGAATTCCACTATACATGGTGCCAGTCAATTTTCAGAAGATTGGGTTTCAGTAAACGTAGAGCAACAACTGCAAAACAACCCGTATCACCTGGCTGCAAAACAACCCGTATTAAAACGCTTCACGTTTCATCGTTCTATTAAGGAAGTGGTTACCGCTTATGACGTTCCCGACGATCTCATTATAAACATTGACCAGACCCCTCTCCCGTTTGTCCTCATCAGCAAGTATACAATGGACAAAACTAACGAGAAGTTTGTGCCGATCAGTGATAGCGCCGATTATCGCCAAATTACTGGAACATTCTCAGTCACCGCGTCGGGAAAGTTTCTGCCAATTCAACTAATCTACCAGGGGAAAACAGACCGGTGTCACCCTAAATTCAGATTTCGAAAAGAATTCCACGTTACCCACACGGAAAATCATTGGTCAAATGAAACGAAAGCAACTGAATTAGTCAATCGCATTCTTATCCCCTATGTTAAGCAAATTAGAGAAGAGCTTGGTTTTCGCGCAACAAAACAATGGGTTTTGATCGCCGATGTTTTTAAAGCACATTGGACGGATGCCGTAAAGAAGATCATTTCCGACAATAATGGGAAGATAATACCTGTTCCCAATAATATGACATCATACCTGCAGCCCTTAGATTTAACGGTCAATCGCTCTTGCAAAGTTTTCCTTCGAAACCAGGCGCAAACATGGTACTCAGAGCAAGTCCAAGCCCAAATAGAGAAAGGTATTCAACCTGATAAAGTTTCTGTTGATTTGAGAATTAGCGTGCTCAAACCACTTCACGCAAAATGAATAGTGCAGTTCTATGATTACATGCAATCGAACAAGGACATTGTCGTCAAAGGTTGGCAACGATCAGGTGTGAGCGCTGCATTGGAGGAACCACAACGAAAAGAGGATCCATTTGAACTGTAGCTAAACTTTTGTTTGACTTATAAAGTATATTGTTAGGCAATATCATTTATTACATTTTTAGTTCTTGTTGGGATAGTGAACTCGCTTTATTTTGAAGCCATTTTGTGGCCACCCAATCGCTTTTTGATGAATATTGAGGTATTTCTTAATAAAGAAAGCTCAATATAAATGCGTTAATTATTAATAGTTCTTTTGAACAAACCAAAAAGAACGAGCACATAAAATTACTTGCGCGAATTTAAAGCTGCGCGAATAATTGTCAACAAAGAGCGCGAAATTAAATCGCGCGAATTTAAAGCTGAGCGAAAATGAGTACGACTCGAATTTTAATACAAGTAAGGCATATAATTAGGCTTCACTTTTGCTACCTGTAGAAGCTATATCCAGTCTATTATCAGATCAGTGCATTTAACTGTGAGCGCATGAGCACAATCAGTTGATTTATGTTAAGTTTTAGAAGTGATAGTAGCATAACTAACATCATCATACAAGACTTACAGAGTTACGTAACGGTGTAGTTATCATTAATAAAGAAGACTATTTCAAAAAGATGAACGAAATTATGTTAACCATTGGGTTTTTTTCACGATTGCACGCGAAGACAGCAACATACAATCATCATCATCATCATCATCATCATCATCAGCCGTTCACGCCACTGCTGGCAGATGGCTTCCACAACTTCTTCCACTCGATTCGGTCTTTAGCTCTCCTCATCCAGGTCTTTCCAGTTTCCTCTTCGATCTCGTCTCCATCTTCTTTGGCTTTCCTCTTCCTCTGGTGCAGTTTTCTGTACCATTCTGTTACAACGAATACCCTGTTCTCCTTTCCATTCCTGCCCATCTGCCTTCATTTCTTTTGTTTGATTTTGACCATCTTTCATTCTGTTCTTCTCTGATTACTTCATTCCTGATCTTGTCTTTTAGCCTGATATTTAGTATGCCCTTCCATGCTCCTTTGTGTGACTGCCAGCTTCCTTTGATTGGTGTTTTGTAAGCGCCCATGTTTCTGTCCGTATGTCATAGATGGAAATGACAGTGTCCATTATTTTCCTCTTCAAACTGTTTGGGATGTTCTTCCTTTAGAAAGTGACTGTATTGTCTGAATCTTCTCCATCCGACATCGATTCTTTGATTGACTTCAACACTGATTTCATTTCTTGGTGTTAACATTTTTCCAAGGTATTTGTACTCCTCCACCTCCTCCAACTTCTCTCCGTCAACTGTGATCCCTTTTCTTTGCTTCCTCCTTGCGATGTCATTGCACATGATCTTGGTTTTTTTCTTATTCATTTTCATACCATCTTTCTTTCCTTCTTTCATTCAGTTTTTTTTAACATACAATATCTTTCGATTTTCTAAATGTGGTGCCACATATAAATATTTGCAAGAGGTTAGGGGTGGAGAGGAGAGGAGGGAGAGGAGAGACGAGGAGAGAGGAGAGGAGAGAAGAGAGAAACGGTTGTTTCTTATAGCTATTTATTCGTGACAAAACAATGATGTTCATGCAAATTAAAACATGAATCATGTCTTATTGAATGTCATTACATACATGACCAAATTTGATTTATTCCAAAAAATTTTATCAATTTTGAACAAAAAATCATTATCTCCATTACTGAAACATGAACTAAACTAACAATTCTAATAAAAAGATCTATTAAACTGCTGTTCCAAAAGTTGCATTTACTGTGGATGTCTTTATGGTGCAGTTTTACGGCAGCAAAAAACCAAAAACTTCAACTAATTCTATCAGTTATAAATGTTGCCTAGTAAAGTGTATACGAGAGTAACAAGATCAAAGAGTAGAAACGCTCCCATTTCACCACATCACTTTGTGAATTCATTGTTACCATTGTGCGTGCAAACATAATAGATGAAAGACGAAAGAATCAATATGGCGAAACGTGTTTAGTTCGCATTTTTATAAAATCATCAAGACAAGACGAATTATTAACACGACGAATATCAACACTATTTATAGCCAAAATACCACATTTCGTGCGCAAATAGTTTTTGCGATGCTCGAGACATTTCGCGTTACTGTTGACATAGCATTACGACAAGTGGATCCAAATTTCAAAAGCCCAAAAATCAGCAAATGCAATTCATATGCGTATAAGTCGGAAAAACCACAACACAGAAGTCCACACAATCTTTCAACTTTCCAACAGATAATTGTAAACTAAGATTATGTTTACACTACACAAGATCGATCTGAAAACGGAACAAAAAAGCAACAGAACCGGATTACGTTTTTACAGCACCGGAGAGGAATTGTTTGAAAACGTCACCTTTATCCGTAGCGAAACGACCACACTTTCTAAACGTGGTCGAACGAAAACGGAGCGCTACGCAGCGTTGTGTAAACACCTTAGGTACCAGTTCTCTTCTATTCGACCTGCGTTGTGGCACATAAATGAAAAAGGTGAATATTTTATGTTTTGGAAAGCTTTAAATGATAAATTCCGTTGTAATTTTTATAAATCAATGTTTTCATGGCTTATGGCTAAAGATATAAACATCTAGCAATGTTTAAACGAGAAATGTCATCATTCTTTCACAAACAATTGACGAATTTTGACAAAAGAAGGCATTAGTAAACACTTACAAAACTGTAGCGAAATAACGAATTAGACGCAGTCAAATCCTGCCGTCACTTTTTCGCTCCGGAGTAGAGTAAACGTTAGTCTACATCACCACACAAGCTAAAATTCTGAGGAACGTCCAATAGCGAAAAATTGATTGTTTAAATATTCACATGCAAACTGCTGTAGTGGAACACCATAACTATATGTACGCGGCAGACTGAACACCCAATGTAATTATTCAATTATCAAAGCAATTAAAACGTTCAAACTTCGCCGCAGCATAAGCAAAATCAGATTTGCTTATAATACAATCGATATTGGTTGAAAAGGATGGTTTAAAGCTTCCAAGCTCCAGCCTTGCAAAATGTTGGAATTAGAGAACACCCTCACAGGGAAGCCCAAACGAACGGAATATTTTCTATGCAAGACATCAAACATCTTGTAACCATACTGTACCAATTGCTTGTCAGATATTGCTACGGTTTTTGCGAATGGTGAAGTGTCCAAGGTGTGAACCTCTCCAGATGCGATGCTCCAAGTGAGGAGAATTGAAAAAGTGCACGTGTCTCTAAAAAATGATTTTATTATGTATAATAAAATATATTTCCACCAATTGTAAAGTTATAGCTATTCAGTAGAGAAAAGACAGAATCAACATTCAAAGACTATACTGCATGTAATTTTAATGGTGAGAATTTTATTGCTATTCAGTCAAATATTCAGTAATTATTATTATAAAGTATAATATAAACACAATAAAACGCGTGCGATGATTGGTCTATAGTTGTGTTTGCATTAGCTTAAGAAAGAGATATGAGCTCAACCAATTAAATAAATAAATCGATCAAAGAGTACTTGCAACTTGTGAAAAAGAGATCTGAGCTCAACCAATTAAATAATTAAATCAAGAGTATTTGCAACTTGTGCTGAGCTCAACCAATTAAATAAACCATCAGAGCATTTATACCCAGATCGTCTGCACCCATAAGGAAAATAACGTATTTGCTGCTGTTTTTGCGAAAAAAAAGATGCTGAACACAAATCACTTTACTGCTGTTAACCTTATTCGAACTTTGCTTTGTAATGGCTGTGCGTCAAGCTTAATGGCGATCCCGCACCATTATGTCTTCCGCCCATTTCATGAACGAACAATATAACTGTAATATGGATGACGACACAATTTGTGCTCTCACATATATCAACCACTTGTGTGTTGTAATTCTTAATCACCCAATATCGATCATCAAAGTTGAACGATGACTTCACTACTTCGTGTATGTAAGGCTCTACTTCAAACGACGCAATTCTTGTGTGAATACGTGGTGTAGTGTGAGCTTTCATCGACTCTTTTTTACCGTGTAAACATTCCGTAAGATCGTAAGGATCATTTTCGACGGTCTCCACTTGAATATCCACACTTGACGAACTTTCTATAATGGGACTGCTCAAGTTACCCTCGGTCATTTCTGTTTCAGGACTGTTACAGAATGTTTTATAATTAAACGATGAAAATTTGCAGGAATCGTAACTGTAGCTTGTATGTTGAGCGTCCTGACTATTGTCGTGGGTGGTGGGGTTAAAACCAACACCCCAAAGTGTGTTTGGATTCTCATTGCCGTCGTAACTTGATATGCTGTCACTGTCACAATTATTCGACTTCATACAATTATTTTTTTGAGTTGTTAAATTTGCAAAAAGCTCAACTTGTGATAACATTGAAGATACCTCTCTCTTTTTCCCATCTTTTTGAATAATGCACGACGCGTCGTTGGGTTGATCACAACGTCTCGTTTCTTCAATTGAGTTGTTAATATCGCGATTATTTGTACAGGGCGAATACTTATATGACTTTTGTGATGATGACGGACGACCGTTACCACGCGTATTCACGCTGTTCAAATCATCCCCACGTGTGTGTGACGAAACGCTTCGTGTTTTTTCGCTTGCATGCTGAGCACAAGGCACAATTGTTATGGCATGTACGGAATCAACTGAGTTAATGATAACAGTGTGTTTTAATTTCAAATGTACTTGCGGTACAAGCTTTGGAAATGGCGACAATAGAGTGTACATCATATGCACAGCCCAAGTGTTTTCCGATGGTAATTCGTTGGTCCTCGGGGGCGAGGTGCATATTGTCACAAAGCATTGACGAGTTTGCTCGTCTCCACGTTGGGGTCTGAAATAGAAAATACAAACTATCAATTCTTCGCCCTATGTAAATTACTTTGCGACTATACGCGGTATTGACCACAAAATTTGGAACTGTTTTTTTATTCAACATTGGTTAGGTATTGTGCCTTAAGAAGACTGGCAGTCGTGAGCCCGTGATGCAATGTTGTCAAAGTTGCGCCTTAAGAAAACAGGCATTCGTGAGCCCGTGATGCAATGTTGTCAAAGTCGTGCCTTAAGAAGACTGGCAGTCGTGAGCCCGTGATGCAATGTTGTCAAAGTTGTGTCTTAAGAAGATTGGCAGTCGTGAACCCGTGATGTAATGTTGTCAAAGTTGTGCCTTAGGAAGACTGGCAGTCGTGAGCCCGTGATGTAATGTTGTTAAAATTGTGCCTTAGGAAGACTGGCAGTCGTGAGCCCGTGATGTAATGTTGTCAAAGTCGTGCCTTAAGAAGACTGTCGTGACCCGTGATGCAATGTTGTCAAAGTCGTGCCTTAAGAAGACTGGCAGTCGTGAGCCCGTGATGCAATGTTGTCAAAGTTGTGCCTTAAGAAGATTGGCAGTCGTGAACCCGTGATGTAATGTTGTCAAAGTTGTGCCTTAGGAAGACTGGCAGTCGTGAGCCCGTGATGTAATGTTGTCAAAGTTGCGCCTTAAGAAGACTGGCAGTCGTGAGCCCGTGATGTAATGTTGTCAAAGTTGCGCCTTAGGAAGCTGGCAATCGTGAACCCGTGATGTAATGTTGTCAAAGTTGAGCCTTAAGAAAACAGGCAGTCGTGAGCCCGTGATGCAATGTTGTCAAAGTTGTGCCTTAAGAAGATTGGCAGTCGTGAACCCGTGATGTAATGTTGTCAAAGTTGTGCCTTAAGAAAACAGGCAGTCGTGAACCCGTGATGTAATGTTGTCAAAGTTGTGCCTTAGGAAGATAGGCAGTCGTGAACCCGTGATGTAATGTTGTCAAAGTTGCAGAACTTGAGAAGGAAAACACTTGATATGAATACAAGACATTTATATACGTACGCACAACCATGTACGACAATTCTATCGTCATTAAATGTCTGGCAAACAAGCAATTTAAGTTCTCCCATGATGCTTCGCTCCTCGAATAAAGACACACTACACACCTATAGAACGATCAACATAAGATTTTATAACCTCTCCTTTTGCGTAGCAGAATTTTCACTGAAAAAAATATCATTAATACTTCTCGCAAAGGTCTTCTCAGGTCAAACTTCCACCAATGCAATGTGTACTTGTAAAAAGGAAGCGAATGACTATCCCTATCTTGCAAGTAGGATATGACATACTCTCCACAATTGGTAAAACCAAGCAAAACATGTCCACTGCAAATGTCAGATATACGAAAAATCAACTATACCTGAAAGATGCAAGTTACATACTATCAATGTGTTATTCGATTTTGTAGTGAAAATAACATAATATGCCCTGGTCATTAAATATTCGTAAAATTTCATACCCAATACCAAATACATCATTGTCTTCGATGTCACGTAGTCGAATGCGGACAGGAGAAAATTTAGGAATTATTTCCAGGTGCGAACGAGGAAAAACAGCATTTATATGGTCATTCCCAAAGATCTGCAAATAACGAGTTGAGAAGTGTAAAAACGTAATGTTTAATACAGCAACAAAACTACAACGGACGAAAAAAAGCCGTGTGTCTTTCTAACTACAGCTGCTTATGTTATGTATGCTTTTCCAATTCTTTCCAAATTTTCAACACATTGGGGGATCTTTGTTAAAATGAGATGTTTCCATAAATCACAATTATTTAAACACATGATATTGAAATTGTAAAATTTACACCTTTCCTCCCCTCTCTACAAAATCCAGTTTCACTACTGATCCCCATAAAAATTGGTCACATTAGCTTGGGGAATCAATTCGTATGTACTTCAAAATTTAACTGGTAGCAATTATCATGAAAAGTAAAGTATGTACATATAAATTTGGGGAAAGGAAATCAATGTGTTAGCCAAAATCACCAAAATCTATCCTGTTCTGACTTGTGCAACCTTCATTTATTGAACCATGAAAGAAACAAGGCAGTCTTCTATTAGAATAAGGCGAACTCGTTTGAAAACTGATATGGAGGTTTTATAAACTCAGTTGATGAAGTTTATTCCCAAATTTTACTATCATGATATTCATTTCAATGACTTCTTGCACAAAAGGAATATGGAAAAAATCATTGATTTGAATGAATTAGTTGAGAAAAAAAGTGCAATTTTTTTAAGAATTCACTCTCAAAATGTTCATCAAATTATTATAAGCTTTTAAATGCAACCACTTATAGTTGCATTAAAACAAATACTACATTAAGTTGAATATGATGTAGCAATAAACTAATATTTTTAAAATTTGCATTCTTTGTGCCTTGTAGTGCACTATGACTAACGTGGAAACTGTCAACAATGTTTTTATGTTTTATTTAAGAAATAAAAGATGTTTATTGTGTTTGCACGGGCTTATACTAACTGAGGAGACCTTTGGGAGAACTTGAGAGCAGATCAGTGCAAGCCGGAAATGGAAGGTCGAGGGTTGCACCTGCTCGAGTGTTCTCACAAATGTCTCCGAGATTTGCATAAGCCAGTGCAAACACAAAAAACATCTTTTATTTCTTTTATAAAATAAGAATAATGCAAAAAAGACAAACATTTTAATTCTTCCTCTAAAATGTATTCATGATCGATTTGCAAATTCTCTTTGATTATTTGATTGTTTTGATTGATTTGATTGGTTTAGCTCAGATGTGTTTTGAACAGGCTGATGCAAACACAGATCTAGACCAATCACCGCATGCATTTTATTGTTTTTATTTTATAATGATGTTTGAAATTTTTAATAGTATTATAATACATCACATCGATTGCATACTGTTCTTCGCATGCTAATAATGAATGAACATAACATTTCTCTTTTTTGTATACTGTTTGAAAACATGATGTGCAATTTTTTATATTTTAGCCAAAACAATGTGCAAATTGAACAATTGAACACAGTCAGCTTGAACACTTGAGGTTATGAAGTAAGTATGGACTGAAGTGTGATCTTTATTAATTATAAGGAGATTTGAGAAAAGTTTAGAATGTCAAGAAGTAAATTAGTGGACATAAGGGTCTAGATAAAACAAAAAATGCAACACATTTATCCGGTTGTCATTGGGGTGCATCAGGCAAGAAAAGCTGAACAATTTTTGATTGTGTGGCGCAATGCAACAAAATTGTAAGCATCAAAGACAATGAGAATTGATGGCTATATCAGGTGTCAAAAAATTTTTGTACCACGATGCCAATTTTTGGGGTTCCTCAATTACATTATAAAGTTACTTTAAAGATCCGTGTAAATTAGATATCTTGAGATGGCATACAGACATCTGCTTTTAAAAGAAAACATTTTATTTTACAAAAGGAAAAAGCCAAAGCTAATTAAGATCGCACTAGTTGTGTGTGATCAATCTCATCATCTCTATTATTGATGTTTATGTTAATATTAATGTTTATTTTATCACCACATTAATCATTACTGTTATCTGTACCACTACTACAGTCTACAGTCACTACTTTATTGCTGCTGTTTTGCCATTGTTGTCATAAATATAACGCTTTTTCCGTAAATTCATACACATAAAAACTTTAAATCTAATTTCCCATGCTCATGTCATCATATAAAAATGAAGAGTGAGCAATGAGGAAAAGAAAAAAATAGTCAGAGTGAAAAAGCAGTCTTCATTTACTTCTTTGACCTTTCTACGACGAAGACATATTTTGCTCTTAGTTATACATAATGATTTGATATCCTTATAGCTATCAGTAGCAAAGGAATCATCAAATAAATATTCCGTTATATAATACATATTTTAATTCATAATTCACGCTCAATTCACAATTCACATACTCAGTTTGTTCATGATAAAAATAGGTGTTTAGCAACAATGTCGATAAAAAATTTCCATTACTCACTTTTCTTGTTGTAAGTTTCGTAACAACATTTCGTATTCTTCTTCCTTTACGCTTCATTCTATTTTACAAGACAAACAAGTGAACATCCTGAAGAAAATAGTCACGATGTACATAAATGACATTGTAGTTTTTAAAAATATGGCGGGCGTCTTTACTTTATTCGGTTTAAATGAAGTACCGCAAATATTTTTAAATAAAAATTAAAATTAACATTGTGCAATTTGCTCTTCCAAAAGCAGCTAAGGCAACAAATGACAATTTCTTCTCGCACATTCCCTCTGCTAGGAGTATTAAACTGCAGAATAACATGAAACGTAAACCTAGAAAACTAGCATACACTAAACTCTCTTATCCTAACGATAACCACACCCCAACTCAAGCTCTTCACTGGATTAGTTGAGCCTAGAGCAAAAAGGACATTTATTAGGAAAAATTAATTCAATGGCGACCATCACATTGATAATAGTTACAGTTATATACAGTTAACTCGCGCTCTAGGCTCGGATAGAGGTAAAATAGAGAAAATCAGTGATGTAGAGAAAATATTTTATAAATGGGTAGATTGCGCCAAGATGTACACGGTCTGGAAAATGTTTTTGACTTTCACTCAACAAAATATAATAGATATCAAGTAAAAACGTCAAACAGCTTTCAAATGCTATAACTTCTTCAGTTGATGCAGTTTTGCCATTTTCTGCACAACTACATGTATAAATAACTAATGACGCTCATGAAGGTAAATTTTCAGTTCAGAGCTAGCACAAGAACGTTCTCATAACGTTTTGGGAACGTTGTACTTATGTTCTGCGAACGTTGTAATTAAACGTTATCCGAACGTTTATTTGTCGACTCCGCTCAACGTTCCTAAACGTCCCAACGAACGTTCGTAAAACGTTCATATAACATATATAATATTTATGTACTAAATGTATCATACTAATAAATACATTAATACATACATTATTTAGTTCAATTATTTAAAACGTATTAGTTTACTCATTATTAGTTGAAAACGAAAAGATATTTTAACACTGTCCACTGGGAAAAACATTGTTTCTTTGACATATATCTTCCTTAGTGAAGAATAATTTAGAAGAAGCCTTATTAACGATAACGAGGCTCCTGTAGACAGCACAAAGAGTATCGTTACATGTTTGTGAACGTAGATCGTCCAGGTTAGTAGAGTCCTGAGAAGGACTATTGTTGTTGATGTTGACTGACGTTTCGACAACCTTAGCGGTAGTCACCTTCAGAGTCACAGTTCACAAAAGCAGTAATATCTTGGACAAACTACATGGCAAAAATTAACAAATACCTAAATTGCTTTTTGCGACGCGTATGAAAAATATAATACACAATAGCATGCTCCCCCATCGCAAACCTTATATCAAGTTGCTCATCCACACACGGATCCCACCCATAAAAGTAGCAGTTTTGACCGGCAAAACATTGGTTATTCACCGGGAAAGTATTTCAAAGAACATTGAATTTTTCCATAATTTAAACGTAAAACATCATGACATGCAAAGCATATAAATAATTCACAAATTGATAACTCAAAACAAACATTCAGTGTGCATGCTTTATCCAATAGCTGCCTAGTATTTAAGACTTTTAAAAAACTTGCAAAATTGCTTCTTGCATGATAATTAACCTCTTTTATCTTTAAATCGATGTTTTAAATTTTTGACTCAATGCATGGATGCAACTTTAGAAACATACTTCTATGCATGCATGAACACACTTTTAGAAACATACTTCTATGCATGCATGGACGAAACTTTAGAAAAATACATCCATGCATGCATGGACACAACCTCAGGAAAATACATCCATGCATGCATGGACACAACCTCTAGAAAATACATCCATTCATGCATGGACACAACCTCTAGAAAATACATCCATGCATGCATGGACACGAGTTTTCCATCGCAAAAGCTGTTTTCATGAAGAGGAATTTTCAAAATATGTGCAGGGAAACAAAGAGGATCCTATTTTCAGTATGCACTACTCATCCCACACTAAACAAAAATAAAATGTGAAAGATCATACATTCACACGCCTAAGATGAAGAAATCGAAAATACAGACAATAAAAGACAAGGACTTGCAATATCCTCTCATATCATATCAAGTAACATAGAGAAAGTCTGATGCAGTAAGTAAATTCTTCTTCTTAAATAACTCTTACACAATATAAATTCTAAGAGCTGATAACTACAAGTTTGTGAAATTATACCATTCATCGAATACAGTCAACATACGTAAAAAAAATTCCTCCACTTTAGGTTGTCTTCTACAGCACATCCAACAGGCTCTGAATCGTCTCAGGGCTTCATACCTGGAACATTTCAATGCTTATAATTTGTTTACAATCCATTATCCCTTTATACTATTAGAAGATGTTATTTCGAACTGGTTTGTGTTTATAAAGACCAAGTCATTTGAGTCATCACTATCATCAGGAATCAATAATTGTTATTGCTGCAATAATCGAAAATTTAACAGCACTGAACCGAATATTGAAGTTTTATTGTAATTCTAGGGATCACATGAGATTGCAAACGTATGTGTACAACAGTTTTTATAGGTCGGAAGAAGCCTCGAAAAAGTGGAGTACTTTTAGCAGGGAGGCAGGTAAGTGCTTAAGAGAGTGGGCACATGAGTGATGCAGTGGTATGGCTCAGAGAACAACAATTAAACCTCCACTTCTGGGTGAGTATCGTTTAATTTTCAATTCTATTTTGTCACCACTGCATCCGGGATCCCATGAAATTTTAAAGCAGTTATTCACAGGAGAAATTCCAGCCTTCAATGAGTATTATGAAAAAATCCTGTAACTCAACTATATACAACTCTACGTGTGCAAACGTCACCAGTATACCTAATCGTTATTGAGGACAGCCTCTGCAAGTTTAAGTCCTGGTCTAACAGGTTTTTTATAGAACCTATCAAAAAGTCAGATTGTTAGACCAACTGATTTTTTCAACAAATTCTGTACAGGGACACCCCCCTGTGTTTCCTTAAATATTGCTGCAGATCTTGTGCTGTGGGGCTTAAATATAGTAGCATCGATTCACGAAATCGTCAAAAATGTGTGAATCCATCTAGCTTATGTGTCCTTTGGGGCTTGACGCTACTGAGTAATAGCTTGGTCTTCTTTTCTCGCAGTATTCTCTCCTCTTCAGATGTTCATTCAAATGTATAAAGAACAGATAGCGCTGGGTCGGTGGATGGGTATTTAGGGTAATTGGTGGAGCTTTATGACCTCGTCGACTTTGTTTAACATGTGTCAGGAGGCAAAATTCCACCTCATGAATATTATTTTTTATAAACTTTGAATCAAGTAGATGGATACCTTGAGATCGTTGTGCTGATACAAATGCCACAAAGATGACAAATTCATGAGTAAGTGATTTAAGATCCAGTTGACTTGGTAGTTTGAAGGAAGACAAATATGATAGCACCGTCTGAACATCCCAAATAGATTCGTAGCGAGGGACTGGTGTCTACTTCTAATATACTTTTCATAAACCGGAGAGATGACATGTTGGCTAGCAAGGGTATGACCATTCTAAGGTTCCACTATGGCAGACAGGGCTGATTTTGTCGTGTGGATTGTGACATATTTTAGACCTTTCTGGTACAAACTGGTCAGAAAATCAAATACCATAGTAAGAGGTGCATCATATGGACTAACTTCGCGTTCTCTACACAGAACTTTTGAGTCCTTGATGTACGGTTGATATTTCTTAAGAGAGGAATCTGCCGTTGCAGCTTTGCTTAAAATGTTTTTACGCTAGAGACTTCACCAGATCGCTTGCATGATATAAGTTTCATTTTTCCTCATAGTGGATGTTGTTCCCCACTGAGGAGCAAGAGAAAATGGTCTGATTGAGGAAGAACCAGCAGATTGGCTATCAAAGATTCAGTGCAATGAAAAACCATAGCTATGCGATCCAAAACAGAACTAATATGACTCCCGTTACTCCAAAGTCATTCGGTAAGTGCCATTTTTCTTTTGCCATGCCAAAATAATTGAGAGATAAACACCTGGGGTAGTATACTTTTTTGTATAAACCTTTTTTCCAGAAGTTTGCAAATATTGTTTTCAAGCGCTTGGTAATCTTTTAGAGAGAAGCTTGTACTCATGGCAGGTGGAGTTTGTAATGGAGGATTTTAAATCAAACTTCATATTGTGATTCTGGATGGCACTGAGAATCACTATAGGTCTTGCGAAATAGATTCCCAACTATTTAAACGATTTTCAATTTTCCTTCCAAGGGTCTGGCATTCGTCATGGATGGCCCTCATCAAAAAAACTTTAAGATGGATTTCAAAGTAGCAAATACCATGGTGAATGGTGATAATAACAATGTAATAGTTCTTAAAAGAACTGTTTTAACCAGAACATTAACCCAACAATTCAAAGGAACCGTTATTTACAGCTAGAAAGAGACACTATGCTGTAAATAACGGTTCCTTTGAATTTTTGGGTTAGTGTTCTGGTTAAAACAGCTCTTTTAAGAACTATTACATTGTTATTATCACCATTCACCATGGTATTTGCTATTTTGAAATCCATCTTTAAGTATGTCACCACGACAAAGTCTCTGTTTCATTATTCAAAAAAACTTTACTCAAGCTCATCTGTGTTCATAGTCAGTCTTGTGATTTGTCTTTGTGCAACATTCCTTGACGAAATGTTGCACGTCTGTGCACTAAAAAGGCTTCCGAGCGTCAGAGCTTTTCTGAATAGGTTGAAACCTAATAGTTTTAGGGAAGAGTAAATCTGTCGGCTGTCACAACACATGTTGTATCAACCGTGTCTCGCTTGAATTTCGTTTTCAGGTCCGAGTACGATATCATACGGTAAGCTCTGAACTGCCGCTGTTTGGGCTATAGATGCTTACGACAAGTCTGTTAACGCGTTCTCAAATTCTTGTAATACTCCCGCGCCAACCAGCCGATATGATATTGGCCAAACACATGCGATAAATCTGTCTTTCCTTGCCGATTTCTTTCTTTTTCTCTTTACCCCGACATCGTGGGTACAACGCAGTACTTTCTTCTTCTCTTTACCCCGACATCGTGGGTACAACCCAGTACTTTCTTCTTCTCTTTACCCCGACATCGTAGGTACAACCCAGTAATCAAAAAAGCAATATTGTTGGTGATTTCAAAGCTTTGTCGACTTGACATCGAGCAAGATGTACGCACGCGCTTGCAATCTTATGGCATCCTGGATGCAATGGAGGCGAAATAGAATATATACTGTAAAGTAACGTGTTTCGAAATAAAATGACAAGAAGCACTTTTGAAAACTAAATTTGCCGCATTTTAGCTGCTTTAACAGCCGGTATAACGGATTATAATAATAGAGAACTTACCACAAACTTTACATAATCTTGGACATTGGTATATAACTGCAGCATGTTTGCATTGTGCGAAAGTTCGCTTGACACAAATAATGTCTTCATTCTTAGAGCATCTGACATCTTTATTTATGGAACGTTCAAAAGAGAGTTATTGAATTGACAAAACATTTAAATGGAAATAAATTCAAATAACAAACAATCAACTTACATTTTCGACGCTCATTCTTATCAATAATGCCTGTAATAGAAAAGGTATAAAAATAGGCGTATGAAGTAGTCGGCCTTGGACTCTATCTCTGAATAGCAATGAATTTAATTTTTACCGTACGTTTAATAGACTAATTCTAACAAGCAGACATCTTTAGCAAATAGAAAATAAAACAAATTCCGACTATCGACATCTTGTTATCTTGATATTCGAAATGAAAAAACAAAACAAGAGTTTTGAAACGATAATATTTCGCTTTTATTCCAGAGAAATCGTCAAAAATATCGTCAGAAAAAATCGAACATTGACAGAAAAGACAAGCGGGTACTCGTTTATCTTTCAAAGACTTCAATTCCACTCCTGCTTGGGACTTGTTCAATTTTGATAGTCTCTGATAGTTAAAGTCATTAATTAAGAAAGGGATGTATTTTATATAAGTCTTTAACACCAATAATGTTTAAATACCTTTTTACATGGATATTTTTTCACAGTTAAATGCTTAGGACAATAATACACATAACAGTGAGTTGAGTAGGTTTATCTCACATTGTGACCACATAATTGTTTGCCAGAGTATCAAGTGCAAGTTGCCCACATGTGCTCTCTATAAACCTATCTCTAAGCAAGCTCTTTTCGACTAAAGTTTCTTCGAAATTTGTGCTGAGGGGGAAAAATTCACATGAGCAATATGGCGTAGTCAGCCCGCAAATTTTAAGTATGCAAGGCAAATTATTCTGAGTTCAACCACTCCAATAACAATAATTTTCCACTGAAGTAAACAATGGTAAGGCTTGGAAATTTACATAACAAGACCAAAACCTTTACGACACATACACAGTTTGTAGCTCCTACACGAAAACGTTGGATATTATCCGTTAATTTTATTAAGAAACAACGCTAGTTGCTCGAAGCCGTAGAAGAAATGTGCTTCATAACATCTAAAGTAGGAGCAATTACATTAAACGAAACAAATGATAACCATAAAATACAAATGTAGAGTCTTTCAGTAGACCGAATAAGAAAGCCTCAAAAAAACAAAATTTTTGTAATGATTTCACTGCTCTAGATAAGCTGTTACAAGGCTCTGCTGACTAAAGTATTTATGAGTCTCTGTGATGGGAGCCGGATTATTTTCCTCAACGTTTCCGGTAAATATAAACCTATTTACAAATAAAGTGGTTCGTGCAATATGAGAATGCCTTAGTACTTTTTGAAATCGTGATAAGTTTTTTCCAAAACAATTGTATAATTTTTGGCATTCTTTCTTTCTTTTCCAGCCTACGCCACTGATTTGAAAGCACTGTTTTTAATGTCTTTGACTACTGTTTTTTGTTAGGCTAAGATACGTTACATCATGTGCATATAGCATGAAGTGGTCTTAAACAATTTTCTCTTGGTTTATTTACAAATTTTTTCACAGATAATAATTGTTATAGAGTTTAACATTCGTATGACAAGTGTTAGAATTTTGAAGACACTAGTCCACATTTACAATGCTTAGCCAAATTCTATTCGCGATTCATGCACCTTGCATTAGCATGATAGATTGATAGTAGCTGCAGTTCAACAAATTCAAAATGTTTTTACTGTAAACATACCCGTGCAATGTTTGCCATCTCCCGAATACCCATTTTTACAACTACATGTGTAGAATCCTTCATGATTCGCACAAATTGCATTCTCACATTGCATGATTTACACAAATGAAAAGATTTGCTCTGTGAAGTTGACTTATCTGTACAATTTCCTTAACATTTCTGGGAAATAAACCTAATTTGGATTTCTGTCCTTCTTTCCTGATCTAGGCTACGACACTGATTAAAAAATATTGTTTGTTATGTCTTTGACATTGCATCACATATGGTATGACGCGGTCTTAAGGAGTTTTGCTGCATGGGTTTATTTACAAATTGTTTTACAGCGAATAAGGGCATGTTCAAAGTTAAACATTCGCATGAAAAATAGTAGTATTTAGAAAACACTAGTGCACTTCTACAAGGCTTTTAGTAGTATTCTGTATTCCAATTATAATTTCCGCAACTTGCATTAGCCTGACGGATTGATGGTAGATGCAGTTTAACAAATTCGCAATCGTTTTATAATTACATAACTGTGCAATTTTTCCATCACCAGAATATCCATTTTTACAACTACATGTGTAAAATCCTTCATGGTTCACACAAATTGCACTCTCATTGCAAATTGATGGAGTTTTTTCACGTTCATTAACATCTGGTACATATAAATATGAGGTAGCAAATCGTAAATGGTAGTCAGTGTGAAATGTGGCTGCAACTTAACATATTGATAATCTTTTTAATAGAAACATACCAGTACAATTCTTTCCATTTCCAGAATATCCATTATTACAGCTACACATGTAGTATCCTTCGTGATTCACACAAGTTGCGTTTTGATGACAAACTGATGGCGTTTTTTCACACTCGTTAACATCTGGTACACATAAATATGAGGTAGCAAGTAGTAAATGGTAGTCAGTGTGATATGTAGCTGCAACTTAACATATTGATAATCTTTTTAATAGAAACATACCAGTACAATTCTTTCCATCTCCGGAATATCCATTGTTACATCTACACATGTAGTATCCTTCGTGATTCACACAAGTTGCATTATCATGACAAACTGATGGTATTTTTTTACATTCGTTGATGTCTGGTTTATGTAAATATGAAGTACAATGTTTGGAAAAATCATAGTAAAATCATATCACACATAATATGATTTTGAATGAATGAAAAGATTTGCAGATTATTCAATTTTTTAAGGATCCATACGAGTTTTTTGCTTTGTTTTTTCCTATTATGCGACATACCTGAGCAGTTAAGTGTACCATTCCCAGAATATCCAGGGATACATTGACAAGAGTAACTTCCCAGTGTGTTTGTGCAATTGGCATTGCTGACACAAATATTTTGATTCATCATGCATTCATCAATATCTATAAATTCGACACGTTTTTAGTTCACTAAATGTTTTTCCATTTTAACATTGTTATTTCATACAAATAATACAATTTGTTCTTGTTACGTTAATTGTGCCAGTTATATTAACTTAACGCACCAGTGCAGTTTTTCCCGTCGCCCATGTAGCCATTTATACAATGGCAAGTGTATGATCCGTTGCTATAGGAGCAATTCGCATTCGCATGACAAATGTTAGAATTTTGAAGACACTCGTCCACTTCTAAAATGAATGGCAACATTTTTGTAATGTTAGACACATACAAATTGAGAATTTATAGGTGACACTTACTGCCATCCATTCGTTGGCATGTTGTGCCATTACCACTGTATCCTAAAGGACACGATCCGCAAATGAATGAACCAATGGTGTTTGTACATGAGACTCCAGGAAAACATGGGTTAGATACACATTCATCAATCTTTATAAAGTGGATGTAACAGTTGAAAGTCATTGAAAGTATTTTTAATTCTCTAAGTCTTTTATTTTATAACCAAAATACCTCTGTTTCACAGAGATTGCCTGTGTATCCTGAGAAACAAGAACACAAAAATCCTGGTTGTTGATTGACGCAACTACCATTTCCGCAAGGTTTAGACACAACACATTCGTTTGCATCCTCCTTGCATAAAGATCCGGTGTATTGACTTGAACATAGGCATGTAAACTTTCCTTTCCCTTCAAGATCTTGTTCGTCAGGCACACAATCCCCGGAATTTTTGCATGGACATTCTTTTATAATAACATTTGCATTTAGCAACGAGTATTTACCGCATTCATCCGTCACGTTAAAGACAAATAACGATGCATTTGTCGTGACCCGGGGCCAAGTAAAAACGCCTCTTTCCGTTAAGGATGCTCCAGTGATCTCATTTTTGCCAAAGCTGTAGCGAATATCACGATTTTCTGGGTCAAAAGCGCGGAGTTGAACTTTCAATGCTTTTCCCCGGAAAGCATAAAAAACAGACGAGGTAATGAAGTATGGTCTTTGATTACCTGAAAAAAGAAAATTTAAAATGACATGAGTAATTGCGACACTTGAACAATTGTGAAGTATGAGTTTGAAATCATCAGAAAATGTAGAACCGCCGTAATGATCTGTGTAATTTCTATTGAATTCTGTGTCCTTTGAAAGAAAGTGGTACAATTCTTGAATTTGCTTGTTTTCTCTCCTGCTATTTAAGACTTGACTGGTAACGAGTGAATAAAAGCGTTTTGTTGATTGTCAATGTTTTAGTGATAGTTCTGCGCATGTCAAATTGGAAATAACATTTATTATGTTTAGACCATTGAGCTCTATAATAACTGGAGCGGCTAAGTGGACAGAGAACTATTGTAAAAAACATGGAGCCCAAAGGACCTATTTCCGCCAAAATTATCGCTTTGCAAAAAAAATATTATTGACTTCCCCCTGCTGTGTATAGTCAATTGCATAGAATTTTTCAAAAACAAATACGTTATCTTTTTTGCATTTCTTTTATAATGCCATCACTTCAATCGTTCAATTCTTGGATATCGTAGTTTCCATAAAAAGGATTATCTCGCTTCTCACAGGTAAGATATTTGCTTGTTGTATATGCACATATACATGCACTTGAAAATCCAAAAATACGCATTAAAGATCGTATTTTTAAGACTGACGTGAAGGCCATATGGCTCAAATATACTGATGTTTTCCTGTTTTTGTTTATAAAACTCAGCATACTTTTCTGTTATTTGTTAAGGGAAGATCAAGGAGCAAAGAAAAAGAAGGGTAGAAGTATTAAAAACACAATTTTATTATAAACACCACTGCAAGCACAAGTGTTTTCATAATTATTTGCATTTTTCCCAATTCATATATCAATACAACAAAATCAAATACATAAAAGATAAAAGTTTCTCTGGATTTTAAATGATTATTATTGAGCTTTCGACTCGTTGCTTTGAGCCTTCGTCAGAATGAGGATATTATTCTGATGAAGGCTCAAAGCAACGAGTCGAAAGCTCAATAAAAATCATTTAAAATCCGGAGAAACTTTTATCTTTTTTTATGTATTTAATGCCTGGATTACCAATTTTCAAACTTATATATATATACATATATTCACTCGTACCTCTTCTTGGGAGCCAGGACGTTGTCGAGAGATCAGGAAGACATTGCAAACACCAGTTGAAAGGATGACTTTCATTTTGTGCATAGCAGTGACCAGAAATAACACAAGCATCTGACTGTAGAATATAATTTTCTAGAATCGTTTGATTGTTGTGCCACAAAAAAATTCAATAAATTTCATACATTTTTTTCAACTCCTTACCTTGAAGCTACAACCTTTTGTCACATTACATTCCTGGCAAACAGAGTCGTAGGAGATGAATGTCATAGAATTCTCAAATGCATTTACACCGTTATTTGAGACAGCAATTTTTAAGCCAGCAGCAGTAATTCCAATCTCGTCGTACACACCAATGTTCACAGGTGATTCAGGAAGGAAGCACTTCACTTCCGTAAAATCCATCAAACTTGCCCGATAAAGAGTTATAGCTTCATTTGGTATCCATGGAGAATCGATGACCTGGAAGAATATTTAATAGAGCTTATATTCCTTATTAAGGATAAATGCCCCTCTTTCTCCATTATATCTCCAATATAAATCTTTCAAAACGTTGTCATATATTTACATGGATCAAACCTACAATCTTGCTTCCGACAACCTTGATAAACAAAACCTCTGTTTCCGCCAGTAGATTCCATGCAAGATATTTAAACAAAAAATATTTTAATACAGAAACGTGAAAGTTAGCACGCAAAACTTTTGCCGTGAAAAAATAAAAGTTCACTCTTGTTTATGAGGACAAATAAAACTTTGACGTTACAAGCTCTTTAAAACACGATTGATTTTTGCCAACCTAGTTAATGATTAAACTTTACTAGTAACAATATTTCTAAACTATACATTTTTGCACTATATATTTGTTTGATACATTCAGCAATAGGTTGAAGCACTGTCACCTCGCATAGGGTAGTTACATATAAAATAACAGTTCAACATACCTTGAATTCCTGAACGTGGCATGTTAAATTTGCTGAATCCAAAAATGGAAATCCATATATGCCAACATTTCTACAAGGTCTTCTCCTCACATCGCACAAACCATCTTTTCGTATACCTGCAACGTAAGGTCGATCACGGAGAGAAATGGAGCAGTCGCTTGCTGTGTAATATTCATCACAAGTACATGTGGCATTTGAGCAATTTCCGTGATTGGAACAATCATTTGGGCAAAGTGAAGCTATAAATTTCGTATTTAATTTTAACTCTCCATCCGTACTGTTCTCATAGAAGGATGCGTTTTTGTAAATGCTCTTTTTGCATGTTTCTTGCATGGCAGCAAAGTTGTCTGTAGCCCATTCTATGTTGTCAGTTGCCTGCAGGAGATTAATAAAAAACCATAAAATATGGCTTGTTCCATGTTTCAAGACCGAGGTTAATGTTACCACGGTCTGAATAATTCTTGATATAATGCTTAACCTCATCCAATAATTGTTCAATTTATGCATAATCTCATTAAATTATCACCTGGATATCTAAGATACACTGACCAACTAGATCATCAATATTTACGCCTGTAATATTACCACAGCTCTCTCCAGCATTGGAAAAACGGATTTTATTGTTGCATATTTCTGTCACTTTGTTTTTAGTGAGGCCATTTGGTGTTGGCCATGTTGGGATCCTTCGCGTGATATTTAATTGAGGTGGGTTGAATTGTGGAATTTCATCATCATCATCATCGATATCATCATCTCTTGTTGCATCTCTTTTATTCCGAGACCCACACAAACCTCAAAAAATACGAAATTATTTAACAAAGGCCGCGTAGAGACAAGTATTTTTTTGCAATGTTCATGGATGTGTTGGTTTGTCATGGCAAAACATTGACAACTGACAACTAGCACAAACATTGGAAACAAGACATGCATAACAAATGATTTAGAAAGCAAAAGCTGAATGAACATGCAGTGGTAGCTTCTAAAGAAAGATAGCGTAATATATATGAGCAATAAGTATCTTTAGTTAGAACAACACTCGCATCATTAATCACTTAAGCCAGTAAGAGCATTTATACACCTTAAAATAGCAAGCAAAAGCCCCCCTCTCTACTATCGATGCTAAATCATATATATATATATATATATATATATATATACGTAAATAAAATATCTTTTATTATGCAGTGTACCTTGGTCTATATTTGTATGGTCGTTCCCATTCTCTGAAGGAAAACATTTATTAATCCCTTCGACTCCACAGTAAGATTTAGTTTTTTCACAACTACAAATCGTTGTTTGTTTACAATTTTCCAATCGTATTTCTTCTAGCGTTTTGTCGCCTTTATATTTAAAAATGGTGGACGCATCAGGAACTCTGAAAGAGTTTACGGTTGATATTATATGCAATATCACATAGAATTAGCTATCTAGTTTTCTTCAAAAGCAACTTTAGAGACTGTTTTCTAATGTTGTTCGTTTTGAATTTTCTAGCTTTCTTAACTTGCATTTTTACCTGTGCTTATTGGTAAATCTTGCAAGGTCTCCATCAAAATCGTCGTTAGGATCTCCATTGTAGTTCCCACATAAGCCTTTACTACGATGTTTAGGATCTTTCTTACTTTTATCAAATGGACTGGGTGCTGTGATGTATGTACTTAAGCCCCAGTATCTACGCTCTATCTTCACTTGCACTCCGGATGGAAGATATATTTGAAAAATGAGTTTCTTTGAATTTGCAAGTCCATCTTTCAAGGACATTGTAAAAATGGTGCACCTACCTTATAAGTTGTCGTCGTTCCATCTTCCGTTTTTTCAGTTATAAATCCATTTATCGGGGAGTCTCTGAGACATTTCCTGCGAATGACCAAGTTTTGAGGATTTGTCCACCATTCCTTGACATCATTAGCATTAACTTGACACATGTCAAATATCTTGTAAAACTGTCCTTCTTTTATGGCTATTCCACAGTTACAACTTGCGGACAAGCTGCTTCCGCATGATTTTTGCCTTGATTCAATCTTGAAATATGAAATGCGTTGAAACAGCAATTTCCTGAGTATTTATGCATGAATTATAGCATTTTGCTGAAGGCACATTATCTCACAACGAGATGTGTTGAAATACGAATTTATAAATAAATTTTCTTCCAAAATATCCAGGATTTTTCAAACTTTCATTTATTTGACAACTTTGAACATTTCAAGAAAGAATTTATTTTCAAATTTCAATTTTTTCTAAACTGCGTTTGTAAAAATACAAGGACAAACGAACAAACGTGGAATAATAGTAAGATAAAAACTTTCATCGTATCTCTCTTAATTGAAATGCACTTGGCAATTTAACTACTTTAATAAGACTATGAACGAACATATATATTTTGCATGTTTGTATTTAGACAGAGATAAGATTTCCTTTTCATCAAAAAGCCAATTTTTCATGCAGCACTTATAACGTTCCGTTGGAAAAGTAAACATTTGAACCAACAAAATGATATGTTCTTACGATTTTAGCTATCTATGCAAATTAATGAAGAAATCACGTTTGATGAAAGAAGTAGGGGCTGCTTGCAAAAATGAGAAATTATTAACAAGCGACAATGTTCAATACTTTTAAAAGTTAGAGTTGAAATGTTTCGCTTTGTGTATCCCGATGGATTTTTATCACAGGATGATAAATTCGGCACCTAATTTGCTTTTCGATAATTTTGGTTTTAAGCCGCATACAGACGAGTATTTTTTTATAAGAATTCTTATGCTGTAAACATTACTTGCCCCTCTGTACGAGATACTTTGCGAAATTTTTCTTAGTGACAAGCATGCTATGCACATTATAAACGAATGCATTTGTCAATGATTCAACGTATACACAGGCTGTCAACTGAGTATTAAGTATTTGTCATAGAATTGAAAGAGCTTTCATCTTTACAACACGACTATTTACATTATATAAATATGGCATGGCGAAATTTTTTACTATGGCAACATGATTCTGCTCTATAGACACCAAGTCTTCTTTGTGAATTTTGCATAGAATGCGAAGATTTGGAGCCACACGAGAGATGATGGGAAAACAACAGTTTTAAAACATGAATGATTTCTTTCTTCAATGATTAAGCTAAAATACGTAACAATATATCATTTTGTTGGTTCAAATCGTTAGCTACTTTTCCAACGAAGCGTTTTAAGTGCTGCATGGAAGATTTGGTTTTTGATAAAAATGAAATCTTATCTTTGTATAAGTACAAATTGCAATATAGATATTTTTAGTTTTATTAAATAAAAAAAAAACATAGATTAGAGAAGTTGCTAAATTGCCAAGTGCATTTCAATTAATAAGACAGTTACGATGAAAGTTTATCTCACTACCTTCCACGTTTCATATAAAATATTGGGTTTTTACAGTCACAGCAATTGTATGCAGTAAGATAGTTCACCGTAAAAACTGATTGGTTAATATAACCATTAAAATTGGTTACCTCAGATGCATTTAACCTTAACCAATATTTTTATGGTTACTGTAACCAATCATATGTTTATTTTAACCAATCAATTTTTACAGTGTTTTCACTGATTTCTATCTAAATACATTAATTGCTACGCAATCTACAAATATTTTTAAAAAGGTTGTGAATTTTTTAGTTTATTTTCATGTATGATTTCAATTTGCTTACCCGAGTTCCTATATGTTCGTTTTCATATAAGAGGAACGTTCCGACTTCTTGGAAGTCAAAATACCTGCAACAATTTATATTATTAGGTTCTATGCTGGTCATCGCTATACACGCTGTGCAACTTTTAGCTAAATTGGTTATTTTTAATTGCTATATTAATTACTTTTAAAAACTATATGATTGACAGAATAAAAGACAAAATTTGATGATTCAAGGAAAGAAAAGACGGGAAAATAAGTATAGTGTTATTTAGAGCAATTTTTGCACATTGTAAATGAGCAAACGATACTCTCAATCCATCCGAACTCTGTTCACTTTTCATACTTTCCGTCAAATGATGTAAAATGAGGATCTGTAACTGATTTACACGTCTTTTTGGTACTTTTCGCCACAGTTATCTGCACAAAAAGAATATTTAATTCATGAGTTGAAACGACATTAAAACATAGAAAGAGAACGCGTAGGGTAATGGCTTTTTTACTGTGTAACAGACTGTCGTTATGTAGTTAATAGAAGGTTAGGTCAAACTTTTAAACTTTAACGGTTCTTTAGAGTAAGAAAAGAAGTCAAATTATAATTTTACTGCCAAAGGAATTAAGGAACATACAAAAAAACTTCTGTTATATGAACTATCTGTTCGGCCTTTTCTTAATTTCCCCTTATTTGGATCAATTTAACGGGTTAAGCTGATGAACTTACCACGATAGGCAAAAATTGATAAGAACTCCAAAACATGTTACTGTCTGTTAAAGGACGTAAATTTAGTTCCTGAGTTTTAAAACCATTTGCAGCAGTAAACTGTGAACACGATGCTTGCAACAATATTTTCAATGGTGATGACTGGTTGTGGTTTTCAGTAAACGTAATTCGACAAATATCATGGGTTTCGCTACCACTTAAACATACTCTATCGCCTTCATTTTGCTTTGATACGTCAGTATCAACTAAAAACGGTTTTACACGAATGGGGAGCTCGGGAGTCAAGGTCAATAAAATACTTTTCTTTTGTTTGTTACCGCATTCATCCAAATTGAAAACACTTGGAAAAACCTGAAAATGGAAACATGCACGGCTTGATTTGAGTTTGACCATGTTGCATGCATTGGTCATTTTAAAAAACTTACTGTAATCCCTGTATAAATTCTACGACTTTGCTTCCATAGTGACCAATCTCCGACTTCTTGACCTGACTTCAAAAGATATCTTGACCTGACTTCACAATAAACCTTTAACATTACATTAATAAAAATGTGTTCACACAAAATCCCCTTCAAAACATCATTGCATTAAGAAATACAATGTTGAAATTAAAATTATTTTACCATTTTATTGAATGCATAGTTTTTAACGTCAGGATCTTCATCTTCTCCTTTTCCTGCAAATTCATGCTCGTAAAAAAACTGTCTTGGTTCTGTTCCACTGAATTTTTTACGTATTCGTCTTAATTTGTCATCTTTGTCTCCAATCCATCGGGCTTCAAACTCTAACAAGGATCCATCGGCGCTATGATCCCATGAGCACAATAGTTTAACGTATTCAGCATTTTCTGGGTATACGTTTGCTTGTGGTATGGTAAATTTTGGGGCAATACCTAAAGATAAACGCAAAATATACTCTTGCATTGATAAATTTGACTAACCTACACTTTGAAAAAAAGCACGCGTGCTGAATTGTGTGTGTGTTAAAATAACACAAAAAACGCTTGTTAAACAAATTGCACCTGTAAAAAGAGCACGAAATGTGCGTGTTGTTTTAATTGCTCAGAAATAGCACGAGTGTAATTGCTGAAAAAGACACGCACCACTCAGATGAGAAAAAAATGTGTTAAAAAGAACAAGGTACGCGTGTTGCGATGGAATGGAGTGTCAAAATAACACGGAGCACGCAATTTTTTTCTTCTGCACACGAAGCTCGTATCTGATTATCTTACATTGCACTTTCTGTACAACACACTAACAACTATTCACTTCAAGTTCTCTCACGTAACACAATTTTAAATCAAATTTTATGCTCAGCCCAAGACTTGGCTAGTGAGCTGTAGTGAGCAATATATCTTCCAAAAATCTTGTTTTGTATTTTAAAACGTAAAAATTTATCTTAAATAGCTATGTTTGAGGACAACAAACAACAATTCATGACTATTTTTTGGTATTTTTTTGGCAAGGCAACAAGCAACCTGATGTCCTTTATCAGATAAAGGGCTATTTTGCGATATCTTACAATGCCAACCTCATCAGTAGAACATAGCTGAGTTTTCACGTCATGCAATAGAGGTAAAGGATAGGTTTCATGGGGAACACTGAACGGACTCGAAGTTGCCTGATCTACTTGCCATTAAGCTGAAATGGAATAAACGTGAGCGCTCGTTTATAAAAAAAACGGTACTACCAGGGCACACGAGGAATAATTGGCAGAAGTTATATGACATTTATTTAAACATTTTGCACTTAACATCAAAACTTGCGCAGCGGGTGTACAAATGTATATTTTTTGATGAAAGTAAAACTTGAAGATAAAGAAACTTAGTTAAACATTTATTGTTGATTAATGAGAAATTGACATGAATATTTACGCGTTATTTGCAGTTAAATCGTGTTCTGCGTAAAGACAAATGTTTGTTTATCATTTTTTTAACCAGTGGTCTTAAATTTTAGGCATGCAGTATAGTTAGGAATCTGCAAATGAATTGTATAAAACGCATAATGCACAATGGGTCATTGCTCAAAAATTTCTTTTGTGAGATGTAAATAAATACAATATAGACTCAACTTCCGATCTAATCAAAGTACACAAATTGACAAGTGCAACACAAGCTTTAACTTTTTTTACTTAAACATTGCCATCAATGATTCGTTCAAGTTCAATCTTAAAACTATCAACAACGTTATATAGCTATATAACAAAACGTATAACTATTTACTTATACATAACAAGTTGTTTTTGTTTGCAAAATAAATGTGTCAGTTTAAACAACCTTCGTGCTTCAGATCAGATTTGTTACATCTTTTGAATTTAACAGCTAGTAAAAATGTCACTGACATTTGGTGCAAAAACAAATTAATACATTTTATTGTTTGTTTACTTGTTTGCAACAGGTGTTTGTAGCAAATCAAGCCTTAAGTTTGTTGCAAACAGTAAATCAACCATTTAGCTTGTCACATTAATAAAAAACTTGTTAAAATATAACTAAGTTGCGTATAACTTGCCAACAACCTTGCTGAAAGCTTGTTCGGAAAGTCGCCAACGGGTTGTGAGATTTTGTATGTCGCAAAGACGTATCAAGTAAGAACAACAAACATTCTAAATGCATAATCTACTTTGTGTGCCACAAAATAGAGCATATAGAGACTACTGTAGTTCACGTCAAAGATATGACACAGTTTATAATTTCCACTGACATGTTTACTAAAACAGTAGACGCATGGACGTATTTGAAAGTAAAATCGTAAATCTCTTTAAATATTTGTGTTGAAAGAACAGATAAGTAGTCTAATAATGCTTATAGCCATTTTTGTTGATAGAATGCTGATATAAAAAGCATATTCTTTTTTTTTGGTTTTGGGATATAACGTAGATGTAGACCCTAAAAATGCGACAATGGAACTCTTGCAAGAGTTCAATCATGTCAATCTATTGATTGTAAGTGACTAAAAGTATAGTGTTATTTGAAAACACCATGCAAAAATTTGTAATTCACTCCGAATTATTTTTTACAAAAATTACTTAAGTAAACATTTTTCTTACAAAAACACAAATATTTAACTGAATTGTATATACCTGCACAGACTGGAAGCTTGTCTCCAGACACAGAACAAGCAACTGGTATTTTGGATCCTAAAATATGCAAAAAGTTAGCTAGCTACAAAGATGAAACAACGGATAGGATCCCGTTGGAAAATTCCATAATAGCATTTACTCTTGCTAATCAACAATAAGAAAGTGAGTAGGTGTGATAGGGTAAACAGTGCTTTGGAGTTAGGAGGATAGCATATTGGGTTTTAATAAACTAACACAACCTTTTTGCTGTCCAAACTTAAAAATTTTTTTTAGGTAAATTCATGCTTGAGCATTAGTCATATATTTTTTGATTTTGAGTATTGCTGCGTGCGTCTTCACACAATTCGCTTTTTCAATCAAAAAATTTTTCTATGCGCTCATTAAGAAAAAAGTCTAACTGTTATTAGCAACTTGAGTTTTGTGCAAAAATTTATTTAGGAATAGTTCCATGTTTCAGATGTAGATTGTCCAGGTAGAGTCGCGACTCCAAGCACATTACATCGGACTAATCCACAATGACCATACACAATTGACACCGACACAGGCACATATTTCCTTCACACTCATCACGATGACGTATGAACCAGACAACAAATAAGACAAACCTGACGTTTACTCTTCACGTGATTTTGAAAATGACTTCCGCTGAGGTTGTCGAAACGTCAGTCAACATGAACAGTTTTTCTCGGGACTCTACCTGGACAATCTACATCTGAAACATGGAACTATTCCTAAATAAATTTTTGCACAAAACTCAAGTTGCTAATAACAGTTAGACTTTTTTCTTAATGAGCGCATAAAAAAGTTTTTTGATTGAAAAAGGCAAATTGTCAACAGTAAAATCTTTATGAACATAATATTTGTTTAATAATTAATATGACAGCTGAATATGGTTTTAGATTTCAGCCAGCTCAAATGACCTTAATTATACCTTAGTTTTTACTTCTGGTAGTTTCAATTCCTCAATTTTGAAAGAATATCTTTCCTTTTAAAAATAGCAACGTTTTTACCGAATTTAAACCGATGCCTGAATTCATTCAGTTATGAAGTTATTCACAAAGCTTTGTTGTGATTGGTTGATTTAAAAATTGCGCTTTGTATGGTTGGTCAATTAAAAACAGGAAGTTAGGAGTTTTTCAAAGAGTTTCGTTGAGGAACTATTTAAATCAATTGATAAACGTAAGCTAATGTGTTGATGAAATATTTTCGGAACGCTTCTATTGCCGCGACTGTAATTTTTCGTTTGTTTGAGATTGTGAATTTTGTATTTAGGACGACGTATTTACAGCACACTAAGCCGATATAAGAGCATTAACCTGCACAATATGCCAAATTACATTGCCAAGGTCTCTTTAAACGATAAAGATAAAAATCACCGCAGTTCACTACTCTTAGCGTGTAATGCGTTCCACAACCAAAAGGTCTGATGCGCCGTATATTCGCACAGGCCTTTACACTTATTATGCCTTCATCAATCGTAGGATGTTTTCCATCAATCCAAATCGGCGCATCTGTTCCACATTTTCTATAACCTGGTTTAGTCGTTGGAATTTCATTACCAACGATGCTTTTGAATCGGTACCATTGATCATTCTTTATGAATGTACGATCGCATCTTGATGTTTCCCCTGCTTTTCGTTCGTACGCTGTGCTGCGCCACACCTGGTCAATAACCTCGTAATTCTGGTGGCATTGCGTATGAAGTGCATTTGCTAACGTGGCTTGATGAAGTAAAACAAATATGGCACAAGTTATAACAACTATACTTTCCATGATGGAATGAACAACTGTTGAATCACAGCTGATTGCATTGTTTAAAAATGTTGAGTTTACGTAAAAAACTATTTTTGGCAAACAATGTTGCATCAAGTTTCATGCAGGATGTTGTTTTGTTTCAGATAGTAATCCTAGAAAACAGGAACTTGAACATACTTTCATAGCTACTTTTCATTTTACCAACAGGTTGTTTTTAACGCGTTTTCTCATCTAATTGGTATACATTTGCGTTTGTAATCGTGATTGGGTTGCTATTTCGGAAAAAATTATTTCTTCGATATATATTATGTGAAATAAAATATTGCAAATGAACAAAAGGAAGTTCATTTCGGAAAATCAGTTCATAATCTGATTCTCTGACAATGGCCAAAGTAAACACCGCAGCACTTAACAGCCAATTCAATTTAGTTCTGCAGTTCTTTACAAATAGTTGAGTTTTGAATCAAAAATTATAGGTATTGTGAGATTTGCGCTAGTATAGAAAATATGAAATTACCGTTATATAATACATATCATACATAACACCAAAACATTTAATCTTTATTTTTTTCATGATCATGTGTGCCAGACAACAATAGGGCGTTCAGTATGAGGGGGGCTGAGCGACTTGAGTCCCCCTAAAAATTTTATTAGCGATTGGTAAATTAGAAATCTGTGAATATTATCATATACGCATGTACACGCTACACACGTAGTGAAAAGTCACGCATATGGAGTGACGTATTAAATACATCTGTTGTATAGTTAAAACAATTCCATTAATATAATCAAAGTAAAAAAAAAACAAGAGCAACGGCAAAATGCCAAAATAAATTTTTTAAAGATAGAAACGATTATCAACATAAAAAATTGTGCTGATTAAATCAAAAAATGCATCTTATTGGCTGCGATAGAATCCGAACCGGACGTTGTATTAATACGTTGAAAACATGTTTACTAATAGATGAATATTTCTTTAGTGAATACTGACATTTGCAAATGACCGTGCGGCGTGTATAAATTTAAATACACGAATAATATTATAATATAATATAATATTATATAATAATATAATAATATTATTTGTCATAATTTCAAATCTTGACGTTACTAACGTCTAAGTCATTGTTGCTAAGGCGTACACGCGTTAAGTTATGGAAAATGTTGTTTTTATTTAAACTTTCTTAACTGTAAACACATGAAAAAGTTAGATTACTATAAGGTTGCAAACCAAAGGTACCTTTCTTGCTATAAGTTTCGTCACATTTCGTATGGTTCGTCGTTTACGTTTCATTCCATTTTGCAAGACATACAACATCCCGAGCAACACACAGCCCTTTATTTCTGAGGAAGGAGAAGGAACATAGTTATGTACATAATTTTAGTTTTTGAAAATAGCGGGCAAAAACTTTATTATGATTAAATGAAGTACCATCATCTACAAACAATGGTGTGTGTAAAATTGTAAAATCGTGTTATTTTTCGCTTCGCCAATATGCTCTCAAACTGTGGTGGCATTTTTTTTTGAAAAATGATAACTACTATAATATCTACATTATCCGCTGGAAGGAGTAAAATCACTCCAAACGCATGACACTTGACAGTTCTGAAGAAAAACGCTTACGAAAATGGTCTTCCACGAGGACGTGTTTCGTTTAATGTTAAATGAAGTAATGAGTTAGTCATCAAACTCAAAGATGGCTGACTGAATTTGTAAATACTAAATATAATTGTATTGAAATTGATAAATCTACTTTGGAGTTTGGAAGTATGCCTCAAACTGCGACTGACGGAGATATTAGTGAAGTTGTTGATTCCTTTACTTCTTTTTTAAAACAAGGGTAAAAGCATTGAGAAACTCACTCTTTCAAATTGAATGAAACGTGCCCGACTGCCACTATACGCTAGAGTCGCAAGACTACCACTACGTTTGTCTTTATTTACTTTAAACACCTCTATTATTTGCTAATTAGGATAGAATACTTTTACTGTATTGATAATTTCATTTGAATTAAAGTGATTGATCAATCAAGGTTACCAGAGTTAAAGTTCATGCAATAAAAATTAATGCCCAACATAAAGTTTTAATTAGAGCCATAGAAATAGACCAAAAGCTGTAAAATTGACTCTAATTGAAACTTTATGTTGGGCATTAATTTTTATTATACGAATTTGATTTCCGCTTGGCAAGTCAACTATTTTAAAGTTCATGCTTTTTAGAAAACTCCGAAATTCATATGATGTTACTTATCAAACAGCTCAAGTTTTGAGAAAGATTGTTGCCCACAAGAAATGGAGCACAGCTGGGTATTGATATTCTTTTGATTGAACAATTATATCCCACTTGAAATTTTTATTTCACTTATCACTAATCATATCAACTGTCTTAGAATATGTTCAGGTTGACCATTTGATGGTATTTTAACACATATGCTATGAATTGTGGAGTAAACAAGCTTCATTTGCTTGAAAACTTGAACATTTTACAAAAAGATGTGTCATACAATGTCTTTTTTTAGCACATTCTCTTTTATTTTTTGAATGAATAATGTCAATATACGTAGTTTCTATACAGTGATGACACATAAAATGAAAGTATTTAGACATATATTTATTAGTACATACATGTTTATCTTATTTATGTATCGTTTGTCTTTTAAAAAAGATTTTCATTATTGTTGGCTGTTTAAGGGAATTGATGGAAGCTGTAAAATTGGTTGGACAGCAAATGATCAGTTCACAACCAATAGGTGCGGTTTTGCTTTCTTTCTGCTTGATTTCATGTTCAACCAGTCTTTTAGTTTATCAATGCAGTTTTACAAAATGATCTTCATCATTTTGCTTTTGCATTTATAACATAATGCAAACCTATATATGTATTGTATTTTCAATGGAATATTACTTATATGCTATTGTCTTTGGCTACTCAAACATTCACATGATGCAGTTGTATTCACTTTTCCCTCAAATAATGAAGGGTGATTTTACACTAGGTACATACATACTGACAATTGGCCTGCTCAAAGCATTTTGTCAGACCTCCAGCTAACATTCAAATCATTGTCACATTATGTATGTGTACTGTGAACAATGAAACTAAAGCATATTGTGCAACTTTGAATGTTTATTCTTGCTAAAACAAGCTTCTGTCATTATGCCATAAAACAATACTTTGTTAAGTTTTCATCTTTGTTGTCTATGATGAAGAAAAATGTGCAGTTTGAAATTTCGTAAAGAAATAACTAACTGCAGAAACCTTCGGCTTCCGTTGTTGAATGTATGTTTTTAGTCGTACAATATCTTTGAATAAATTATTTTATATTCTAGAGGCAACTGTTGGAAACATTGTTAGAAGAGGTATTATGAAACAGTATTAGATCGCTATGCACATTTTTGTACAAAGTTATTCATCTTTGAATGAAGACGATTTTATTGTAGTTCTGAAAATCATACGCGAAGAACATACAGGGTACGTAAGGCACTATCAAATACCATTACTTATACATTCTACTTGAAATAAACTATCTTTGATAAGAAACATGTCATTCTAAAGATGCTAGCCTAGTTGGATAATGTTTGCAGCTAAACAATATGGCTTCATGTATGAATCGTTCTTCCGCATGTTTAGAGACAGTGGAAGTCAATCTGAAGACGGCAATACGGAGGAATCGCTTCATGTATGTTTTAAATCTATGTACGTATAGTGACGTAGCCTTCGCGATCCCCCTGGGCTTCAACCGTTCGTGCTAATATTTTTTCAGAAACTGTTATTAGCTCAAAAAGGATCTGAAGATTTTAGCAGACCGAGTCATAACTTGAGGGTATAGTATGTCTTTGTTCATCAGTAGCGTAATTAATAAACGTGTGTATGATTATTAATTATTGTATAATTATTAATTAGTGTATGATTATTAATTAGTGTCAATCTTACGAGAGTGACGCCAAATAAGATAAAATGTTCATGCAGTCGCTGTAACTCCTCTTACACATAATCCTAAGAAGTCTTCTATCGCGTTACAAATCTATAGGAACTCAAACGATATATAAGGAGAGATGTTTTTGAATAATAACAAAACTACCGAAAAAAGAAACTGAAAACAGTATTGTCATTTTTTGTGTGATTGTTTCAAAATGATTTTTAAATATTAAAAGATGTTCTTGGTCAAGAGTAAGACTCATTTTTTTAGGCTTCCATGTTGCGTTTCTTGCATGGCAACCAAATTGGCTACGCATCTTACTCGTTAGCTTTTGGCCAAGCTGTTTCAATTTCGTTTGTTTAGCTCCAAATGAGATTGCCATTGCAGATATTTAATGAGTACATTGTGGTGTAGACAGTGGGTGTAGAGATATATTGCATTAATTCCAATTTACACCTGTATGTGCTTATTACAAAAAATGGCCTGTTTCACGAACTCTTACACTCTCATTGAAACCATTTAATAATGCTAAAATCTATTTAGCAATACTCTATTTCTTTACAAATTTACCCCAGAACCTGATCAAAGCTTTCCGTTTTTAGTTCACGGTTATTGATTCTGTGAATGAATTGATCACAGAAATTGAATCCAGGTTAGCCATAGTATTTCTTTTTGTGTGTTGTGACTTGCATGAAGTATGAAGTCGTCTTTGTTGTTTTGAATGATATTTATTGGTCAAAACTACTAAAACGTTTACTCGCTTGAAATTCCTTTCGCCCTTATCATAAGTGGAATTAGATCTAAATGAAACTTGCAGAGTTTACTTAGGCTAAATAGCTATACTTCGAAACTTTTTACTTCATATAAATCCCATCATGCTTTGATACTTGCCGGTGCTCCTCATTAAGCAGTTTAGTGTCCATATTGTGTTTTGAAACAGAGCTTTTTACTGTGATGTTGGCTAAAATGGACATCAACATTTCCAATATAATTGCTTGCAATTTTTGGTTTGCTGTACGTGTATGAATGATTGACTGATGAAATTGTCTTATTATATCATGGTGGTTTGTTGTAGTGCTTATAACATCAGCAGCCAAGCTCTTGAACATATTCATTCAAACGAGATAATAATGACCGTTGGAAAGTCAAATACAGTTCAAGGATTTTTAAAGGTTTGTTAAATTCATGCTTTTTCTCCCTTCGTGGTTCTTTGGCTTTATGATTTTAATCTATGCAGTTATATCAAATGCTCCTTCTGTATAAATGCTCATTTTTATTAGTTTGTTAGTGTTCCCTAGCTGGTTTCTATATCGAAATTCCGTATTCTCATACCGTTATTTCGCCAATGAAAGTGCATCAAAACCTTGTATGTTCTGATCTCAATGAGAATTAATTTGATCGTAAAATGTTTTGTCATTCTTTCAAAGTATCCGTTCAATAGACATTATACAAGTAAACAATGACGTAGCCAGCCTGTAAGTATGTTCATGCTATGTATATTTTTCAACACTAGCATTATTCATTTCTTTGGAAATCCGTTATTTTTACAGTGATTAAACACCAAAAAAATTACATGGATGAACATAGTTTTGGGCTCGCTACGCCACCTAAAGTAATACAATATGCAAACTTGTCTATCGCATATGTTCAAACAGTGCTCATGTACGAAAGAAATTCTCTCACTTTACGTAGCTATACAGTTTACTCAGACACCATGATATTTTTATTTGTGCTTCTCTACTGCATGCTTTCTATTCATAAGTTGAACGGAAACTAAGAGACACCATGGCTATTTTTTGTTGCCTACGTACTGCTTGTATAAAATATTTTTCATGTTTCCGAGTTCTTTCCAAAAACCTGAACATGGTTACCTTCAATCTGCAACTCCCTCTCCAATCTACAGCCCCCTCTCCAATCTACAACAACCCTCAACAGATGTTTTTGAGTAGGTTTTTTGAGTGGTTTCTCCACGTTTTTGGAGTAGTTGTAGAAAATGGTTCAAATTTCTTTAAAGTTTCCAATAGAGGAACAACCTTTTGTCGACAGAACGATTCTTGAGATTGTGCAGCACCCGGTCAGCCTTTTCTCCCCGATTTTGACTCTCCTGAATAGTAATAAGTATTGACTCTTCTTTATGCAGTTGTGATTTATTCAAGAATATCTTTTAGAATGCTGGACGTAAAAGAAAATTTAGTGTTATTGTAGCAGAAGGAGCTCCATTTTTCAAGGTGTGTTTCACGACTCTCTCCTTTTACCACGTTTCACTAATGATTTACTTACAGTAATTGTTTTTATTATATATTTTTCATGTAAAATTTGTTTATTAGTCAGTGTCACTAATGATTTACTTAAATGTTCTTATTGTTCATTTTTATGTAATGATTTATTATTCAGGGTCACGAGTTGGCAAAAAACTTGGCCGAAGTTGGAATTGAAACAACAGTCATCAATGACTCTGCTGTTTTTGCCATTATGTCCAGAGTGAACAAAGTAAGTTAATAAATAATTTCCGTGACGGTTGCCATTTTGTACTTTGTTGAGGTGTACGAGACTATCGAAGTTTTTACGGTCTCAATTTATATTCGTCACTCCCACCAGCTTCTAAGAGTCCATTAGCAGTCTTCAATCGGTGTATTTAAATAACAGTGGTGCAGGTTTTACTGTTGCACAAAATATATAAGACGTCGTTAGGTTTTTTGATGTCAGCGACTGAGTTGAATATCTGTGTTGTGATCATTCCATGATCATAGCACTAGTATTTAACCTAACTACGTTTATAACTTGATGTATATGGTTAATCTAAACATTTGAAAAACTATTTTATGCTGACAATATGTATCTATGAACGTGGGTGTGCGAGCCAGCATTCTTTATGAGTCGGTCGGTACATTTTTAATCTTAAATGATCTAATTTACACAATTTTCCAACGATTAATGCCTTTCTGCCCTTCTCTGCTGCGCCCCACTCCATCCCCCGTGTAAAACGCTCATCTTCGTGAAATATAGCGAGCATGCTGTCCATAATGAGAAGTTGTTCAAAAATGTCGTAAAAACTATGATTTTACGACAAACGACTTCTCGTGCAAAAAAAAATAAAAATTTGTTAGTCCTAACATCAAGCAGCAAACGTGTTTGTCTTGCAACCTGAAATGACGTTCCACATGTTTATATTCTTCCAAAGGGCCCAATCGTGCATTATTGAGTCATATCAACCGTGATTTTAAAAAGTTATATGATAATCATTTCTGCATTCTATTATGTCTATAGGTCATTATTGGTGCTCATGCTGTCATGGCGGATGGAGGGTAAGATTACTATTTAGTCAAATCTATATAAAGCTATTTCTATAATTGTTCGACGGTGTTTAAAATGACTATTTTCGAGAGCGGAGTACTTTGTTAAGAGCACCTTCTTGTCCTTTTTCCTTTTCTATCTTTATTCTGGCTTGTCCTCAGTTGTATCCATTTATTCTTTTCTTTTCAAAAGATATTAGTCTTTTAATGACATTCACGTGACTGTGTCGAGGTGTTACAATCAACTGCTCTTATTGCTATGGCAAGCGAAGTTCTTGTAAAATGCAATTGTATTTTTCATGTTGTGTAGATTACGTGCTGTCAATGGTACTTTGCCGGTTGCCTTAGCTGCAAAACATCATTCAGTACCGGTAGGTGAAGTGGGAAAGTTCGTCATTCAGTTTATCATAATTCTAGGTTTATGAGTGGCAACTATTCGGGATATGCGTGTTTATATGCTCTAAAGATTTGAGTAAATGTGTTGAACCGTAATATATCTATATTGCAACTGCTTACATTCATTCACAGCTAGTTTCATGAAAGAATGTGTGTCAACCTAGATGCTTTGCGCGTTAATCACAGCGTGGCGGCCATTTTGTGGGTCGAGAAAATGGCGAATTTTGTTATTGTAGTCCATGCAACTTTGACAAACGATAATAATTTATGTAAAATAGAGTTTTTAATCGATGTTTTTTGTCAACTTTTAAGATATTTTCGACGACATGATGACGAAATTCAATTCAGTGTGCCGCAAGCTCAAAAACTAACGATGTAAACATAAACAAAAGCGCGCAATGCATCTTGGTTGATACACATTCTTTAACACTTTTTTAATTGATCCTCAATATTGAATATTTAAGCTTCTCGTGTGTGCAGCAATGTACAAGTTGACGCCACAGTATGTTGTCTCCTATGATCAGGTATGCATCATGGAATTGCTTTGTTTGGTCACTTGAATCACACTCTCCTTTTGGAATGTTTTTTTTATATTTAGAACTTTGTGGTATTTATGCATATTGTGAACCGTTTCTTTCACATTAATAGGACAGTCAAAACAAGTTGCTATCTCCGCACAACATTATCAGTTTCTCTGAAGGTTAGTTCAACATGGAGTAGAACTATTTTGAGCTAGCTATCACAGCGGAAGGGAGCAGTCAAAGTGAAATTTTCTTTACTTTTATTTGATGAAAACAATATATTCTCGATTGATAAAGATAAATTTCTCCACCATAGTCAAAATGTTTTTTTAACCAGTGTAGTGAAATTTTTTACAAAACAAAAATCTTCCAAATTAGCTAGATAATATTTTCACTAAAATTGCAAGGAACTTTTGAAATAGTCTGTCTATCGCACTGTTTATCAAGATCTAGTTTCATTTTAAATGTTCTGGTCATGAAAAATAGCTGCATTTTCGTTACATCAACAATTTAACTAACTTCTTAAAAAGGCACAACTTTGATATGTAATCACCAGTTACGTATGTGCAAGCAGCATGTTTTTCAACTCAGAAACAGCGAAATTTCAAATTCTTATACCTAGTATCTGCAACTTCTATGATATATTTTTCAATTGTCTCAATTCCGAAGGATACTTTCCGCGTGAGTTACGCAATTATAAAGTATTTCCATTTTATCAATTATACAATCAATTGTTAACTATACAGTCCGGCTGGGCCAGTTGGTACTTGGTAACATAGCTAAAATCTTAATACGGCTAAAAAGTTTTGCTCTCTCATGTTGGTTTTGTTTCTATGTCCGTAGGTGAAATCATTGCCAAAGTCCATGTGGAAAATCCTGTGTTCGACTATGTTCCTCCTGACCTAGTAAACCTCTTCATTTCTAACATGTAGGTTTTGTGTTTTGCTATTTGTATTATGTTTTCATTGAAGATAACTTTCAAAATCATAGTGTATCTTGTAAAACAGTATATTCAATCACTTTTCATTCTGAAGATATGTAGTTTATGTCATGGACGCTTTGTACAACTTTTGACGTCACATTGCATAATGAGAATTTGAAATAGCTGGTATATTTGCTTATACATGTATGTTACTTCAACTGAGCAGAATTCCCTTAAAGGTGAAGAATTGTATTAGAAATTGCTTGATGATTTCAACCCATAGTAGTCAGAAAACGAAAGGTTGTGTAAAACTTCGTAGCTTCTTATTATACAAAAGGACGTAAAAAGTTGTGTTTGGCGGACATAACAAAAACGATACAATATCTCGAGAATGAAAAGAGATACGCGTAAGCTGTTTAGAATCTGTGAATCACAGAAAGTGCACTGTCATTTTCAAAGTCGCGTTGAATGAAAATTTATCTTGAATAGTAAAATTTTAAAAATCGTATGTCCTTTAACTAACAAATGCTTTTGTTGCTTTGCGAAAACGGAAGATGTTCGTTTCATCAGACTTTTTATGTGTACATTTTGTACATCGCTAATGACGTGTAAAATGTATCGGGTTGCATGGGAAACAAGCGTAACTAAACTAGTTCAAGATATGGGTGTGAGATTCAATATTTAAACGTGTCTTTGACTTTGACCATGTTCAGAACTTTTTGTTTAATGCCCATTTAAGTTTTGGGGAAGTTGTTGAAGCTAACCAGCCTTTTGGACTTTGAGTGCTCTTGTGAAGAAAGAATGACTACGAATTTATGTTGCTTGATTTTTAGAGGCGGAAATGCGCCATCGTATGTGTATCGATTATTGACTGACGTTTACCATCCAAATGATACTGATCTCTAACTTCAATGACTCCAACACGAAGATCAAGGTATTTTGTTAAAAGTAACTGCAGTTTCCGAGACTTTGCTGGTTGTTTCTCACGCTGTACATGCGAAGCTGTCAAACGTGAACATGTACAAGGAACTACGGACGAAGATACTGATCACACGGAGTAAAATTAATTTTGTTATGACATTGAGCTAAAATGAGGGACTTTACCTTAAAGTATAGTTTTCAAATTATATAATACAATATATATTCCGTTCAGTCACCAAAGTGTATAGTTTTAAACCATGAGCAAAAACGTGAACATGCGTGGCAATGTGTAGGTAGAATATGTGTTTCATTCGCTTTCTAAGCGACTGTATAGTTTCTTCACTATAGTTTCTTCACTAAAAAGAGGATTCTCTATAATGCACACAAAAATATTCAATGCATTTCATATATGTATAGAAGAAGACACCTTTGTCGATAAGCGTGTGTCGTGTAGTTAAATTGCAGAGTGGGACTGCAAATGCTTACGTGTAACGCGTGGTCCTCAACTTCGATTTTCTCGAAGTAGCAGAGTGGGACTGCTTATGCTTACGTGTAACGCGTGGTCATCAACTACGATTTTCTCGAAGTAGCAGAGTGGGACTGCTAATGCTTACGTGTAACGCGTGGTCCTCAACTTCGATTTTCTCGAAGAAGCAGAGTGGGACTGCTTATGCTTGCGTGTAACGCGTGGTCCTCAACTACGATTTTCTCGAAGTAGCAGAGTGGGACTGCTAATGCTTACGTGTAACGCGTGGTCCTCAACTACGATTTTCTCGAAGAAGCAGAGTGGGACTGCTAATGCTTACGTGTAACGCGTGGTCCTCAACTGCGATTTTCTCGAAGAAGCAGAGTGGGACTGCTAATGCTTACGTGTAACGCGTGGTCCTCAACTGCGATTTTCTCGAAGAAGCAGAGTGGGACTGCTAATGCTTACGTGTAACGCGTGGTCCTCAACTACGATTTTCTCGAAGAAGCAGAGTGGGACTGCTAATGCTTGCGTGTAACGCGTGGTCCTCAACTACGATTTTCTCGAAGAAGCAGAGTGGGACTGCTAATGCTTACGTGTAACGCGTGGTCCTCAACTACGATTTTCTCGAAGAAGCAGAGTGGGACTGCTAATGCTTGCGTGTAACGCGTGGTCCTCAACTACGATTTTCTCGACACCGTAGCTTTGGCCCTATATTTTTTACATATTTCAAGCAAGCTGCGAATAATATTTGGTCTCCCATACCATATATTACAGAATTGAGGCTTAAATACCCCTATTGTAGGGGATTTCCCCTACGAGAGGCAGCACTGGAGGTTGGCCATGCTTCTAGCAATGATTGAAAGTCACTTTTTGTAGTTGATTGTGAACGTGTTTGATTTGTATTAATCCGCAACAACGTTATTGAAGTTTCATGAAGTTTCTGTCTTGTCAGAGAACGATTTTTTGTTATAGTTGTTTTCATCATTATGATTAGAAAAATGGAATAAATTATTTTTTATATTTTTCTCTCTCACTTTATTTAGCTCTCGTTTCAACTCTTTGTTGAAATTCTTGTCGTCCGATGTAATAAAGATAATAGTTCTTTTGCTTTAGAAAGTACATTACTAGGAAAAAAATGAACCCACGAATAATTTGAAGACTGAACAATCCCTTCAATGTTTAAACTCGCAAACTTCCAACTAATTAACTTTACATTTTTATTGTTGAGATATTTAATATTTACAAAACAGTTGTATTTTATTATAACCTATAATGTATCCTTTTTCAAATATAACCTTTGTCATTTTTTTCTGGCATTTTCGACTGCAGAAACATGATCAATCGAGTGTTGAACTTTATTGATTGTCATTTTTTTCTTCGTCGCTCTTTTTTGGAGGGACTGGACTGCTGAATGTGGATGACGTGCGTGGCACGTGGTTATTGGAATCCATGGTGTATGGCTGTATCCTCGAACCTGCGGAATCTTCTTGGTATTTAGGACGCAAACTGAACGGTGGGGCAAGGGGAAGTTGATATTTCGGATAGACTCCAAAAGGAGAAAACGGGCTTGGGAACCCGGGGAAATACGCTTCATGTCTTGGAAAATTGAAAGGGCTAGCGTCTTGAGAAAAATCTCGATTTTGAAAGACTGGCGAATTAAAGTAGTTGATTGTATCTGGTTTGTACTTATAAAGTATTTGATCGATAGCTTGGATGATATCTCCACGGCAAGCCTGCAACACCAGCTGTAGGACATTGGCCTTCATCTTTGGAAATATTTGTAAGAGCAGTTCTGTGTTCGATAACCTGTGGCTTATCGGAAAGCCTTGAAGTGCTGGCATCGGAGCTGCGACTGGCGTTCGGTTGAAGATGTCATAGTCGTAAATTCGTCGCTTCTTTACGCCATGGGAGCTCTCGCTTCGATATGAAATGTCTTGAGGTCGATCATCGTGCGTAACATTCGCCATAATTCGGCGTTTTAAATCTAACAAAAGAGAAAATTTCATTGAAGTGAAGCACAGTTGTTGATTCATTTATTCACTGTTTTGTTATGGCCTTGATATAAGCTTGTGTGTGTGTGTGGGTTCACCGTTAATATTATATATCTGTTTTCCTAAAGTGGAAAAGATTTTGGTTAAATTTATCGGTCAGTAAGCGATATGTACTTTGTGAGACAAGAATTATTTCACTGTCACCCTTAACAAAAACCATGAAACTCGAAATACTAAAATAAAAAACTAAAATAAATACTATACTTATACTAAACTAATACTAAACTCACATTACTAAAATCATCTATGCGCTTGTATTTACATCGCTATGATCGCGACGTTTTATTTTACGTGATCGATACACTCGAAGCTTTCACGCAGAACTAACTTCCTATGCAGTCCTATTGCATGGCATCTGTTTGCACACGCCGCACCCAGATATTAACCTCAAAATACATTCAGCCTCTTAAATTTTAATTTCAAACGAGACCGATAACTTTTCGAATTAGAGTTTACTTGAAATATGATGCTTGCACTCGAAACAGCAGCTGGCATTATTGTCTTGACGTAGAAAAACTATCAACTGCCATTTGACGTTGTAATTGCACTAAACATGTAATTGTCGATACTTGTATTTTATATTGCAGTTGCATAGGCGTCATTGAAATAGGATACTTGTTTACTCTCGGCCTTAATTGAGAACGCATCCAGCCGTTTGTGTAGGCCGAGAGTCATTTTTACCAAAAACAAAAATCAACGCTTAAATCGAGATTGCATTTAACATACGCGCGCCTATTCCCTTGCATCATCTGATAATGATCCTAAAACGCCCTCTCCATTATTTAAGATCGTAACGCGGTGCCTTCAAAATCGCTTCGAATAATAACGTTTGTAATCGCAAACTCGAGTTTTCATTGCGATACAATCAAAATAATAGGGATGGCTTGAAAAACAAAAAATAATTGTTTCTTTATCGACGCATCAAAGGTGGGGAATCCATCGCACGACTAACCGTGCGGCAAAAACAATCCTAGGATTAATATAGTACTATGATAATATTTTTGAAAAAGAGCTGCGCGATAGATAGCTGGATGTAAATTTTTCGCGAGCTTTGCTTTTTTATTGTCATAGAAATCTACGTTTGGCGATCAATTTCAGCAATTCAGTAAATGTTAACGTTCTTTAACTATACAGTAGATTAGATAACGTACAAAATGCACTATACAAATATGTTTTTATCAAGAAAATTCATGTTTGCCCATTTAGTTTCCAAGCACATGTGCTATATTATGTATATTAACATTTTAATGTGTACTATTTCGTAGTGATGTTTGTCTTGAAGTTTAAAATAGATTTTCGTCATGAATTTTATAGGCAAAATATTTAGGTATATTGAGAATACATAAGGAATGGAAAATAGAGTACATTTTGTGCTTAATTTGATGCAGGGGAATGAAAGTAGGGAAGGAAGGATTATTTTTCTCGAGTTTTCTTGAGGTTATTCTGGAGTTCTATCATTATATATTGATGCAAAGAGCCTGTTCAAGTCGAGGGTCGCATAAATGCACGCACTTTGTCTGATAGTGCTGCTACCCTCTAATTTGTGAAACAATTTGCAACATGGCCGCTACGACAACCGGTCATTCATGATAGCTTCATAGAATGTGGCAACTACTAGCTACGTTTGTATTAGTTTGCATAAGTGATAAAATCGCAGTCATTTGCCTGTTGGAAATTGCAAAGCATAAGTATTGTGCGCATGCAGAGTGAATAAACAACAGATATTTTGTGGTTTGTTGCATTACTTTTTTATGGACAGACCATGCGTTTTTACACGACGTGGGCTAGGTCTTCTTAACTGAATGAGACCGCAATTGTTTTAATTTGCCCTGTGTAAAAAAGAACTGCTTGCAGTTCATATTGACTGCTGAGCTTGAAACCCAAACTTTGGCCAACAACACTTAATTATTAAAAAGGAGTTGATGAAAAAAGGTCATCAATAAACGCAAGGTGCATGTTGTAACTTCAATTAAAAATAACATCGTTGAAAATAACGCATCGCGTGGAAGAATAAAAACTTATTTCAATCCATTGAAATAACAGCAGCAGTCGCTACTTTTCTGTAATGTTTGAGTCACATGTGATAAAGAAAACCGAACACTTACAAGAACAGTTTTCTAGTTTTATGTATGTGACTGACACTTATAGCTACTGACTGCAGTAAATCATAGCAAGCGTATTCGTTTATGCGTTAAAGAAAGATAATTTAAAACATATGAAGCCAAACTAATACTCAATTTGTAGAACCTCTTCCCTAATCGATAAATGGCTTTGAGAAATGGGTAGAAAGCTATTGCTACAAATACGAGAAAAAAGATGCGTTTTAGAGCTTTTTGGTACAGTCACATGTGTGTTTAAACTCCATTCGTAAAACAACTATTTAGCTACACCCCACCTTGTTCATCCTCCTTATATAAAACGTCGATTCCCTCGTTTATAATACGTTTCATGAAAGTTTGGCTTCACGAAAGAACTTTGCTATAGTGGGTGGCAGCAATGTGCAGGATGTTTTTGATACATATGACACAGAAATTGTATATTAGAGTACGTGTAGGAATTTTTCATTGACTCTTTAGAGTCTACTGAGCGCGCGAACGTAATTGGGATGCTACGGAATCGTTGTGAAGGACAGTAAGAAAACAAAAAGATAGTAGGGCTGTTTTTTCCAAACAACTATTGTATTTGTTGTCCCAGTTTATGTGCTAAAAACAAACAAGTCGTAAATTCTTCTAGTCGGTCGAATATAGGTGATGAGCATGTTTCCTAGACGAAAATTTGATCCTTGAAAGAAAAGCGAATCGATCGATACTTGTTGATAGTGGACGCCGTTATGCGAGGCAAATATATCTTTTAGCGAACTATTTGGTGGCAACATTTTGTTTAGCTGACATGCTGTGAAAAATGATAAGCCAGTGCAACTGCATTTCGTCTGTAGCTATATTGTTAGCTATGTGGCTACTTCTAAAGTTTTTTCAATTCATATTTTCGTATCTATGGTGTAGTGACTAAAACTAAACCTGTTTGCGACGAAGTAAATTTAGAGCAGAAAAGAAGTAGTATTTCGCATTGTTATTGATGTGAAATTTTATACCGAGCCGAATATAATTTCACAGTGAATTCAAATTCACAATTTACGGTGTTTATGAGTAAGTGTCGAGCATGCCGTCTATCAAAGACTTATATAACAGTAAACTCAAACCGTGAAATGGAGCGGCGCCATTGGTAAAGGGTCGAAACGCTGAACAAGTACACCCTGTTGGGCACATGGCACGGTTGAAGTAGATTGATCCTGGGACTGTAAAAACAAAAAAGTACGATGTTTTGAATTTTTCTCTCGACTATATCGATAAAATCACTATAAACAGCCTGAATGTAGTCATGTAAATATATTTTTTTTACAATATAGTAAGATGCGCACTAATTATATTGTTACGCGAAGAGAAATAACTATCGATATTTTCACTTAATTATACACTGCCTTAGCGTGACGTCGTTTGAGTCCAACTGGGTCTAAATTGATTTGGGTATAATATATTTTTAAGTGCATTTTATCTATGCAAACAAGCTTTGTATTGTTTAATAATGTACTTTCACCTGCCTCTTCGAAGGTTTCATGTTTAGATTTCCAAAGAATGACGCTGACTTTTATTGCTGATTAAGTATTGATATCCCAAAAACACAGACAAAAAAAATATCCCGTTTATTTCGCGTGTTATATTATCGATCGCCTTTTACCTAATAGCACACTGGAGAGTATATGACATTCTTTTGAATGTCGTAACGCAAAATGTCAAACCTTAAGGTACCCGAAGCAAAAGATAAGATAGGTGTTTCATGTTGTAATCTTTGTATATTTCGGACGCGATTTTGATCAAGAGATATAGCTACACTTACTCTAACTTACCTTGCCTGCCGTATTCTGACGGTATTGTATCGCTTGAGTTTGAGGTTGCATCATTCAAATCGTTCGTCGTTTTATTGGGAGAATGTCTGCTCTCCCCAGGCGAACGTGTCTCGCGTTTCACTTGAATATCTAAAAATAAAAAATTTTTACATGTCACTAAAGTCATTTCTTTTCAACAAAAATGGCGGAATTTATTATTTCGATGTTTATTTAACAGAGACACGTTGTTGTCATAAAACGGCCTCGTTTCGTACAGTTAAACTGAAGAAAATTGCAAATAATTTAACAAAAATGTTTTCGTATTTCTTCTTCTACACAAAAAGTGTCTTCAATATAGCTACAATGTTTTAGTCCATTGAAGAATAATTCAGAAATTTTCTTTGCATGAGAATCGTGAGAAAAACACAATCGTAGTGTCTCAATTGATTCACTCACCACGACACTATAGTGTTTTTTTGATAGAATTGATAGTCAAATTGTCGCAAAAAACCCAGATGATGAGCCAGTGGCTTTACAAATTTTCATGAAAGTAGAAAAGCGGAAATTGGAGTGAAATCATTTTCTATCAATTTAAGGTGCAGATATTGTTTTTAGCTAATAGTCAATATCGCATTAAAATGGCTTCAAGAAGTCATTGAGATTGTAATTTTGTTGCAAATTTAAATACAAGTCCTCTTGCATATCACAAAATTTATTTCTCCCTTACAGTTCGAACTGCAAACAAAAATATCAATTGAGTTAACTTGTATATTACATAGCAAATATTTTTTCTACTGACATTTTCGCAGTTCGTAATTGATGTAGCTACCTCCATTTTTCGGGCTGGATATTCCATTCTTTTCTTGGTTTTTCTCCATAATTGCTGGACTTGTGGCTGTAGACGAGTGGTCTTCAGTTTTCTCCTCTTGCCTTGCAAGAGCCGTAAATAAGTCGCCCGGTGGTAAAGGATTGCGAAGCTCTTGCATTTGTTGACGTCGCAACGCAACTTGAGCAGCAAGTACTCGTTGTCGTTCGGCAATCAGCATGCACTTTGGGCATAGACAGTCTCTCCAGCGACAAAATCCTTTGTGACCCTTTAGAATAGAGTCGAAACCATGATTTCTGCATCGCGCGCATTTCGGTGTTCTCTTTCTTTCCTGGTGGTTGCTACCTTGCGCTTCAACGTTCGAGCTCATGATTGCAAGTGATCAAGTCAGATCCTGTGAAAGTCGGCAGCGCGTGTGACGCGGCAGGACAGATATGTAACTGAGTTAAGAATGATACTACCGTATAAAAGTTTTTCTTTTTTAACTGTTGCACTCCCGCAGCACTTTTTGCTGCCCAATAGTGTTTCGCCCGCTATTATTTTGGAATCAATTCGCCTCTCTCATTGGTCGATTTCAATTGACATGATCAATGGTTTAATTGGACGAGTAACAATGAGACATGGTATAACGAGGCTCTCATTCGCTGATTCGTGTTGTCCAACCAGGGCACCTGTACTAAACATCGGCGAACAGGTGCAATTTTGTGAAGTTTCCACAACACACAAAAAACAAATATGCTTTCGCAACTAATTCATATTTTCATTCCATTAATGTTGACAGTTATATTCAGGATATAAATGCATCGATGGAAAACAGTTTGTGCATTAATAAGAAAGCGTCTGTGGCTGTGCGCTGCCTACTATGATATAAATTGCATTTGAAAGAACTGCAATTGCACAACTCTTTAACGCAAATGTTACTTAGACGGACATGGTATAGTGTTGTGTTTCACAAGCGAACTTATATTTGGCCACAAATTGATATATACGTATTTATCTAAGAAACAGTTTCTCATTGTTTTCTGAAATTGTAAGAGTAAACTGCGCATGTTATAATTTCCTTCAATAACCACGCTTTATTTATTTGTATTGACAACATACTATATGTTTTTTACTTAGACTAAGAAGCGGCAAATCTTTTGAGAACGTCCGACGTAGCAACATAACACTCAAAAACCGGTTTTAAAGGTTTGTGTTATTACGGAAAACGTTTCGTGATAATTAATTTGCAACTTTCCAGTTTGGAGAATTGTGTGCAAAAATTTTCTACTACGAGCAACAAATTTGCGATTATGAAAACGCACATTTTTGTTTATTTAAGCAGTAACGGCTATTACAAAGCATCGACACTTATTAATTTGTCCTAATTCTCGAGGGAAGTTAAGTGAAGCTCGTTAGTCTTTAGATATTCCAATAAACACTTTGTAATGGACTTTAAACATTCTCGTGTTTCACAAACTATTCAATACACTTCCATCAAATTATCAATAAAATTGCAACTGTTCTTTGGGAGCATGGAACGGAAGCTATTGATCATGTTTAACTCGAGACAGAAACACGACTGTATGATATCACTAGGCGCAGGTGCCGTATTAAGAAACAGTATTATGCCTTTGAGTGAGCAGTTCATCTGTTCGGTATTATTGTGTGATATCAAAATGAACAATCTTCAATAAGTGGACGGAATAAAGATCGCGTTCAAAACTTTAATTGAAGCAAAGTTCGGCGTAGATAGAAGGTGGAACGAATGCACGGTTTTGTTATCAAAAAATTCATTGTATTTTGTGCTGGGAGATGAATAATGTATAGCCTAGTAAAAAGGATGTCTTTATTACATGCTGTTAACCTCAGCCAGCACTGACTTTATTAAGTATGATTAACACTGTAGGGATATTTTATATTTATAATGATATATACATTTAATATATTTATTATTCATATCATGAAAAAAGCACCTGATACTATCGTTGCTTTGAACACCACAAACACTATCATAATATTCAATGTTGCTGAAATAAACATTTATATCTTGTATCAAGAAAATTGTTTCGTGCAACACGAAAATTATTGCAGGCAATCACCTAAACTGCGCATAGAGAAACAGCATGAATTTGTCAAAAAACAAATCGACGGCTTTGTTTCTGTTTGCTACATAATGTCACAATTAACTGAAAATGGCTACATCGAAACGAAATCGAACTCATTAGACGTTAATTAAAGGAAATAGAACAGATGAATCTCTTGACGCGTCCTCGCAATTTTCCTTAATAGGAAGCGATGGAGTGCAACGTCAACTCGTTAGATCATTCGAATGATATCACGCCGGATAACATGCAATTGGAATTTTATATGATTGTGGCAACACTAAAGTAGTGTATTGTAGCTCTAGAGGGCTTTATAGCATACGCAACGAGTGTACGAGACAGTAAACTCGTTCTTGTTTTAGTTGTTGCTTGAAAACCCTTTTCGAACAAAACCTGACTTGAAATCAGTGAAAAAATAGATTGGAAACTTTTGTATTGTTTTGCTTGTTTTCGCCCAATGCACGCGATGTAATGTCTCGGAAACCAAGATTAATTATCACTCTCCTGAAGCATGCGGTCATGAACTCAGACTTCGCATTTACGATCGATTTCCTCGTTCATTCCACGAACGTTTTTCGAGAAATTTTGTGCGTACGAAGCATTCACACATTATGCGGTTTAATCAATTTGAAAAGTCTCAATTGACTCTTCGTTAAAATGTAAATTTCGACTTTTTAAAATGACATTCTAAGTGCACATCTAGCTAGCTACTTCACCAATGACTACAACTTTTTTCAAAAAAATATGTCATGTATGAATAGTTTCCATCCAGAAGCTTGAAATGACGGCAAAACAAACATCCTATAATCGTTTGACGTTCAAACCAAACAACGCCCACGGTTGTAGCAGTCATGTAAAATGAGGGACCATGGCGTTCTTTGGTATAGGAGTAGTTTTTGTGTCGACGTGTACACGCTACTAAATGATCTCAGTTCATAGTAGCAATAGTTACATTCAAGTAAACGGACAGTGAACAAAAAATCAATCGCTTGTTATAAAGAATCCTTGCCCTTAGTCTTACGTTATGTCTAAAGCCGCTCGAGCGATTTTCGTTACAGCATGAAGACGTATTTTGTATTTTGATTACCCCGTACTTTATGCGCAAAATAGCACTTGCTCTTTCTCTTACAAGAATTTTGCTCTTTTCTTGTGTACGTTAATATGCGTGTCAATCAATTTTTGATGAAAATGCGATGAATTGTGATGTAATGGAAATTTATCAAAGTTTGATATTGTCGCGCAGTTGATGTATACATACATGTATATATATTTGGAAACTGTCGGTGCAGATGTAAATACGGGTCAATAACGGGCGGCTACATTTATTGAAGTGAAATGAAATTAAATTACGAGCTCGTTAAAACGTCACCGCAAGCAGCTGAACTGGGCACTTCAAAAAAATCATTATTAAAAAATCATTATTACAACATTTGAAAAATATCGATTATTACAAGGCAGTTAGCTATGTGACAAAACAGAAAAGGCTATAATTATTCCTCACGGAAATTTGAGTTTTTTGACTGCCCGCATGACTTCATGGATTTTGTGAACTATACACATTAAAATAGTTGTATAAGATATTTATTTTAATTTGCGCATATGTTATTTGCAAGTCGTTATTTTGTTTTGTCAAATGCACAAATTAGAATATTATAAAGCTTGTAGCTAGGATGACATTTCAATGCGTTTAAGTGTCTTACTAAGATAAATGGGTTTTCCGATTGAATGAATCAGACAATAACGTTGAAATTAAAGCAGAAATTATTCGCTCTTTAGATTTATCATTTCTATAGCCGTATCATTGAAATGTCATACCCATCATAACCCCTGATCATATAACGATCCTTAAAATGAGAAGACTAATTTGTTTCAGGTATGACGATGAAAATGTGTTCTAGCGTTTCGTGTTCATGCTCTCGAAACAAACACATCCTTAATTGAGCTAGAGTAATCTATGCTGCACTGCATGGCTTTGGGATTTTAAGATAAGGCAATTGTCTGATTATATTTTTGAATATCTTCTCTTGCACCCGAATTATTTGCTTTCGATCATTAGTTCTTTGTGAAATGTTTATTGACTTTTTCTTTAGACATTTTTTCGTTTTCTAATACCATGCAAGCGATCTTTTTTAGCTAAGGCACAGGGAAAAGAGGTGCTTGTGATTGCGAGATTGCCATCTTCTAAATAATAAATCTGAGCTCTCGCTGCGTGATGCACATTTTGCGCTCATGTAGAATCAGACCGATGATCGATGGTTGCAACCGTTATGTAAGACAGTAAAAATAAAAAATGAAAGTCGTAGCTAGAAAAAACGTACTCAAAATTGACATATTGAAAATTTACCTTCACCATTTGCCTCCTTTCAATAATATTTACAAGCCCCATTTAAGTTTGACAAAACATCACGCTAAGGTTTAAGATTCAAATGCCTTTGAATTTTATCGACCAACTATTTAAATGAAATAAACACCCACAAAAAGAAGCTCATAGGCACTGGCGAAGCTAGCCTTCAAGTTTGGTCGTATTACGTAAATATCTCGAGGTTCAGTCACTGTAAAAACAATAAATTTCTAAAAAAATTATCGAGAATGACTTGAAATTTACATAGCACTACCAAACTCGCATGCAGGCTGACTCTCTAAGTAATTCTAGGTAATTTATTATAAGCTGTCAAAGAAGAATCTCAGTCAGCCTCTAACATGCCATTGTCCTGTTTTCATAAATTAATGCAGTTACACTACAAACTGCTTTTCAATACGACGGTTACAAACAAAAAATGTTGCTGAATACGGTTAGCGTTCGCTTTATATACTAGTGTGAAACTTAGTATACTACTCTTCAATGGTAATTTTAAAATTGAGTATTTTTGAGTTCAAGAGACGATACGCTTTTTCCTTCGAGCACGAGCGAGTCGGTATGTCCTCATTCTTCACAAGACTGTAAGTCTAATTAGTAGATAACGTAAGTTTTCTTTAATTGTAAATACTTCAAACGACAATTTTTAATATTTGTAATACTTATACGTTTTTCATTCGGAGTGGTGCTACCGAGGCTGCACGTTTTTTAAGTAATAAACTATTTATCTATCTATCCATCTATGTAGTATTGTGCTGAATTGTCTGGAATTCATTTATTCAGAACATTTGCAACATTATTTGTTGGGGGAACTTTCTTTTTGTGTTGCGTTTATAATGCACATAAAATAATACAATATTGCATTATCCGTACGTGCAAAGTACTAAACAGTTTTGACGCAAAAAATAAATAAGTCAATGCGCAACAGTTACAAGTGGAGTGCTGGCATGAGAAGAGGGGCAGTGGGGCCATGCTGTTGATTTTTGGAAAGCGCAACCATGAACGAGGCGTTGATTTTGGAATTTGGGTTTGAAAATGCACTTGAAGTCATTTCAATAATTAGTAGTAATAGTAGCATTATTTCACCCCCCCCCCCAAAAAAAAGTTCAGGAAATGGTATCATACAGTTTCTTAATTTAAAAATTTTGCTAAGGAGCATGCCCCCGGACCTTCATAGCATCACTCACACCTACGGCGCTCGAGCTTTCGGTCCTCGTTTCGATAGAGTTATACTTCGGGGGCGTATATTTTTCCGAGCACGTCACTGACAGTTGACATGGTTGCAAACTTTTTGATTGTCTCTAGCAGTAACAGTCCAGGTTTGTGAAAAATATATGTTAGTTGTTAATAGGTCATGCCAAATACGTTCTTAACAATGCCATTCTTTTTGAATTTTAACGATTGATATCTGACCAGTCAATGGTGTGTTGTAATGTATTTTTCCGAGTAACATTATAGATCCACCTCTGCGCGTGCAAGCATAGAGCAGTAAAAGCTAACATGTACTCTTTCTAGCATGGAGTAATTAAAGTTAGGCCACGATACCTAGAATGGATTCAGTACAAGTAACATCGCTATTAAATATTATCTTTTCTCTAAAATTGTTAAGTTTTATTTTACGCCTTTCTTTTGCTTATTCGGGAGAAGATATGTAGGCTTTATTTTGGGGGAAAAGAAAGATAGTTTTATTTATTTTTCTACAAATTTAATTCATTTCGCGCAAAAAAGCGTTTGGAGATTCTCTTTGTTCTGATTGGTCAAGACCGGCTTGTTATGTCACTTATGTGGTTCTTTCGAGACTTCGAGTCGAGGAGCGTAGAAATTTCACTGTAATACGAAAATATCTTATGAATGCTTGTTGTTTCAAGTATTTCTAATGAGCTTCGAGGAGTTTATTTTGAATTTACAGAACACAATAGAAGGTGAGATGCACGTGAGTAGGAGGACGTAATTCATCTAAGCCTTTATTTTTCACATATGTAAATGAGGTTAAAGCGATGTTCTTTTGTCCTTGAGACCTTGTTGTTGTCAACAACATCGAAAAACTGTCAAAAACTGCAACTATGTGAGACCTGTTGACAAAGTGTTGATTTTTTATCATGCAAATCATACGTATCCGTCAAGTGTGCTTGATAATTTTGTTTTTTGTTTTTGAAATGAGTACAAATTTTACGCAAGTTCACCTGACGTCCGCAGTCCATTTAATGAAATTTATGAATGGTGGAGATGAGCAGTTGACTTGCACGGTCCTGGCTTGACTGTCGGGCTATATTGATTGCACAACACAAGTAATTGATTTGATTCAAGGACTTCAATTGCTTATATTAACGTCTGCCGAGGTTTAGTGTAAATCTTGGCCAGTCAAAACCATCGCTTTCGTGAATATCTTCAGACGATGTTCGTCCATTTCTGAAATTGCTTTTCCTTTTCTAGACAGTGTGGTTTGGAAATTTACGAACTTGATAATTCATACGAAGAAGGCTAGATGTGAAGAGTCCAATGCTACGATTGTGTGTCACAGGAAGAGGTGGCGTGGGAAAAAGTTCTCTTACCATAAGATATTTAAGGGATGAGTTTACCGAGGTATATGTATGGCTCTTTTGCTGAACGAGTTATGACTCTGTTGTTGAACGATGTACTATTAATAACTGCTGCATCGGTTGAATTTCCACCAGAAATACTGATTACATTCATTCCTTTTTAGTACTACGATCCGACAATTGGTAAGTGAGAGTCTCGTAAGTTTACTTCCATTATTTATTGGCTTGCAACCAAGCATTGTTATAGTGACCTTTAGAAATTAACCTTTAGTTTTCATCTCGATGTACTATGCAATCTAATTTTTTTCATTTTTATCAATTGTAATAACAATACATTTCTCATGATTTGAAATTTACATAGCTCAACCAAACTTGAAAGCTGGTTGTGCCACAGGATGTCAAATTACACATGTTTGATACATACTAGCACTTAAGTTTTTCTTCTACTGGGACACCACTTTTAACTTTTTAAGTAAAAAGTATTCATACTAATGCACCTAGCATAGTGATCAGACATTCGACATGAGATATCCTGTAGTAAACAATGTTGCTTGACCTTATTTGCTGGTGCCTTAAAATAGCATTGGAAAATATTCTTTTGCATAAGTCAACTTGCAAGCCCAGAATCCAACTACATAGCCATATGTTCTATGGCTAATACAAATTGTGCTTGATACTTGAACATGCTTGGGAAATTTGTTTGTGTTTGTCTTGCCATTTATGTTTTTTTATCAACTTGCTGAAAATTTACATATAATTGCCAATGAGCAATGGCACCACTCCCGCATCTTTTGCAGAGCCCTTCTCTTCAAAGCCCATTATAAATTCTTTGCCATTTGTGCTTTAACTACTGTATTTATTTAATGACAGTACATTGATCTGTCTGTCTTTCATACGTACATACATGTGTAATTACATACTTCCAAATAATTTCAGTCCTAAAATTTCAAGATATAGATATGTATTATTGTGTCTAAATGTGGCTAAATCTGGTCATGATAATACTTAGTTGATAACACGGCTGAGCTGTGTAAACTTACCAATATAAAACAATGGTTGTAAGAAACTGTGGTTGCCTTTTTTTTCTAAGTAGCATTATTTTCTTGAATACACATGTTAAATTCATACTTATTGTGTCAAGGGGTATGCAAGTTTCAAACAGCTTTTGTTTTGAATTTTCAAAATGTTGGACTAATTATCATAAACTTTGTCACAATCTTAAATGCAAGTTCAGCATCTGTCGATCAAAATCGTGGGGGAATATGATTTTCATTCCATTTTGCCTCCACCCATTGCAATAAAATATATGTACATATTGCTATTATTGTGGCATATGTCTTCATCCCATATGGCATGCGCTTGATTGATCAACCTTACTTTATTGCTTTATTATAGAGGAGACATATCAAAAAGAGGTATTGTATGTCTTTATATTTTACAATTATTTTGAATATGGATTGAACTTATATAACTAAATATCACCTATATATATCTGGTAATTGCTCCATTTAGCTGTGTAGTTGTCTGGTATTATCTCCACTTAGTTTTCTGGTATCACCTCCACTTAGTTGTCTGGTATTACCTCGACTTAGTTGTCTGGTATTACCTCAACTTATTTGTCTGGTATTACCTTCACTTATTTGTCTCGTATTACCTTCACTTAGTTTTCTGGTATTACCTTCACTTAGTTGTCTGATATTACCTCTACTTATTTGTCTGGTATTACCTTCACTTATTTGTCTGGTATTACCTCTACTTATTTGTCTGGTATTACCTTCACTTATTTGTCTGGTATTACCTCCATTGTATTACCTTCCTTATTTGTCTTCCTCCACTTAGTTTACCTTCACTTATTTGTCTGGTATTACCTCCACTTAGTTGTTTGGTATTACCTCCACTTAGTTTTCTGGCATTACCTCCAATTTTTTGTCTGGTATACACCTCCACTTATTTGTCTGGTATTACCTCCAATTTTTTGTCTGGTATTACCTACACTTAGTTTTCTGGCATTACCTTCCCTTTGCTTTGTAGTATGTTGTAACATTCTACGTACATCCAGTTTCCTTGTCTTGATTTCCTCAGCAATGGTTTAGAATATTCAATATTCATTGTGTTTTGTTTGTGTATCCCTATCAGACTTTAGTTGATGCTGTCAATTGGTAAGCTGTCCAAGTATCTCTACTCTGTTACCTAATTATGCAACGATTTCTTTTTTATGTAGATTGAGTACGCTGGTCGTTTTTATGACATCGAAATAGTTGATACGGCCGGCCAGGAAGAGTTCTTCTCGTTTCGCGATTCGTCTCTTGCTAGCGGAGACGCCTTTTTGATATTGTTTGCCATCAACTCCCGAGCCAGCTGGCTTGAAATGAAAGGATTGCATGGAAAAATTATTGAAGATAAAGAAAAGCAAAGTATCCCTATTATTATTGTTGGCAATAAACGGGTGAGAATCGCAAGCGCGAAAAATGATCCATTTTTGTTGATAAATTTGACGTTACTCTTGTATTTAGGACTTGGAGAACGAGCGGGAAGTGGATAATGAAGAAATCAGAGAATATTGTGGCTCGATTTCGACTCCCTACATTGAAACGTCTGCTAAAGTAGGTATTTTGGCGTTCGTTATTTGCTTGTCAAAGATTGCTGTGCTCGTCTTCCGGGCGGTGTCAGCCCAGCCCCCTATCCCATTGTTGTTTTATTTCTTCGTCGTATTGTTATTTTGATTTCTTTATGCTGGTTTTGGTCTCGTGGCTTATGGCCCCTGCCCGTAACAAAAAATCAACCTGGGTTGGCTTCTACTTCTAAAAATACTATTCATAAGATACTCATACTATCTCCTGTCTTTTTTTAGACGGGCTTAAATGTTCAAGAAGCTTTTAAACTTATATACGGACAAATCCACAAGTTGAAGGCCCGTATGCTTGAGAAATCTTTAAACCAAAAGACTAAGAGAAAGAGACGGAAATGCAACATTATTTGATGAAACCAACTTGATATAGAACTATGTACGTGCTATCGTTCAGTGATTTCAGAATTTTACAATGTTGTATCTTATTCAGACTTCTAACTATGTGGTATGTCGGCTGTGAACTTTTTAAATTATTACGAATATGAGAGACAGCGTTTATGTAATTCATTGAATACAATTCATTTTTTAATATTTTTTTTATTTTATATTCGATTTTGAGAACTTGACTTTATAGAACGTGTTGTATTTTTGAGTAGTGCGTATGGCCCAAAATCTTCTGATATTCGGTCTCGGCAGTTGCTCGGTCCACAAGGCTCAGTTCTGTTATGTAAGATTTAGAACGTCATTTCTTTGAAAATCTATTGTTTCTCGAAGAGTAAGAAATGAAATACTTGCAAAACAACAATTGGAGTATATCAAATGATTAAAAAGCGCTCGAGATTAAAAGGTTACCCTTACGTATCATCCTTTCACTAAATACTATATGCAACTAGCACGAAAAGGCTTGCTAGGTCACTGCTTCTTGGTACATAACATTCGCATACCATTTGAGTAGTGGTAGAAATGGCCTGATTGTAATGGGTCTTTTTTTGTTAACCGTTTTTCTTCACTTTTCTTCGAAGTTGTATTGAGCGGGGTTGTGGTGGGGGCGACACCTCGTTTTTAAAAAATCATTAGTAAATATTTAATGGTCGAATACCAATATATACGTAGCTACTTTTATATTACTTAAAACACATTCTTCGACGCACTCTCTGGTAGAGTGCATAGATGCGGGGTTTATCAGTCTGAGGTGTGATGTTCGAAGCCTTCAAGGGTCTGTTGTTGTTGGGCATGGAGTGTTGAGCATTAGACTTGCAATGAACGAAAGTCGGAACGGTCAGGTTTCTGAGGTTAGTCAGAATCTTGCAAAGTTAAAGCAACTACTGGCTGTACACAAAGTGTGCAAAGGACATTTCTCTTGCTGAGTTTTTCGGGAATGGAATGCGACACTTAGTATAATTTCAGAAAAAAAACTCACTTTCCTATGCGAAAGCCAAACAAGTAATAAATCAAAAGGGGTCTGTTGCACAAATTTTTGCCATAAAAAGAACCAAGGCTTTTGCTCAAATTTCTCTATGACTCCCTACCAACTTGGGTGTCATATTTTTTAATAGTCGGGGAAATTGTGGGGGCAAACAGAACGCCTTTACACCCTCTCCTAACCTCAAACCTCGCACTCAACCATGTACCTACAATCCATTCCGAAGTAGGGACGAACCAAGGACCTGCATTGGATGTATTTCGGTCATACCTGGTTGAGCCTACGCTAAACTACGAATGCTTTATGGTACATTTCCCCATTTTTGTTTAGTTTTGAAGCGAAAGAAAACGAATTGGTCTTGAAATATTGTTCATGTCGTCTCTTGTGAAATAACAAATTTTTGAAATGTCTTTAATGTCGTTTCTCTGAATTAAGGACTTTTCAAAGTCGAAAAGGAAAGTCATGTGCCGTGCGGTCCGTAAAAGGAGGACAAAAAAGAAATTCTTTCTACAATTTTACTGTTTAATGAACCATTGGAAGTCCAAGTATCTATTTCCACGAAACGTTTTTTAAAATGGCAAACGCTGATTAATTGGGCAACGTTTTCCAGACTGTTCGGTTTTCTTTCTATACAATCTGTATCACGATCACAAGTCGTAGGCCAACCTAGAATGCAAAGCAGTTTTTCCATAAACGTTGGTGCCATCATTATCTTTGTATAAATGCCTGTGATATCCAAACGAAAAAAGACAATGATAATGAAAGTGATTGAGCATTTTAGTATGTATAATCTTTATCAGTATCGTGTTCCTAGAAGGTATTTTCGTTCATTATTATTCATACACTTAAGATTTCTCATTGTTAGAAATGGCTCCTCTTTTTCCGTTGCAGCACGCTCTTGGACACATTAGGTAACATTTCTTTCGAGAAGACCGAATCATCCGGCTTGCATGAAAGGTTTTTGTTGAACACCACAACTTGTCCCCCAACATGGTGTCCCTGGTGTATATCCTGCTTGACCATAAGTAGAATCCATGTAACCTGGTTGCCCCAAAGTATAATCAGGCTGCCATTCACCACCTGGCATTCCTTGTTTTCCAAACGTGCCATGATTATCAGGAGCTGTAGTTGCGCTGGAAACGTGCATTTGCGATGAACCAGGATTAGCGTTATTTACTGCGGGGTAACCAGACATTTGAGTTCCTGAATAACCTTGGGAATATGGATAACCAGTTTGAAATGGTGTGTACCCAGATGTACTGGAATACCCAGGTTGAGGAATTGGTGAGTATCCAAGTCCTTGCGGATACTGTGGGTATCCTGGCGTCAGTAGGTGCCCAGGTTGTTGCGGATGTCCAGGTCTTGGTGTGTATCTAGTTCTTTGAGGGTGGCCTGCTTGTGGCTGTGGGGAGCCTGGTCTTCTATTATAAGTGGCATGAGCATCATAGGGCTGTGACAATCGATTGGCTTGAACGTGATGGTTTTGTAACTGTCCAGAACTATGTGAGCGATGTACGTCTACTATATTAAAACGAATTTCGCACATATTTTACAAATTGCCTACTAAGATCATTACTTGGTTGAATTATCTTGCATATTGTTGAGAAATCATACATTCATATCTGCAGGAACGAATTTGAACTTCCATTGAAACTTAATGCTGCAGAAAGGACAAGCCAGAACACAAAAAATACAAGAAAAAAAGCCAATCAGTCAGCGCTGGAAAAGAGGCCATTGCTCCTTCCTGATTAGACTTCTTTTGAATGTTTGTCTTCCATTTCAAGCTATCACGAGACGTGATTGCCTCTGTTTATTACAATGGCTGAATGGCATCAAACCACGTATAGCCCTTACAAAAAGATCAATGGCAATGATCTTTTGTATCATTAAGTTTACGTTTACAAATAACTTTTGTTTATTTTTTTAGTTGTGGCGAAGTGAAAGCAATTATTGCACAATCAAATAACATATTTTTCATAATGTTGCTATGATATTATGACAATGACGTTATATGTTTTAACTTTACCAACCATTTGACGTTGTTTTATTTTGTTTAACTGCCATACTATGGGTCTGTTTTTTCCCAGTTTTCAAGGCATTCTTGACAAGTTTGCTAAGAGTTGGATCCATAACGATTACATCACCTTTCGCTGTTAGAATAAAAAATGCAAAAGAACTCCTTTCGCATATTTATCGCATACAAAACGCATACAGGTTGTACAGATAGCTGCATTGTAAATAAAACAAAAATGACAACAAAAAAAAGTTGACTTTCAGAAAAGTTAATGAAAAAATAACAATTTAATCTGACGTGAAAAGAAGAATTGCTCAAAAATTGTTTTGCTGACTGATGATTGAGTTACGCGCACAAATTAAGATACACAAATAGTCAAAAAGAACTGTTCAGGATTTGTCTAGTAATGTTGGGTAGTGATGAGTATCATGTTTGTCATCTACTGAAAGCCTGATTTACTCAACAGGCATCATGTCTAACAGATAAAAAGATGTACTAACGCAATGATATCCTATAGTTATTAAATATACTATTAATTTTTTTGTGTAACTTGTATCTTTATGTTTTGGTTATTAAATTATTGCTTGCTTGCGAGATGTTCTTTTCGAATGCCTGTGTAGCCAAGTTTTAGCCTAAGACTAAAACTATATATAGTAATTAGTATAACCCAGTACATACCAACTTTTTGCTTGACAATATCGTGTGCATGACTGAGATGCTTTTCTATCAACAATTAGAGTAGAAAAAAACATATTTTAATACATATTTAGACATGCAACGCCCTACACTTTCCCATCCAGTGACAGTCCATACGACCTTTAGTTGTAAAGAAAGAGTAGTATTTTCAGAGCAGCCTAACTATTTATGCAAATTTTTACTAAATTTGGTTTGTCTGATGAGCTTAGACTATTGCACCTGCTTTATATAGTTATAAAGTTCAGAACATAGGGTGTTTTGGTCGAGTGAACTGGTAATAAAATTGCATATATGATCCCACCGCTTCAGAGTAACTTGTAACAATTGCAATTACTCTTACTATTGAGGCCTGCATTGTAATTTATGGATGACAATTATAGAAAAATTACCAGATCAAGATGATATCTGTAATTACTGCTGTACGTATGGCATAAGTATTCGTTCAACTTGCCGAGTTGTGCTTCACAACTTTGCGAATACAAACTTTTATGATGCAGTGTACAAATTTTACTATAAAATAAGATACTGCCTTTTTTATGTGCAAATTTATCTTAAATATTTTTGATGTTTTTTGAGTGGAACTATTTTGAGAACGATACAAGCTAGAGACTCACGAGCGCAGCAAGACCATCGTGTTTTTTTTCTCATGCTTTTCTTATTCCTATGCCAGTCTTACTGAAAAAGAACAACGAATTTCTCAAGAAATAAATAATTACTGGCTCGGCAGAGATGGAGAAGATCGAAAACTGACTTTTCTAATCATTTGTGTGCGCAGCTGCGCATGCACTATGGAAGACACATAAAGTAGCTGTGAGTACGTTGCTAATGATTTTACGTACCCAAGGCATTATCAACAGTTATCTTCACTTCTTTTGCTGCCTCCTTTAGTGTTTTACCTTGGTATGACAAATAGAAATTAAACTAAGAATTGTCGACATGAATAAAATGTTTTTGCAAATATTTATCTTGTGCATGAAACAATAATTATGTTTAATACTTTTTGAAAATCACACTATTTTTTAATGAAGAAAAAAAAAATGTTTTATTTCTTTGTCAACAAATCAATCCAAATGTTTTCATATCAGTTTTATGGAGGATATTATTACATTGGTATTGAGACACAACAATTCAAATGTCTCAACTTTTAGATTTCATATGCCTGGAAAAATATCTCGAGTAGCATAAAGTCGAAAACCTAAAAACTAATTTTTGACAATAAATCCTTTGGATGATTATGACACGAGTAATTTATCAATGACTCTTCGTCTCAACGCGACACAACAGATTGATTAATGAGTTGAATTCATTTAATCATACGTTATGATAATTGCATTACAATAGCACACAATGAATTAAATTATTCAAGTGAAGACATTATGAGTTTGAGGCGAAGTAACATTTTTAAAAAAGTATTTGTAGTATTGAACTTTTCGTAACAACTGAATTGAAAATCATACGTAGGGTCACAGTATAGTGAATACACAGTAGAGCCACTCTATTGAATTTTTTCGTGCCACGCATATCTTATTACGCATGTGATTACCAAAATGGCAGCCAGCCAATTTCTTTTTTTGACCAATAGGAATGATGAAATAACTAACGACTGACAGTAATCTAATTAAATATACAGCAGCCAGTTGCACACGAAGTGGACCTACTGTATATTCCTATACTGTGGTAAGGCTGTGGTATTCTCAATGAGTAAATCTCATTTAAAAGAAAAAACACACTCCGAAAAACATCATCTTGTAAACTCAACATTCGAGTTATTAAAGCAAGACACAAGATTTGAGACAAGAGCATGAGACAAGAGCATGAGACAAGAGACAAGATGCTTTAAATAATAACTCGAATCTTGAGTTTATAAGATGATGTTTTTTGGAGTGTGTTTTTTCTTTCATTTTTTGAAATTGTCGGCTGGAAAAGAAATCTCATTTGCTTGTCCTCATTTTCATATACTAACAAAGACTTACCAATTTTATGTTTCAGCAGTTGTGAAATAGCGTTGTGAACATCCTTTGCTTTCTTCTCGTCTAGTGCTGCTGACGTGGAATCAGTCCGTTTCCTTCCTAGGTGGAATACGTGGAATCATTTCTTCAATTTAGTTATCATCGTGTGCATATGACGTGTAATGACGGAGCTTACCATAAATTTACTAAAAGAAGCGTATATATACATGAGATAGCAAGAAACTAATATTCATTCACCTTGTGTTTTTGTATCCACGTTTTCAAGAGAACAAACAAGAGGAATCAGTGCTAAAAAAGAGCAAACTATCGACGGAAGCGCAGCCATGTTTTCCGCAGCACTACTATACAAAACACCAGTAAAGGAACGTTTTGTTAATTTGAGTAAAACTTCAGGAATGTTGTTTGGACCAAAATCTTCTGGGACTGAGCTGACAAATAATTGCCGCTTAAGATAGTGTTGCTTTCAATTATTTTCCTGCTTGCATTTCATTTTAAGCCATATTATCGACACTGAATAGTTCTTGTCTCATAAGCTTTGCTTATTTTATTAGTAGAAATATTATTGAATTGTTTGTATGTACAAGTAAATGATAGGACGATGTACCGTCGTCACATTTGTGCTGTGAAGCGGCAATGCTATGACACCGGAGGGTACAACAAGCAGCACATAATACATATTTAATGAATACGTGCCTATAGATCTCATCGCCGTAACATAAACACAATATCCAGTGGCAAAATACATTTTTGAATACGTATCTTACGCCGCTATCAGCGACAGGTTTAAATCTAATTTCTTTGACTTTCTTAGCGTAGTAGGAAAATTTACGCAACCCTAGTGAATTAAGGAATGATCTTATTTAGGTACCTGCTGTCTCAGCTAAGATTTTTTTTGTTTTCATAATCCTATAGTGCATGCAAAACGACAAGATTAACTTGCCGTCGTCAAATGGTGTTGGACGTTTCAGAAAACTCCCTCGTTCATTGGGAGTGTTTATATTCGATTACCAATAAACTAGGCAACTTGTTTTGTGTTCTTTGCCTGTCAATAAATGTTTGCACACGGTTTGCACAATCCATAAGCACTTGTAAATAAGGTGAAGTAGCTCCTCTTCAAGAGACTCTCAGCTCGTGCTGGATAAAATGGACTGAAGTGAATAATAGCAAACACTGAGGATCAGAACTCTAAGTGAACTTTCTGAGGATTTGTTTATAAATACAGTATGCATTCAAGTCAAAATATTTTCTGAGCATTAGAGAAGCTACATGACAGCTGTTAAAATTAAGTAACTTTGGCCAAAATACTTGCGCTATTGCTGTGATCAACTAAAATAAATTGAAGTACTACGAATTATCTGTAAATGCCAAAGCAAACAAGAGTGAAAATTCCGTACTGTAGATTTATATAAAAGAAAAGTGTTTTAAACAAGGGATTTTGAAGAAATAGCATTTACATATAAAAGTTTCATACACAAATTTCTTTCACGCTGCATGCTGCGTAATTTTTCAATCTTTATCTATGTGACTTGAAAATGTCAGTTATTTAAAACAGTGCCTGATATATGTAAGTGATATTTTGGGGGTGTTTTCATCTCCCTCCCACTCGCAACCCCAAAAATAAAATTCTGCTGGGGCCACCGAGGAAGACTTGCAAAATACTTTCTAATTAACCAACAAGTCGATCTCTTATCATTGAATCATATATTTATTAAAACAGTCCAATCTAACCACAATTCAAAAATAGTACAATAGATATGCATTTTGAAGAGAAGACCTCGTCTAAAACAAATTTATGTACAAAAATACTTACATTTTGAATTCGGTCGTGTTTTAACCCTGCGTTAACAAACGAACTCAAAATGGTAAAAAAATATATAACTCTTTTGCATACTCGTAGATAGAACGCCATGAAGACAAAAACAGAAAACGACAAGACAACAAGACAAAATCGCCAATGAACACAAAATAGACATAATTTATTACTTCTTATTATTGCTCGTCAGGCTACTATGATCACATATACGTTTCATTGCATATAGAAGACATAATTACAGCTGTTTTGGTGCAGAAAAGCTAGACATTGACTGAGACGAGAACATGCAATGTGAGAAATATATTGCTTAATAACATATTACCATCGGTTCACAACTTTATCATGCCTGTCTTTGAGATTAATTACTCTTGCTCTTCTGGTGGTTAGATTTCTTTTGAGTATTTTTGTTTTTTCGGACCTTGCGAACTTTTTCAATTTTTTCTTCTTTCTCATTTTTCTCCTCTTTCTCATCTTTCTCCTCTTTTTCATCTTTCTCTTCTTTTTCATCTTTCTTATCTTTTTGCTTATTCCCCTTTTTATTCTTTGTTTTCTTCTTTTCTTTGTCATCATCACATCCCATTCCACATCCACCACCTCCCATGGGCATTTGCATGGGCATTCCCATACCACCGGGAGGACACATTGGTTGTTGACCACCACAAGGCTGTTGGCAACCACCGCCCATTGGTGGTTGGCAACCACCACCCATTGGTGGTTGGCAACCACAACCCATACCCATACCCATGCCCATGCCCATACCTCCTACACCAGGGGGCGCAGCTCCTCCACCGCCTAAACAAAACACAACCGACAACGTGGTGAGCTCGTAAAAGCTTTAACAGACGATCTTCGTACGATCAAAGAATTTTGGGATGGTTCGTTAACGTCAAAAAAAGATTTCTACTTAGAATTCAAAATGTATTTTTTGGATAATTCTGCCATTCAAACTTTCGGATTAATCATTTCAATATGATATAGCCTCCACTTTCACACAGCATATTCCATTAAGATTTTTCAATAAACTAAACAAGGGAAGTGATCATGAAAGGACGTTCATAACTTGTACGTCCAGGGGGAAGGGAACGAGGCTATCTCAACTTGAAGGAATACGAAACAAAGTTTCTCAGTAATTAGAGAAGATTTTCACCTATATATTGTAAACGGGAAGCCAAATACACTACAAACACCAAATACTTATCGTACGTGACGATTTGGATTATTTTCTAAACGTTCTCTTTACGTCTTGTTTAAGTTTCAAAACATTTGCATGACCTCAACTTTATTGTAAGAAGTGTTTCGACGATTTCGTTAAAGAAAAGAACCTATTTTAGCCGATAGCCTTATTTGGACCTTTGACTCAGTTTGGAGCAAGAAAGCACGGAGTGGTATATAATAAGTTTTCAACGACTTACTTCCTGCGTCTCCGCCACCACTTCCGCTTCCTGAAATCGAAAACGAAAGAAAAATGAAGTCTTGCGCGTTAAACATTATAAAAATATGCTATGTCAACTGATGTGCGAAGTGAAAAGAGGACTTTACCTTCATCGCCAGCGGCACGTTTTTCTTTGAAATCTTAATAAAAAAAGATTTATCAAACCCTATTCCCCAGTACAAGCAACATGAGTCCTATATCTCTTTTAAGTTGAATCGGAAAAACTTCGAAATTACTTCTTTATTCATCTTTTCCATGGGAAAGAACTGTGGGACTTACGTAAAAGATTTTGAAAATCATTTATCCTGTACAAAACAGAAGTCATTGAATCTCAACAACGACACTTGTAAAAACTGCTTCATTACAGGTGACATGAATGAAATATCCAAACGTACTGATCAAAGATTATCTTTATCAGGGCTTATTACTTTGTAAAAATCTAAATGTAAAAAACTCAAGATTTATCAAACTCTAGCTCATGTCATTTTTCAATAGCGCAGTCCGCAGTTAAAAGGAACATTACATTAAACTTAATCCAGATAATTTTTATCGCATACAAAACACACTCAAATGGAATTTCAACTCACCAGTAGGCATAGCATGACTAAATGCGACCCAAATAACCAAAAACAGAATCGACTTCATCACTTTTCTCTTTATAAATGGAATCGGAGCAATTTCAGAGTACTAAAAGCGCACGATAAACCGACAAATTGAGATTGGGCTTTCTTCCACTTCAAAGCACAAACAGAATCAATGCATGAACTACTTCACCGAGACAACCAGCAAAACATCGTGTTTTATCAGGTACCAAACATTTAGCCGTTTCGTCATAGGCTTAATTTTAACTTTTTAACATAAACCTCTCAAGCGTCTTGCCACCCGTCATTTTTACGGTTTACGATTTTGTAGTTAAAAAATGAAATCCTTTGTTCATGAGTCAAAGAGTTATCTTGCCATTTCAGATCGATTTCGGATTCATTGTCTCGCTCAAATCGTCTGCTATAGCGAAATAAGTTTCTTGCAAAATCAAAGGAAATTGCTATTTGTAATGTCCTTATCTTAATCTATCTCCCAAGTCCGCTTAAGAAGTAAGAATATTATTACTTTCACAACATCATGTCACTAAGCTTCGTTGATTTTCCTCCAAATAATTTTATCATTTTTGCCCTCCTGTGCAAGCAGCGTCGACAACTAGAACATTTCCATGAGACAATTCATGATTACATAGACAAACATTCGCTAAATGCATGGAAGAATTAGATGAATATTTTTAAGTTATAAGCAACCCATGAAAAACTCTAGGAGTTGCTAAGATTCATTTTACTTTTCCGTAAGAATAACAAAATTTCATTAACATCTAGTGAATGTCAGCATTTCTTTATGTTAAACTGACATTAATTATCAGTTATTTTATACATTTCTTTATAAAATACGTGTATATTAATTGTTAAATGACGTCATACTCATCTTCATCCTCATCCTCATCCTCCTCCTCCTTCTTCTTCTCATCCTTCCACTCATCCTCATCTTCTACTCCATCCTCATCCTCATACTCATCTTCATCCTCATCCTCATCCTCCGCCTCCTTCTCCTTCTTCTTCTCATCCATCTACTCATCCTCATCTTCATCTCTATCCTCATCCTCATCCTCATCCTCATTCATAATGTTTCAATACTTGTTCATCTGTTTTTCGTCGTTGAAATTTGCTCAGAATATATTTACTCAGTATATCAATCAACACATCCCGGGTTTTCTGAACTTGCGTTGTTTCTCCTTTATGCAAATGTATTCACGATTCCCTGATGTTTCTGTTTATTTTTTGTCACCTGTGTGATAAGATCCATTTCGTTGAGTTTTCGTTCATATCTTTGTTAGTTACATACCTTCTACCTACTTCAGTAGCTTTCATTCATCACCATACCTCATATTTTTTATTAAGTCATCACATTTTCCCATTTTGTTCTCGAGTCGTGAATGCTATTTCAGTTAAGGAGTTCTTCTCTTCTTGCATCGAATAATTTTTGACTTGAGTTATGACAAAAAGTTATGTCACGAAAAGCAGACAGCGGCTACGCAATCTTGCAAGTTTGGTCGTGTTACGTAAATATTTCGGTGTACACGTACTTAAAAACTAAGAAAATACTAAGAAAATAAGCAATTCTAATGATCCAAAATTTACAGAGCACAACAAAGTTGATATCAGCAATGGAAAATTCAACATCATCCTCCACGTAGCTTTCTGGTCGGTTTTTCAAACAGGTTTTCATGTTGGAATATGTCGATGAATCGCTCAAACTTGTCTCCCAACTAGGGTGCGACTTAAAATACAGGTTGAAATTTTCATGTGATGTTCCATTCGTATAATTGCTCTTTATCCCACGTCTCTTCATCATTGATGGGCGGCACCCAAAATTGTAGTTCATCCGCTGTTTGTTCTTCATGAACTTGTATTTCGTGAACTCCCACCTAGTAAAAATGGTGGAAAAACCAACTCGAGCAATACCCTTGTGAGGCTAATTACTTCCAAATCAATTGAATTTGGTTGACAATGAAATCCTAAAGATTCCCTCTCCTTCGAATTGGCATACACGAATTTCGAGAAAATGCGTTTGAATATTCCCGGTGATTGCCCAGGAAAACTTTTACAAGCACTTCGCAAAGCTTGTTCTGTAGAGTGAGTCCCTGAAAAGGACTTTTAAAAGCAGCCCAACTTTGTCAACTGCGCTCATTCACAAACAACTTCTTTAATTGTAAGGTTTGCAAAATTCGCGACTCTTTGCACTGTTAGTAGCTGGTTCAACAATACCATATGCTGATTTTGGTCTTGAATCACGGGGTTATAATCTTCAGTTAAGATTTTTCGACTATCTGATGCTTCCTGCCTGGTTCGATGAGAGCGGTGGATGGTTCTTAACAAGAAAGAGAAATCCGCTAACCAGACCCCAGGCGATCATGTTTATTGTCACTTGAATTCACTATAGACCACCAACTGTTCGTGCATCTGCTAGCACTAATACATCCAACCTGCAAAGATGTTCATAATCCTTTTAAAAGGGTTGAGTATATACTATCATCCTAATGTTTAGTTCCAAACACTGAATCATGAGAAACCACCCGAGTTTAGTATATTCTGCAATCAGTTCAATTCCCACCAGAGGTTCATACGAGTTTTTATACACGCTTCCCAACATGATACGGACATATAGTTGAGATTTATGAGCGTTATCACTGAACACTGCATGCTTCAGATGTTCAAGCTCTTTCTGTATTTCTCATTTATTTCTGATGGACTGGATTGTCCACTGTGGGTAAATCATTTTTCTCAACTTTGATCAACTTTATAATATTGAATGATCACCGTCCATTGTTTACAGTCTTGCGGATTTTCATGTCAAAAGTATGGGGCAATAAACATGTTCTCTTTTAATTGATTTCATCTTCAACATAGTTTCAAGTTTATCAGATGTGTATGAGCTTGCAGCTCTCGATTCATTATGCACAACGCGTCATTCCATTTATATTCACACGATGGATAAGGAAATTTCTTCAGCAGTAAGTCCATGAGTAGTTAACATATTGTTTAACTTGTTTTTGGTATTTCATCTCCAATACTGACATCACAAATAGTATCGTCAGTTGCAATTTCTACATGATGACTTGCTGAGACAAGTTTTACCACATGTTGTTCAGCTGTACAGTTGAAGCAGAGTTTCTCAAATCTACAGTACTGATTACTTTGTATTCTCCCGACTTGTGATTTCTCTCGAAGTATAAACATATACCCCGTTTTAAACACAATCACTCTGTATTAACTTTTTCTATTTAAACTCTCCCAATCATTCGCCCTTTTCACATGTTCTTTGAACATATATATTGTTCTATAGCAACCCAAAATTTACTCGAATATACATATGTTCAAATGCAACGTAATTAAACTTTAGGCATCATTTTGCAACGGAGCAAAAATCTTGTCTTATTCACTTATTACAAATTATATAGATTATTGCAATCACTTGTTCTTAATGATAAAAAAAGCTTCATGTAGTATCCTTATAAATTACTTCACGAGTTTCACAAGCTTTTTTGAAAGTGCATTGAATACTTAATTTTCATTGCCCAACAAGCCATAGAAAGCCACCAAACGAAAAAAAATCCCTAAAGCAAACAGCGCATTTATCGAACCGTACTTGGAGTCGAGAAAACAGGTGAAAGATTGTTAAAGATTAGTTATTTGTTTGAATCGCTAGCGTTGTGACAACTCTTTCCAAAAACGAGTGGGACAAAAATATCTTACAGAATTGAATTGAAGGTTTGTATTCACAACGCAATCCAAACGTGCAAGTTTATGTTCGTTCACTCGAGTCACGCGATCAAGTTTTTGAAAATCTAAAATATACCATCAAATTTTAGAAAAGGGCGGCTGTGACGAGTTACTTGATAGTTTAAGCTATACAGCACAAGTTGAAAAAGGTTTCTTTTTTGAAATAAGAATTATTTAAGTGTTCCATCGATGCTTGAACATCATGAATTTTTCAAAAAAGAGAAGACTATCTTTGCGATACACGACAAGTGATGTCATCTCATTTACAAAATATCATGACGGATAAATTCGAAAGGGGGCCATTGAAATGCTTGTAAAACACATCGAACAATAGGACAATAATCGACTTTCTTTGTTTTTTCGTCGTTTTTATTTTTGAAATCTCCCAGTTTACAAATAAGGCAGACGAAAAAATCAATAGTTTACCGTGTTTATTATATATTTCTTCACAGGATGCTGCTCATTTCGTTGTTCGTTATTTTGTTACCGCTTGCATTGTCAGGTACAGTTCAATCTAAATGGACAAGAAGTCTCACAGGTCAGTAAAGGACTTAAGATTGCAATATGCTCAAGCGACCTCAATTAAAGGATATGCTGGCCAAAAAATCGCAAAGCTTGAATTATGCTACGAGCAATCTGGAAATGATTCAAATAGATCAATCCTTTTACATTGACATTGTGCAATTCTAAGAACACTGGGTTCTTCTAATGTCACAAACAGCGAAAACCGAAATGTGATTATAAGCAGGTGCATAATTGAACTGACGGGCTACGCCAATGATTTTATTCCGCCCACTTAGATGAAGGTTATGGATTCAAATTATGATTGATAATGCATGGTGTTCTAACCAAAACTTAATTTATCCTTTGCAAGTTAGATTGTAAAGCTTCACTGCAATTTTATTCAGTCATCAAATTATTTTCTTTGCAATTAGCATTTATAGGACGCTTTTTTGTACACTATGTGGTCCCAAAGTAATCACCATTATCAGTTGTGATTTGTGAGCGATCATCGAGGCTCACTACTTTTCCTTGATGACTATGAGCACAGATTGTGTTTTATTTAGAATGATATTATTATCTAGCGTCAAAGCGATATTTTTGTGGCGAATCATGTCCCGCCTCATGCTTTCCAGCCTGCTCACCAGCTTGTTGCACACAGCTACCACCTCGTCCCGCGTGTCCTCTGCCATGTCCAGCAACATGTGCTCCTACTTGCTCACCTACCTGCTGTGCAGGGCCACCCGGTCCTCCTGGCCTTCCTGGTTGTCCAGGTGTACCTGGATGCAAGGGATGGTCTGGTCCACAGGGTCCACCAGGCTGTATGGGCCCACCTGGACAACCTGGTTGCCCCGGTCTACCCGCACCACCTTCACAATGTGCTCCAGTTTGTATACATCATTGTATGAAAATCTGTCCCCTACCATGTTGCAAACCTGTGCCACCACCATGCCCGTGCCCTCCCCCACCCCCACCGTGCTACACATGTCGCATCCCACCACCTCCTCCACCAAGTCCAACTTGCTGCCCAGTCTTATCCCAACCATGTCCCTGCCCACCACCACCACCACCAGTATGTGGACAACAATTTCCCTGTCCTCCACCACTACCACCACCACCTCCTGCAGTGTCTTGCTGTCCAAACAAGTGAGCAAACAAAGAAGATGCTTTAGAAAAATATAGAGCAACCCAATATTCATAGATAGCATTCATTAATCAATACTTTCACGATTGCTATGATTAAATGTTTCAAAGGATCTTGATTGTAAAAATGTGCGACAAGTTCAATTACAAATGCGAACGAGCTTTAAATGAATATTTCTGTTTTGCTCTTACACAACAATTGTCCTCCTGTGTATGAGTGGATTAGGCAATGACTTGTGCAAATCTGATAATTCTATGACTTCGATATTCGTTATTTTTAAGCCTGACTCATTTATAGCGAATGAGTGCCGATAGTTACAATAAACAGACCTGTCACTCTCCTTAAACCCCGGGAAGTCAACATCATGATTGCACAAACTAATGATTATTTATAATTGTTTCATAACCCACTATTTATGACAGCACACGCCACAGACTGCAATAGCTAAATGAATGATTTCGGCTATATGTAAAATAAAACTCTTCACTTAAGGTACGAGTCACGTGTTGACAATTTAAAGGCGTGACTTGGGTTTTGAAATTAATTTTTTCGTGGGCATTTCATACATGACAAAAAACTGTCAAATGGTAATCAAAATCATGCTGTATTGTATTGCAATCGACTCAATGAGTCTTTCGACTTGTTCCCTTTCGAACTCACTGACTGAATTGTCACACTTAGACTCCAGCAATTCATGATCATCGCTCATTCAAAAACATTACTCTAAGGTGTAGTTCAGGGTGAGTGAAAAGACCTAGGTTATCGTTCTGGCAGACATACCAGCACACAACAAGGCAACAAGGGAAGGCCTATTCTAGCTGATATCCAATAGTTGATTACTCTTCAAACTTTATGCTACTGGTAAGTTACTACGCGCTCATGTACATGAAAACCAGTATTTTGCTCTGTTTATTGTTTAGTTCGTAGATACAAGCAAAGTTTTCTTTTTCCCAAGGCTGTCGTAAACAAACTTTATATTGTTGCTGAGAAACTTTTTTCTACTTTTGATGAAAAGGATTATGAAAAAAACAAATGCCTCGTTATGAGATTGAAAATACCACTTAGTCTTCTACCATTTGATATTATTAGTGCTGTGTGAATGTTTAAGATTCATAATTTCACAGAGATATGTTAATTAATACAGGAATCTTGGGCTGCGGCAATTGCGAGTTCGATCCAACTTTCTAGTAAAGTTTATGAGTAGCTGATGAATCTATTGATATGAAAGCATCGGAATTAAGACTAAAATCTACACCAGTACAAGATTTCAATGCAAAGCAAGGTCATACTCATATGCAATAATTTGGATAGGTTTATTTTATAAGTAGCTACAGCACATACTTAATCAGAATAATGGAATATATTTCATCATCTAAAAGATATGATCACAAACCGAAAAGGAACTTACATTAAACAACAGCTTTTAAACGATTTCATCAACTACGTGAAAAATATTTGCTTCAAACTGTTGAAAGACCTTTTAAAATACGACAATTGTACAGGTGTCAATCACATCAGTGACCAAGCAATCTTGATATGGAGAATGGGTCTGAATAATTACATATTTCGCCTTATGAAGTTCTTTTGAAATCAATTATTTTTCTACGGATTATAACATTCATGTCTGAACAAGAGCACCCCCTCTACCCCAAATTATCGAGTTGGCTACGCCAAGGAGCCAGATTACCATGAAAAAGAACAAGGACCTCAAAAGAGAAATTTCACACTATCCAAGAATCGGATCTAAAATATGGAGGTGTATGATCTGTATTTTTAGCTTAAATCTGTATTTTTAAATCAAAAAAGAAATTTCACACTATCGAATAATCGGATCTAAAATATGGAGGTGTATGATCTGTATTTTTAGCTTAAATCTGTATTTTTAAATCAAAAAGAAATTTCACACTATCGAATAATCGGATCTAAAATATGGAGGTGTATGATCTGTATTTTTAGCTTAAATCTGTATTTTTAAATCAAAAAAGGAAATTTCACACTATCGCATAATCGGATCTAAAATATGGAGGTGCATGATCTGTATTTTTAGCTTAAATCTGTATTTTTAGCTTTACGGGCTTTATAAATTTCTGCGATAACAGAACACAGATAAATTTCTCCAATAGCCAATCAAAAGTCAATTTAGATATGAGCCAATGATTTTATGATGCAAGGAGGTCTGGCAGGTTGCGCTTTATAGTTGTTCAAGACTGTTCAAGTGAAACGAGAAAGAAATGAAATTGTCGTCGATTGAGTAAAAGGTTAGTAGTTTTTAGAACATAAAATTAACTTAATCTCGAAGAGTTCCGCACACATCCATTAATTCAATATCTAGACATCTATACATGATCAAGTTTAAGCGGCGATATCTCATTAGACCCACCAATATTTGACGAAATAAATTTTCATGAATTGACATAAAATATACAAGAGCTGGCGGGTTGTAGTGGGTTAAGGCCATCTCTTCATTGGCTAAGGATTTATAATGTATGAACGCCCAACGTTGTCATGCTCTTGTTTATTTTTTTTAGCAAATTCATGGATTCAAAAATTTTATTTCTTGTCGTAGCCACAATTTTTGTCTTGGCTGAAGCCAGATGTAAGTATCATAAATGAAATAAAATATATGAAACTTTACAAACTTTCGTTTTAGGGCTTCCGACATTATCACATGAATTATATTTTTATTGAATTTGTTTTGTCCGTAGAAAGCAGAGTTAATCATTTCTATGCAATTCTAGACTATAAAAGAGAGGCAATTCCCTGTGGTTATGGTTGTCCAGGATATTGCGCACCAGCGTGTGCCACAGTGTGTTGCAGGCCACCACCTCCTCCACCTCCACCACCTCCTCCACCACCCCCACCACCACCACCTCCTCCAGGTCCACCTGGTATAAATGGACATGATGGACCACCAGGAATGCCCGGACCTTCTGGAATGAAAGGTCCACCGGGGGATCCCGGTCCAATGGGAATGCCAGGTCCTCCAGGTCCCCCAGGAGAGCCTGGTTTACCGTCTGGTTAAATACGAACCATGAGAACTGCACAGACTTAATGAAAAAAACTAATTGTACCAGCTGGAGTTGAATAAACCCATAAGACTTAGGCTTTCTTGCGTTAGTCTTTTCATTTTTTGAGAATAATGCATTCGCATGTTTCCCTATTTTGAAACTATCTAAATAATATTCATGATAGCCATAATGTTTCAACTATCTTACAAGTAAAAGCTGCAGACACCGCCTCCATTACCATTGAATGGAAAATCTTGAATTAATAGTATTCAAACACAAAATCGTAATAACATATTTTCGTTATAATATCCTGTATCTAATCCAATTCACTAAAGTGCTGAATGACTTTCGAATGAAGGATTCAATTTTTCCCCCACAGCAATTCTTCAAGTAACGCCTGATTTTGTAACTATTTTCATTTTGTAATGTCTATTTCGCATTTTAATTAGACATCAGGCAAAAAAATCATTTCTTTTTCCAATGGTGTCTCACAGTGGCGTCGCCAGCTCGATAAGTGGGGGATTTTATTCATATATTCATGTTTTTCCGTATTAAGTTCTTTTTAAATCGATTTTTTCTTAGGGATTAAAACATGTATATATGAATATTGTCACTTATCGAGCTGGCGATGCCACTGGTGTCTCAAAGGAGGAAACTTTTAGTGGCCAACTTGTTAAAAGTATGGAGTAGCAAGTTGTACGTAGTTAAGACATCCCTGTCGTCTGGTTGTGAGCATGCGTGTTAATGAGATAGGTCAATGGCGAAAGATAAAATTCGAAATTTGCTATGACTATAATCATTGACTATTGGTCACATGATGATTGAACATCAACGACTTAAAATCAACAATGTCATCGACCAAGACTTTACCTAAGGCAATGTATGTTCGTAGTAAAATTACACCCCCCCCCAGAAATGGTAGAGCCGGGTTATTGAAAGAGGTAATAGAGCAGTGCGCTATTTTCTACAAGAACGGTCACAACTCAGGAAATCTTGCAAAATAAATGAACCATAGGTCTGTCCATAAATAAACGAACAAGATAATGATAAATCTGCCAGTCTTTTACAGAATAACATACCATTTCTATACTGTACATATATGTATATGTATGGCATCCACTACAATACATTTATGTATTCCTGACCTAAGTAATACAACAGATATATGTTTCCTTGACTTTACTGAACCTCTTTTGACACGGTCACAAGGTGAGAAATTTGAAAGTTAGTGAATATGTGAAAAAGAGAGTCCCAAGTTCGCTTGAATTATGAAACTATGTAGTGTCGCCCTGGTACATGCACTTATATCAATAATTATTTACCATAAATATGTTTTATCACTTGAAACAACATCAAATCAAAGAATTAATTACTATTTCGTAACTATACGTGTAATAATTTCTGCGATAGACATACGAAATTATAGATTGTCCTTTCGGTGATCATGGTACCAGAAATTACAACTTAAAGTAAAACAAGCATATCACAGGTGGCAATGCTATACTTTTTTAAGCTTCTGAACAGTTAAACAATATTGAGAACTGTCAAATTTCGATTTTCACAAAGCTTTTTGAAATCAGACTAACATTTAAGACAGTGTATGCTGATACGCGCATCTTGATGAGAAATATCTTGAAAAGGTTAGCAAAGACTTCCAAAAGCCTATGCACGACTAATTTCACATTCTGCTGATAAAAGCAGTATATTGAATCCAAGCGTAGAGGTGCGCAAAGAAAAGAGCAATGATTTATTACAATAGATGAATTATGTCACCAGTTGGTACCATGACCGTATAAAATGTAGCAACATATTTGCTAAGCATCAGTCTTTCTTGGAGAAGTTCAATAAGGTAAGATAAAAAATGTTTTTGTCATTGAATTATTCAGGTTTATCATTGAATTTAATAACTTTACGTGTGCCTCCAATCAACGGCGGTATTATTCAACTAGGATGACATTATTGCTGACTGTACACACACATATAAAATAATGAAGTACAGAAATTTATGAAATAAAGTCTCTTATACTGTACGTACAAGGCCATGATGTTCGAAGGATGTTAAAGTGTCATTACACTAGAGTATACTGGGAGGCAAGATTGTAATTAGAGTTTTTCGTTTTTTTAGCAGAAAGAATGAAACTTATCGTAAGCTGTTTGTTGGCCTTTGTGGCGTATGCCTCGGCGCACCCTCACAAATGTAAGTGTATATTCCTTAGTACTAATGTGCTAAGTTGAATAGTTTATTTCCTTCAAGTGTTTACAATTCACTGAAAACCAGCAGACTGCGTGGTGTTATCAATCGTCGCCTAAGACATGGGTTTTAATTGAGAGAACGATCATTTGTCTTCATTTTTAAGATTTCAAAACCTTCAGACAAAAAATTAATATGGAAATTAATATGAAAATCAGTACATTGTGTAGCAATAACAACAAAAAATAACACCGACAGGTTACATGGGTTCAAACCGGTATACATTGCAAATGATCAAAGCGTCATAACTTTGCCACACGAAAGAGAGTGGACGCCAAAACACATTTAAAAAACATTGAAATTCAAAAACACGTAACAATAAAAGTTTGTGTCTTTTTGGATTAGTTCAAACGTAGCTTTGTTCAACATTTTGAACTAAAATTTTTAACGTAAAAATTAGAAGTTTTGACGGAAATAATTCTTATGTTAATATATTCTTTTTCTGTTTTGAGTTTTATAACTAACAGGCTTTTGCAAATCGTACGACACAAAAACAATGGATTAAATTTCAACCCAGGATTATAACGTTCATCGTGCTTTCAAAAACTGCTAAACGCAAATGCTCGTAATTAATAATTAACAGCACGAAATCATTTCATTATTATTGTGCAGGTAACACATCTGTGTTTTACGATGCAATGAAAAAATAACTGTAGAAGAAAAACATTTACGCTTTGCTCTCATTGACTGACAGTTTGTTCTGCAAAGACTACATGTCGTCATTTTCCAAGTCGCTTCATACGAACTGCCCAAACATGTTAAGGATCAATCCGACTAAATTATTCTTTTTCTTTGCAATGGAAAATATCCCCTGAGTGTTTGAGCAGTAGAATGCTAACACTTGTAATTACAATATTCGGTGACTAATGTTGATTTTCAAATTTGATTTAGATACAAGAGAAGCTAATCCATGTCCTCCGGGATGTCCAGGCTACTGTGCACCATCATGTGCTGTGTCGTGTTGTTCACCACCTCCACCTCCACCACCTCCACCACCACCACCACCTCCTCCCCCACCTCCTCCAGCACTTCCAGGTCCACCAGGTCCATCAGGTAACCAAGGTCCACCGGGAGTTCCCGGACCACTTGGTCCACCAGGTGAAGCCGGACCACCAGGACCTCCTGGCCCACCAGGTCCACCCGGGTTGCCCGGTGACCCAGCTCCACCCCCACCCCCTCCCCCACCATGTCCACCAGTTTGTGCTCATACCTGCATAAGCTCTTGCCCAGGATGGTGTTGCCATGGACGCAAATAGATGATGTCTACTGAACTTAGAAGCTTTTGAATACATGCATGTTATGCAAAACATTCTAAACATTAATTAATGATCTTGTTAACAATAAATCCAGAAAATACAATAGATTTGATGTTGATTTTATAAATAAAAAATAACATTCAATTCTATGGATGAAATAAAAGCATTATTGTGTGTTAAGAGTGACTTGTTGACTTGTGGATTATCCCACGTTGGGCAGTGGAAACACGCTGCGATTGGTAGCTTTTAACAAATGCGACCATACTATACAATGCAAACTGGGAAATATACAAAATGAATTGAAATACCCTAGCAGTGTTAACACAAAACTACGCGTCCGATTCGTGGACTAAACATTTTTCAAAATGCTGCATAAAAAAGTTTAGCAGTGTCGATACAGTCTATACGTATCTCCAATTATAGATTCAACAACATCTCTTTAAAAAATAGAGAATAACGATTAAGACTTATAAAAAGTATAAATGCATAATCACCAACATTACTTTGACATAAAAACTTCTTCATGTTCGGTCTATAGTTTTATATAGTGGAAATGATCTATGTCTTATTAATGTTGAGCTATTTAATGATGACGACGAAAGTAATCTCGCTTTTACTTTATGGTAATTGCGTGTTGCGCAAGGCAGTTAAAGTACAGTTTTATACAAAGAACGACCGTATAAAATACTATCTCATATAAATCGTGAACGTATGAAATACCGTTTTATACATTTTGTTGGAAAATGAATCTTTGCATTCTAATACCACATATAGCTACTGCAAAACTATAGTCTTTTTCAAAACGCAACGACCAATCACAGAATGAACAAAATTTATGTGACGCAAAAAAAACTTAAAATAAATACACTCTTTTCTCTGTGCAATTAAGAATCTATAATTAGGAAGAGCATTGAGGCGGCAAATTTTTCCAAATTGAAATTTATAACAAAGTTAGAACAAATTCAGGCAGGCAAAAAATGTGCAATTGATAACTGTGTATAGTAAACTGATAACAGTAACCTTTGTAACAGATATTGCAGTATAAAAACAGGACTATATGAAATAAAACAAGTATTAAATTCATTCCACTATTATTGTGTGATATACTATGTACTATGGGAATTTGTATAGCATATAAATATTACAGAACATTTTGAAGCAGTAATCAGATAAAGAATAAGAGCATTGAGGATGTGCAAATGTTTGTTACTTCTTATATAAAAAAAGAGATTTTGGATTCAGGGTTATAAGTTTTTAACTAGCACTTAGCGACAAAGTTTCGTCCTAAACATCAATAATGGTAGTGCTGTTATCAGTTCATACCTGCAAAATTGCTCACTAAATTTTATTAATGCTTGGTTGATTAAATGCAACACTTGAAAAGCCGACTTTAGAAAACATTACCAAGCATGTGTTTGTGAAATAACACAGGTACATCTGAATCGCTTTTCAAAAGTACAAGTGCGTTGTTGGTAGTTCATTCATAACTCATGAGCCGTGAAACATGGACAATATTGCCCTTGTTTGTCGCAAGGTGCACTTGTTAATATTATATAACTCGCCGATCTCAGTTTATGCTTGTGTACCAAATATCAGAACTTATTCTTGCGTGCCAAGGTAAGGAGGACCTTAATTGTTTGTATTACAAAAACATTTAAGACCGAATAAAATAAGCATTTATTAATGTCATTTTCCTTAATCATTCGTAAAATTCTCACGCGTTTTCAACGATTTACAACTTTTTGGCTTTTCAAAGGAATTTCAGTTCATCGAAAAAAGAAATTTCTATCTCAGCGGAATTTGATTAAATTGCTTATAAATATAACAACCGTTCGTTCTTTCAATTTAGATGGATTTCAAGTTATCTGTCGGGTTTCTCCTGGTGTTGGTCTCTTGCGCAGCGGCAAAAAGCCCATTTTGTAAGTGTTATGTATACATAATGGCGTATTGCAACAGACAACATAGTTTGTTTATAAGTTTTATATCTGCGGTTTTAACTGTGCAAATACAAAAACTTACAGTGACAGCTTCTATATGGGCGAACTCTCCACTTCTCCCTTTCCACCAACAAAAGTTTCTTGCTGACGAACGTATAAGTTACCTTCAAGTATAAGCTATCAACATAATGAAAAAATTAATGTTTTGGTGTTAAGGGACCCAACATTAATATTTCAAAAAAATAAAATGCGCTATGTTTTCAACGTATACCAAACTAAAGGAAATTTCCATATGAAAACATTATCAGAACAGAGCCTATTTATGATATTACGTCACGATTCAAAACATAAAAAAGAATTTTTCTTGTAGTGTATAAAAGAAATGCTAGACCATGTGGCGGGGGATGCTCAGCTGTATGCGCACCTGCTTGTACTCATCATTGTTGTTATCCTCCTCCACCTCCACCACCTCCTCCACCACCAGTTCTTCCACCGCCACCACCAGGTCCACCTGGTCTTGATGGTCCTATGGGGATGCCCGGTCCAATGGGGCCTGATGGTCCAAAAGGTCCACTTGGTATGCCAGGTCCTCCAGGCCCACCAGGCCAACCTGGCCAGCCAGGGGCACCAGCTGGTCCACCCGGAAGAGACGGTCCACCGGGACCACCAGGTGCATCAGGACACCAAGGTCCACCAGGAGACCCAGGCATCATGGGTCCACCAGGACCACCAGGACCTCAAGGAAGCCCAGCGCCTCCAGGACCTCCTCCACCTTGCCCACCAATATGCGCACATACGTGCATCAGAGCTTGCCCTCAACCCTGTTGTCACGGACGTTAAAAATAACGTTTACTTTATCAAACGGATTTTAATTTGTTTGGAAAATTCATTAATAAAATTCCTCAGATAAGTAGTAGGAGCTGTAATCACGTTGCAGAATTGCATAGTAATAAAAAATAGAAAATGTAACGAGAGCCATACAATTAATGAAGTTTTAACAGAACGTCGTTAATAATCTATTTGATTTTGAAGAGCAGTAGTTGTAATGTCAAGTGTAATGAGAAAACTTCTGCTACAACAGCCTAAGGAACGGTAAGTCAAAAATCATTCCATTTAACATAAAGACTGTTTTCCATTTGAACTGGTGTTGTCAACGCGCATAAAGCAATTTGAAAAATATTTTGAAAGCCCTTTAAATGGCCAGTGACGCAGCTCAGTGCACACACGTTAGGTAAAAATCTATGACATATCGATCATTTGAGTCGATCCGCACTTTGCATTAACCGTTAAACTAGAAAAGTTGACGCGTACAATTTCAACAATTTTAGTATATGACGCTCTCGAGTATTTGAAGAAGATTGGTAATTAATAATTGATAATTAATAAATATCCACATCGAGAACAGGATTTCCGACAAGACGGAAACTGAAAGTCTTTAAATAAAATTTCAATCCCAATGTTTTAAAATAAGAAAAGAATTTACAGTACTTGTTCGTCCAACATGGTCTTCTTGTTTTGGTGCACGTGACAAAAACAAGTCAATATCTTCATATAAATGTGCTTTTTCCCTACAGCTCTTCGCAATCCAACTCTTCCTGACTGTCTTCATCGCTTGTCAAGAAAGGCATATAGTCAAACGATGCCTCATCATGGGTATTTCGTTCTTCTAACGTGATGTCTGCGCCGTCTGACATGAATGAAGCAAATCTGAAATTTGATACAAAATAAAGCTAACCTTTTTTCCTAATAAAAGTGATAATCGTCACTTTCTTGAAAAGACATTGCATTAATCTTTCCCTGACTTTCTTTTCATAAAAAACTCTTGTGAATATTAGCAAAGCTATGTTAAAATTCTTTGCTATTAATACCACAAATATTGGTTGTACATGGATGCATGTTAACCACATTTCCAATGGTTGGTAAAACCGGGGGGACGATGTAAGTATTCCCCTGCCCTGAGTTTTGTGGGCGCATATAAAGCATTCAACATATAAAGCATTCAACATAAGATACGAGTATACATTGGCGCCGCCTTTTAACCATAGAAATAACAATTAAAAGTTAAGCAAAGTAAGCACATACGATGCAGGCGAAAGATTGACATCTATGACATTGTATTATCTTAATAGCTTTAGAAAATAACACTTTTTATTCAAATATTTTTGGTGAAATTCCAAACTCCTACAGCCTCATAGACGTGTAGTTGTCTCACATACGTAATTTACAGAGTATTTTACTGTGACAAAAGCGTTTTGCAGTGATGAAAAATGATGTCTTCTAAAATGTTATTATACTATTTTATGTCATACTATGTGATTTTTTGCATAGCAAACTAACAAAATTTAACTGAAGAGAGGATTTTACACGTTCTTTTTAATTCAGTCATAAACTCTTTAACATTTATGACATACTATACCGTTTCGGCGATTTTAGTCTCGAAACCGTCTTCCATGTATTGCATTCGGGACTTTGACAATACTCTCGTAGTTCTTTAAGAGCTTTGGCAGTTTCAAGGATTCCTTGCTTCTCATATTCTTCCACACTGATAAACCGTGGCCCACGTAAATATGATTGTATACGATAGGGAATCCTGTAGATCGCAAAAAAATGCAACCAATTTGTATTTTCAAAAAAGTATTCAACACGATTACGTTAACGGCTTCCAAAGGTGGGTTTGATAAATTGTTACGGCAAGTCGTTTGGCTTGAGCTGAATTAAGATAATCCAATCATTTGGCACGAATTTTTTTATTCGATTTCTAATTGTACACGAGTTTTGTACGATTAAAACTTGAGCCCGCTCATTTCAAGGCGCATTTTCTTTCGGAAAAATATTTGCAAAATCTTGTTGCCCATGTTCTGCATTGCTCGCGAAAAATTCTGCCTGTTATCGTACTCGAAAAAATTTCACGCCAATCGTGATAATTTCCAAAGGAATCACGACGTTGAAAATCACGATTGCCACATACACCTGTATTCCAAAAGCTCGCACTCACACTCGCACTCAATGTGTGCAACACAGAAAACCCACTCCCATTGATCCACGGCAAACTCAATTCTTTATCGATGGCAAGGTTATACGTAACTAAAATGTTTCAAATCAAGCAATCAGTGGAGTGAAAATACCGTCTTCGAATAGCTATGAGATGATTTTGAAACACCACTCAGTGACTGTGAGTGAGCTTTAAGAATACAGACGATATCATTTCAATAAAACACAATGCGATTGGCTCTCCTTAAAAGGTAAACTTTCCAATTCTGACAATTGTTTTTGCTTTCTTCTTTTCATTTCTATTTTTCTGTAAGAGTAAGTATGTTTACTTTTAAGGAGAGCAAGCCTTGTGTTTCATTAAGATAATATTAAAATGGCGCATTTGTTCCGCGATAAAACGTCCAGACAAACGATGCATGCAAAATTACGTAGCTATGCATAGTCTGGTAAAATATTAGTACTCACCATCCTCTTGATAACACGTAATGTAAAAATGCATGAAACGAAATCCATTTGCTACACACAAGTATTATCGTGACTGTGAGTGATATTTTTTCACATCTTATACTGTAGTAAATCACTACTAATGCCAGCGATTGCAAAGACCACCGCATGATGTCGATGCCACGAGAGCTTTGGATTGGTCCACGGTAGTAACAATATAAAAAGCTAATGAGACCTACGACCAAATAGAAAGTAACCGTGTTCAGTCATATTTTAACATGGAAAAATCTTACACATTCCAAAACGAAGGACAACACAGTAGATTTTTATGGAACCCTAACATGTTTGATTGATTGATTTGAAAAGATCAGAAAAACAATATAACGAGCTAATGAGACCTACGACCAAATAGAAAGCAACCGTGTTCAGTCATATTTTAACATGGAAAAAATCTTACACATTCCAAAACGAAGGACAACACAGTAAATTTTTATGGAACCCTAGCATGTTTGATTGATTGATTTAAAAATATCAGATAAACAATATAACGAGCTAATGAGACCTACGACCAAATAGAAAGTAATCGTGTTCAGTCATATTTTAACAAGGAAAAAATCTTACACATTCCAAAACGAAGGACAACACAGTAAATTTTTATGGAACCCTAGCATGTTTGATTGATTGATTAGAAAAGATCAGAAGTAGTATAGAAGAGCTATCGAGGCATTCTTTCTTGGGAACTTTTTTCAACAGAGCAAGTAACAGTATATACGTTGGTTGACCAGTTGAGTTTAGCTGACCTAGCTAAAGCGTGACCATTCCCCTTTAAAAGTACATAATAAAAACGATGACCCAAGATTAATAAGGCATGCAAAATCAACTTACAAAAAGCGGCAGCCGAGCGCATAGGCGTACGAAAGCTTCTAATGTGGTTGGGGTCGGAGTTGGGCGCTGGAGCGGTGAGTGGGGGTAGGTTAGCAGAACAAATAAGAACTTTAAATCAGAGTAATTTCATCAATCATAAATCTCATGTACCTGCTGTGATGAAGTAAGCGAGTATAAAAGTGTAATTAGTTTGGTTTCCTTTGAACAACTGTTCACCGACTACTTGAAAGACATACAGAACGATACTGGAGCCACAGAACATGAACGCATAACCGAGGCCTCTCTAAAGAGAACAAACACTAAGAAGAACAGTACCTGTCTCGTCCAACATGAAGGACTTTCAAAAAAAACTAAAGGAAAAGCCAAAGGTCAACAAAAATTCCCAAACGTTTGAATTAGGCCATTCGCATTCTTTAAGATAGAAATCATTCATTATTGGTTCATCTGATCCAATCATATTCACAATCCATATTATTCATCAAAGCAATTATTACAATAAAAGACATTTGCATTATCATGTAACCAGCCTTTATCATACAAATACTAACCACCCTTTCGTTTAAATAATTAATTGTTGTTTAAATGGAACCCCAACCTTGGGTAAAAACTTCGAAACAATAAACAAAAGCAGGAACAACGCCATTATCATGCCCAACGATACACCAGCCGTGTAGTAAAACATAATGCTCCTATAACATTATATTAGCAAATAAGTTACGCCATATGTACGTACGTACGTACAAATGCAATTGAATTCACGTGTCAAATGAAATTATATACACGCGAAGATTTGATCAAGAAAGTTCACTACGAACAATAGATGAAGGAAGTAAGGGGTTTCAAAGCTAAGAATAGACTGTCTAGTGTCTATTTAATGATTTGGCTGAAATTGACCTCAGCAATAAAATCCATACAAATATTCATTTGGCTCTAACGCGCTGGAAATGAGTCTCAGTCAGCTGCACTTCATGAAAGTACACAGGGTCACCCAAGCAGTCACGAATTTTTTTTCTTTTGAAATAACAAGTACCGGGCACGGTTAAAGAGGCCGGGAATAGTTTTATCTAAATTGACTTGACTTTGATTTGATATTATTTTAGCAAACATGGCCATAACACACCTTGATATCTCGTCCGCCTTGAAAAAGAAGATTAAACCGACAATCGTCGCAAAAAGATGATTCCAACTAAATCGATGATATTTTACTACAATTGAATCAGAAATAAGACTTATAGCCAACTTTTCATCAAATATCCTTAATCGTTTCAGTATTCGTCCCACACATGCACAATCGTCTCACTCGTTTCATTTGTCACTCAAAAAGTCTTCCCACTTCTTTCAATTTGCATTTTTATAAATATACGGATTGTATGCAGACTTCTTTCATCTTCTCGCATCTTTTTTTTCTCATATATCACTTACAGACAGCCGTCTCACTCTTTTAATTCGACATCCACCTTCCCTTTTTCTTTCATTTGCAAACGACTTACATAATCTTCACCCTTCTTTCATTTGTCACCCACAAATCGTTTAATTTGTTTCATTTGTCACTTACACGCACTCGTCTCACTCGTTTTATTTGTCACTCGTTTTCAGTCTTCTCACTTCTTTGCTTCATTTTCAAGCAATTCACACAATCTTCACCCGGCTTTTATTTGCCACTCATACAATCGTGTCACCCGTTTTATTAGTCACTCGCCTTCAGTCTTTTTACTTCTTCCATTAGCAAGCGACTCACATAATCTACACATTTCATTTATTTGTCACTCACAAATCGTTTGAGTTGTTTCATTTGTCCTTCAACAATCCTCTCGAGCGTTTCATTCGTCAATCACTAGTTTTTGAGCAACAGTCGCCATACATTTCATGAACAAGGACATAGAAACACTCCACAACAAAATATCATGTACTTATGAACAATGTACCTTCAAGAGATTTCCATGACATCTGCGAATTTTTTACATAGAAAAGAAAGCAGTTCGTTCCGTACGGAGAAAAAGACAATCTTACGCTTCCTTCGTACGAACGTTTCCAAAATGATGCAAAAGAATAAGAACTTGTGTCACTTTTGTGTCTCTCGATCACCTTCTCACAGCTAAAGGTAACGTAAAAACAAAAAAAGGATGCACAAGTTGAAAAAAGAAGTTTTCAAGGATAACCACGACGCAACGCAAGATAGGATGTATGAAGAAAAAGAAATATTCAAGCAAATATTCAGTACGATTCACAGAAGCGCTTGCCCGGAATTTAATACCATAGCTGATGCTCAGGCGAAAAGACAAACAATCACAACTACGAAAAAACAGTCCACATACTACATAAGTAGCAACAATAATAATGATAGTGAAAATTAATATCGACTATAGGCAACGTCATGAAAAAGCGATGAATGAATCAAATTTAATCGTGACAATGTGGAGATTGTTTCCGTGCGTGAGTCAAGCAAAATAAAGATTTTAAACAAAAACATGCCATCAATAGCTACGTTAAAGAAATTTTCAAGATACAGGGCAGGGAAATAGCAGCACAGCTTCAGATCCATCATTTCAGACTGTTCGTTCATTGTCTAAAAGTATCCGCGATTTTAGCTTTTCGCGGCTTTGAAGTATGAAGCAACATACCTCGTTTCGGAGACCACGTTGATAGCATCATTGGGTTGGGCTACTGCTTTAATTTCCACGTTAGCCCATATTGCCCAAACAGCAGTATCGTTCCATCCATTAACACAAATTTGTTGTTTGGCATTATTCTCCTTTAATAAATTGGATTCAATTGATGAAAGAGAAACCTCTTCACCTACATAGGAAATAAATATGAAAACAAATAAACCCCACGTAGATATTTGTTTACAATTTTCTAATAGCTCGAAACCTTTTCTAAAATGGAAAACTAGCTATTTCTCGTTGATACATAGAAAGTTTATTACCCAGTTCGAGCAAAATTGACGTCCAGAGAATATGATCTCTTTGACTTCGGAAAAAAGTCAAAAGTTTAGAGCAGCAACTTAACCATGTAGACTTTGCATCATTTACTGCAGTCTTAAGTTGTATGGCTTTATTTGTATTCATTAACTTTTTTCTACAGTTAGGTGGTGATGGACGTGCAAATTTGCTTTTCTATAAAGCGAAGTCTTGTCATTAAAATAGCAATGTCACGTGTTTGTATTTGAAAATGTGAAAGAAATTTCACCATCAGTTTCTACCAAATCATAGCTAACCAATGATTTCCCTTGAATATGCATAACAAGCTGAGAAAAATTTAGCATCCTGATTGCAACTTGTAATGCCATTTTGTCTTAGATAATCTGTGATTTTAGGGTAGGATAGGACTATCATTTTCTAATGGTGCTAAAAATGTATAAATTGCTCATGGACCATCTATTAGTCCATACTTTTTCTACATTCAGTCAGATTCTTTGCAAATTTTAGAGCTTCCTTGTTGACTGCCAAGGTGTTTGCAATTTGGTGGGGCACTTGATGGGCAAATTTGAGCGTTTGATCTAGTGAGTCAATAAAAGTGTGGGATAAATGTGGCCTCAAAAATATTATGTTTAAATTTCCCTAGCAACAGATTCATGAATGAGAAGAGCAAAGCCTCAGGCTCAAAAAATAACTACAAGAGCATCACTGATCACATTTTTACATAACTACCATCAACATTTTCATTTGAACTCATGAAGCAAGCCCATAGTAACCAGCTTGCTACTCATGGGTCAACCTCGTTCCCAGAATTTTTCCACAAGGATTTAGTGGAAATACCCTTTGCAGGATTCTAAGAAGATACAATGAGGATCATATACATGAAGATGTGTACGACAGGAGTATGATTCTTGTGCATGATCTGAGTATCTTATAAGATTTTGCATGATGTAAGCTTATGTAGGATCCTGCAAGGCCCTACATGATCGTGGCAAAATTCTCTAAGACTTTCAATCCTAGAGAAGATCCTGCAAGAGCTATAAGTAGGATTTAATCGTCTTAGATAACATCCCATAGGCATATCCAAAATAGTATGCAGTTGTCAGTAGCATAGTCTGCCAGGCCAACATTTACTCCTACTAGATGCTAATATTTTGAATTTCACATACTCTAAAAGCAGTAAGTTTTTGAAGAAATACACCAAAAGGAAAAAATTTACAAAGCAAAACAAAATCTGCAGGCGGGCTACAGCCTTCAAACTACTTCAGTGGTTCTTAGTATTCATTGTGAAACTTTTCTAAGATATTCTGTATTCAAGACTTCTAAATTCGTCGTAATTTTATCTACATCATGTAAGCAACATACAAGAATGGATCTTGCAATGGCTTATAACTCTCGAACAAAGTTCAGTCAAAAACCACGTGGAACACATAACAACCAGGTTACAATGAAAACAATTTCCTGAAGTTGTTCCACGAAACATGCGTAATTTCAACTTACAATCGTTAGAAGATGCCAATTTTGTTATACACAAAACGACAATGATCCAAATAAGTGCATGTGCCGAGTTCCAAGCAATCATCTTTTGTTTTTCTTTATGTTTCTGTATAAAAATATAAGCATCAAAATTTCTTTTATTTCTGACCAAAATATTATATTACATGAATTCCTCACTATCGATCTTTGCAAGACGGTTAGAATGGAACACCCCCCCTGTGCTCATCTTTGTTTTTCAATGTTTTTCTTTCGCATCAGTGAATTATGAAATATCATTTTATCATACTCAGTCAAGATCGTTCAGTTGATTCGTATTGAAAAAAAGAAACTTTAGTATTTGTGTGTGCTGCACTGTTGATGATTGAGAGTAAGTTAGATCTCAGACTTTTCATTAAGACCTCTGTGGTTTCAGGTTGGACTTGACTGGCTAGCTATGCCAAGAGTGGCATAGCTAGCCAGTCCAACCTGAAAATTTTGTCCTGGTGTTTAAATGATCACTCATGGCAGAAAGCAAAAGATTTCAAAGAAATGAATAATGGAATTCTCAGAAATTTACATAGCAGGACTAAAACTTGCAGGCTGGCCATGCTTCTGTGGTGTTGATCAATAAGGTTGATTTTTATTTTTGTACCAAATGAGTAAAGACAAATGCAATTACTCAATTCTCTACAATTATTAATGATATTTGATAACAAGTTTGAATTGAAGAGAGATTGGTGGGAGAAAGCTTCACAAACTTGAGATGGGTGACATGGATATTGATGTTATACTTTGGGAATTCAAGTCGTGCAGTTAGTAATTTTTAAATGAGCAAGTTTTAATCTACAAGATTTCTCAGTAAACTGTCATTTTTTTAACCAAAACGTTTGCATTGGACTTTATCAGCTTATCACCCAAATGATCAGGTCTTGTGGTTTGTGCATTTTCTTCACCTTGACACACTTGGGAAAAATTTGCTACTTGATTGCTGGTTGCTACATTATGAAATTCAATTCATTTTCAAAAGAAATCAGTAGGGCACAACAGAATTTATAAATATGCACCCCCCCCCAATGAATGTTTTAGTTACGCCTCTGCATATAAGTGTTTTTCATGTAATTATCTTAAACATATGATTAACCCTTTGTATGAGCTTTGATTTGTATTTTAACATGAGGCGTTCTTCTTTAAGACTCTTACAAGCTTCTGTAAGGTCAGGGAACCTGACACATTGTCGATAATGAAACACCAGGACATGACTTGTATTAACCCATGTTTCTATGTAGTAAGCATATGTTGGGTTATTAATATAGTGTATTCCCATTTCAAAGACTTTCTGAGGATCTACAATGCATTTTGATCTCCTTGTTTTAGGAAAAACATTGTTTGTTCTGAAAAAAAATTGCTGTGTAACAAGAAGACTACCGTTCTTGAAGTCTTTTAAAGTGAAAACATCATCTTTTGGGAACAAGACCATTTGAATGCAGTAACCACTGGCATCATGACGATAAATGTTTCTCAATAAAGATGTAATGGTAGGTTGATTTAAGGGCACTAGGAATTCATCTAAATCATAAAAGCCAAGCCATTTGGTGCTGCCTTTGTTTCTATAAAGACAGTCTTCCACAGATACCAATTGCCCATGGTAATGTAAAGCATGTAAATCATTCAAATAATTTGGGAGGTTCCATGGCATCACTATGACAACATCTCGAATACAATAGATATTAACAACGTTGGAAAGTTCATTGTTCATTGTTAGATTGTAAATGAAAAACTTTTTTGCTCCAAAGATGTGGTTCATTTCAATGAACTCAATAAAATTGGTTGGAGTTATTTCATTTCCAAATACAGGAGGTATGCACACTGCATACTCATTATTGATAAGAAGATCATTTTCTGTAGAAATAACGGGAAATGTGATTATCTGGCTTCGTTTCTTGTCATATTCAGCAGAGAGGGAAACCCACCTAGGATGTCTCTTTCTTCGACTGGGTAGTTCACACGATACAATGAATGCAGCATGCGTTTCGTTTTTATGACTATGACCTGAGGAAATCAAGTGAAATTTCGCCTCCTGGATCTCCAGATCGCCACATACCGAATGACAGAATAGCTTAGGTTGTCGTGAAGTTTCTGAAATTGCTATGATTCGTAAATTTGGTGTTTCAGACGAGACATAGTACACTGAATATATTAAAGTGCCTGGAGCAATCTCCGTGAAGTCTTCCCTTTCCAACTCGAGTTTTGTATTTGCAAATGTTTTGCAATTTCCATCCTTAAGCAATTTTTTGTATCTGTCATTGATTTAATTCTTATATTTATACAGCATGGAAGGATACATTTCAAAAACTACCCAAAGACAGATAATTCCACAAATCGTGATCATTGTTAAAAGTTTCCCTGCGCGATGAAGAACAGATAAAGTTGGGTTTCGACAACCGTCGCTTTCTTTTTTATTTAGAATTAGCTTGACCTCTGCTTCGTCTTGATCCATGCCTGTTGACTGATTTTTTTTTGACTTGAATAAGTGAAATTCAAGTGCAACAGCTCAGTTGTTATAATGCTCTCAGCTCTCAGCTCAAGCAAAATACAACCGACAAATATTCTATCTTGTTCTATAATTACTAGCGCGTGAGCGGTGTTCCGGTCAAACGTCATTGGGCCATGAAGTGCCCTAGGGTCCAAGTCAAAATGCTGCCCATTAAGCCTCATTCTCATGTAGCAGTCCGAGTTGTTTCAGTCGCGCCAATATTTCGCAGACGACCCGTGCGACTGTATATTAGAACATTTCAAAGGCGACTGGGATGACCTCAAATGACTCACACGACTGAAACGACCAAGGTCGCTTGGATAGAACTTTGTTCTGTCCGTACGACCGAAACAACCGTTGAGAAATGCAAGCGACCTTTTTATGTTGCAAAACGATTTGAAGAAGCAAATAACTAGCCAAAATACTTTGTCTTTGATAAGCAGCAGCTACCATTTTTTAATGTTTCGCAAAAAAATTAGTTAAGCAGTTTCTCGGCAGAGCTAGTACGAATATATGAGAATTCCATAGCTTGAGTCGTCCCAGTCGTTTTGAAAAACAACGAAACAACTCGGAACGACTCGGATGACTCAAGCGACTTAATGAGAACCAAGCTTTAGTTGAATAGTTTCCACTGTTTTGGAGTTGCACGAATGCCGAATTGCGGAATTTTAATCTTAATATACATGATTACTGTGTACAAAGAAATCGGAGAAGCTTTATGGTTTCTGTGATCTTTTTTTTGAGGAATTCGCACATATCAAACACCCCATATCCTTTGACCATTATCTTTTTATTCATTTTATTGCCAAGCTAGTCGCATTCTTGAGTAAAACATTATGAAAAGTATTTGTGGATTATTATTGGTGAGATTATTCTCTATTTAGAATAATGTTTATCTTCATAGTATTCAAACGAAAACATGAGTATGACCGTATGACGTGTTGTCTGTAATGTACTTTTGAACTCCATAGATATGTTATGTCATTTATTTTAACCTAGTTTGATATGTCTTCCATGTCTTCTAAATGTCACGATTCTCCTTAATTTTGCCTTGTCATAAAAAACTTCCTACTCTTTGTAATGTGACTTAATACACTATAAATATTTCATTATTTTGTTTGTATTTGAAACCCATCTAGATATTAATCATTGTATCTGAAGATGTCTTAATTGAAGACGAAACGTGTTTAGCAAAAAACCTTTTTACGGCGATTTTTATAATGGGTGTATTATTATAAGTTTTTGTTTTGGTTTTCACATATTGAACAACAAAATATTTTTAAAAGAGCACTGTCACTTTCACGCGTTCCCTTTGTTTTTGTGATGACTTTGCTATCTTCTTGGAATAGTTGGAATACTATGAATTAGAACATGCATGCATGTTCTGCATTTACTCCGCTTCTAAGTTATCTCCAACGCTATTCATTGCCTACTAAGATGAGTGTTTTATTATTGTCCCGATTCATCACATGGCATTGCCTGAAATTGTGCATGCTTTATTCGTCTTCTTTCTCTAAAAACATTGCTTAACAATTTTATGGTTTGACAGATATATTGTGAACCTGCAATATATGGAAGGCAAAAAATGTTGTTGTGCACGAGGTCCTTGGTTCCTTTACGCCGTCAACACAGTTCGGTGCACGCGACTGCATCAGTGGTGGGAATACAAAAAGTAAATCGTTCCACGTAAATATTGGTTCCTTTACGCTGTCAACACAGTTCGGTGCACGCGACTGCATCAGTGGTGGGAATGCAAAAAGTAAATCGTTCCACGTAGATTTTGCTGAAGATCATTTCATTTACAGCCTTCATTTGTTTTACAAGACATTCCAGATAATACAAAAGATACCGTTTTAGATTGTGTTGAGATTAATGTGGATGGGTCTATACTTTTTATACATACACCCCACCTCCCTCCAATTATCTAACTTCCGCAGTACCCGGGGAGACAACATTTGAAGTCCACATTCGAGTCATTTCACCCAAGAGTCTTCGTTTTAAAAGTCCTCAATTCATAGGATTGGTCTTAACAACGTTCTTTGTCTACCTTATTCGTCTACCTTAGCGTCTACCTTTTTATAGAGTTGTCGATTCTAAAACTCGTTATTTCATAAAATGACTTAAGAACCTTTTTCATGCTCGGGAGAGGAGTCCGACATTTTTATAGTAGAGCATACTAACGTTTTCGTCAGCTTTCTTGTTCTACCCAGATTACAAATTCTGTATAATTCTTAAAATGCAAAGAACTATTTGATTATGTTTGTAAAATATTAAAATTACGAAAGATGTAAAATAAATTTTACGCCCGCTTCGGCCATTTATCCAGAAATTTTCAACCACCCCTATGTTGAACAACTGGGGGAGGGGTGTCCCCCCGTTCCTATATCTCTGATGTAGCCATTGTAGCTGCTTTTTTTGACTGTGAGTGTGCATTAGTATTACTACATTTCATAATAAGGCTGAGGCAAATGAACTGTAACACAACTTAGCTCTGCTTCAGAAGATGAAACTTTTGAATAACTTTATGTACACACTCATTTATCATAAAAAATTGTTGTATGTCATTATTTATGCAAACGCCGCTAACCTGCGTGCTTTTGGGCTCATGTCATATTACCATTCGGCCATATTGCATTTTCTTTGGCAAAGTTTTGTATGTTTGCTATAGTTTTTGTTCAGCTACAATCCTTGTTGGGACGAAATGAGCAAGCAGGCGGAGAGCGTAGGCGATGAAGAATTAGACATTGATGAATTAAATGTTACATCGGCCGTTTTAATGGCGGGAGCGCATCACTTGGGAAAACAGTGCGATGAAGATTTCAAAAAGTTCATGACTTGTCGGTATGATACTCGCGACCCGAGGAAATGTTTGGAAGAAGGCAGGAAAGTTACCGGTTGTGCTTTGGGATTCTTCAAAACTGTAAAAGCCAACTGCAATGATGAGTTTGCTTCGTACTGGACTTGCTTGGATCATAATAATCAAGAGTTTGGTTATTGCAGAAAGCCGCAAAAATACTACGATTCTTGCTTGTTGGAAAAATTGGGCTGGAAGACCGATCAACCAGTGCATTTAAAACTTTGACTACACTGTGTGCATTATGCTGTGAAAATATCTTTTATGTGAATTTTGCATCATCTTTGAAAGCTACCACTGTGTTATTATATTTGAAAGAGACCATTTGTAATTTAATAATGTTGGTATTTTAAATACATGTATTCCAATATGATTTGGTAATTACACATTCATTTCAGTCTAATGAAAATTGAAAACATCATATAAGCACATCGTAGGTGCTCATTTTGCATAAATAATACATAACAATGGTGACTCCAAATAATGTAGGCATTTTAATTCAACATTTCGACTTTATGTAGTCAACATTTTGAATCGAAATGTTTAGTTCAGTGGTTTAGTTTAGTGGTCAGGTTTGATCAACCCTACAAAAAATGGGTGATTCAAGGCAAAATTTTAAATAGTAGTAATAAAGTTTTATAGAATATGTTTTTCTTCAAAATATGACAACTATTTTAAAGGCATTTCTAATGAGAAATGTATCTTTACTTGAACTATGCTTTATTCTATTGCCACTCCCCTTACTGTATCAAGAGCACTGTATCAAAATACATTAGTAGCAATTGAAAATCACCTTCATTGAAAAATTACATTCTTGTCTCATGCCATTAATCTTTTACAAATTTGCTGTTGCCAGAAGTAATTAATTGCTATTGACTTAATACTTACTTTAAACATAATGTTTCAATTTAAGTTCTCGCGTTAAAATTCTCTCAATACGTCAACAGTCTCAATTATAAGAACTTCGGTTGCTAAGGTGATAGCCATTGCTGGTTGCCATAACAACGTTGTCAATGTATTACATGGTTGGAGTCAGAAAGCGCAAAAACTCATGAAATGATCAGCATTTGTGTTCAATTGGTGAATCAACGTTATAAAAAATACTGTATTTGTGTGCCATAATGTCTACGAAGAGCTTTCGTGGCGCGCCGTTCGGTGTACAAAGCGCACGGTAAGGAATTTTCAATATCGAAATATTATAAATATAATTGTATTACTCGATGGTGGTTTAGCAGATGTTTTGTGCAACACATTTGTATCAAAAAGGTAATTTAAACTTCGTCAATGAATTGATTAAAACCTGAATATAATAAAACAAATTCTTCGTACGTACAACCGAAGAAAATCGCTTGGATCAAGACAAGGTCATTTCATTAATGTGACACGGTGACAATTATTTGTTCACCTATTGAATTTTGATCTATGTACACAAAGATGCTTGAAATAATCGATAACATTTTGGCCAAAGTTCTTGGCATTAGGCATTCCTAATCCGATCCGACGAAGGCAACAAAATTGTTTAATTTCTTTCAGATTCGACGTTTCTGGCGTGCATCCGAAAAGTAAGACTCCCGGAACTCTGACGCAAGTTGCCTACGACAAGAAAGCAACGAACGACATCGTAAGTGGTAATCTTTCTTTGGCACATATAATTTGTCAAGAAGCTGAATTGTTACTTTCACATCTCATTCATCCCAGAGTCGCAGCCTGGGACCTGGAAAATACAATGTAGCCAATGGATCGTTCAGTGCTAAAGTTGTCAGGGAAAGATCATCTGGACCAGGTGGCTATGCGAATTCACCCTGATCTGGAGGTCATTGCTAATCCTTGTCTATTTTATAGGATGGCAACGAGCTTACGAGACGATGCAAGAATCTAAATGTCCCCATCTTCTATATATAGAGGAATGGAAAAAGAAACAGACACAAGTTGGTGTAACTTTTTAGTTCCTATCGTATTGTCATTTGAATGGTCACTGATTATTGACATTGTCCAACGTCCACCAATCTATGAAATGTTTGAGAAGCTGCATTTTGCAATACAGTATTTACTCGCGTGCATATTATTCTAATATTCTTACTCTAGAAAAAGCTACTTGGACCAGGAACTTATGAAATAAAAGATTTTTCCGAATTACTTGACTCAAAACCAGGAAGCGTACGTGGAATTTGCGAAACAAGAGAAAGACGATTCAATTTTCTTAGAAAGGTAGAGCAGAGAAAATGAGAAACCAACTGCCATTTGTTGCGGTTACACTGTCAATGTTGTGGTTTCTTTCATCCTCTAATTTACAAATTTTTCTGCTTAACAACAACACTGAACACATTGGTGACATTTGTCGTTTATTAAGAATGACGTTCCTGGTCCGGGTACCTATGGGGAAGGCGGAATTCCAAGCGCTGCGATAGAGAAAAAGCAAAAACGCTCAAAAAGTTGCATTGGTATGCTGGAATCTGGGAAGTCTGAAAGAAAACTGCCTGAAGTCGTACGTATTTTCTTCGTAAATTCACTACAGCCAGCAAGTAAAGTCTGTTGTCAGACACAACTATTTCGTTAATAGAGAAATATAATTTTAAATTTTCTCACAAAAAAAAAGGGTTCGCATCTATGCCCTGGTCAATACAATTACAAGAGCTTTTCAGATGAACTAACCGAAAGGGTCGTCAGCAAACGTGGTCCGTACGACCTTTTCACAGGTTCAAGAAATAAACCACTCACTGTCGGTCATTTTGCTGCGCCGGTGAGTCCTTAAAAATTTTATCATGTGCACGAAACTTTGCTCGCTGCTTTGGAATTAACGAAGCATTACTTTTACGTTGACAGAATCGAGCTAATCTTGGTCCAGGACAATACGATATCCGTTCATTTCTGAATGAATTGGCAAGTACGTTTCTTTGTGTACATAACTTTGCGAACATTGCGCATTTATGCGTACTGCACGAAATTATAAGATAGAATTTGTATGATACAAAGAGAATGTATATATATTTATATACAGTTGGTATTGGATGTAGACCAACATGAACAAGCGATATTATTAGCAAATTTGCAACGATTATACAACAAGATAGTTACAAGTATACGTGAGCTTTCATCTAATACGATTGAAATAAAGCACTTCCAAACTTTGTTGACATTTTTTCGTGTTGTACGACATACAGGACTATAAAATGCGCCCGTTTCCCACTTGTATGTCGTTCGTCACGAACAACGTTACAAAAATTAGAAGAGTTGAAGCTAAAGTCCCCTCTATGCATTTGGTCCAGCGTTCACGGTCCTCTCACTAATCGATCATAGAGGCACCTTCTCCTAGACTACGGACGTGGCAGTGAAGTGGAACGAAAATGCAGTTATATAATATATTGCATCGCAATGGTTAACATAATTGCGGTGACCCCAACGCATGCTCACAATTGTCCTTCATAAAAGTGCTTAATCACAAATATTTTATGCACAATTCCTTGTAATGTGAGACTAGTTTTAGATTTCAATGGTGTCTGGCATATTGTTATCACTCTTTTGTCTTTGTTATTTATTTTGAAGATGAACACTATAATCGTCGGGGAAGATTTTTGAAAATGGAAAGATTCCCAGATCACCCAGGGAACAGGATATATTTCAGTACTCTGAGTCAATATCCACGTGGAAAGGTAAATCGCCAAATGGTTCAGTTTGTAGGCCCCAAAAAACAAAAATCACTCCTAGAGTAACTACAAAATGTGCATTGTATCAGCAGTGTTAGTACATTTTGGAGTCGGAGTATGGATACATTTAACTCATGGTAAAACTCGATTCAAATTTTACCAATTTACAGACTTATTTTTATTTGACACCGTATTACATGTTTGGGCACAGCCGTCGGAATTAAAGCATCAATAAAAGTGTTTTCATAGACTAATAGATAGCTGATAGCCCGCGGTTAGTTACGACGACAAACATGGAATAAGATTCAAACTACACATTAGAATGTACATTAGGCGTGTTTTGTGAGTTGTAAAAAAAGTATGAAAAACCTACAAGTTCAGGTTGAAATGGTCTTTATCGATGAAACTTTCAAGATACCACTTGCAATAAACGTTGGCAACCTAATTCAATCAAAACAAAACAAATGAATATGTTCTTGTTGACTTTTGCCAATTCATAGATCGATATTGGACCAGGTTCGTACACACCAATGGATCTCAGCAAACCTGAAGCAACTAAACGATCCGTTTTTGGCTCCTCAGCTGGACGCTTTAACAAACACGCAATGAAGTACTTCAAGGCTAGCAACGTGTGTATTTCTATCATTGTGTTGAAATCGATAAAGTTGCTAAATAAATAGACGTTGTATGTATGTATGTCCATTATTCTTAGAATCCTGTTGGACCCGGTCGTTATAACGTCGACAGATTTTACAGAGCGCAAACAGTGAATGGAAACTCGAGTGTTTTCAACTCAAAAACGGGGAAACTCGATCTCGTTCGCGACAATTACATGATGTAAGCAAATCCCTATGTTATAAAAAACTGAAATGACTCTGTGCAGCTTTCGTTCATCATGCACAATTTTTCTACGTATATAAAAATTAACGATAAGTACACGGGGCAATATAAAATGAAGGGATGACACGTTCTTATCGACCATAATTAACATCTCAATTTACCATGTATATTAAACACCTATTACTGCAATTATTATTTTAATAACAATGATACGAACGATGTCATTTTAGAGAAAGAATTCGAAAAACAGTCCTACCAACAAAAGAACGCGTTCTCATGGTACCTATAGATGCAGTGTGATCGTTCTTCCATAAAAACTATCGAACGAAGTCAACTAGGTCAACAATTTTTGCCTCAAGTAGATTCGAGGAGTTTTGTGATACATTTGCGCAATACAATTTTTTTTCATTTTAGCATCAAGTTTTATTTGAGGGGAGTTTTGTGTAACATACATTTGCCACCTGTTATCTTCCAGGCGCGCAAAGGATAAAAATTCGCAATAATAAAAACCCAGAAAGAGTAATTAACATTACTAAGAGAGTGTGCTTTGCAATGTTTGCACACACGATATACGGGATCATTGCTTCGTTTGTAGAAGAGACTACCTAGGTTACATTACAGTTGTCATTCACCTTGGCATAAAAATAGGCTTTTCAAGACAGGACAGTATTTAAGTTTGTTGCAATTACTAAATACTTGTTTTGTACCTTTAAATATCATTGTTTATCTCGAGAAAAGACATGCTCACTTCCCCTTACCTCAGAAAGTACATAATAAGATGGAGAACTACGATAAATTATTCGATCACCGCAGGAAGTAATGAGTGTAGACCACGCGAGTAAGCACGCGCGCGCTAAAAGAGATAGTTACTGCGTAACAATGTTTTCAAAAAAGTATTTGATGACACCATCTAAATAACGGCGCATGCATGAATAGAAAGGTTTATTGCAGAAGGTTTGATACACAAGCAAGACATATACGTAGCATTTCGTACTTTTTCGTTCGAGAACAGACTAAGTAAAAAATGCTCAACATGCAGCGGCAACGTATGCCGGAAGAGAAGTCCAACGGGAGCGAATGTACCCAACTACTGCAACTACTAGCAAGAAATCCTTCCGCCGCTTTGAAGAAGTTGAAATTTTCTTCACCTGACGAAGAAAGATCATCTCGAGTTCATACGTACAAAGGACGACGACCAAAGCTATGTCAAAACGTGACCAAAGATTGTCGGGTACCTGCACCAACTCGACCTGTACAAATATATTACTGCTTGTCACCAAAAATGAGTTATTCGAGAACAACTGCCGACAACCAACGGACGAAGTCAAAAAAACTGAACACAGAAACGCTATTGAGCTATGAAGACATTGAACTTAAGTCTAAATGCGTTGACAAATTAGGTAATTTTAATTTTGAAGCACTGCTTCCTGCTATTTACTGGAAGAGTGAAAAGAATGGAATGGTCTGCGACCATGAACGATGAACCGAAAAGGTAGAAAAAATCTCTTAGGAAAAATGTGAAATGAACTAAGATAAGGCCATACGACGGATTGTAGCTGTAATTTTAGTGAATAACAATATGTACAATGCAATATAGTTTGTCCTAGGTATATAAATATTGTGAATAGATTGCAAATATACACGTACTATACTGTATAGCTACGTAAAGTAACCGAAAGTCGGGCTTCAATAATAAAGACAATTGAAATAAAATACAAATTCTGTTGGTTTTGAAAAGTCCTACTTATGCGAGATGTGGATCACTGTTGCGAAGTGTAATACACATTTAAAAGAAGGCAAATTTAAAAACTTTCAACATTGCAAATGAAAATGCCAAATAAAATTACCATCAAAATCTCATGCATGTTTCCCCGCCTTTTTCAGTTGAGCTTTCAAGCTTTGCTATTCTCGATCCAAATTGGATTGCCCTTTTCGGAAGGTTACATGACCCACTAAGTCCCAGTAATTTGGCTAATCGGCGTAAAATAATCTTTTCTCCAGTACCACGAGGTAAACGTGGATCACACTACAAATATAAAGATATCGTAGTTCTTTGAGATTAATTCAGTGAGAAAAACAAGCTTCATTGTTCAATATCTATTGCTCCACCGCCAGCCTCACCATTATAAGACAGATGGTAGCAAAAAAACGAGGTGGGGGGAAGGATGACCATTATGTTCAATTGCATAAACCAAAAGTAAAACGGAGTTGACTTCTAGTAAAAAACTTTACTCCAAGCCACCAAAACACTAACTGTAACATACTTTTGTCCAAACAGGCAAAGCATTGAGGAATGAAACAACGTCTTCATCAAGAAATGGAAAACGAGATTCACGACCATGATCAGATATACACCTAAAACATACACATCAGATTAAATTTTCAATTATTGTCCATTTAATAAAACATAATTTTTTTACCGATCGTCACGACCAAGATTTCTTTCCGATATTCTATCAACTTCCATTTGCATTTCATCCATCAGTCCTTCCCATCCTTCTTTACTGAAAAACAAATCAAATCAATCAGTGTTGTCATGTCCATTGGATTGATCAGACAACAGATACCAACTAACTTAAAACGAGAACGATGTCGCGCATATCCTCCAAGTTGCTCGTCTGCTCCCATCCCAACCAGTAATACCTGAAAATGTGTTCGACATATCAAATTAAAAAAAAATTCAAACAAATTCGGATACGTGTTAGCGGAGTATAGAAGGATAAATGGCAAGACGCGCTTGTTTTCAAAACAGAGCTAACAAGGGAAGACAAATCAAGTTTGCTCAAATCATCAAGAAAAATTTAGATTCTCAAAGTAAATTCGTCACCTTCACCGGAGACGTATATGTATTTGATGAACATGACAACCCATGTTGATCTCGGTTTTCTAAACTTTCGATAGAAGCCATGTTCCCTCGCCCTCTAGCAGCAAACCACAAAGCACATCCAATGCTGTCATCGAGTACGGTGCTTTGAGGCGAAACCAAATGCGTTATTATATTGGAGCTGAGGAAAAAGAAAACGGTAGAGTTAGGCGTCTCTCTAAATATTAACTCAATTAGATACATACTTTATTCCAAAGCCATCATCAGAGAATAAACATATTAATCCTGACACGGTTTTATATATGAAAAACATGTGACTTGGACGAGATTTGATCTCGCACCTTCGGGTTACTAGTGCCATCCAGAAAAAAAAATGTTATCGTGGCGAGAATCTCTCGTCCATAAGCAGTTTAAAAGAGATTTGACTCGTCTCCAATCCCGTGGGCTTGGTAGCTCAACAGGTAGAGAGGCAGACTAGTACCACGAAGATGCGAGATAAATCTCGTCCAAGTCACATGTTTTTCATGTGCATATAAAACCGTGTCAGGATAGATACCTATATACATCAAACAGAACAACATCTACTAATGCAGGGCTCACCGTTCTTTTTGCAATTCTTGCAAAGTTACGTTCACCTAGAAAACAAACCATCGATAATATATATGTAGATAAAACTAAACAGAAGAAGACATGAAATGTACATGTCTAAGTATTTTCGTGCTGCACGAACCTCAATAAAGTTCCACGTTCGATGCGAGTTAATTTTCTTTAGTTCAGCAAGACCTTTTCTCCCTGTTACACGATCCGGTACGTCAAAATTAAAGCTGTGCAGTTCATGGTCAATATTATTGTCTTTTGCTTTTCCTCTTTTGGTTTTCGTTCTCATTGCTGGTACTTTTTGCTCAAAGGCAACATTGATAAGGTCGATAGCTTCTTCGGAAGGAATACATCTAAAAGTCAATCATCGACGAAAATGTTGATGATAAAGATGGAAATTTCAGAACCACCCTTTTAATTGAAGCATAGAACCGCATATTGACTGTAAACTAAATATATACAGAAATGATCTACCTATCAGCTAAAGCAGCTAACACTATCGAGTCTATTCCTCCCGAAAAGAGGATGCCAACATGGCCAGATTTCCTTTCGTTATTTACGCTTTTCGCTTGAAAGGGACGTTTGGATAAATCAGGCAAGTTTTCGCGAGGTAAATTGAAGACACGCCTACGAACAGCTTCCATAAGAATATTTTTGAACTGAGCAACGACCACGTCAGTTTCAGCAGTGACAACATACAGCGCGTCAGCGGACGAAGGAGATCTGTCAACTTCACATTCCTTTTTTGTCCCATTCTTACGTTGCTCTCTATGCGTTAAATTCGCGCCGTTTTTTGAAACACGTGAATTAATTTCATCATATGATACAGACGGCAATAGTTTACGGCGATTTAGATTTACAGAGACATCTAAAACATTGCCACATTGCATAGAAGGCGATGCTCCATGTTCACATGCATTTTCAAAGGAAGAATCACACTTGACTTGCGCAAGGCTTTCTTCCGTTGAAGTCAATAAAATTCTCGAGATATCCTTGTTGAACTGGTTATCAACTGGAGACATGGGAAAGCCAAAATCATCACATCTTTTCCAGGGATGTTTTTGAAGGAAAATGCCACGATTCATCACGTCGCCTCCATAAGAAAAAACAAATAAATGAATGACGACAAAAAATATAACATTACTTGTAAAATATGAAAATAAGCATTCTTTCCGAATACATACTTTGCGTAAATTAATTTCAATACATGTGAGATTAAAGAAGCCTTATTTTCCAAAAGCGACACAAATAGAGAAGACACTCACCATCACATGTTTGTAAATGTAGATCGTCCAGGTTGGTATAGTCCTGAGAAGGACTGTTTTTGTTGTTGTTGACTGACGTTTCGACAACCTTAGCGGTAGTCATCTTCAGAGTCAAATGAGGAGTAAACGTCAGGTTAGCTGTATTTGTTATCTGGTTCTTACGTCATTGCATTGTGTGTACAGGAAATATGTATTGTCATTGTGAATTAGTGTGAAGTGAAACCAACCTGGACGATCTACATTTACAAACATGTAACGATACTCCCGGGTTCAAATCATTTAGTTTATTAAACTCACCATCGCCGCACAAAGCCCGATTGAGTTTCCGAATGTCAACAGTATAAATGCCATCAGCCGGTACCTCTTTCCAAAACTACAATGCAATCGTTGTAATGTGTACACATCACTCCACACAGAAATTGGCCAATCAATTGAGCATCTCTTCAAAACTTCAATATCTACCTGTTCTCCAATGTCTTTTTCCATCGTTCGTGTTGCCACAGACGAGAGGCAAAAAATGTCGACACGTGAAGATGGGAGATGCCAAAGTAAACTACGGCGACCAAAATAATCTCGACCAAAAATCAGCGAGTCACTAGCAGCCTAGCAAGACAAAACGATGGCACAAAAAAACTCGAATGAAACACACTACACCTTTTTTATAATACGTACTTACAATTTTTGTAAAAGCAAAACATAGTGACATTTATGTTTCAATTGCGAAGTAAACGTATGTACGTACTAATGTCCATCATGTTCAAATGAATTACTAATACATGCATGTTTTAACAACAAACAAACAAACAAACAACATTTGTATACTGGCCAGTATTAATCCCTGCCAGGGGGGGTGACCGGTCCATGAAATTTTCTATGCCAAACGTCTCTATCTCTCGCCATATCTCTCGTTATACCCATCGCCTTCATATCACTGTTCACAGCATCCATCCATCATCATCAGTTAAAATTCATGTTTTAACTGACATTAAAATGCCTACATATATCAGGGTGAGAAAAATAACTTCTTTTGATAGTTATGTACATTGATTTTAAGAACATTTGCAATATACTTCATACGATGATTTTTATCTTCATCAGGCCAAGAAGTAATTGACTCTGCACTGGATATTTCTCTTATTTATGTCACTTCTGGCACAGGATCACCTAATTTTAGGATCAAAAGGCCCATCATGTAAATAAAATTTTCGACCAACCACATATAATGTGAATGTTCTTAAAATCAATTTAACTATTTAAAGAAGTTATTTCGTAGACCCTGACAGGAACTTTAAGGCCGCTCAAAGTCTCACCATGACATGCCAACTATCTAGTCGAAAATTAATCATAAATCTCTTACTTGATAGTAAACAAATGCCCATGGTCCTTTAATACAGCTCATAACTTTCATAACATGATCAATATCATTTGAAGACTGCAAGTACATCAATAATCTTGTTGTGTCATTTTCTTGAGAAGTGACCTGATAAAGAAATCAACCATTATGTTTTGTTGTGAAATGATTGCAACTAGCACACTCACAATATCGCTTTGCGACAGGGCTAATTTGGAAAATGAAACAAAAAAATTCATATTTGTATGATTTCAAAAAATCATTACTCCGTTTGAGCAAATCTGCAGTACCTCTAGACCATTCAATATTTCACCATTCCAAACCAAAATGTTACCAAAGTCATCTTCAACAGGCTGTACAGTTATTTTTGCCCCACGAAGATGAAGGACAGCAGCAGCCAAGAGTAGACAACAGGTGCCATTAGCCATAGACTTCCAAAACTCTTGTTCGTCACCATTGCAGAAAGGAAAATTTAGTTGTCTTTGGCCAAAAGAGTCTGGACCTCGCCTCCGCAAAAACTTGCTCACTTTTTCATAAACTTCCTAGAAATCAAGCAGAGCCAGAGAGATCACAGAGACAGATCAATCTCAAAATTCAAACCTGTGTTTGCATGGTATAAATGTGAAGGAAAAGACGATATATACAGGAGAAATATAATAAAATATTTCGTGCTGCCGCTGAATCATAAAGTTAGAAGAAAGTTAAGTATTTGTCACAAATGACAATTGTCAGTTTGTCAAAATGCCACTCACTTTTTGTTTAACAAGAGTTTCATCCGACGAAGAGAAAATACTGCAAAAGATTCCACACATTTCCCTTGGTGATATTTGTCTTATATTAACTGGGCAGCGGCCATGTTGTTCGGAAACACACGTGACACGTAGTAGAACCATCTTTTCCATTTTCTGTTGGACTAGGAGAGTCGTTGGCGCCCCGTTTGGGCACATTGAGTTGGTTGGGCGTTGGGCGTCGTGGTTTGGTCAAATTAGTCCAAATATAGGTCATAAGATTGACTGATTGAGGTTTCAAAGGGCTCACACAACCATTAAGCTTAGAAATGAGAAGGCTTTCGTAGATCATTAACCTCTCATCAACTTCCAAAAGAAAAGAGAATGGATAAATCACTAAAATAGAATCACTCATATACTCAGAAATTTAAGAAGGCTAGTTACCTAAGTCCTTTCTTCTTGTGTGTAATGTCTCTTCCTCTTGTCACCCAAACTATTGCCCAAGTATCTATTTAGATATTTTAATATCTTGTAATATATATATAATAGCTTGTCAAAAATGACAAAAATTACATGCGAGACAGTGCATCAGAAAATAACAAATTGTTCATTCATCTGGAAGAAAATGCAAAATCGTGACCTTACCCTGCCGAAAATGCGGATCTAAAATTTCTTTTAAAACGAACGAATACGTGAGAAGATGAATTAACCAATCACATTTTGATTTTATTGATGGTATAATTTGAAGATGGTGCATGCAATTGTCAACCATTAATATCAAAAATCTAAAATTCTGACCAGAACTTCCGAAGTGTTAACTGTAAATGACCGTTAACAGACATTGGAAAAGAATGCAGCTATGATTTCTATTTTTTCTATTTCAAGGTAAGATATTTTTACAAGGCTCTAGTACCGTTCGACCGCATTTTTTCAAACGACTGCTGCCGAAGGCAGAATAATTCTGACCTCAACGTCGTCGAATTTATACGAAGAAAAGTAATAATATAAATTGTAAAATCTAATAGCGACAGCGCGCTGTACACCAAACAAAAAGTTCATTGGCTACCTTAATTGGCAATTTCATTTACGCCCCCTTTGTTTTTCAAATAGCTTTGTTTATCAAAAAAATTATCGACGTGCTTCCCCACGTGTGTTAACACGGTCAAGCATATTTGATATTTAAATCATAGATGTTTCAGTATACTACGGTACATGAGATATGTTCTCTATGTGCAACATCCCAAACCTTGTTATCAATTATGAATACAAAAGCTACACTGCTACACCTCTTACAGTGATTCCCACGAAAAATTTTTTAACAGAGCAGTAATCTTTCAATGCCATTGCCCTTTTTTTTCAACATACCAGATATCTAAAAATAAAAACAGATGAAGGCATGCCTATTTATTTTTTATGGAAAGAAGTTTGATAACTTACAGGAATGTATCCTAGAGTATGTGGGAGAAGGCTGGGCAATGTTCTACATTCAAAGCAATAAACAATCTTGCCTGCAAGTTTAGGTTCTGCTATTTAAATTTCAGAGCATCATCATTATTCATTTCTTTAGAAACCTGTAGTTTTTGACCATTAGTAGATTAATGTTAATAATACATGGGGATTGGTATAGTCTAAGTAAGCAGTACACCAAATATGTAACTAAACATGCAGTGTTATAGTTAAGCTTGTGCAATTCTATGCTCAGGGGCAGGTCTATGCTCACAAGACAACAAGGTTGCCTGTTATAGTTAAGCTTGTGCAATTCTATGCTCAGGGGCAGGTCTATGCTCACAAGACAACAAGGTTGCAGATTTTCTCAATTGTGTACATAATTGCGCTAGGCCATTGACTCATGTCATTATTAAATTTTTCTCGGGAGTGGTTGCACACTCTGCCACTCACAGAAAATCTTCTCCCCTAAATTTTATTTTGAAGTTTTAATATATTAAATTATACGTATGTACACATATGATTCTATAGCAATAAAATAATGCTGGACAAACTCCTAAACATTATTGTGTCAACAATAATGTGTTCTAATAAACATCTAATGTGTTCCAAACAGTAATACAAAATAACCTGAGCAATTAACTTATGCAAACATCTAGCAATAATTATGGGTTGAAACCATTCACTTCATTGCAATAAATAATCTTTTTCTGAAAGATTATGGAACTTGCGTAAAATTTAGCAAATATAAATTTTGCATTGATTCGTTGACATGGTGGTTATAAATGTTAGTGCTATTAAGAAGTTTCAACATGGCCAAGGGCTTGTTTTGTGAAGGAGCCATTTGCTTCATTTAAACCTTTGTGCAAACCCATGGTTGTTGGGTTTTTTTCCATGATTTGATTCACAACCAAAGGCATATAATAAATTACAATCTATTAAAGCAAATCTAAGCATAAGCAGTTATAGCTACTTCAGCACAACCAGAAATCATTGTAGCATAGAACATCCTTCATGTTTGTGACTATTACGAGCAAGCAGTAACTTCAGGTTTGCCCAACATGATCTATGTAACAACAATGAAATTTGTTAAACTTTAGTTTGTTTAACCTATCACTTTTTCTTTAGGTAACAATGAACAAATTAGACTGTTTCACTAGTGTGAGTGTGACCACTCTACCACTCCATCAGGAACTGCTTTATGAATTAATTTCATGATTGCTTTTGTAGATTTCTACGGCCAGATGTTTCATTCCAATACCATGGCTAGATGTGAGGGTAAATCAGTTCATTATTTTTTTTTTATGAACCGTATAAAAGCTTAAGAATGAAAGAAAAGCTCTTCACGAATTGGTGGCAACCCAGTCTGGAAAGTATGCTTTTGCTCACCAGAGATTTTTTCATATTATCAATGCACACCATGCACATTTATCAATAGAGAGAGCAAACCAAGTTGGTCATTAAATCTAAAGCCAAGTACGGTCTCATCCTGCAAAGTTACTTTATTTATAGGAGTAACAAACGATTTCCGAGTGAACATTCGAATCAACAACTATCAAATTTCAAGTATTTCACGAACATAAGCACGATATACTCATCATTACATTTTGGATTTCGGTTGTGTGTGCATCATAAAACATGAATTTTACACCAGTAATTTCATTGTGCACACCGGAGATCACGTCGAAAACAACATACTTCCAGACTGGGTGGCAACTGGAAAGGTATTCGAATAGTGTTTGCTTGTCAATGCTTGCTATAACGCAATTTTAGAAATCGAGGTTAGATTCAGAAGATACTTCTCCATTATTTTTATCAGTAAGTAAAGCTAGTAATGACGCATTGGGAAAAACATTTGACCTCATACTTTGCTTCCACCGCCATCTTTGAATTTGACATGTTTATTAAATCTAACAATTTCATTGGCTGCCGAGGTTTATCGGCGAGTTTTGAATTTCATCGTTATGATTTTTTAAAATTTTGACAATAGATTCTTCTTCTCCTCTTTCTTAAGTCCATTACTCGCATAAGTAAATGTTGTCACGTAAAGGCTGCTCTCACTTGCGCTCAGTCAAATGCAATATTTAAATTGATGATGTGTATACACCGTCATATGCGTAGTTAGGTTACACCATTTTGTATTCAATATGTCGGATTTGATTCTTTTGAAGTTGAAACAAATAAAAATTTGGAACGCTTCACGAATTTGCGTGTCATCCTTGCGCAGGGGCCATGCTAATCTTCTCTGTATCGTTCCAATTTTATTATATGTGTAGCCGAAGCTGCACATCCTCCAGTGCGAGTGCTTTCTATTTATGCAAACAATATACGCCACGTTGCAATTGTTGTGGGAGGGAATATTTGCGCATACCCACTTTTTCAAATACATTTTTCAAAATTAAAATGACGTCTTTTACAGTTAAAACCTACCATTCTGTATCATCTATCGTTAACTACATATTATTCAAGCGTTACTTGTATATTGCTTTTAGTAATATCCACGTTAAGCCATAAAGTTTGACATAATTTAATTTGCGCATGCTCCGTTTGTCTTTCTGCGAATCAGTTTTCTATGATACTTGTTCTTGACCTTTGACCCTGACCCACAAGGCAATAATAAACGTGTTATAAAGTCCTCTCTCATGAAATGACGACTTTTTAAAGTATAATCTCCTAGGAGATTTTCCCGTCGCGTATGTGAGATTTACATTGTAATTTTATAGTTATTCTTGCGCTCAAAGCTTAGACCTTACAAAAGATAGGATATTTATTGTGTGTAAAAAAACATGCTTTCAAAGTTTTTCACTGTTCGTCTCAGAGATACAAGGGCAATTGGGCTACGTCACTATCATGACACACAAAAATTAACGTTTCCTTAGCCAAAATCTTCCAAATGTTGACATTTCCAGCTGCTATATTTACCCAAAGCCTTCCAAAAGTCTTTCCAATGTGCCCAAGTGTTGCATGCAGTGTGTAAACCATTTGTGTCAACCATTGAAGTGATTGAACTAAAAAAATACGCACATCAGATGTATTTGACTTGAATGGTGTAAACAACCGTGTAAAAATGGAGTCGTTCTAGGAGTGCAAAGTAGGAGTAAAATTTTCACCAGTTTTGTTGAACTTGGCTTTTGTGTGTTTGTTCCTATTATTCAAAATCTTCGGCTTTCGTTCAATCGTTCAAGGACTACCAGAGGCGAGTTCAAATTAAGCTGTTCGGAAGAAGCCGATACAAATGAAGGCACAGAAGTCTACTAGGGAATTGTAAGCTAGTTGTTTATTGTGTTGGGAAATATAAACAATAGTATAAGTGTTCTAGAAAGCTCTCGTTCTCACGTAGAGAAAAGGTCGACGTTGTAAAATCTAATCGGCGTTGTGCTATCAACGTTGAAACAATGTTGAAACGACTTCGTTGACGTCAAAACAACGTTGAAATAACGTCGAACTATCGACATTAGAGTGATTTAGCAAAGATGTACGACGTTTCGTCTAAGACGTCGTCATTTATTAGCAAGGAATCTGGGTTAATTTAGGCCCGGTTCAAACGTCGCATTTTACATGCGCCGAATCAAATGCGAGAATTATGTGCATGTAAAATGCGACGTTTGAATCAATTAAATTCGACGGATTTTAATTTAATGCGACTTTAGGCCCGGTTCAAACGTCGCATTTTACATGCGCCGAATCAAATGCGAGAATTATGTGCATGTAAAATGCGACGTTTGAATCAATTAAATTCGACGGATTTTAATTTAATGCGACTTTAGTCGCATATTCGACTGAGTTAGTCGAATATTCGACGGAAATTCGATGTTGATTCAAACGTCGCATTTTACATGAGCCGAATTTAATGCATAATTTATTTTAAGATATTTCTAAGCAAAAATCAATTATTTCCATGCTAAATGTCATGCGCAAAGTTGTAAAAACATGGCGGCGGCGAGTGATGGTAATGGCCCTTGTATTTCGTGCACAAGTTTAACAAAATACACTTGTTTAAAGTGCAAAAAATTTATATGTACAAGGAAAGTTTCCTCGAGTACACGAAATGTTTTTTTGAATCAGAATAAATACTCCAAACTTTCTTCCACCAGCCGGAATTTCTATCTTGTCTTCGACATGATCGATAAGGAGGGCTACGTATGAAGGCTTTTTTTTGACCAATTAACGGTAGAAAAACATGGCAAATTTGCAGAAGCTGCCGTCTCGTTTCTAATAGTTTATTTGCTGTAACATGCATCAATATTCGTCTTTTCCTATTAACACAAATCATATTTGAAATGCATAAACTCAACATTTTTCTGTTCGCCATTTTAGGAAATTAGTACAAGAAAATGAATAAACTATGAAAAAGTGGAAGCATAACTATAATAAATGCGACTATTAAATTCGACGTCTGAATCAAACTACGCATAAAACTATTTTAGTCGACTAAAACGCAGATTTGATTCGGCGCATGTAAAATGCGACGTTTGAACCGGGCCTTAATGTCATGACGTCGACGTCGAAACAACGTCGAAACGACGTCACGACGATAATCCAATCAATTTCGACGCGACTACGACGTCGAAACGATGTTGGGTTCCCACTAAAGCCTGGTTCACATATGACTGAGACATGACTGAGGCATTATTAAGGCAAGCCTAACATGCTTTGTGATCTTGTGGCTGAGGCAACGATGCTTTTCAATGACATAGTTCAAAATCGCCGATGGCCCGCCAAGAAACCTGTAGTTTTTGACCATTAGTAGATTAATGTTAATAATGCATTGGGATTGGTATAGTCAAGTAAGCAGTACACCAAATATGTAACTAAACATGCAGTGTTATAGTTAAGCACATGCAAGTCTTCATTTTAGGCCAAAAAATATAGGGGCAGGTCGCAAGACATCAGGGTTGCAGATTTTCTCAATTGTGTACATAATTGCGCTAGGCCATTGACTCATGTCATTATTAAATTTTTCTCGGGAGTGGTTGCACACTCTGCCACTCACAGAAAATCTTCTCTCCTAAGTTTTATTTTGAAGTTTTAATATATTAAATTATACGTATGTACACATGATTCTATAGCAATAAAACAATGCTGGACAAACTCCTAAACATTTATTGTGTGAACAATAATGTGTTCTAATAAACATCTAATGTGTTCCAAACAGTAATACAAAATAACCTGAGCAATTAACTTATGCAAACATCTAGCAATAGTTATGGGTTGAAACCATTCACTTCATTGCAATAAATAATCTTTTTCTGAAAGATTATGGAACTTGCGTAAAATTTAGCAAATATAAATTTTGCATTGATTCGTTGACATGGTGGTTGTAAATGTTAGCGCTATTAAGAAGTTTCAACATGGCCAAGGGCTTGTTTTTTGAAGGAGCCCTTTGCTTCATTTAAACCTTTGCGCAAACCCATGGTTGTTGGGTTTTTTTCCTTGATTTGATTCACAACCAAAGGCATATAATAAATTACGATCTATTAATGCAAATCTAAGCATAAGCAGTTATAGCTACTTCAGCACAACCAGAAATCATTGTCGCATAGAACATCCTTCATGTTTGTGACTATTACGAGCAAGCAGTAACTTCAGGTTTGCCCACATGATCTTTGTAACAACAATGAAATTTGTTAAACTTTAGTTTGTTTAACCTATCACTTTTTCTTTAGGTAACAATGAACAAATTAGACTGTTTCACTAGTGTGAGTGTGACCACTCTACCACTCCATCAGGAACTGCTTTATGAATTAATTTCATGATTGCTTTTGTAGATTTCTACGGCCAGATGTTTCATTCCAATACCATGGCTAGATGTGAGGGTAAATCAGTTCATTATTTTTTTTTTATGAACCGTATAAAAAGCTTAAGAATGAAAGAAAAAGCTCTTCACGAATTGGTGGCAACCCAGTTTGGAAAGTATGCTTTTTGCTCACCAGAGATTTTTTCATATTATCAATGCACACCATGCACATTTATCAATAGAGAGAGCAAACCAAGTTGGTCATTAAATCTAAAGCCAAGTACGGTCTCATCCTGCAAAGTTACTTTATTTATTGGAGTAACAAACGATTTCCGAGTGAACATTCGAATCAACAACTATCAAATTTCAAGTATTTCACGAACATAAGCACGATATACTCATCATTATATTTTGGATTTCGGTTGTGTGTGCACTATAAAACATGATTTTCACACCAGTAATTTCATTGTGCACACCGGAGATCACGTCGAAAACAACATACTTCCAGACTGGGTGTTAACTGGAAAGGTATTCGAATAGTGTTTGCTTGTCAATGCTTGCTATAACGCAATTTTAGAAATCGAGGTTAGAATCAGGAGATACCCAGTTCTAACGTCGCATTTTACATGCGCGGAATCAAATGCGAGAATTATCTGCATGTAAAATGCGACGTTTGAATCAATTAAATTCGACGGATTTTAATTTAATGTGACTTTAGTCAGTCGAATATTCGACGAAAATTCGATGTTGATTCAAACGTCGCATTTTACATGAGCAGAATTTAATGCATAATTTATTTTAAGATATTTCTAAGCAAAGATCAATTATTTCCATGCTAAATGCCATGCGCAAAGTTGTAAAAACATGGCGGCGGCGAGTGTTGGTAATGGCCCTTGTATTTCGTGCACAAGTTTGACAAAATACACTTGTTTAAAGTGCAAAAAATTTTTATGTACAAGGTGCTCTATTTTTGAAGACGACGAAGAGAGTGTTGGTTGGAAAGCAGGACGAGCGGTTTCTCGTTGCGATGCATGTTTTCGTGAAAAGATTGGGAGTGAGGAAGTCGATCAAGAAATTGGTAGGAGTACATCTTCTCGGGCGAGCATACGTTCATTTCGACTGTCCTCTTGTGAGAGCACCGAAGGCGAAGTAGAATCGACCAAGGCCATTAAAACAATTGAATAAAAATTCTTGTAGTTATGATATTCTTTGCACGCTTGAAGACCACCGGGGGGAGGCATTTTGTAGGAATATGACAACCATCCAAAGCAGCCCAGATACAGGGAAATTGCCATAATTCTTCCATGTCCACGATTTTTTTCTTAAAATCAGTCTGACATTTCGGCATGTTTTTTGAAATTGTTTCATTCCATAAGTATTCAACGAGAAGTTGACATACCTGCTGCACAATGGTGCTCGCCGTTGATACTCCTCTTCCTGCCATTTCAGCGATGGTGTAAAAGTAATCTCTTCATCCCAATCTGTAAAGGCATATACCAAGTCTTTCCACCGGAGAAATGGGTTCCTCTGTGACAGTTTGCTTTTGAAGTATAAGTCGAATACGACTTAAAATAAAAAGAAAATTTCCTCGAGATACACGAAATGTTTTTTTGAATCGAAGATCAGAATAAATACTCCAAACTTTCTTCCACCAGCCGGAATTTCTATCTTGTCTTCGACATGATCGATATAGAGGGCTACGTATGAAGGCACTTTTTTGACCAATTAACGATAGAAAAACATGGGAAATTTGCAGAAGCCGCCGTCTCGTTTCTAATAGTTTATTTGCTGTAACATGCATCAATATTCGTCTTTTCCTATTATCACGAATCATATTTGAAATGCATAAACTCAACATTTTCCTGTTCGCCATTTTAGGAAATTAGTACAAGAAAATGAATAAACTATGAAAAAGTGGAAGCGTAACTATAATAAATGCGACTATTAAATTCGACGTCTGAATCAAACTACGCATAAAACTATTTTAGTCGACTAAAACTTAGATTTGATTCGGCGCATGTAAAATGCGACGTTTGAACCGGGCCTAAGTAAAGCTGGTAATGACGCATTGGGAAAAACATTTGACGTCATACTTTGCTTCCACCGCCATCTTTGAATTTGACATGTTTATTGAATCTAACAATTTCATTGGCTGCCGAGGTTTATCGGCGAGTTTTGAATTTTAACGTTATGATTTTTTAAAATTTTGACAATAGATCCTTCTTCTCTTCCTCAAGTCAATTACTCACATAAGTAAATGTTGTCACGTAAAGGCTGCTCTCACTTGTGCTCAGTCAAATGCAATATTTAAATTGATGATGTGTATAAACCGTCATATGCGTAGTTTGGTTACACCATTTTGTATTCAATATGTTGAATTTGATTCTTTTGAAGTTGAAACAAATAAAAATTTGGAACGCTTCACGAATTTGCGTGTCATCCTTGCGCAGGGGCCATGCTAATCTTCTCTGTATCGTTCCAATTTTATTATATGTGTAGCCGAAGCTGCACATCCTCCAGTGCGAGAGCTTTCTATTTATCCAAACAATATACGCCACGTTGCCATTGTTGTGGGTGGGAATATTTGCGCATACCCACTTTTTCAAATACATTTTTCAAAATTAAAATGACGTCTTTTACAGTTAAAACCTACCATTCTGTATCATCTATCGTTAACTACATATTCTTCAAGCGTTACTTGTATATTGCTTTTAGTAATATCCACGTTAACCAATAAAGTTTGACATAATTTAATTTGCGCATGCTCCGTTTGTCTTTCTGCGAATCAGTTTTCTATGATACTTGTTCTTGACCTTTGACCCTGACCCACAAAGCAATAATATACGTGTTATAAAGTCCTCTCTCATGAAATGACGACTTTTTAAAGTATAATCTCCTAGGAGATTTTCCCGTCGCGTATGTGAGATTTACATTGTAATTTTATAGTTATTCTTGCGCTCAAAGCGTAGACCTTACAAAAGATAGGATATTTATTGTGTGTAAAAAAAACATGCTTTCAAAGTTTTTCACTGTTCGTCTCAGAGATACAAGGGCAATTGGGCTACGTCACGAACTGATAAAGAAATCAACCATTATGTTTTGTTGTGAAATGATTGCAACTAGCCTACTCACAATATCGCTTTGCGACAGGGCTAATTTGGAAAATGAAACAAAAAAATTCATATTTGTATGATTTCAAAAAATCATTACTCTGTTTGAGCAAATCTGCAGTACCTCTAGACCATTCAATATTTCACCATTCCAAACCAAAATGTTACCAAAGTCATCTTCGAAAGGCTGTACAGTTATTTTTGCCCCACGAAGATGAAGGACAGCAGCAGCCAAGAGTAGACAACAGGTGCCATTAGCCATAGACTTCCAAAACTCTTTTTCGTCACCATTGCAGAAAGGAAAATTTAGTTGTCTTTGGCCAAAAGAGTCTGGACCTCGCCTCCGCAAAAACTTGCTCACTTTTTCATAAACTTCCTAGAAATCAAGCAGAGCCAGAGAGATCACAGAGACAGATCAATCTCAAAATTCAAACCTGTGTTTGCATGGTATAAATGTGAAGGAAAAGACGATATATACAGGAGAAATATAATAAAATATTTCGTGCTGCCGCTGAATCATAAAGTTAGAAGAAAGTTAAGTATTTGTCACAAATGACAATTGTCAGTTTGTCAAAATGCCACTCACTTTTTGTTTAACAAGAGTTTCATCCGACGAAGAGAAAATACTGCAAAAGATTCCACACATTTCCCTTGGTGATATTTGTCTTATATTAACTGGGCAGCGGCCATGTTGTTCGGAAACACACGTGACACGTAGTAGAACCATCTTTTCCATTTTCTGTTGGACTAGGAGAGTCGTTGGCGCCCCGTTTGGGCACATTGAGTTGGTTGGGCGTTGGGCGTCGTGGTTTGGTCAAATTAGTCCAAATATAGGTCATAAGATTGACTGATTGAGGTTTCAAAGGGCTCACACAACCATTAAGCTTAGAAATGAGAAGGCTTTCGTAGATCATTAACCTCTCATCAACTTCCAAAAGAAAAGAGAATGGATAAATCACTAAAATAGAATCACTCATATACTCAGAAATTTAAGAAGGCTAGTTACCTAAGTCCTTTCTTCTTGTGTGTCATGTCTCTTCCTCTTGTCACCCAAACTATTGCCCAAGTATCTATTTAGATATTTTAATACCTTGTAATATATATAATAGCTTGTCAAAAATGACAAAAATTACATGCGAGACAGTGCATCAGAAAATATCAAATTGTTCATTGATCTGGAAGAAAATGCAAAATCGTGACCTTACCCTGCCGAAAATGCGGATCTAAAATTTCTTTTAAAACGAACGAATACGTGAGAAGATGAATCAAACAAAAAGTTCATTGGCTACCTTAATTGGCAATTTCATTTACGCCCCCTTTGTTTTTCAAATAGCTTTGTTTATCAAAAAAATTATCGACGTGCTTTCCCACGTGTGTTAACACGGTCAAGTCCATAAGCATATTTGATATTTAAATCATAGATGTTTCAGTATACTACGGTACATGAGATATGTTCTCTATGTGCAACATCCCAAACCTTGTTATCAATTATGAATACAAAAGCTACACTGCTACAGCTCTTACAGTGATTCCCACGAAAAATTTTTTAACAGAGCAGTAATCTTTCAATGCCATTGCCCTTTTTTTTCAAAATACCAGATATCTAAAAATAAAAACAGATGAAGGCATATCTATTTATTTTTTATGGAAAGAAGTTTGATAACTTACAGGAATGTATCCAAGAGTATGTGGGAGAAGGCTGGGCAATGTTCTACATTCAAAGCAATAAACAATCTTGCCTGCAAGTTTAGGTTCTGCTATTTAAATTTCAGAGCATCATCAATATTCATTTCTTTAGAAACCTGTAGTTTTTGACCATTAGTAGATTAATGTTAATAATGCATGGGGATTGGTATAGTCTAAGTAAGCAGTACACCAAATATGTAACTAAACATGCAGTGTTATAGTTAAGCTTGTGCAAGACTTCATTTTAGACCAAAAGTGATAGGGGCAGGTCTATGCTCACAAGACAACAAGGTTGCAGATTTTCTCAATTGTGTACATAATTGCGCTAGGCCATTGACTCATGTCATTATTAAATTTTTCTCGGGAGTGGTTGCACACTCTGCCACTCACAGAAAATCTTCTCCCCTAAATTTTATTTTGAAGTTTTAATATATTAAATTATACGTATGTACACATATGATTCTATAGCAATAAAACAATGCTGGACAAACTCCTAAACATTGTGTCAACAATAATGTGTTCTAATAAACATCTAATGTGTTCCAAACAGTCCTACAAAATAACCTGAGCAATTAACTTATGCAAACATCTAGCAATAGTTATGGGTTGAAACTATTCACTTCATTGCAATAAATAATCTTTTTCTGAAAGATTATGGAACTTGCGTAAAATTTAGCAAATATAAATTTTGCATTGATTCGTTGACATGGTGGTTATAAATGTAAGTGCTATTAAGAAGTTTCAACATGGCCAAGGGCTTGTTTTGTGAAGGAGCCCTTTGCTTCATTTAAACCTTTGTGCAAACCCATGGTTGTTGAGTTTTTTCCTTGATTTGATTCACAACCAAAGGCATATAATAAATTACGATCTATTAAAGCAAATCTAAGGATAAGCAGTTATAGCTACTTCAGCACAACCAGAAATCATTGTAGCATAGAACATCCTTCATGTTTGTGACTATTACAAGGAAGCAGTAACTTCAGGTTTGCCCAACATGATCTATGTAACAACAATGAAATTTGTTAAACTTTAGTTTGTTTAACCTATCACTTTTTCTTTAAGTAACAATGAACAAATTAGACTGTTTCACTAGTGTGAGTGTGACCACTCTACCACTCCATCAGGAACTGCTTTATGAATTAATTTCATGATTGCTTTTGTAGATTTCTACGGCCAGATGTTTCATTCCAATACCATGGCTAGATGTGAGGGTAAATCAGTTCATTATTTTTTTTTTATGAACCGTATAAAAAGCTTAAGAATGAAAGAAAAAGCTCTTCACGAATTGGTGGCAACCCAGTCTGGAAAGTATGCTTTTTGCTCACCAGAGATTTTTTCATATTATCAATGCACACCATGCACATTTATCAATAGAGAGAGCAAACCAAGTTGGTCATTAAATCTAAAGCCAAGTACGGTCTCATCCTGCAAAGTTACTTTATTTATTGGAGTAACAAACGATTTCCGAGTGAACATTCGAATCAACAACTATCAAATTTCAAGTATTTCACGAACATAAGCACGATATACTCATCATTATATTTTGGATTTCGGTTGTGTGTGCATCATCATAAAACATGAATTTCACACCAGTAATTTCATTGTGCACACCGGAGATCATGTCTAAAACAACATACTTCCAGACTGGGTGGTAACTGGAAAGGTATTCGAATAGTGTTTGCTTGTCAATGCTTGCTATAACGCAATTTTAGAAATCGAGGTTAGAATCAGGAGATATTTCTCCATTATTTTTATCAGTAAGTAAAGCTAGTAATGACGCATTGGGAAAAACATTTGACCTCATATTTTGCTTGGTTAGCACTATTTTCCACCCAGCAAACCGCCCTTTACTTTACACAATCGTTAATAAATTAAAGATGGCGGCTAATGGGAAAGAACCAAAAGCTAAAAGGAAACCATGCATGCACTGGTGCTAGGTCGTTTTGAGATGGCGAGTAATTTTATATTTTTATAATACAGTTTTTAATATCAACATATGAAAATATTTACAGATAAATGTTGCAGTATAAATTTTCATGCAACCACCTTAAGTTATAAACTTATAATCCAGGCTGGAAAATATGTCGTTTTTCGACGATTGTGTAAAATATTAAATAAAATATTATATTGTGTAAAATATTAGATTGTGTAAAATATTATATTGTGTAAAATATTATATTTCAAAGTAAAGGGCGGTTTGCTGGGTGGAAAATAGTGCTAACCATTTTGGTTGCTTCCACCGCCATCTTTGAATTTGACATGTTTATTAAATCTAACAATTTCATTGGCTGCCGAGGTTTATCGGTGAGTTTTGAATTTTAACGTTATGATTTTTTAAAATTTTGACAATAGATCCTTCTTCTCTTCCTCAAGTCAATTACTCACATAAGTAAATGTTGTCACGTAAAGGCTGCTCTCACTTGTGCTCAGTCAAATGCAATATTTAAATTGATGATGTGTACACACCGGCATATGCATAGTTAGGTTACACCATTTTGTATTCAATATGTCGAATTTGATTCTTTTGAAGTTAAAACAAATAAAAATTTGGAACGCTTCACGAATTTGCGTGTCATCCTTGCGCAGGGGCCATGCTAATCTTCTCTGTATCGTTCCAATTTTATTATATGTGTAGCCGAAGCTGCACATCCTCCAGTGCGAGTGCTTTCTATTTATCCAAACAATATACGCCACGTTGCAATTGTTGTGGGAGGGAATATTTGCGCATACCCACTTTTTCAAACACATCTTTCAAAATTAAAATGACGTCTTTCGCAGTTAAAACCTACCATTCTGTATCCCCTATCGTTAACTACATATTCTTCAAGCGTTGCTTGTATATTGCTTTTCGTAATATCTATGTTAAGCCATAATGTTTGACATAATTTTATTCGCGCATGCTCCGTTTGTCTTTCTGCGAATCAGTTTTCTATACTTGTTCTTGACCTTTGACCCTGACCCAAAAAGCAATAATAAACGTGTTATAAAGTCCTCTCTCATGAAATGATGACTTTTTAAAATATAATCTCCTAGGCGATTTTCCCGTCGCGTATATGAGGTTTACATTGTATATATATAGTTATTCTTGCGCTCAAAGCTTAGACCTTACAAAAGATAGGATATTTATAGTTATTCATCATAAAAAATGTGGAGATTACATTGAAAAAAATTGAACGTATAATGAGTTGAAAGTTAACCGAGCTCTTCGTTTTCCATAAGATACATTCAATTTGTTTGAATTTGTTCAAGAAAATTGAACACATTTGAACAACTATCCCAAAGTTACACTGATTTAATATATCAAGTCGACGCCTAGTCATATATAGGCCGTTGTTCGTGCCATACGATAGCATGAAAAGGGTCGTTCTATGTCGTGATAGTGACAAATAGTGACAAATTCATTCTATAGATGAATGAGGCCATCGTATGTAGCTCGTTATTGTTGTGTGAGAGCGTAATCCAATGAGAACAGATAAATGTCAAATTCCGAACAATAACTAGTTGCTGCATGTGTATGATTAAAATCATCATAAGACAAAATGTTAAGGAAAAGAGTGCTGGATCACGATCCAAGTCAAGCAATGAAATGTATTTTTGTGAACATATATTTTTTGAAAACAGTACTTTATCTACAGTGTTACAATGCTGGACTTCAAAAGTGGATTCGCTTCGGTATCAAATGTCTAAAACAATTTTATTTGTTGAAGGGGTTAACCGTCCATTACACTGATTACTTTACTTGACAAAAATATTAACCTGACCTACTTTATCAATGTCGTGCAACAAAGCAAATGCCGAAAGGCGTAAAATCACGCAGCTTATCGAATCCACGCTTGCAGCCTATTTTTACAAAAAAAGCAAGACAAAATAAAGATTTAAAATTTACACTTTCCCATTATTGGAAACTTTCAATGCAAGTGTAAGTAAGAGATGATGACATTTACATTTACAATATCTAATAACACTATAGACAAACACATTTATATAAAACATGAAATTTCAAAACAAAATGAAAACAATAAAACTTT